TTATTAAAACCACTACCAATTCCCCAGCGAATCTGGGCCGAAATATCAGTGGACTTCATTACCGGGCTACCACCCTCAGGATCCACGGGAGCAACAAACTGTATGGTGATAACAGATCGGTTGACAAAGGGCGTGATTCTAGTCGGAATGAGGAATACAACAGCAGAGGATGTAGCAGAGGTGTTCCTCACACACTTCTATATGCATCATGGGGTACCACTAGCGATTGTGAGCGACCGCGGCCCCCAATTCGTGAGTTCTTTCTGGGGAAGGGTATGCGAAAGGCTATCGATTCAACGCCGATTATCCACTGCTTTCCACCCCCAGACCGACGGTGCAACAGAACGTGCCAATCAGGAGATCGAACGAATTCTACGTGTGTTCACGACGTACGCACAGGATAACTGGAAAGATCTACTACCAATAGTCGCAGTGGCAATTAATAATCGTGATGCCGCTTCAACAGGAATCTCGCCATTCTTCTTCACCCACGGCTACCACATTGACCCGATTGGTATCGACGAAGCAGGGCAGCTACAGGACGCCCTGACCCAACCACGAAAGACAGGCGAAACCTTCGTGAATCGCCTACGAGAAGCCACCGATTGGGCCCAGGCCGCTATTGCTTCTGCACAGGCCCTTCAAGAAGAGCAAACGAACCGACGTCGACAGGCTGCGCCTATCTATAAGAAGGATGACTGGGTTTGGCTAAACCTTCGGAATGTACGCACGCAGCGACCGTCAAAGAAGTTAGATTGGCTACATGCTCGATACCGAGTAGTAGACGTTCCGTCACCGTTTACAGTCCGACTCGATGTGCCTACTGGTATACACCCAGTGTTCCACATCGAGTTAGTCCGCCCAGCGGCAACGGACCCGTTCCCATCCCAAGTAGTGGACGATTCGCAGCCACCACCGCTGCTAGTCGACGGGGAGGAGGAATACGACGTTGAGCGAATCCTAGCTATACGACGGAGGAAGATTGGGCGAGGATATCGTGACGAAGCGCTAGTGAAATGGAGAGGATGGGCGGAACAGACGTGGGAAAGACTAGACTCGGTCCAAAACTGCAGCGCGTTGGATGCCTTTGAGGAGCAATACGGCCCCGTTTCGGATGTGATTCGCCAACAAATCGACACCGGAACCCATGTCGTCGTACCCCTAACGAAGTTAAGGCTAGGAGGGGGGTATTGTCACGGGCTGTTGCCCGATATTGGTCACGTGTATCACGGAACCTTGGCATGTTGACATGGAGAACACGCGGGACGAACCTTTCTTCCCTAAGCTTTTTGTAAACAGCATGTTGGCCTAGTTAGATTGAATTAAGTCTTACTTCAGCCCCTCACACAGGATGGGCAAACATAAAGAAAAGGATATAGCCTTTAGTATCCTACTTAAAAGTATATCTCTAATTACTATTTTGAAGCGATTCTCTTAGGAATTCAAGCGGTGAATAATTCCCTAGTTTCTTCCGTCTTGATTCATCTCGGATATTATAGCAATCCTTAGGTCTAATTCGAATATTAGGCTGTTACTTTCGTATAAGGCCAATAATATGACGTGGTGTTGATCCAGTATTAGAAAGCTACTGAATAGTTTGAATTTGATCCTGAGTGAACTGTCGACGGCGTGCTATTGGATGTGCTATCATATTATCATCAGCTTCATGATTATGAGAAGGGTTTCTAACCTGAATTTCCCATTGGTTAGAAGTAGTAAGCTTCTTTATATATAGACGAAAGGGGTAATCTATACGCTTCGTACTAGTTTTCCTGCGTTTAGCCCCCTCTGGGGCATTAACACGATCATGATAAATACCTCCTCTATCGCAACCAAGAGTGATATTTCTATCTCTACTGGATGAGATAGTAGTAATAGCGTAACCATGAGCAAGGGCATGCTGTTGGATAGAAGTAAGCAATTGCTCTCTGGTCTCAAAGACTTGTTCCATTGGTGGCTCCATGATCAGATAGAGAATCAGATGAGGAATTAGATGAGCAAAGAGATCAATAGAAAGAGAGAAAGCTCTTATAGCAGTAGTTAATAGAATGTAGTTGCTATAGTGGTAAGTAATGCAGTTGCTGTGGTAATGTATGGTAATGATTCTTGGCAAAATTGATTATGTGATGCGGATATTACATAATTGCTGTGCGGCTAGCGGGAATTGTTACACACACAGCAGCTTTTGCTAGCCGCACAGCAATTATGTAATATCCCGCATCACATAATCAATTTCGCCAAGAATCCTTACCATACATTACCGCAGCAACTGCATTACTTACCACTATAGCAACTGCATTCTATCAACTACTACTATAAGAGGCTCTCTTTCTTCTAATCAATCTTCATTCAATTGATCATTTCATATTATTTACATAGCCTATTATACCCTGCAGGAACGTATTGTATGGCCAATTTCTCCACAATTTGAGCACTTTGATGGCGCTTTCTTCTTGATAACCCGTTGGTCTGATGTTTTGTTGATTTGATATGATGTATCTTTGGTTGATTTCCTTGGTGGCAGCGGTGGTAATAGAGGATTAAGTATTGGCAGATACTCTGATTGCTCATTGCCAAGGCCAAGCCTCCAAAATTGATGTATATCGCTTAGTGGAATCGGCTGATACGTTGACAATAAGCTAGCGATTCGGTGGGCACATGGAAGGCCCATTGTCCTAGAGAATATATTAGTACAATTAGATAAAGGGGCTTCGGGAGTAGCTCTTTTAGCTATAGAAGCTTGCTTATAGATCTGGCGAAGCGAGTATTGTGATGCTCTCTTTGTAATATTCGAATAGAGAAAGTGTGAGCAAAAATTTAGCGTTTTAATCCGATCTTCTGCAAGATCGGACGAAAGGGTATAGTGCTGAGCTTCTAATGCGATATTAATTCGTTCAAAAACAAAGAGGATATCACCTGTTGATGACCCTATATACTTTTTTAAAATAGCATGAGAGCCTTCTACTCGTGAGGTTGCCCAATTACCAAGATGAAGATATTGGCCTATCCACGCCCTAACGAACATTTCTTTATAAGTTAGCCAGGTCTGTTTTATATATCAAAGAGCAGCAGGAGCAATTTGACTAAATCTAGTCTCAAACTTAGCGAGTTGATCTTCGTATTCAACTAGAGTAGATGAATTAATAAGCGATTTCCAAGACTGTATAAAAGCTTCAAATTCCTCATTCGAAGAGAAATATTGCTTTGTCTTTGCAAGCACATTCTTATTAATATGCCAAACGCATAATAAATGTGGGCTTCTTGGATAGATAGATTTAATTGCACCTACTAAAGCAAGATCTCTGTCAGTACAAAGAACTGGAGAAAAGGATAAGGGGTCTAGCCATGAGAAAAAAGTATATAAAGTCCACTTATAGCTTTCCTCCTGCTCATTTTGCATGAAGCAGAAAGCAATACTATAAGATGAATTCGATGGTGTAAGGCCGATAATATGTAAAAGGGGCATCTTATATCGATTCGTTTTATAAGTGCAGTCTAATAAAAAGACCCTATTATATTGATTAGCATACTTAATTGATGTAGGGTGAGCGAACATAAAGAATTGAACATGACCTTCAATATCTTGTTTGAATGCATATCTCCAATTATTATTTTGAAGGGTTTCCCTTAGAAATTCAAGCGGTGTAGAATTACCAAGTTTCTTTTGCCTTGATGCTATTCGAATATTATAGATATCTCTTGGCTTAATCAAGATTTTAGGATCTTTTCGCATTATACTTAGTATATATTGTGGCTTTGACCCGATATCAGTAAGATCCTGAATAGTTTGGTTTTGATCTTCGGTAAACTGCCGACGTCGTGCTATAGAGTGACCAATCATATTATCATCAGCCTCATGGTTATGAATAGGATTTCTAACCTGGATTTCCCACTGATCGCTTCTAAGCTTCTTCGCATAGAGACGAAAAGGGCAGCCAATTCGTTTTGTACTAGTTTTCCGGCGCTTCGCCCCATCTGGGGCATTGACCTGATCGTGATAGTAACCACCTCTATCACATCCAAGAGTGATGTTTCTATCTCTACTTGATGAGACAGTAGTTATCGCATATCCATGAGCAAGAGCATGCTGTTGGATAGAAGCAAGGAGCTTCTCTTTACTCTCAAAGACTTGCTCAGCTGGTGGGTTCATGATTGAATGAAGAAAGATCAATTGAATGAAGAATGATCAATTGAATGAAGATTGATTAGAAGAAAGAGAGCCTCTTATAGTAGTAGTTGATAGAATGCAGTTGCTATAGTGGTAAGTAATGCAGTTGCTGCGGTAATGTATGGTAAGGATTCTTGGCGAAATTGATTATGTGATGCGGGATATTACATAATTGCTGTGCGGCTAGCAAAAGCTGCTGTGTGTGTAACAATTCCCGCGGCTAGCAAAAAGCTGCTGTGTCCGTAGCAATTCCCCTACTTCTAGGTAGTTAACTTAACTACCGTGATGGAGTCATGTGCTTACTGTATCTCCATTCTAACGAATGTCTGTACCGTTCCACCACAGAGACTGAGCCGTTTCTCTTCCCTTCCTCAAGATTATTGTAAAAATCATGTTGATTTAGTACAATTAAATTAATTCTGCCTCATTAATTTTACATGACATCTACAAGCTAATTAAAACTACATAGCTAAAGCACTAGAGGAGAAAGCATGCTTGCAAGACGGAATCGCAAAAATTAATAGAAGAGCTGGAGGAGCGACGCCCTAAAAGACCTCGCTTTTAGGGCTATCCGCCTCCACCTCGCAAACATGAGTATCGATTGTCAAATAGCATTTCTTACCCGTTCCCAAATGGCATGCCTTCGTTGAGGAATATCCCGAGCAATATCATTGTTCGAGTTTGAGCGATAAGTCGACTAAAAGCAGTAGAACTAGCCCAGTTGGTTTCTGCTTTTCTACACCAAGTTCTCCGCTCAAATCGCGACAAACAATTTTTCACAAGGAAAGGTCTATATTTGTACTTTCTATTGACTTTATTTTGCCTCATCCAATTATTCAATCCTCGGCTGGGGGCTTGCTTCGACCTCCAATTCAGTCCAACGTGAAGTCACCACACGGCCTTCCTTGATAACTGCCAGCAAATGGTCATCAGGCCGATCAAAGACGGTGATATCCTCCAAAGGGTTTTTGTTCAATATGAGCAAGTCAGCGGCAAACCCAGGCGCAACCTGACCGAGGAAGCTACTCTGCCCCAGCATCCTGGCAGGAGTGGTAGTAGCGCTTCGAAGAATTTGCAACGATGACTGCACAGTGCTCCGAATGGTAAACTCTTTACTCTGGGCGTAATGCAAGGGCCCTAATAGGTCCGTTCCAAAGCAAATATCCACTTCAATCTTACTGGCGAGCTCCAGCGCATGTAAGCCTTTATCCAAGACTTCGCGGTTCTTCTTCGCAGAGACTGGGGGAAGGAACCCGCTAAAGTCTGAAGCAGCCATAGTCGCATAAGTTACCAAGGTAGGAGTAAGAAAAACACCGTAGTCCTTCATCATCATTGCCGTTTTTTCATCGAGGAGATTGCCATGCTCAATGCCCTTGACTCCTTGCCTAATGGCCTGCTGGATTGCTTGCGGTGTATACGCATGACTGGTAACGTATGTCCCTGCATTGTTGGCCACGGTGACAATCGCTTTTATTTCCTCGTCAGAGAACTGAAGGTGCTGTACCTGGTCAGTTGGACTAGCAACGCCACCACCTCCCATGATTTTGATAAAGTCGGAGCCTTGTCTCAGTTCCTCACGGGCATACTTTAGACATTGATCTACCCCATCCACGATGCGCCCAATGCCATTCACATGACCCGCACAGCATTCGTTCGGATCGTGTTGCTGTCGACGGTCTCCGTGGCCGCCTGTTTGAGAGAGGGCATGTCCAGCAATGAATAGCCTCGGGCCGGGGATGACACCGTCCTGGATTGATTCTTTCAGTGCAATAGACGCCCCTCCGCAGTCTCGCACAGTTGTGAACCCACGGTCCAGCATGGACTTGCAAACGCTCGGTTGTCGGAGAATACTCTGATTGCTGCTCATTTCCTTCATGTCTCGAAGATTCAATGACCCAGGGACTGCAGAGATGTGGACATGGCTGTCGATTAAGCCCGGGCTGATGTATTTGCCCTTCATATTGATCCGCACAGCATAGCAGTCAACACTGTTAACCTCTCCCCCAGTTGTATCAATTGACGATACAACGCCATTGGAAAGTTTAATGGTGGTGTTTTCGATGACTGTTCCGGAGACAGGGTCAATGAGGTTGGCAGATGTAAAGATGTACGCCCTCTGGGGACCTAGAAGCCATGGCTTCACAATATGTTCAAGGTCAAACTGAGCAAGTGGCATGTTGGAGAATCGTGACGAGAAAAGAAATCTTAGGAAAGAAAATCTTCAATTAGGCACAGAATGGAACCCGAAGTGCTGAGAGGGGGAGCAGCTACTTAAGCAAGAGACAGCTTACCTAACCTAAATAGCTAAAAGCATTATTGTTGCTGTGCCAAGAATCATTTGAGCAAAAGGTGTAGCTGCGGGAACTGTTGCCGCATATCAATCAACCCTGGTCAAGGCGTCAGCGGCCTTGGCATCCCTGTGGAGAATCGCTTCGGCCGAAACTGATTTGAGGCTGCGGGTACGAGTACCCGCAGCCTTATGCCACAATCTCGCATAGAGCCGATTCTATCCATGTTTGACTAGTCATCGGGAAATCGAACCAGCAGAGTTCTATGATTTTAACCATAATTGGCCCAGATAACTTATCTTCGTAGAACTGTCGCCCCACGCACCTACCGGGCCGGGGTTCTCCAATTGGGATCATACTAAACGCGGGGTCCGGGGAGACACGCTATATCTTGTCAAAGTAAATAAATATAAGGCGTTAAACATACCCATGTCCCTCGAACTTGTTGATACCTCAAATATATTGAACTTTTTGAATTCAAGGGTACTATTGAACTCGTCAACGAGCCATGTCAACCCAAGCGAAAACCGAATTCACAGATATGGAATCAAAGAGGGATGATGAGTCAAAAGCTGGTCCCCAATCAGGGACGCTAACAGTCTTGATTGATCCCGAGGATGAACGTCGCGTGAGAAGGAAGATTGATTGCGTAGTTCTGCCCCTGGTCAGTGAATCTACATTGTACATGGTGTTATAAGTGACGTTATGCTAATAAGGGGATTCTCAGATGTGTCTTGTCTTCTTTGCTCAATGTAAGTAACTTTACGCCTCGGTCTCAAATTTACAAGAATGAGAACCCAAAGCTCTTTCCTGGGGAGAAATTTGCTGATATCCCATATTTTAGACCTCGACAAACAGAGCCTTAGCTACGCTAGTGTATTTGGGATGATAGAAGAGCTACATCTTCACGGAACTCAGTACTCTTGGTTGGGGTCTATTTTTTACGTGGGGCAACTGGTGGCAGAGTTCCCGGCTATGTATCTGATGAGCCGCCTGCCTCTTGTGAGATTTGTTGCTGTGATAGTGTAAGTGTAAGCCTGGAAGTTTCCTTCGAAGCATTGGCAACCAAAAAACTGACTGTGTCCAGGATCCTATGGGGTGGCATCTGCATGGTGAGATCCCTAGGTAGACCCAAATTTACACGCACTCTAGGACTGATGGAATATGAACTGAATAGTGTCTGGCAGCTGCAACGACCTTCCGTTCCTTCATGGGTGTTCGATTTGCCTTAGGATTGGCTGAAGGCGCCGTCTCACCTGCCTTTGTGACTCTCACCAGTATTTGGTATAAGAAGAAGGAGCATCCATTGCGTATTGGGTAGGAAATCTCACCTGGACCCCAATCTTGACCTTCCCTTATCCGACTAACAACTCTGGGAATCTAGTTTATGGATCAGCTGTAATGGACTCGCTCAGATTATCGGCGCCTTGATGATGTATGGTCTCGGTCACCAGAATATGGCCATTGACCAATGGAAGGCTATGTTTATCATCTGTGGTGCTCTGACAGCTTTTATTGGCATTCTATTTTTCTTCTTAATGCCAGCTGGTCCCGAAACAGCGTGGTTTCTCAACGCGCAGGAGCGACTGATAGCAACACGGAGAATGCAAACAGAAACTGAAGGGGGTGACCGGACAGATTTCTCCATTCCACAATTGAAAGAAGCAGCTAAGGATATTAGGGCATATCTAAGCTTCCTTTTTGGTGTTTTCATGACACTACCTGCGCCAGTTATTGCGGTAAGTGTGCAGTTCCTCCAATGGATCTGGAACGCATGCAATTGCTGATAGTATTTGGACGGCAGTTTGCTTCACTTATTATTTACTTCCTAGGATACTCTAATTTTGAGACTATGCTGTACACGTCACCCGCAGGTGCAGTTCAGATTCTCTTCATATGGGTCGGGATTTTTCTCTGCTATTTATGGCCGAATCATCGGTGTGCCATTACAATTGGCCTCACAATAATTCCACTCACTGGAATCATTTTGCTTTTTGTGCTTCCCTTGTCAGCAGGTTGGGGCATGATTGTTGCGTCATGGTTGGTATGTTAAATAACGTGACTTGAAGCTTCCTGCTAGAGTTGGCTAACCCCATCATTTCCCATTTCATAGGCCTCTGTCATCTCAAATATCTTTTCAATTCTGCTCAGTTTGAACGCGTCCAATACTCGTGGAAACACAAAGAAAGCTATCGTCAATGGCCTATTTTTCGTTGGTTACGCTGTTGGTGCCATTTGTGGACCATTGCTCTGGAACACTGAAAATGCGCCCAGGTACCGCAGTGGCCTTATCTTGGCTCTTGTTAGCTGGATTATGTTTATTCCAACAGTGGGAGTATATTGGGGTTCGTGTGTTTACGAGAACAAGCGTCGATATACAGTCGAGGTGGATATCGGCGAACATATGGCGGATGTAGCTGGAAAGGATTTGACTGACAAACAAGATAAGCGTTTCCGATACACTCTTTGATCTGTTTCGCTACGCATTGAGCATTTTCGAAGGATCGAATGAATGAGGATTATGAAATACGGAGACGAAGGTCAATTAGCCGAGTTCAAGGAGATGAAAAGCAAATCGAAATTTCTCAGACTCGGCTGGATTTCTGTTTAGGGATGAAGTGCGTGCATCGAGATTGGGCCAGCCTAGGGGACAGACATTCTATACTTAAACAATCGAAATAGAAATAATTTTGAATATGAAAGTCAATGGAGAAGTTATAAAAGAAGACTGAAAATGTGAAAATGGGGGTGTTGTCGAATGTGGCCCATTCGCTGCGATTCCTGGTCACTAGGGACCCACGTTGTCCCAATTCGATACCTGGCTCGAGTAAAGACAGTCGAATCCAAGTAGATGCAATTCTGTAAATGAAAAATTCTCAAGGGCAGTCTCTATGGCATCAAAGAAGGCCATCCTTGGGATTTCTTGACCCACTTGATGATGCGAGAGGTCCACGTCTTCAGGATCAGCCTCTGGATGTGATTCCAAAAGGATGGAATCAGGCGGGCGGAGAGGCTGCATTGACGATTGCGTGACAGTTTCTTGGCTTTCTGTTGAGTCTCCAAACTCTTGTGAGTCTGAGACCCTCGCTGAGGAGGCGGTTCCATGGTCTCGGCGGTACATTGATGCCAAAGCCTTATTGACAACCACCTGGAAGTCGTTGATATATTTGAGGCTATTTTTTGCAAAGTCACTGCCAGTGGCCATGTATCGCAAAGCATCCATTGCCATTCTGACTTTTGAGTATGATGTCAGACGTGGGTCCAGGATACTTTCCAGGAGAACGACAACGGCTGCGGAACTGCAGGTATGGAAATCAGTGTGAGAGAATTGACCCAGTTGCCCACGAGTTCTAAGCAGATCGATGAGGTCAATTATTTGCGCAGCATGTTTAACGCAAGAATCTGATAGTTCATGGCATTCCTTACTGGTCGCGTCGTCGACTTTGCTGGACTGTGTCTTGCTAAGAAAGCTTCGTACCCTACCGATCAAGGCAGCACGACCGATAAAGATCCATATCATAGAGTAGTGAAGCTGTAAATGGACATTTAGTCGCAAAGAGGGACCATTGAGAGTTTTCAATTGAGCTGGTAAGGCCTCCTTCCAAGATAAAAGTTGATTTCGGATATCTCTCGAACTGTTGTCCAAGGTCCTGTTGAAAGAGTTAGTAGGCCACTTTCTTGATGGAGGGCTGCCTTGATCGGAATCCCGAACTGCTTCTAACCTTGAGCAAATTGTCTGGTTGAGTAATAGAGTCAATTTTGTGTATGCCAGCAGTCTTTCCGCTCTGAACGAAAATGGGGTATCCAGGTCAGGCCTTCTCTGGGGAAAAGGACAGTCGATGTCGTTGCTATGAAGCGTCTCGGGGTAGCCAAGGGAGAGAGCAACCCGTCTAGAATTGTCAATAAGAAAAAGCCCGGAACCAAGGATTAGACAATTATTTATACCTTTCAATGCTATACGTCGTCCAGAAAATACGATTGCGAATTTCTGAAAGTGTCGGGGATAGATCCGACCTTGCAGACTTTCGATGAAGGCCGAGGCAGATGGCGATGCGTAATGAAAGACCGAGATAGGTGTAGCAAGTGTTGGTGTTATGAATTGGCAAAACATACAACGAAATTAGTAGACAGCTCAGCAGGCCTTCCAAGGATGGGGAGGCTATAATGTGAGGCACAAGAGTCTGCGCATGCTGGAAATACCTCGTCCCTGGAATTCCTGTCTGAGACGCAGTCATGTTTTCTGAATGATTTTGATGATCAGCCTGGTAGAGATGAACAAACTGACTTCCCATGGCGAAAACAGCCAAGGCCAAACAGATGAATTTGGGACTGGTGACACTCAATGAGAGCCCGCTATCATATAATCGGAATAGCTGATCTCTGAATGAGGGTTCGTCGAAATAGTACCAGTTGGCCTCAGCATAAAAGAAGAAAGCTGAAATAAGAGCTTCGCACGCAGTTCGAGAAGGAAAGTCTTTCAATATTCGTCCTACGAGGACGTTCTCATCTCCGTAAGATGGTTCATTTGTTGGGTAAAAGGAAGTCTGGTTGAGTGAAAGGATTCGCGGTTAGGAAAAGGCTATCAGAACAAAACTCATTGCCATATAACAACGTACAGCATCATCTCTGAATTCCGGCTTCATAGATTGGGAAACTGCTGCAGTGGCATACGCGAGAAAATCTCGATGTGCCAACATATCATCACCTCCAGCTAGAATGTCAGTTAGATGAAATGCAAATCTTCGAGTCAATTCTCTCCATACTTGGTTTTTGCGCTTCCTCTTTGGGATGAGAGTTTTCGGATGTGGATGTAGACTCATGAGGCGACAGGTGTCTGGCAGTTTGGCAAAACGCACAGCCCTTCTTTGAAGTCCCCTCCTCCCCAGATATTCGGCCCGAGTCCATAAGTATCTCCAGGAGAAAAGAAGAATGGTGTGATTTCAGACCAATCTCTGGATACAACATATTAAAGCGTGCCACAACATCCTCGTGGTCAATGCTAGTCTGGCTGCGAGGATTTAGATCGTATTACAATGAAGGAAATAGGTGGTATCCTGTACTTACTGAGACGCCGATGAATAAGGCCTATCCCTCTCTTCCTCGAAGATGCAAGTCAGGTTGCTGTTTCTACAGTTCCGACAATTGTCCGTAGAACCCACTATGCACCGTCGCTTGCGTAGACGGCAAGAGGTGCAGGCTTTGGCAGCTCGTTTGCGTTGATCTAAAGGAACTTTTGCGCGTTGACGCTTGGCAGAGCGCTGCTGCACAGATTCAGACATGTCTGCCGATGCCCACCATTGTACCATCTGGATTGGGGGGTCGTGATCGTAGATTCATAGGTGGTGAGTCAATGAAGCCGAGGCTCTGTGAGGCGGGTCTCTTGGGAACCAACCGGTCGGAAAGACGTCTACCCTTCTCCACTCTGTTTGTAGTGTTGATTGGTCACTTCTGACCACCACCGCCAGAGATGATTGTTGCCCATTTTTGATGCGTCTCTTTCACGGTGTTGGAACAGAGATGAATAAGCCATGTAGGTGCACCAATAGGAATCACAATGAGTCTGAATTACTAACGAGCCCCTTTCTGGCAATTTAGGTGGGCATAAACATGACTAATCTAGACGGTTTTATAGTTATCTCCGTTCTCCGAGTATCCACCAATCCTGGTGCTGCAACACACGGCCCATGCGAGTCATATACTAAAGGGCGAAACATTTGAAAATACGGCTGATCTTGAACACCTCAAGGCGCTAAGACTATACGCACCATATAAAATGCTCCTCGAAACTGGTGCAACCTTACCATTGTCTCGGCAGCTCAGGACACAAGTCAAAATCCAATGGAAGAGAATTTTATGGAACTTACGAGGCGGCCTCCCTCACCAAGTGCCGACACGAGCTTCAATCCTATGCGGATTTGATCAATCTCCTCCTGAGCACCTTCATATACTCAGGTCCATTTCTGCCCCTCTAGTAGAAATAGTCGGCTATTTTAACCTAATTTAAGGATAACGGGCCTTGGCACCTGTCAACACTGCCTCCACGACGCACTACAAGAGTCCAAGCTACCTATCCTCAGTAAAGGCGCGGACACTAGTGCCTGACAAGGTCAAGGTGTTTTATATAGAGGGAAAGCAATAATTTCCCAGATAATTTCACCTCGATTCTCATCCAGCCCACCATGTTGCTCTACAAGTGCAACTCTTGTAATGAATCCATCCAGGTTTCCAAAGCACGCCTAGCATACACTACTTACGCACCACCTATGACCCTCTATGCTAACTGCTATGTCGTCCAGGAATATCCCCAGCAACATCAGAATGGTGCCCCTTATTTTTTGTTATTATACCCGCACAGCGGCTATCTAACTGTCCCGCCCCCTCCCCGGTACGAAACTAGGCCGCTGCACGACGAAGACCGGGATCCGCATCGTATACCGAAATGCTACCTAGGAAGCCCCTTCGCCCGACCGTGCTAGCAATAAAGGATAAGCCTAATACTACCACGATAGTATCGGGATAAAGCCTATTATAAACGTTAACTCTAGATCTATAGTAGTATAATATAAAGTAGGTACCTAAATAGCGATAGCGGGAGTAGCCTCTACTACAGCTATGGAATTTATAGGATTAATAGTCGCCGCCGCTACTCCTATAACGTCCTTAGCGAGAATAGGAATAGCCTCCACGGTCCTAGTAGCGATAGGAATAATATTAATATTTATCGAACTTTAGAGGGCGGTGACCATAAAGTCGTGGTGATACACAAGAAGATAGTATATGCATAAAGAGATAGGACTTAATACTAAGTATAAAGGTCTTACGTTCTTATACAAGAACCAAGATTGTGGAAGAGTATCGCTGATCAGGAAGAGAGATCAAAAAGGATGATAAACTTGATTCAATTTGACTAGGAAACATGACAGTATTCATGTCGGACTTTAGGCGGTGACCATAAAGTCGTAGATCTTGAGAGTGCGTACTAGTAAAAGCACCACGGTCGCGTAGGGTTGATCGTGCGTACTAGTTAAAGCACCACAATCGTGTAGGTGAAGAATGACCGACCAAGACAGGGCGAAGTGGCAGAAGAAGTGCCGAGGATTTCTGTCCTTGATCAACAAAGATGTCAAACTTGATTCAATTTAGCTAGGAAACATGGCAGTATTTATATCTTAGAAACATGGTAAAAGATCATGAGAAAGGATAGAGTATTGGAGTGTTAGATAGTCTCCTGCCTAGGTAGGCAATTCAATGCGACATCGTTGAGGGTCAGTTTGATAGATCTTATAGAGAAGATCTAGAAGCAATGAGGGGTTCTGTAGGTGGGTCTTTCGTCACATGACCCCACAACATCCACATGTTGACACTCTATAATGAAGAGAACTAGCGACTAAACGAGAAATAGAAGCCTATAGAGAACACTGATGACTCGACCCTATTGACCTCGACTATTCGGTCGTTTGGTCATGCGTCCTCCCGTTTACACCTGCCTAGATTGCTCTGTAGGTTTGATGGTTCTTTCCAGGACCGACGCTTTGTTCTTTGTCTTGTAGACCTATTTAGGTCTTTCTCTTCTTCTTTTCCTTCTTTTTCTCTAGATCCATCTTCATCATAGTCTAGATAGATATTGATTCAGATTCCCCTTCTTTTCTGCTTCCTCTGCGTAGGTGTCGATGACACCATCAAACACTATAATAGGATTAATATACCCTCCGATTAATATCACTATCCTCCCGGTAGGATTATCTTAGTAGTCGATATATCGTCCTACTAATAATACTATATCCATCCGCCCTGGCTAGAATAAGTCAATCCTAGTTAACGGCCTACTCGATGTCGCCGTTAAGGAATATACTGAATAGTAGTAATCCCAGGTTAGCAACGAGAAATTAAGGGACAATATTAACAAAGTACGCGATGTGACCCTCGAAAATTGTTTGGACCTTATGTAGATTTATGAGGATCAAGACCCTGGTTTCTTTGTTAAGCATAGCGTGAAAGTAGATACCGCGCGGCGGTTCGTTCGTGACATCGGCCTTTGGGTGAAACGACGCGAAGAAGCGACTTGCAACAAAATTATCCCTTTAGTCTAGATACAGTAGTTTTCGAGTTCAGTTTGACCGCTTACTCTTTAGTCTTATTCCCGGAAAATAAATCCTAACCATACGACTTCCGATTAGATATTATTTTAAGCACCCTGATTTGGACCGCTTTCTATAATATAATGTATTTGTACGGGACCTTCTCACCCCCCACCTTTCCTTTCCTGACAATAAGCGAAATCCCTGAAACTTCCTGCTAAATGTTATTAGGCCATGTGACATAGCCCCAGAACTCGCCTTCAAAGCTTGTTTTCATCCGTGATATGATAGAGAGCGAATCTTTAACCACGTCTGAAATGGCTGGACAGACCATCATCTGCATCCGCAATGACCTGCGACAAGTTGGTAACATATGCGCACCTTAAATCCAAATAGAAAGGAAACGAAATGTGACAATCCTATGGATCGTTGAGAAACTCGTCGCGAACGTTAGTGCACTCCTGAAATTAACTAACCGGCAATTGACACTTCTCAGGCCACGTAAAAATAACAGCGCTTATCAGTATTAGTAAAGTTTAGTGTTGGATACAGTACAAGCCGAGGTCAACTACGATTTCGACTTTCCCTATACATACTTAGGGAGATGTGGCTGATAGAGGGCTAGCATGGTTTTATTCACGATGGCAATCGGCGCGAACATTATGATGCTGTATGACAAGGATATGTATGTATAAAATGGAAGTCTAGATCATGCATCAACTTTCTCTCTGGCCCAGTCAGTGAAACCCTTCCACTTGTGCGGTATTTCAGGTTCAGGTCGCTCTAGAACTCCGAGTATCAGTCGTTTTCCAGCCCCCTTTAGATACCACCTTTTTGAGGACAAGTGAAGAGCCAGTCCATGGTATAAGAGGAGGATGCGTGCTATTGGGTCCCCTTCCTCGATCAAGCGGATGAGTACATCATTGATTTGCATCGGCCACAATAAAGTTGCGGTCTGTGCTGGCCATTCTTGGACGCCTGCCAAGATCAAATTATATGCTTGTTGATATGCTTCTTGAGATGGGCCTTGATGCTGATGAATAGTCTTTTGGATTTCTGGAAGTCTTTGGAGAATTTCCCTAGTTCGATTGTGAGTCTCACACTTTCACGGGACGCTTGATGATGCATCATCTCATGTTCCTACCTTTGTAATATCACTGCGTGAGTATCACTGGAAATTTGTGTAAGCATGCCTATCGGAGGTATAGACGAAAAGGGAACAGAAATTCATGGTACAGATCTTACCCTTCTGAAATTGTCACCTTTTCGTGCATACCATCTCGACGTATCAATGAAATGCTATCGCCCTCTTTGGTATGGGCTATATGAGAGAAAATCACCTCACAGCCCTTAAGAATAGATCGAATTGTCATGACTTCCTGTAGCAGACTAGTGGGGTTTTCATCCTTGCGGAAAATGGGAGAAGCTTTAACCATGACGACGATCAGAGCCGAGGCAGCGAAAGCTGCTTGGAAGTCCCTGGAAGTGCTATCTAGGGTTTGCCTTAGGCCGACCGTTGCACGGGATTGGTAGGTGAGAGAAACTTTAAACCAGTACGACGACTCTTCAGCCTTCAAGGATGCCATGTGAAGAGCGGTGACGGCTAATAGTCCGTCAATAACGTATTCATGCATGGTTGCAATGTGTAGCAGCTCCGATTTCCAAAAACGTATGTCCGTCTCGTCGGCTGCTAGTGAATGAGCAGTGCTGGAGAAGGCATGATAAAATAATTGCATCTCCTGTAGTCTTGATATGGGTGGAGACCCATTTAGGTGAAAGCTATCGGATGCGAATTTTTCGCTCGCGCCGGGAAAGCATTTCGTAGGCGTCTTTTTTTGCGATTGAGGCGTGTGATAGACACAAGTCAACCCTCGTTTCACACAAAGTCCACAGAACGGTCGTTGCTCGTCACACTAATCGGTTAGCTTGAATACATCGAGGCAACGGAGATAAACTTGAGGGTCTCTTTTCACCACTCAGAGGACGAGTCAAACCTTAACATGTCGCTGCTTACACGTAGCACAACCGTGTCGAGATTTAGTGTGGGTTCGGCGGGAATTATTAAGCAAGTGCATCGTGGCTAGCTTGCAGAAGTGAAAGCATTACTAGCATCAATAGCCCGGTACAGCTAGAAGAAGAAGAAGAAGAAGAAGCAGACAGATACGAATTACGAAGTGTAACCGATCAATTGAGTAGACTATAATTGGATTTCGGGGGGGGGGAGAGCGGAAAGGCTCAAATAATGGTAGCGGTGGATCTTGGAGATCTTGCAGATTGGTGTAGAACAAAGGTAGATGTAAACCGAATAGGTAGCGTGTGCATCGAAATTTTCAAACCAACAAAGGTCACGAGGGCGGTGGGTCCAGGGAATACGATATACGTTGTGGATGATTATTCCCTCGATGATTTGTTGCATAACTCAACCATCCGCGATCCGAATACGATGTGGGTCACAAAGCTAACACTCCGCCCCACATTTTCCTCGCCTGTTCCCTTTGTCGCAGACTCTATTATAACCTGAGAACAGAGACCCTGAATCGAGAAAGGAACTTCCTTTGGAGGATCTGGGCGAGAAAATAGCTGTAGTTATCATACCCTTAGATGATGTTGAAGAGATATCTAATTCATTCTTTATCCTAACGCGTCTCGTGATAGGGAGCTGAACTGGGTGACTATTTCTGAACAAATGCACTATAGGGACCTGATAGAGATATGAGGTAAACGCTTCATGGTGGAGCTGTCTACGCTGTAATATGCAAACTAATAAATTCTAGTGGGTCCATAAAGACTTTCAGGTTCTGATAGTAATTCCTCGCTATGAGAGACTTAAATACCACCATGTGCCCTGCTTACTTGTACACTATTTTATTTCCTATGATCCTGCCTTCAACTTGGTTACCGCTCGTTATCAGATATGTCCACCGGCTCGCAAAATCTGTACGAATACTATGTACCATCCAATGTCGCAGCGATTGTCGTCGCTGTCATCTTTCTCATCCTTATTCTGTTACATGCTTGGAAGGTCATTTCGACTAGGCAGTGGTACACAGTGACAGCTATTGTCGGAGGGATTTGTGAGTCCTTCACTACAGTTCATATAATATGTAAAGTTATCTAACGGGTTTATTGTTTGATAGTCGAGATGATAGGCCTCGCCGCTCGAGCCTGGTCTCACAACAATCTATCTGCGAAGGCTCCATACATCATACAGATTATACTGATCCTTCTTGCGCCCGTTATCTTCTCTGCCGTCATTTATATGTTTCTTGGTCGTCTGATACGTGCTTCGCAACACCAGAACCTTTCCCTTATTCGGATCAACGTTATGACAAAGCTGTTTGTCTGTGGCGACATCCTATGCTTCTTCATCCAGGCTAGTGGTGCTGGGAAACTTGTAAACGCCAAAACAGCGGATGAAATATCAACAGCACAGAATACAGTTCTTGCCGGACTCATTCTACAGATTGTATTCTTCTGTGTCTTCATTTCCTGTGCTATCGTGTTCAATAAACGAGTCTTGCAAGTCCATATTGCGAGAACGGTGGACCCAAAACTGCGACTCCAGCCGATGCTTGTCTCTCTCTATCTCTGCAGTGTTCTCATAATTGTTCGAAACGTTTACCGCGTCGTGGAGTACAAGACTGGGGAAAGCGGATACCTTCAGTCGCATGAATGGCCAACATATGCCTTGGATGTTGTGCTTATGGCTGTACTGATGACGGTCTCCTTATCTTGGTATCTTGCCAACATCAAGCCTCCGTCATTGGCTTCTTACCCCCTGTATTCCAGAGATGGTAGCAGCTAAGCTTCAGGGCGGTATTTGGCACTACGATACCTTGGCCCATCTGCAACGTGGACAACTGAACCATGAGCGCCTAAGTTTTGGGCCGACTTTTGCCCGAATTCGAGCCCGAGTGATATGACGTCAACTCAAAATCGAAGACGAGTATAACATTCTTAACTCAACTATGCTGGTTCGCGCTTATGTTCCAATTGTACTTTATTATACACTTCTCAGTCGCACATTTAAAAGCTTATAGAAATGCGTCCGCTCGCTCCACGTCGTAGGAAAAGGGGATACCACGGTAGAGAGGATATTGTCAGCTGTTAGTATGATAAGGGATATCACCATTGTGAGTAGACTTTGTTAGCTATTTAATGAGGTCAATATTGTTTCAGCTTTAATTTCCACCCAATACTGGATTTCAATGTAAGTGAGACCTTCTGGGTGGGGCCTGTCCCCGCGGCAGTTTTGCCGGTATCAAGCTTCAGTCTTCCGTTGACATGGAGCGTAAGGGAGTGAGTGGCTTGAGTAACTTCGACCTACCATCGATTCTATTGGTGCACCCACATTTTTCCGTCAATGTAAGGAATTTACTCGGGCCGACGTTAAACCCGGCATGAGTCAGCTCATCACATGCCTACTCCACCGTCCTACATGGCGAATCATCGTCACCAATCCTCTCTAGAGGGTGTTCTAGATTTCGCAATACACTTATCATTAACACTACAACAGCATGAGTCGGCAAGAGACCTAGTGATCAGACTTGTACGGCATTATGGCCTCGAGAAGACCGTTCGGAAGGGCTATCGGCCTGCGGCACTCATCCAGGCTACTCTCGAGCACGTTACATTGTCGCATACCTTTATGACTTTTTTCCTCTCATACATCTATGAGAACCTGTGTTCGGATGAAGGAAATGCTGTTGATTTCAACATTACACACGCCCTGGTATTTTTGAGGGATTTTCTTCATGGAACCAGAACGGAATAAAGGTTGTCCTTGGAATCAATTCTCCGCCACGTCCTTGATTCACAGGAGAACATCGTCTCTTGCAGTGCCAACCCCACCTGATGAATAGAAAGCAAGCGATTGTGGCATGTCATACAGTCTTGCTTATAGTGTCGCTGAAGTCAAAGAAGAAGCTAAGGACAAGACCGTCATTTTTCATCGTGAGACATCAAGCACAATCGCACTGAGTGCCGTCTTTCTACATTTCTCGAGTATTTGTAGCATAAATTTGGCACGACCCCAAGCTCCACATGGCACTTGGAAGACTGGGCTTTCTTGAAGACACGCGCCTGTTCGCTCAGGGCGGAGCGTCCTCGCGTGGTTCGCGTTTGCTAACTGACCCGTAGGACAAAGCCATTGCCCTCGTCTCATCACTAAGAAGGCCAGATCTGATGGATCTACGGTTGAACTACCTGCGATCAAGACGTATGCCTCATCGAATATTCGGTCTCATATTTGCGGGTCTAAGTAAGAAACAAAATAGGGCCTGACCAAACTGAAGCACTTCCAGTGCCTTCTTGGTCTCATGGGCCTCCGAGGCCGGCGGGTACGCCAGAAGCTCCTAAGCATGTGGTGAAGCGGCGGTCGCCGAGGCGTACTTTGGCATCCATCGTTCTTATGAGAATAAGCGTAATTGTAGATCACGGGTCGTAAATGGCGGAGGGTCGTTCATCAGGCCAGTCGCTTCTTCTATCTCAAAGCAGATATAATCTTCGCCAAGCTCAGCAATAATCCGATCGGGTGTGCAATGTGATGAAACATATCGTCGACCCCACATGTGGTACTAAGATGGTATGGAGGTTCGTGCGCCTTATCGCTAACATCTTCGGCCCTTGGATGTACAAGGAGACGTCCCTGAAACCTCTGAAGGCGACGAATCGCCTGAGCGAACACCAAACACACCCTCAGTTAATTCTTTAGATGGCGGCGTTTCAATGAGTTCCTTTGGCATACCGGATAAATCCATGAAGATACCTAGAAGACTTGTTGGTGTGCCAATTGCTGTTCATGTGAATGACTGGAACCATGGTCCTACTGTAACACACGGTGGAGGTATAGAATCGGATGGCGCCATTGCTAGACTCTCAGCTTCTCATATCTTCAATACATATGCGTCTTGTGAAGCTGAAAGGAACCTCCAAGTCGAACTTTTTGAAGCATATCTGCAAGAACGTGCAAAATTTTCTCTATGGTTCCAAACAGAACATTGTAATTATTGTGAGATAGAGGTTTTTACTCGCGACGAGATATGGAACAGAATGGTAAGTGCTATTCTGCTAGTCACGGGGCTTATTTTGCACCTTTATGGGTGACTGAGTGTTCATGAGCACACATATCCAAAGAATTTCAGCATAGGCCCAAGATCTTATATTAACCAATATGTGGTTGAGGTCGTAGAATTTACTAGAAGAAAGAGATCTCAGGGCACTCTCGTGGGTGAGAGGAGCGGGAGCTCGGCCAATATTCGTGCCAAGGCAGGTGTACTAGGTATCTATTTGGTTGAGATTGATGTTTATCACTTTCTCTTGAAATTCTCTTATTGGTTCGCTTTACCGCATCTGATGGAGTCTCCAGCCTTTGGGCCTTCTTCATCTCCAGAACCAGCTCCAACCGGTTGAAGTTTGGACCCGATAGGTTTTGTGTGTTTCCGTTTCTTCCCTTTTGGTCGTGCAGACTTGATCTTCCTCTCTCCTGGTCGTTCGTGCAGAGGGTCTCTTTTTCCGTCGAATTGGTCTGGATTATAGACTAAGTCTCCTTCCTGTTTTGCTGATCAGTAGATTGTGTTCTAGATAGTCAATGGCTAAATAGCCATCTCCTCTGTTGATAGAAAAAAGAGACAAGACAAGTTTGACAAGTTTCTCGTTCTGCTTTTTCTCCTTGCGTAGGACTGGTTTTCTCTTCAGCAGATCAAGCATTCAGTTTGATCTGGGGAGGAAACTCTGCCTCGAAGACTTTTCATTTCTTCTCATGAATAACAGACCTGTAGGATGGTACTCTGGATGGTCGACCAATCCGCCACCACCTGAATCGCTGTTTGATCCAATTTACCTAATGAATATGCTTGTCGTATCGTGAAGACCCTTCTCAACATCAGCAGAGAACTACTTTCTTGTGAATTCGGGCAAAGAACAGACATGTTGTAGCACAGCCTACCCGTTGCCTCAGTATGGCTGGAGCGGACTTTGATTAGATTCGACCAGGAAGTTAAGGACTCTAGAACTTACTTCATCGCCCGAACGACATATATACCGCCAATTGTTGCGGAATCCTGAATCCATTGAATAACAAATGAATCTTTCAAGAGTTCGTGGAAATTTCCACCTGCTGGAATTAGGCGACGACCAGCGACCATCACCCACACGGCGCCAATGTCGCTTCTGAAAGTCGGTTAGCTCAGAACAAGCTCCCAGGAGTGAGTGAAACCCTACATTGATTGGCCTTGTAAGCTAAAAGTTTGCCATTCGACCAGGAAAAAGCCTTGTATATCAGGATTCAACTTTGAGGGGGGCTCATAGATCACATCGATACACCATGCATGTATACCCAAGTTGAATTCACTCGAAGGAATTCCAAGATCAGTAAAACCGTGTTGCTCCCTTGTGAGAGAGGCAAGATTTTGTCCTTTCTTGGTATTGGACATATCCAAAAGATCATTGATGATAAAAACTAAAGATCTGGAAGCAGGATACGACCTTTCCAAGCTTTCTTGAGTGTCCGCATCGAGAGCACCTCTTAGTGAAGTCTCAAGATCTTCGATGATTGCATTTAGCGGCGAGTGAAACATATGAGCGGGATTTTCCAGCAACACCTTGATGATATAGGAGTCTCGCAACGCTGAGTCTGTGTGGCGCCTTACTTTTATGAATTTCCCGTAAACGAGGCACAATACAGCGGCTGTATCCAAATCATCTTTCGACCACTCACGGGATTGACCCCGAATTGTCTCTCGCCATGCTGCAAAACTGTTACGGGGCTCCAAGTGGTTTGCTGTCTCCTTAAGCTTCGTGGTATAATAAGGATTGCCTCCCCATGTAATTTCCGCTTCTTGACCCTTGCGCAAGAAGACCATGAAGTCCCTGCCATCGGCGGATAAAGGCATATATAGCATTCCAGATATAGTGTTGATGCCCGGAGGATAACGTAGTCCTTGAAAGTCATTGGTGATATTGTGAGAGGCGACCACGGAGTTTAGTTCCTGTGCCGAGAGAAATGCCAAAATAGTAAGGACTTCAGGCGATTCTGTTTCTTTGCTAATAATTTTCCGTTCATCACATAAAGAGATAGCGGCGTAGTCTGCATCAAAAAGCTGCATTAAATCATCCGGGGACGTAATGATGTACCTTGATAGGTTAGTTTGGCTAGGGAGCGTACTTAATAACTCCCGAGCTTGTATCTGAGATGCGTCGGAAAGGGATTCAATTTTCCTAGAGATTATGTCGCCTACTAGACGACACATCTTGCGAATTGGAAATGCGACGCGTATACCCTTATTCCCGTATGAATGACAGGATATTAAGCCCCATAACTTATCACGAGAGGTGATGCTGATTGACATAGAGGACCGTATTTCCATGTTGGTGAGGTACTTGATATGGATAGGTGATATAGCACGAAGATATGAATGTGTCATGTCTAAGGGCATTTCCAGATCTTCCAGTGTTCGACATACTAGCCGTGATGTTTCTTGGTCACGATCATAGATGAGGCGAACTTTATTTATCATATATAGCTCACGGGCCTGTGCTGGAATATCGGATGACGGAAAGTGAAGCCCTTTATAGAAGTCAACAGTTGCTCTGGGGTCGACCAATTCAGCAACAACACGGCCATTCCACATGCCATTAAATTGATAGATCAGAACTTTGTGGAATCCCGTAATATCCTTGATGACTCCCGTAGCTGTGTTGAGCAAGGTATCAAGGTCGCTGATCGAGCCTAATTGCTCCTGAATCTGGGACAAAAGACTGAAAACCTCCACCACTGCCGCCTCATCCTTGCAATGTCGAAGACTGTGGAGCATTCGGAGTGGCTGACTGACCACTGTAGTGCTGGCACTAAATTGCTCAATAGTGGGGAGATAACCGAGAGTGCATATTGGATAGGGCGGACAAGTGGGTCCATTATCATTCAGTGGGTTGATCTTGTCATCTTTCAGCTCAAGCTCACAGATAATGAGTTCATTCCGGGCTTGTGCGATATGCGAAGCACACCAAAAGTGACGCATTTCGCCGGAGGTCGAGACAATCGCCAGTGAGAAAACCTCAGGGCCATCCACACTGAGGTTCAAAACATTGTCACGAGCAAACTTCACATGTTTCAATAGCTCCTCTGCTTGATCAATACACAGGATGTCGCAAAAGCTTTCTAGTTCGAATAAATGCGCTGCAGAATAGCCGATAAGCTCGTAGGAGTTCTCGCTGACCACACGGACCACAAGTCGGTTGGCGGCTTCTTCTTGCAGCGCGATCATCACGCCAAAGCTCTGAATGGCTCCAGGAATTTGAATCGGCTCATCCCCACAATACTGAAATGATGTCGCATCTCTTCCTGTGATCACGGCGTGGCCGTCTTCAGTCATCAAATGCTTGAATCTTGCTGTAACATAGCTGTGCGACGCGCTGGCATCATACACCTGGTAGGATGACGGCTGGAATCCAGAATCCTTCAAGAGTTGGCCGTTATTTTCCAACAGCCTTTCTTGACATACTTCGCGATACTGTGTCGACATCTTTGAGGGTGTAACTTCAATTTAACATCATGACGTTGGATGTGGCAAGTATGTGATTCAAAAAGAACAGTTTCACGAATAGCTAGTTTTAGTGCAGCTCGACAAACACTGAGAGGACCGATGCCGAGGCTTCGGCCGAAGGTCGCAGATATTCGCATGAGCTACCCCGCATCCAAGACCCACCCACATCATCACTCTCTCAAAGCCACTCAGGGGTCTCTGATTAATCGCCCCTTCAGCTGACTAACTAACTAACTACGTCAGTCAGTCAGGTCTAGGTTCAAACTTGTTATCAACGCTGCCAGAACCGCCATGCGGAACTAATAGAGCTACTCCAGGCGGAGCAGGAGATCGACCAGAGATTGCTAGAAGAAGCCAACCGATGCGCGATACTCTGGCTGGCGATCGGTTGAAGGAATGAAAAAAATCGACTAAGCAATGATAAACGACCTTACGGAGTACATGTGTTGGAAATAGACTGTGTCACATCCGCCAAGCGGATCGGCCCCACTCGTAGCTATCTAGACCTCTTCGCCCTTAGCAATTAATCCTCCTTACACTCTCGTCAATTTTCCAGTGTGCACTGTAGCCTATCTTCAACAACATGTAGGGTAAAAAGGCTAGTGAGATTCTAGTATCCCATGAAGTAACCTCGGAATGAATAGTTTCTTGACGCTTACATATCAGGTTAGTTTTTATTTTTACCAATTAGGGATACTTCGATCCTGACGACGGTCCTCAAATGGCAGGCACTGCCTAAGGGGGGAGGGACATAGTGTCAGCTCCCGCATAGCGAAATCTTTCCTTGAATCAAAACGTACAAAAGCACATTTTCAGGGCAGGGATTTAGGCCGCTAGGTGAAGAATATTTAGGGGGGTGAACTGCAGCCTATATCCGTCCGAAACCGCCTCAAGGCCGGCCACGTAAGGCGGCGAGCCGCCCAGCAGCGAACCATGGGCGCTAGGTGAGCATCGCCATAGTTTGGCTGTTGAATGTCCGTGTTCACTCGTTTTTTGCCATTCGTCGGGACATTCGTCCTGGCGGCTTTACCTTTAGACCCCTCAGGGTGCTTTCCCTGAACGCCCTCTATTCTTCATCCAATTGCCCGGAAGGCCCTTTAGCGATGACGTGGACCCTCGGCTAAATTATCCCTCTCATCCACCCTCCTCCCCGATTAAGCCTTCTATTTGCTTTTTCTTGGTGGCCTGAACTGATGTTGATCAGAACTTATCATGGAGAACAGATTCACCGTGGCCATTACAACCTTGCAACAGCTAGGTCTCGGCTTAACTAGGTTTTCTCGAAGGACGCAGTGAATATTCTGACCGAAGAAGAGGTGCAGAACGAATAGCTCACTCAAATACAAACAAACACAATTGAAGAGCTCTCCATAGCTCAATACATAACGTACTTCACCAAATAAAATTGAATTCCTTGACTAACTACCTTTTCTGTTCTCCCGGATTAGCCACTACGATGAAGGCCCTGGGCTTGACATCCGTGGAACATCAGGCCGTGGGTTCCCGCGTTGTCACCTACGACAATCTGGTAGATATTCACTTAATAGTATTTAGTCAACTATGAATTGCAGACGCTCTGCTTTTCGGGTGCTCGTCCCGCCCCTGCGTATGGAATTCTGGCTGTGGCTGTAATACTGTCATGGCATACTTTCGCCGCACATAACCGCCTATTAAATAATTAGTGCTTCTAACTATGTCCGTGGAAAATGAACCAATGTAGTGCTATCACACCTAATGAATAAAGTTTAGACACGTGTGAATTCTGCCTAGGTACATGACAAAGGGATCTGCATTACTTTTGCGGTTGGCGATTTGTATTTTATGGTAAGCCTCCGTCCCCTCTCCTCTCTCTTGTAACTACCCTAGAGCGTGGCATCCTGTGTTTTTGATTCTAAGCCCTCAATTTAACCACTGTCTACAGTACTTTCACCACTCCTATTAGGATGTAAGACCTAGACGTGATTAGTGGTATCTCGGCCATCCTTTCCCTCCTCAATGCCTGAATAAAGACCTACCATAGTGCTCAGAATGTCGTCAAGTTATCAGCAACATTCGAAGTTGTTAAACGCCAGCTCCTAATCCTTCTCCATACTTTTGAGACGTGCAGAAACCCTCTAGAATCGAGAAAATACACAATACCCGAAGAAGCTGCGACGCCTTAGAGAAGAAAATTGACGCCTATGATGCAAAGGCTTGAAACTTGAAAGAGTCATCTTTGAGAAGATTATACCCGGTGATATCAATACGTGAGAGAAACGATATTTGAAGGTCCTACGCAGGCTGAGCAAAGGAAACAACGTCGAAGAACTCATGAGACCAATTGCCAAAGACGTCTAACTCACTACCAATCATACGGCGGTCCAGTCTGTGAATCCCGCAACAAAACCTTGAACTTGAAAATATTATTATAGACATGAATTCAGTGGATTATTCAGTATTCGATGGAGAGAATTCAGACATGACTTTTTTGAACACCGGAAGTAACCAAGACTAGCCTGATTAAACGCGTAGCACTAAGGGCGAGAGACTGTATATACCTTGAAAAAGGTCCGCTATCTCGCGATATATATGAACGCAAGTTCTTAGCGACGGGAGAAATTCTATAATCTTAACTATAAAGTCGGCTGAGGCTGCGCGAAGAAAGGGTAGAATATGTGATTTGTAATAATTTGACCACCAGGTTTAAACGCTTGGTTGCACCAGTCACTTGGACGGTCTCTCTTTCCGAACACTGTCAATCATATGGAGCATTCCCCGCATTTTAAGACTACAGAACTACATGTAATATACGCAATTAACGTATAAATCTACATAGCATAGTATATATTAAGGTTATCTGTGCTACTTGGCGGGCTTTGGGTTCGGGCTTGCTCGGCGACCTGATTTTTTGGCGAGGTCGAGAGTCTAGAGCATTGATTCTAGATTCGTTCTTTAGATGTGGCGTGTACAAAACTAATGACGTGAATGAAGTTATCAGATGTCGTGAACAAATCACGAGTGGATAAACTCCTGATGTGAATTTGCATATTCTTTAGCAGTTTAAATAACTAAGGGTAAATTCATACCGCCATATGATGTAAAGAGTATCAATACCAGAACTCCGCCAAGGGACATGTATGTCTTGCGCGAAGCCATTAGAGCAGTGAGGCCTAGATGCCACGCACTCGGTTGTTCTCAGCTGTGAAAGCAGCCCTGATAGGGTTCATACAACACGACGACTCTCAAGCTCGAAACGAACCTTGTGTTCTGTATAATGATTTGGATCCCTTAGCATTGCGATGTTCGTACCGTAAACCTTAGCCAAGTAAGGAGTATTTCGACCTGGCTAATTTCTTCAATCCACACTCAGTCATCCGAGGATCGTTCCGCTTAAGCCTACCTTTGATTTCTCTCTTTTTAAGATATTTTTTTCCATTTCATATTTTCTACCAATCTCTATTCGCACTTGTCTAGTTCTTGGCATGGTCCTATTCAGCCCGTAGCTGCTAGCTAAAAGTACGACGGAGACAACTTATACGATCTGCGCTCTAGGTTTCCAGACATCATGACATCAGTAAGGACAAAGATAAAGCAGGAGCATATTCGCACCATCAACTTAAGAACTCATTCGCCGGTCTTTTGAGCCAGTCGTAATTTCTTGGCATTCTTGATGAGAACCGAGAATTAGAAGAAATTGCCAAGAACTTCTAGATCGTGATGCAAACGGATAACAACATACGCAATAGTGTCTGCTGATCCGTGACTTCACGAGTGGCTCATCCTAAAGAGGAAGGTATGGTTCGGGGCTGGCCGAGACTCGGGAACACTATCACGTAAATTGACAGCCGCATATACATGTCTAATTTTGTTTGCTTAGAGCGCCACGCTATATCATCTGGGTTGGAACAATTGACCATTGAATGGGTCATTTGTGTCATCTACTCGGTAGCCGAGTGGTTCGAAGAACATCTAGACTATCGACTCCTCACTTCCGACATGGCTAGACCAGCTCTAATCTAATGTGCAATTTAATCCTTGATATTATCTCAAATAGTATCTCTGGAAGTGTAAAAACAGCCATAAGCTTTCCCGTATATCTAAATCCACGGTTGAGTATTGCATCACATTAGTAAAGATTAGAAACGCATTTTCAAATATTGTCATTAATTATTGCATGAACCCCGCATGAATTCATCTATAAATTCTACGTAGATCATCGAAGAAGGTCATGAACGATTCAATTTAACTATATTGATCGGATACGAGGACACTCCAGTTCTGACAGTATCTCAATTCACGGGTCAGATCTTTCAACATGAACGGAACTAAGAATCTTGGCATTCGCTCTGATGGTGCAGACACCTACCTATATGGCGAATGCAGATTCAACGAGGACCCGTGGGCCTACAGAAGAAGCGAAATACGTCTGGATGATTTTCTTGGGGACGAACATGTAGGTGTTTTGTATACGCTCATATATAAGAACAGATACCAATTAATATGACACCAGGGCTTTTTCAAATGGGGTGGGCATGATTTCACTGAGAAAGCAGTGGGTGTGAGGTTTGGTATTGAAGGCCAACAGCATGTGCCTGTGCTACACGCTTATCTCCGTGGAGATTTTGGGGATGATTATGCTGAAAGAGATGTGAATCTGGCCGAGCATATCTACAACTACGGGGGCAATCTACAGTATCGGTGAGTGCCTTTTGTAATTCACTTCCTCTTAATTAGATAACTAACAAAATATAGCCCCTAGTTTCTAAATCTACAGACAGAAGCGTGCGAGAGGAAGATGAAACGGGTTCCAAGTTGATTTTGCAGTGTATTGAACGAAAAATTTTGGATTTCACTTTCTTTCCTTTATGTTCGATTACGGAAATTGACTAAATAATCCAGAGCCCAGGAAACAAGTGCAATGACAATGCGAAGCAGTGTTAGTTCGATGTTCAAGCGGACTTTTGGTTACATTGAACCATTTAGGCACATTTATTTCCGTAAGAGTCGCTCGATAGACCAATATGAAAAATCTTTTTCGGAAACACGACATATTTCACAGCAGATAATCTTTAGTGAGAAGAATGCCCGGGTGTACAGTTCAGACATGGCTTTTTTCGCCAGCTTCGCTATTTAGTCAATAGGTACAACTTCTGGCTCCACCTGTAGAGTGCCTGTACATGTAAGTTGAATTGCTTATGTAGTTCGGGCAAGTTTAGAACAGTAAATAGGGAGAGAGCGGTTCCTATTCAAGATATCCCAAGGTATGACCGAACCTTAGTAGATGTTTTCAATATCACCGAGGAGTAAACCCTTGGAAATGATAGATGGAAAAGGATCCGCAGATATAAAATGATACAAAGGTCTCTTGTTCCCCAGGCCAAACTTTGATCCCTAACAGAAGCCATGTCTGAGTCTCATCAGCCTTCACCACAAACCTCCCCCAAAGAGCAGCATGTCTACCAAGCATACATGGCCGCGACATCCGATTTACGGAAAAAGCTGATCCAGAAAAAAAGCATCTGAAACTGCAATATGGGCTCAGCATCTTTGCTTTCAATTTGCTCACACTGGTGCAAGTGATCATTGGCGCAGTCATTACAGCACTAGGACCGTCAGCTGCCGACCACATGGTGGCAATAACAGTCCTTGGAGCTATAAACACGTCGTGCGCTGGACTTTTAGCCCTTCTAAAGGGGAGAGGGCTACCACAGCGACTTAGGGGAAGCATGATTGAAATTTCCAAAGTCCTGGACTTCATTCAAGATACCTCAGTCTTGTTAAAATATGATAAAAGCTGCGTCCTCGAGAACGGAATTGGTCCTGTATTGAAGGAGACCTTTCAGAGATATGCTTCAGCCGAGCAACTGATTGAGGGCAACCAACCGGATACGTTTGCTTCTGGGATCAAAGTTCCAGTCAATAGTATGCGATAGATACGGAAGATGGTCAAGGCCAAGGACCAGCCACTTACAAAGCGAAAGGAAATGGGCCTCAAATGGATGAGGAGATGGGATTTTTGGGCGGGAGTTGAGGTACGTGATGTACTTCGAAAACGTTTCCAGGTATTGCGATGGCAGGTTACTAAACATCAAGTTTTGAAAGTCGTTTTGCTTTACTTTCTACACATGTTCGCAGTATGGAGCCTAGCATTTGTTATTATCTATAATTATGCTCTCTCTACATGGCACACTCACAACAGTCAATCGCTTAATCCGTAAAAATGCTTTACTAATTATCGAGAAAAAGGGATTCTGACTTTTGAGTTGAGTCACCAAAGACTTTTCGCACCCATGGATTGAATAAAGTCGAATAAAGCCCCGCGAGCCTGCGGTCAAACCAACCTCCCACTTGTTTCTAGATTGTAGATTCTCTTTTATTCTTACCTAGAAATTGAATTCATTGGGATAAAGGCGGGGGTTGCAGGGGAATTTTGAACAATGCACAAGGGAATGATTGCAAAAAGGGGCTTAACTAGTATCGATCTTGAAAATATACCTTCAAATTACAGAAATCCAAGCTCGAACATTCAGACAGGAAATGAGCCATATGAAAGAAAAGTCAGAGCGGCCATTCACAGTTCATCTCTGGCTTCACCGAATGGATATCCCACCCGCTTCCAAGCCTCTTTGATTTTATCTTCATGGTCATCAGCATTCAAAATCGTAAGCTCAGCAAATTCTTTAAACGAAGCGTTCTGCCTGAGCTTGCCAGAAGTTAGAGCCTTGTACCAGATGGGCCCGGCAGTTTGCCAAGAGTAACCACCAATCAATGTAGAAGCTAAGTAGAACGCATGATTAGGGATGCCGGAATTGATATGAACACCGCCCTTATCTTCAGAAAGCGGAAGTTTCTGGAAATTCTTCCAGTGACCTGGTTGGCGGTCTGATCCAACTCTTTCATCGTTATAAGCAGTACCCGGTGCTTTCATATCTCGTAAAGCTCTGCCGTTCACACCTTTCGCCCAGATACCCTCTCCAATGAGCCAGTCTGAAAGCTCTGCAGTCTGTGGGTTGGCTGGGTCATTTCCCCATTGCTTGATCATTATCCCAAAGACGTCAGCAAGCGATTCGTTTAGCGCACCACTCTGGAATGAGTAATCCAGCGGGCTCGTGTACTCTACCACTCCATGGGTCAGCTCATGACGTCATAGGATTTCTAAGTTATTATACTTATCGAAATCCACGACGAAGGTAAAGTTATCGATTAGGTCCTTATCCTTGGTTATTATAAAGGTATATATTACTCGCTAGGTTAATAGGGTAGGGTGCGAGGGGGCTAAATGGTAAGGACCAGGACTAGACGCTCCTATCGCGTATTTACAATTTATCTATCGTCGCTCTCTATGCTAACCGCTCCTATACTAAAGGTATAAATACGACTTTTACCAGCCTACCTTATACCCTAGCCGGTCTTCGGGTATAGAATGTTTAGGTAGGCGAACTACCGCCTGAAGCCGCCCGAAGCACCCTGAAGCGGGACCTGGTAAAGCGGCGAGGCGCCCAGCACCGAACGATGGGCGCTAGGTGAGGACGGCCATACTTTTGGCTGTTATATGTTTTTTATTTTTATTTTTTTTAATTTCCTGTAATATAGACAGGAAGAGAACAGGCAAGAACAAGATGTGGATACAGTCCTTATATTAAAGTTGACCGGGTTAGCACCCTAGAGAAGACAAGGCGCACCTCAACCACAAACACTCAACGCAAAACTATGGACAGACATACGCAGACCTCGGGCCGTTGTCCTAGAGATTGAACCCCTAGGACTTTTGATAATCCGCGAGAATGCCATCCGCAATTTTCAAAGCCATAGCATAGAAGACAGTCATGACATGGGATGATACCTGGGTAGGCGGAATTGAACCATCAATAACACGAAGCCCAAGGGTGCCATAGACCTTAGCGGTAGAGTCAACAACGCCACCAAGCTCTTTGGGCATCATGGAGCAAGTGGATACAGCGTGCCAGTTAGCACGGAAATTCTGCTTCACATATTCGACCCAGTCGCCGAGGGTGGCGTTGTACGGCAAGAGGTCGGCACCGGGGATGTCCTCACCATTGAAATAGTTAGACATCTCGCCACTGTTCTGGAGCTTACGTGCAAGCATAGAAGCAGCAGCTTGACCAAGAAGGTCAAGCTCGTTCAGCAAGAACTGGGGATCGTTCTTAAATGACTGGAGGAAGGGGTCGGCATGGGCAATGTGAGTGGAGCCGCGGGTGAAGGGAATGAGATCCCACAAGTCAAAGTTAATTTTGCCATTGGTGTCCATGAAGAGCTCGACGTAGGCAACGTTCTCATTGAGGAGCCAATTACGGTAGTTCTCATACTGAATCTTGAGCGCAGTAACGTTGTGAAAGCCACCGCGGGCAACTGTTTCGTGGGCCCACTGATCCAGCTTGGTGTTGAGCATACTGGTTGCCGTAGGGCTATAGTCACCGAAGACTTCTGTGAAGTTGGCAAAGTACACGGCTTGGCCCTGGCCGTCAGCGGAGGGCTTGGCGCGTGCACGAACAGTAGTGGTAGTTTGGTCCTGCATATTAAGACCTACGGGAAGGTCGACAAGCTGGGTAATGTTGAACTGGTCGAGAACGGACTTCATGCCAATACCAGAATGCTCGAGGATAAACGGGGAGATGACAGATCCGGCGGCCAACAGGACCTCGTGCTTAGCATAGACGTCGAAGTTAACGGCCTTATTAGTACCAAAGTTAACACCAACGGCCCTAGGGCCGGCTGCTGTCTGGTTGAAAAGGACTTTGCCAACGACCTGGCCAGTGAGAACGTGTAAGTTGGGGCGCTGGTAATTTGGAAGAAGCCAGGCCCGTGCAGTATCGGCACGGGTCTGATCCGGTAACAAGTTATTGTAGATCATGGAGACACCGCGAGGATGGCCACAAAGTAAGTCAACCTGTGTGGGAATACCCATGGCTGCGGTGGTGTTCATCAGGGCTTTCATGAGGACAGAGTAGGACCGGCCATCGTCACGGGGGCCAGCGGAAATAGTGCCATTGAATCCGTGGCAGGAAGCGTTGAAGAAATGACCGGCAGCAATTTGGGTGGGAGTCGGGTAGCGAGCGAGCTCTGCCTTCTTCATATACTCGTTTAGGTTGTGCCAGTTCCAGCCAGGGTTACCAAGGACAGCCTCCCAGGAATCAATCTGGACTTTGTCGGCACCAGTCCAGGAGTCACCGTTGATCAAAGTAGATCCACCGAGACCTTTGCCAGACTTAATGTCCAGCGTGCGGTTATTTATGGCCATAGGAACGGTAAGATAGTTCTGGTCTACCGAGCTACCGAAGATGTGACCATAGTCGTTGGGGTTTTCGATTATCGGCCCATCATTAGACTCATAGAAGCCCTTTTCAATGACCAGAACGTTGATTTCAGGGTTCTCAGACAGCTTAGCGGCAACAGTTAGGCCAGTTAGACCACCGCCAGCAATGATATAGTCAACGGTCTTTCCGGCGACCATCTTGGGATCGGAGATCAGGCTGGCCTGGACATTGACCTGCTCAGGGGCAGTGTAGGCCTGAGCAGCAGCCATTCTGGAAAATACAGAGGCAAGAATAAGAAAACTCATCTTGAAATAAAGGAACAAGGATAAAATTGAATGGATGAATTTGTTGGGTTCTCTGTGGTTTCTCACAATTGCCTTGACGACTATTTCACAGGGTTCATTTGCCACCTATATATACCCAATGCTTTTCAATCAGAGATCATCTATATCACATACTGTTAAGCCAGTAACTGGCAAGGATATCATCACACCGTCTGTTTGAATATTCTCAGTGGAAAATGCAGAACACCGGGGACATTGGTGCTCACAAGATTCAAGGCCAAGACTGACCCTTATCCTGGAGGAATTTTTCAGTGGCTTCATTGGCCACAGATACTAAGGTTATGGCCTACTAGATTGCGATGAGCATCATAAGCGGAGCAATTATAAGACTATAACGTATGTAATCATCGGATTCTAGGCAGGTCGATCTTCCCGGACCCCTGCACCTTGGCGTTCAGCATGTAAGAAATCGCTGCTTTGAGACTGGAAAGATATATTCCAGACCTCTGACGGTCCTAGATAGAAGAAATCGATTAGCCAGTCCCTAATGTAAAATTAATCAATAAAATCTAATCCCATCCTGTTATGATGTCAAAACTGGCATCGGGCCATTAGTGGCCGTCTGTTCCGAGGATTACCTTAGACTGCTTCCCGCGACATGGATTAATCTCACGACAGACATTCTAACCTAATGATTAGGTTCCGACAGCTATAGATCTTAGGTTTGCGATCATGACATATTAAGGTTTGATTTAGATTCCGGTGAACCGATCAGTGCCGGCTAGATCAGTCGAAATTACAAAACTCGGCAACCCTCTCTCTCGGCGTGCGTTAGGTATTGGTGGGAATTGTGTGTTCGGCATGCCGACGGGATACGAGCGTACTTGGCATCGAACGCCAAAGTTTAATATGTATCTCGTATAACCATAATCTCACTTTAATTTCAGCCGGTAATCAAGTTTGTAAGTATAGCTAAGATCAATGCGCGACGTTTCGCGCGACAGGGTCCGTAGACAGGGCGGGGGTTATTCTCACCGGCGCTTTTTGTGTTAGAGCAGTATGTATGTACTTAGAATTAGGTAAGACTTGAGTACATAGTTAATTTGTTTCCATGTCAGCTCTAGTACATACGACCATAGGGTGTGGAGAACAGGGCTTCCCGTCCGCTCAGCCGTACTTAAGCCACACGCCGGCCAGTTAGTAGTATGGTGGGTGACCACATGCGAATCCTGGCTGTTGTATGTTTTTTCCCTATTCTTTTTGCTATTCATCGGGATGATTGTTCTTGCCTTTCCCTCTTCAGCCCCCTCAGGCCACTCAGCTCTCCCTTTCTCCAATCCTCTCCGCCCGCGTCTCCAGTCGCATCTTTCCTTTTCTGGTGGCCTGAACTGATCCTGATTGGAGCTTATCAGGGAAAATAGTCTCAACGTGGCTATGACAACCGCCTGGTCCGATGTTGAAGACGTCTATCGAGGTTGCGCCCAGGAAGGAATTAGGTATGAAGAGGAAATCTGACAATTTCTAGCGAATCTAGAAGATCTGACTTTACGAAGAAGAAGAATATGATGAGAGTATGGCAGACGAAAGCAGGAACGACGCAGAGATAAGCCAGGGGGTAGACGTGGCCGGCCTTGATGGGTTAAAAGGCATTGACCTCCCTGGGTGGTTTCCAAAGAATCCCAGTATCTCTGAATAATAAGAGTTCGGTGCCAGCACCCCGTTCAGCCTGTTATCGAGATTATGTTCTCGATAACTGTTTTCTTATTTCGTTTGCAAGTCACCGGAGCATTGATTTATGATAGCTACAACTTCTTCCTCGTATTTCTCTTTTTCCTTTTCTTCCTCCTTCCTCACCCTTGGGATTTTCAAGTCAGCGAAACTTCATCGGATCTCATCAGCTCGAGCAGTGACTGGACCCCATTAAAAGTCTTACATTCAGGGTAGGCTTCGGGAGAAGTCGAACGAGAAAATAACTAGCAGTAGGAGAATGCTTCCAGAGTATGAGAGATGGTGCGAAAAGGCGAACTGTCTTCGAAAAATCAGAATCACGCATTATTATAGATGTAAGGAGGCCATGAATGGTGTCACGAAATATCACTTACAGATATATCGTAGATAACGACTACTTACACTTAAGCTGCCTTCTTACTTGAGCCCTGGTACTGCCGCGAATTTGCAAGAATTTGGCCTCCTCACCTGGTCTAGCGATTGATATCCTTGTATGTAGATAAAGGTAGCAGGGTAATTTTGAGTGTAATCTAGGTGACGGCAAAATTACCGCCTTAGGAAGTGATCGGCTCCTGAAGCCGTGCGTGGGGTCAGGGGAGTGGGTGAAAACCTGTCCCATAACAACCGCCCGGTTGGATTATCATAAATCACCTCAAACGCTAAGTCTCTTGACATCTGCATATCATGAGTTCGGCCAGAGGGAGGTGGTGGGTGGGAACCCTGGGTGTGGTCAGGAAATAGTTCAGTCCGAGAGTTGGACCGCGCTAATCCTAATCAGGTTTAGCTCTAGCTCTGGCGGACCGACGGAAAATATCTTGGCATGCAGCCCCACAACCTTCCTTCTTCCACATCTCCCCATCACCCCCTTGCGATCGAACCACGGTAGGTTTCATCCCCCAAATCATCGAAATTCATCAAATATCTATGAGATATCTGTCAGATAATTAACAGGCATAAAGATTTAGCAATTTTTAGAACGTTTCAACAGTTTTCGGCTCAAGGTGAGTAGTTAGTGGTGATACTAGTAGTGGAGAGTGAATAGATATCTAGCAGACGTCTAGGGCATCCCTGAAATAGAGACCCGTGAGGGGCAATTGACGTCTGCCAGATATCTAGGAGATATCCAATAGATATCTGCTTACTTAGCTCTCTCCCTCCCGCATCATCCGCTCCGTAATCAAACGATCATTTTCCTCATCAATCCGAATCCAATTCACTCCCTGTAGAAGCCATGATAAACGTATAAGAAGCTGGGTATGAACAAGCTCGGTCGGCCGGCAGTGGGAAGGAAGGAGAAAATTCAAATTCTCAGTGTGTGTATCCGCTTGTTTAACATACGGCACTAAACCTGTTTCGGAACTTCTCTTCGAGAGTTGGTTCTTAAAAAGGCTTAGCGCATTTTAGTCAACTCTCGATGGTGGTATGTGGCGTCCTAGCAATGGGGGCCAAATTCCACCAGGCACGTGCAGCTACTTTGTACCCTTGTCGCCTTCCAATCAGATTTGCAGCCTCCGTGAGGGGCTCGCAAATAGCGCATCAATTAGTAGCAGTATATATTCTTAACCCCGCGCCCAACCTTTTCAGGCTTTGTTTACATTTATTGGAGATATTCTGACAACAAATTGTGACGGTAGAGGTTTCCGGCATGGTACATAATCTCTTTTACGACTCTTATATAAATGTGATCTGATTGCGGAAATTAGCCCCTACGAGAGTTGGCACCCGGTACAGGGCCGGATGGCAAACAAACCCCAGAGTTGGAGTACGTACATCGACGTTGGAAAATTTGAATTCTCTGCTGACGATGCATTAGTATCATCGCCGTCCACGGCCTGAATCCCATGGGCTCTGCTGATCATGCCCTCAACACTTGGCGGCAACCACCAGAGACTGGTGGTAATCTCTGGTTGAGAGACAACTTTCCAAAGGCTCAACCGAACGCAAGGATATTCCTTTACGAGTATAATTCAAGCCCTGTATTTGGCTCTGGCAAAGACAGTTTCGTGCATGAGGCAAATGAACTCCTGGAACATATTCATCAAGAAAGATGGCAAATGGTGACCTTCTGCTGATCTTTAAAATGTTGAAATGAAGAATCGACTTGCTGAATATCGTTACCAGAGCCGGAACATTCCTATAATTTTTGTAGGACATAGTTTGGGAGGCCTTCTCATTAAGCAGGTAAGTGTGATATGAACCCACACTCTAGGGAGAACTTTTATTGAGATTATAGGCCCTAGTAAATGCGTGGGCAAACCCAGAATACAGAGGATTGAAAGAAGCAACGTAGGTCATAGTGAATTGATTGCCGGTTCTGTGAGACTTACCAAAAAAATTGATCAGCCATTCACTTGTGTTTTTTGGAACGCCGCATGCGGGACCGGGAAAAAGTCTCCAAGTCGGCCTTGGGATGACATGTGCGAGGATCGTGCGAGCGCTGCCATACAAGCCCCAGTCAAACATCATCGACACCCTTGAACAGGGCACCATATTTTCTGACATTTTGAGTGAGACTTTCCGACACCAGCTCGAAACTTATAAAATTTTGTCCTGCTACGAGGGAATTGGAGATGTAATTTCTCATGCTCCTTACATAATCTGCTTTCTGAGCTAATATGGATGTTTTCATCGCGCAACAGATTGTCCCATTTGATTCGGCCGTTTTGAAGTTGCCAGGCAACCGAGAGACTCAAATGCGCATAGATGCAGATCATAGCAACATGTGTCGATTTGATCTGGGATCCCAACGTGATCAGGATAATTACAGAAAAGTGCAACGACGCCTGCAAATGATGTGTGCAGATGCTCTTGTTGGATCATTGCAATATCCACACCCAGGTACGGGCGGATCCGTGGAAAAAAGATGTGGGGACTCGGGTGCGCCACCAGACTACATGATTTGATTAGATTCGCCATGATTATCCTCTAGCCGTGTGGATACCAAATGAAGTTCTCAATTTCTAATCATATTCTCCAATGCACAGGTAATCAATGCATTATATATGGAGGGATCGACCTGTCAGATGTCCTCCATCCAGTCCGAAATACTCAAGGTCTATCAACGTCAAGAGAGATATGTATGTCAACTTGAACCTTCATATGCTTGTTGCCCTGAGCTGAAATCAATGATCTGTTCGCTATAGCTTTTTCAAGTCTTCCTGATTTGGCATGGGAGGTTTATCGCTCGTGTAAACGCATCTCTCTACCAGTATTTGCCCCAGTTGCGCATGACGTTTTAGAGCTGCATATCGGACTTCGAACTTTTGTCGATAAACTGAAAAGCGACACCTACTCGACAGATTGTCGACAACATATTCAAACCCGGCTGTTCGATTGTTGCAAGACCCTGGAGGGCCTAACGGGAGTTATTCAAGCCTACAACAGAGTGTCTTTGAAGGGAAAGCAATATCTCATGCAAAGAGATCCAGAAGCTTACGGACTTGGTACCTGGAGGTTGAAAGTAACGTCCAGTACGTCCGAAATTGGAGACATGATCCAATACCTGGCGAGGTTTGTGATTCAATAATTAGAATCAATAGGAAAATGACTCATACTAACATAATGATTATCTACCCAGTCAATCCATGAACGACCTCGTTGACCAACTCGACGGTCTAATCGATTCAATGAATGAAGGAGAAGAGGAAACACTTTCCATTTCAAGCCGATTCTCTACGACCAACTTCTCCAGTTCCAAGATAAACGATCCCGAATGGAATGAAATAAAAGAATCCTTGATTGTGTCAGGATTCTCTCCTCAAATTATCTCGGAACAGCGCATGTATATTCTTCATTGGCTTGAAAATGCCTCTATTTCAGGAAGACTAGTACAACAGTCCAATCCAACAGGAGATTTGCCTCGGTGTCTTGATATCGACACAAGAGATACCGTGACCGCAGACGCGCAGACAATCACTCAAAGCAATTTCGGTCTCAGTCGAGTCAATTCCCATTTGTCTGACTATCAGAGTCATGAAGATCCTCCTACGAATCTTCCCGGCCGTAAAGGCCCGAAGGGAAAACCATGGCGCTACTCTTTAATACACAGGCTGCGATATCTCTCTGTTGATCCATTCCTTGCTCTGCGGAAAGCAGTGATTCGAAGCGATTATTCTACGGTGTCTAAACTGCTCAAAGAAACATCTATCTCACACAGACTTCAGATAGAAGGTGCTTTTTTCATACGCCTGGCCACGGAGAAGAATGATCCAGACATGTTAGGACTGTTCGTGGAGGAATGTCCTTCGGTTAACTGGTCCCAGATACTTGGGGAACAATTACGTCACACGCTTCATCCCAGGTCTGAAAGAAAACTATTGGACACTTATATCAAGTACGGTGCATCCTTTGGGTCTGTTGAGCTTGCTGCAGCTATAAGTTGGGCTCCAGAGTCCATTTCCTGGCAGATGCTACGGTCGGAAAATAACTCCATCAATTACGAAGGATGGGCTCAAACTTTCCTTTATGTTTCTGCCAAATTGGGCTACACTGGCATATTTGAGAAACTGGTCAAACAATACGGCGGTATAAACTCTCTTGTGGAGGGAACCACTCCCTTTCATATCGCGTGTGGGTCGGGTAATTTTGATGTTGTACAAATGGCCTTCGAGATGGGAGGCAATTTGATGAGTCGGGATTCAGAAGGCGAGATGCCCGTGCATGCTGTTGTGTGGGGAGAGGTTCATGGCAATTGGGACATTAGTGGAACCCTCAGATATCTCATTGGCAAAGGGACGTCCCTCAGAGCGACAACTGAACATGGCAAATCATTGCTCCATCTGGCAGCAGAAACGTCAAATCTCCGTGCAATAGAGTCTTTGGTTGGCGTTGAGGCTCGGTGTGATGTCTTTGATAACTTTGGAAACACACCACTGCATGCTGCTTCTTGCACCGAAGAGCTCATAGGACCATTGGGACATGAGCATAGGCTTGATTCTATGCCATTCTACCACCCTACACTTCGCCGCCGAGTCACCGAAATCGATTTGGCAGATTATTTCGATGAGGAGGAGATAGGTAGGGAATATTTTACCAAAATCGATGGGCTGAAATTTTTCGATCGCAAACCAAAGCCAGCTGAGCGTGGCAGCGTGGATGCGGTGCTGAAATTGTTGCGATATGGAGCTACAGTAAATCGACAAAATAACGATGGTGTTTCGCCATTACATCTCGCATCCCGGTGTGCGAATGTACCACGAATGCTGGCACTCCTAAGAAATGGAGCGGATCCGAACATAAAAGACAGTTCTGGATGGACAGCTCTCCGATATGCCATCAGTGCTAATTCGGGACCAGCAGTGCAACTCTGTTTGGAGCATGGCGCGGACACGAGTGGCAGCGCGCTAGTTTCTATGGGACAAGAGAGTGAAATAAGGCTTACCATTCTTGAACACATCAAGTTCATACGTGCTACTGAGCTGCTCTATATTCTGCGAAAGCACGAGGACCCTGAATGTTCGGATGAAAGCATTGAGGGGCTCGGAAGTTTGCAGGATCGAGGTGAATACACTTTGGACAATATGCTCCTGAAACTTGAAAGAGAGAAGGAAATGAGGGAAGCAGAAATAAGGCGTCATGTGGACCAAGCGATGCGACACACCACGGATGGACTGGGATAGTTGATCTGGACACGAATGTAAAGGTTCTTACCTCCTGCGTTTATACCTCGAATTGATTGCCCGGTTGGATTTAGTATGGACCGGAACTCGATGATATGCGACCTTGACTGATTGTGTGAGAAGTATGACTGTCACTAGCTAAAACTTCTAGGTTTGAGGTAAAACTTGAACATTCTTTATCTTTAGAATGACGATTTTGCTTCGGTTACGGCTCCTGACGATTCTATGACATTAGCCTCCACGTGTGTAGAAGGCATGATGTAGCGGATACCTAAACCTGATAGTGGTGCGAGATTTGATCAAGGGAGAATGCTAATATCAACTTACTCCGAGGAGAGACCATATTTACTCCATTATCTCCGTAATCGGGCTAGTTGCATCCATGTGGTCGCGACGATTTCTTTATATGAATGACAGGTTTTCTAGGGGCTGGGGAATTTTGTATCGATGCAAGTTCGCCTGAAGGTAGGTCAGTACCTTGATTCGGCATTTCCTGACGTTTCTATCGATATTTATGCATGCCTGCACGGATTGGATGCGGTGGGTAGTTTTAAATAGCAGAGAGCCGCAGAAGGAGCAGTTTATGGCATATATAGGAATGAAAACGGTGCGTGTTGGTGAAGAAAGAGCGGAAGGACGAAGTGCATTTTGACTATAATCAAGAATATTCCTTGGTGCCTTCAAGGCAGAGGCGGTCTCTCGGAATGTATCTGACAGGTAATATGCAACTCGGCTCCTACAAAGAAGAAAGAAGTTGGAACGTAGACAGCTTAGTTAGGCAGAGTAATGGTTACAAGATACACAAAAGTTGATCGATCAGTTATCCAATCATTGGTATGGGAAGAGCGATGCGAAGGGTTAGCCAATCGATATATATCTATTCGCATAGTTACAGAAGATTAAGGGGATTCAGAGGAAATCTACTAAGCCCAGGTTCTATCCCTAATCCTTTGCATCAAGAAGCTTCTCAGTTATCTAATATCCCAATCTTGTACTTCACTTCCCATTGCTCCGTTTCTCTGCACCTCTTGTAAGCGCGTGGGTAGTAGGTAAAGAAATGAACCATTATATCTCAAAATAAGTCAATTAATCTTGTAACGGACGGTCAAGAAGTTCGCGATGGATACTTTGCATTTCGTAGTCTCCACATTGCTGCTAAACGTACCCAAGTTCCCATCCTTCGCGAACGCAAGGGTTCGGACTACCAGAGAGGCACTTGATTACACCTACTTATACTCGACCGCCAGTTGGGTCCCAACTTCGATTATCTTCAATAACCTTAACCAACGTAAGCACCCTTAGGTGTCATTTTATAACCTATAGAGTAAAATAGTGCAGAAGCATCAGAAAATCTTTTCCTTGATCAAAATGTAAAATAGCACATGTTGGGGCAGGGCTTCACCCGTCTGAAGAATATTTAAGCGGATGAACTGCTGCCTGAAGGTGCCTGAATAAGCGGTGAGGCGCCCAGCACCGAACAATGGGCGCTAGGTGAGCATCGCCATAGTATGGCTGTTGTATGTTTTTACTTTTTGTCTATTGGCCGGATGGGATGGAAGCTTGAAGAGGGCACACAGCTCAGCGGGACCCAAAAGTTTTCTGGCAGATTTTGGGTCCCGCTGAGGTGCCGGATCTCATCGGGACCCAAGCCCCTAAATCATATAATATTCTTCAATAAACGGGGGTTTTTAGGGGGTTTTGTTGGATTTAACTTTATTTATACCCTATATAGTTATGAAATAAATATATTGAAGTAAATATTATAACATATTAGGACCTAAAATATTTTGGGTCATGTTGAACTTTTTGGGTCCCGCTGAGCTGGAACCCGGTCCAAGTGTCCTAGAAAAAGCTTGATGGCCGATTCTTACTAATGACGAAAGAGCAAACATGGAAAAGCTAGTTGAGAAGAAACTGGGATGGTTGAGAACGAGGGTTTAGCTTCAGAGCCTAGGAGGTGGACCTGAAGATCTTGAGCTAGTGCCTTGAGATAGAAATGCACGAAATGGCCTAGTTTCGAGGAGGCGCTGTAGAGAAACAGCCAAATCTGGCCGCGAGGCCTCCTAGCACCTTCGCATCTATGAGCTTAGGTCAAGCGGTTGAAGCCTGTCTCTGTCTCTATTTTTTTCCTGTTCCTATTCTTTCCTTTGCCCAATTCAGAATACCTCTTTCTTCTTCAGATTTTATAGAAATCACAAAGGTCAACCTCTTCACAACCGTCTGTCCCGCCAATCTTGCCCACCAAGAATATTTTGAACATCCAATAAGTGCCCCCCAGCAGATATATACCAGTAAGGCCACAGGCTCTTGTTCTTGTACTCTGCTCACGAAGCTCTCGCCGACTTCGACGACCCATGCAAGCGCCATACTCTCGTCTCTTGCTGAACAATTTTCCAGCATTGTAACCGCCCGTCTACAGGTTTCCCGTGTCTCCACGCTTGTATTGTCACATATTTTTCCTAGTTCGAATGGAATAATGTTGCCTTCTGGAGGTGACGTTGTCCAATATTCTTTAGGATAAAGCTGAATGGCTGGCTTTAGGGGACTTTCATTGAGCCAGGGTCTGGCACGATCAATCACTGAGTGAATTCCCTTCGCAAAGAAAAATATTGAGGTAAGGCTTGGGTGAATAGTCTTCGAGTTTCTTTCTAGCTCGCTGTCATGGTTGATATCGAACGAGGGTGAAATAGCTGCGCAAGCCATCATAATCATGGAGCATAAGAGGAGTGCCTCGCAGTTGGATGGTGAAATTTGTTCCAGCTCGGTCCGAAAAGCAGGTAGAGTTCTGTCTTGATATCGGAACGCATCACTGATGATTGACCCATATTCTGAATTGGATTTGACCCCTTCAGCTGCTTTATGCAAGCACGTGAATGCAAGTAATGAATTCATTAAAAACTCATGACGCAGTCCCAACTGTACAGCGTAATTTTGAAATATGTCGCTCATCCCCGGTGAAAAGCTAAAGCACGATTTCAAACACCAGTGGTGCATAAGCCCAAGCTCTGTCATCCGGCTGTCGGGATTTTGCTGATGTAGTTGCACAAGTGGAGTGATACTTTCTTCCTGCACATCCCCTATATCCAGAGAGTGACCGCTCCAATGGTAATGTTGAAAATCCCTATCGGGATATTTGCAATCCGAGCCTCGAGAGATACAGTTTGTACAGGGAGGACCCGTCTCGTCGCATTTTTTGTGCCGCGCCTTACATTGCTCACAACCGTTGCGAGACTTAGCATGGGTCCTTCGCGGAGGCATCTTCCAAGGGATAGAGGTGGCTGGGGTTGAAAACAAATCGAGCAGGGCGAGTTGCCACTCCCAGGACAACGCGCTTCGGGCGGTGAGCATTATGTATCCTATTGGCTCGGTAAAGATAATAATTTTCATCGACTTCAACAGATCGGATAATTTGCAGTCTCATTTAATTACAGATATATGGTATTTCCCTCACCCACTTCTCCTCGACAGCCTCATCCAGCACCCATCTCGCAACGCTAGCTCGACTAATCCACATGGAATCTTTTCCACTTCCCAAGACAGTCGTCTCGACTGGACTCTGCTTTCCATTTGTCAACCCCCCGACCCGAAATAGTGTCCATCTAACTCCACTGTCAACTGATAAAGAGGTGATATATTTCCCGACCGCCATCATTTCCCAGTATTGGCCACGCATAGGACCCAAAGCTTTCATTGTCAATTCCCCAAGGCGCCATTTGAATGCGGGAATATCGGACGAGCCTTTGAAGGAGGGTGTGCCTAGAACGAGCAGTCGTTTGATGTCTCGAGAGATAAGTTTAGGAATAAGGGCTCTATAACCGTCTGTAAGGGGCTAAATCGGTCCAATAAATAGATTAGCATCTTCCAATTCATATCTTCTAGGAAAAGTTCCATACGGTGCCTTTGTTTCCCACCGGAGGTCCAGCGAACGATACAAATGCATCGGCCTCGCATCGTGAAACGTTATTCAGAATCTCTTCGTCTTCCAGAGTTCCTTCAATGATTGTGACCCTTTTGTCGTCGGCGACTCGGGCTGGTACCTTTCTTTGGTTTCGAACAAAAAGAGTGAGACTATGCTCCGCCTCGAGAGCGATGTCGCAAAAAATAGAGCCGATAGCACCTTTTAAAGTCGTTGTTATGTGTGTCTGGTACATAAATAATTGTGGAGTATGCATACCTGTAGCCCCGAACACTAGAATATGCATGGTTGAGAACGTCAAAACGATGGCTTCTTTCTTTCACCGACCAAGATGGATGAAAAAGGATAATTTCCTGGCGGCTAGGTTTGAATTAAATAGGATCATCCCGTGCTATGGATGTTGAGATTTACAAGGATTCGTAGTCCGTAGTACTGCTAGTGGTGTGGAGTGGCCATTTGACCACGGGCGACTCCACCTGAATACGCCATTTCCTCACCTAAAATGGAAAGTTATACGCCACCAATCATATTCATCTGCTACAACTGATAAAGCAGTACATACGTGTAACTAAACAAATAAAACCCAACTGGTGCCGATATAGATTTAACCTACAGGACTTTTATCTGATTGTATTCGAATGATCTTTATAGTTATAAAACGCCCAATCCTGCCTATACACAGTCGAGTATTCCCTAGAGGACCCACAGCGCCTCTATCACGAACCATGTGTTTTAGCTGGATTGGATGCCCGTTCAAAATTACACAAAGTACCCAAACGGCAATGACGCATAACAAAGTCACCTTCTTGGCCAAGGACGAGCAGAATTTCACTCGGCAGTATGAAAGCCGTCTTTGGATACCATAACTCCGCACAATTATACTGAAAATATAACCTGCAGAGTGAATGACAAGATGCCACCGATTTCGAATACTTTCCGGTAGTTGTCTGAGCTGATTTGTCCCTAGTGATTCCCGGAGTAATTATTCGTTACATAAGGATACAGACAGCTAAAACATGTCTTGAGTGGGAACGAGCCATTATAAAAAAATTATCTCAGAGTGGGAGTTTTTAGTTTAACTCTATCACTTCTTGAACTAAACCCCAAGCCGCATCGTCTGTAGAAATATGCCCTCGAATCTGTAACAATATTGTCCTGGAGAGGCCATGTATAAACCAAATCCCACAATCTTCGGCCCGTTTAACCAGAATGCTGGCCCAATAGGCTAACACAACAAGCGCGGCTGAGTTTTGAAGCGAGACCATACGGTTGAAATGATCTGTTGTCTGGATCAGCCATCCGGCCATATATTGCCACGCTCCTGACAAATCATCAGATTCAAAACTGCTAATGCAGCACTCGGACAAGGCTTTAATTGCAAGTAGAATGGCTGGGGCATCTTGCTCATGATCTGGTTTCCCGAATATCTCTGCCATGCGATACGGAAGCATATGAATATGGTTGAAAAACAGATTCCGTGTATTGTCGTTTTCCAGAGAGTCATTCTTCTCCAAGGCTCTCTGAGGTCCATCATATCTGTTCTGACACATGTACGAAGATGTTGCCGACTCACGAGACACAAAATCTCGAATATTTCGTAGTGAGGACTCTAGCTGAGAAAAGGATGTAGGACGCAAGGTAGTCTCTTGGCTCATACTAAATCCCTCGAAAGTCCACTTTGCGCAGTTCACGATGCTCCTGACCTGTATTCCTGCCCTTTTTGCTTTGTGAAAAGCCTCAGTGGTATGTTTTTCATCGTTGGTTATTTGGAAACCGGCCCAGAATTCGGAATAGAACTTTGTCGCTCGCTCACAGTGAACTTTTCGTGCCGTTCTCTCATCCTCGAACTTGGCTGAATGGTACGCGGAAATGGCTAGTAATCCGCACATTAGCCACCGTCGTTGTAGAGCCAACGGAATGACGTCTCTCTCCCAGTATTGTTGCAGCGATGGAGAACCCCCGGCTCCAGGAAGTGACAGACTTGTTGTAGTGAGGAAATGATGAAAATATGTTAACGTTTCCAGGTCTACCACAGGGGAAGGCTCGGAATTTGGCGTAGAATGTGCTGGTGATGTTACTGTATTCAGCTCTGAGCCCCCTCTATCATGTCCCCTCTCGCCACCAGAAAGCCGTGTCTCTGAATTGCTGCTTGTCGTCGAGACTTCAAAATACTTGAGTTTCGTACCACGGAAGAATGTTTGAAGCTTTGCTGAGCGTGCACGAGAGGAAGAATGATTCGATCCATTGACCCTATGGGTGTCGCTCCAGTGGCGTCTCATTCTTTTAGAGCTGGCACAGAGATATCCACATCCAGCCACAGTACAGCAATGCCCAGACAACACAGGTAGAGCAGCAACCGGTAGCATATTTGAGGTGGGTAGAGAAAGATCATCTGGTTCAACAATATCAAGGTCTTTAATAGTAGACAGTAAGCGTTGCCTTTCTTCACGGTAAATTTTGTGGCGGAGCAAATGGCTCCCCAGCGCATTTTTCTGAATGGCGTAGTGGCAATCCCGGCAGATGAGCACTCGGTATCTTGCATTATACTCGAGCAGATCGTGTGGACCCAGTCGCATAGTAGCTAGCAATTCGTTTATCACTCAAGTTGGGGATAAGCTCGACGTTGGAAGGTTGCGAACGATGACGTAACAGCGTGTATGTGGTGTGGGGGCCAAAAGGACATGTACTGCTGCTGCCCCGGTATTCAATGTCTATCCTCGGGCCTTCTCGCTTTTCGTATTGCTATCAATGGGAGAAAGACGAGATCTTGGACCTAGAGGCGTTATCGAGAACGGAATCACCTCGGATTTGACTGTGGAACGGGATATGTGGTTCCAAATGGGAACCGCACATGCGGTTCTCAAGTGGGGTCTCGGCCTTAAAAAATCCCGACGTACCCTCACGTTTGTATACTTTATTACGCAGAATAGTCATTTGGTATCAGTTGCTTTGAAATATAAATCTTAGTTCGAAATCAATGGCTTATGTGGACTGGTTGCTAATAGTCTCCCTTGGCTGTGATCAGATATGCGAAAGCACATATAAGTCGACAGGTCTGCTCAAATGGCATTACTTCTTTCTTAGCATCAATCAAACGCGTTCTCTTTATCACGACAGTCACACCTCTCTCCGCTTATCTTTCTATCGAAATGTCAGTTCCCAAGAACCAAGCTGCATGGCTCGTCAAAGCGGGTTCTCCTCTAGAGTTGGGAGATGCAACGATGCCTACAGCTGGCTCAGGCGAACTAGTCATTAAGAATGCTGCCATCGCCATAAACCCTCTCGATTTCCATATGCAAGACTCCGGTGTTTTTATACAGCAATGGCCTGCCATTTTTGGCTGCGATATTGCCGGCGAGGTGTATGAAGCAGCAAAAGACGTGACAAGGTTCAAGCCAGGAGACCGTGTTATTGGGTATGTTGCTCAAGAAATTGATCTTTTAGAATCGAAATATCCCAAGCTGATTTTACCTCTGTTCAACAGGCATGCCATCAGCTTGACTAGTGGTCGCCCTCAGGATGGAGCTTTTGCTCTGTATACTGTAATTCCTGCAGATAAAGCGGCCGTCCTCCCCAATGAAATCTCCTTCACGGACGGTGTTGTCGTGCCTTTCGCACTAGAGGCGGCTGTTTGCGCACTCTCCCTCAAGAAGTCCGGCGTGGCCATGCCCGGTGTTGCTACACCAGCTCTGGGACTTCCATACCCTTCGATACGTGATGTACCATCTGCAGGCAAGACCCTTGTCGTGTACGGTGGCTCATCTTCTGTCGGCTCCATGGCAATCCAGATTGCCACAGCTGCCGGTATCCACGTCATCGCTATTTCTGGCGCGCACAATTTTTACTTCTGCAAGCGATGCGGAGCAGCTCGAGTCTTCGACCACAAGGATACTTCACTTGCAGGGAAGGTTATCGAGGCGATTCGAGAGAGCGACAGTGAGTTCATTGGCATCTTCGACGCCATATCTACCCCCGAGACTTACGCCAACGATATCACAATCCTTGAGCAGCTGGACGGGGGACACCTCGCTTGCGTGCACCCACCTCCCCCCGCTACAGATCTCCCTGGAAACGTTAGATCTGGCATGATATTCGCTGTCAACGATGTTGTGACGCCTGTTTGGAAAGATTATGTTACGCCTGCATTACAATCCGGGAAGCTCCAGTGCCTTCCACCCCCATTCATCGTCGGCAAAGGGTTGAAGCATATTCAATCTGCATTGGAAAAGTCCAAGGCGGGAGTCAGCGCTATGAAGCTGGTAGTTGAGCTGTAGAGGTGGTTCAAAAGTGTTGGCTTCGTATACGTACGCGTGGGCCCTCTTCGGGATGCCAGAGGTATTGGAATTGGGGATGAATGCGTCTCTGAAGAATTGATTCCTGGGTTGCTAGAATGTTTAATGAAGAAGAATATCACATTTCTATCTTTTTTATATAGTAGACAGCTGCCAACAAAGAAGGTTGAAGTTGAATCTGTCGCTGTAACTAGTCAACTACGGCGGCCGAGCCTGCCTGAAAGCGAGCCATGTACGGCGGACGAGAGAAGTGCCTTTACCGCTTCTTCCACCGGCCTGTACGCTTTATATCCCAAAATCCTCTTACCTAGGTGCACATATATAACTACTATAAGCTCGTTACTAAAGCGCTATCTATAGCCCTATTTACTAGTATTATAGATACTAACGTAGGTAATTTAGGAGATTAGCTATAAGATTCTAGGTCTTGAGATTAGTCTTGAGATTAGTCTTGAGATTAGTCTTGAGATTAGTCTTGAGATTATAGATTATATTTAAGATTTGTTACGGCACGTGCCCAGACGCACTAGCCAAACAGGTTAAAAAGACCAAATATGCTAGAACGCTATGTTCTAGCATGCCTGGGACCGATATAAGTAGCGCACAACGTTAGGCCTAGGGGGACGAGGCCTAGGTCCTAACAAAATTCAGCTTAAGTAATCTCATGAATTAGTTGAACTTAATCTATTTTAATCGGGTTCCTGTGGTAAAATCACTTTTCTCTAAGGGATATAGGAAATTCAGATTATATCGGACAAAGAATGGCTGAAATGGAGATTCTGCCGGTTTGAAAATCGCTAAGAGTTTTGGGAAAGACCCCTCTATCGTCCGCCGTAGCCGTGCTCATAGGCCCACGAGAGATGCCCGTTTGATCTCTAACCAGATATAAATAGCTATTTGAATCTATTTGGCTAGTTGAATCATCCATAATGTCTCTTTGGAGTTTCTTAAGCGGTGTATACTTCTATGGACAACATCATGAGTGTGGCAAGCTAGGAACATATAATCTAGAAGGCTCGAACAAACGAAAACTATAGTATTAGTAAACTTCTATTACTAATCTTACATCCAAAAGATTGATGATCATATTTGAGCATATTGAGACGCAAAATATGTGATAAAATTTGCAACGTAGTTCGGCCACTCATGGGGACTCGGCTCATTCCAGGTCCCCGAGATTAACTTTACCTGCATGAACCACTGGACAAACGTAGCGAAAACCCGTGGATCGTCCCCCAAAGATAGGCCTAGACTCGGAGTTTTGTCAGGATTTTTGAGGTTAAAATTATGCAGATGGTTGAAGATGCCTGCGCTGGGGCTGCTGGCTATTACTACTTCATCTTGCGGGATGAGGGCGGCGCGAAGGATTCCACGGAGGATCATCTAGTAGCGACCGTTAAACGTCATTATACTCCGGAAAAAGTATATAAATTTACCAAGAACGCCGAACTAGAGACTGGTGGCTTTCCCGAGAGCCCTGGAAATTCACAAATTCCCCGCGTGCATGATCCACCACGGCTTATAACAGCTGACCTTCCCCAATGCTATTTTACGATCTATTCAGCGTTTATTATTCCTATAATCCGTACTAGTGAAAGCCGCAATTCAAATCCGTTGAGAATTTCTTCATTCCATCGAATTTGATCTTCTGATCAAACCCAAATTCTTGCTGGCCAGAATGCTCTCAATGCCAATATCAGGAGATAGCTCTCAGAAAAGCGGCTTGGAGGGCCATGGGAGATCATCGCCACAGTCAAAGAGTGTGTATCAGATCGCCCGACCTGCAAGGCATGCCCACCACCCATTTCACAAGATGCGACCGGAACTTCTGATGCAACTCCAACAAATATCACAAATGGGACGACCCATGCTGCTTCTTGACGTTTTTCCCTCCACGGGATTCATGCCTTTCCTCACTTGGGGGCTTGCCCTGTACTTTCGACGCTGGGGAAGTCTTAGCTCCGACGATGTGGCAATAGTGCAAAATACCTTATGTGAGATGGCAGGATCGACCGTGAATTCAAACATTGCGGTCTCAAAAGAGGAAGGCAGAGCTAGTCAGGAGATTATTGCAAAAATCTCTCAGCCTGTGTATAAAGATATGCAGCTACAGGAAAAGACGGACATCTATCTTGGCCTGGACTCTTCCTGCGAGGCATTCTGTCTTTCCGATGGCTCTTACGAGTTCATCCAGCATGGGGAAAACGGCATCCGAACTATGAGATGGGTTTTACGCCACAAGAAGTCTCGTCGCATGTCCAGTTGCTCACATCTCGACGATGTGAGGAGACTCTTTACCTTTAGTATCATCGATCCAGGTACTCGTCGGCATGCTGTTATCGCTACGATGATTCGAGATCGTATGGAAGTTTCTGCTTCTTACTGCCTAGTAGACTCAGAAAACCAACGTTCAGGTAAGCGACACTACTTGAAGCAACATCAAGTGCTAATGGTTATTGAATAGATGTGGATGAGAGATTACGAAAAATTATACTTGTTACGGGAATTTGGGTAGCTCTAAGGGAAAAATGGACTTGATAGCTAAATAATTCATGCTATGAACTAGGATTTATTAAAATTAGTATTACTAATAACAAATTCATTGTTATGTTAAACTCGAGTTACCATGAACAAACTCACTGCCGCGTCCTCGTATGGCTGTCAAACAAGAGCCGCAGACTAGAGGAAGGAAAAAGAAACAACAAATCTCCGCCGTTCAAAACTCATCCTTTTGGTCAGCCCAACTGAGACTCGGTAGCCACGAAGCGCGGTGTTTAGTGAACAACTCCACTTGCGGTTTTGCCTGCTCAAGCCCATCTGCGTCGTCCAGTGTCCCCGCTAGGACAACAACCTGTCCGGGGAATAGCTCGTGCGTTTTGTAGAGAGTAGATCCACAGTCACCACAGAAGTAGACTGTCAGTTTCTTGCCACTCTCATGCATCTCAGTGTGTTGCTTTGTGGAGCCAGTGGTGATTTTAAACTTGTCATCCGGGAGCAGAAGATTAAGTGTGTTGGTACTGCCGCTGATCTTGCGGCAGGACAAGCAGTAGCATGGTCCCTGGATGTATGTATGAGTCAATGTCGAGGCTGAACCTAGAAAATAAAACTTGCCTTCATCAGGGGCTCCCCTTGAAATTCATATTCGAGTTTATGACATAGACAGGATCCTTTATGCATTATGGCGTATTTTGTTCGATCGGTTTGTTATGTATAGTCTGTCGTCGTCAGAGACTAGGAGGGCTGGAATCGATGCACTCAATGGAGAAATTCAGAAAAGAGGTATATGATTATTATCATGTAAACCCCCAGAAGACACTGGCTTTATATGCTATATACTTATGTTCCCTTTCCATTATTTCAAAGTCGTGATGCAAGTGGCACTTACGAGTGAAGTCATTCTGCTTTCGACGAGGCCAGGCGTTCGGAATAAAGATCCGCATTTCCCATCTTACCGATGGACTTCAGGTCACAAGGATTATTCGAACGAACTGCGTTCCCGAGTTAATCTTTTTAGCCGACATAATAACCTGCTTAATGGAATAACCAGCCTATCACGTGATAAGTACATTGGCCGAAGGTGGTCGAGGCGCCGTAAGGTTCACGATGCAAGCATGAAGCTAAACCTATTCCGGATTGTTAGTGCCTTGCTGCCTTACATCCCTTCTGACGCCTGCATAATCAGGCTGCCAATCTCGGCTCATTCTTCCTGTCCTACACACGCCCAATAATGATGACCATTCCTTGCGTGCGGTGGCACTACAGACTGCCTCGTCATTCGAATTCGTGGCAAAAGCTTACTGAGCTTGGACATATCGAATTGTTAAGGGTTCATAGCCCGAGATATCGGGGTTACCTAAGCTGTAACTAGCCAGTCGAGATGACTCACTATGATCGACCTGGAACGCTGCGTTGTGGTCTCTCCATAGATTATACTATACTTTGCTGTCTTCTTTTGTGCTTAATTTCGCAGTGATATTATAGGTGTAATATGATCACTGAAGGCTTATGTTATAAGAGAACGAGTAACATGATGGGTTAGAGACTGACTGTATCGCTTTAGCTTCCAGACAGTTGTTTGCTTACAGTGGGTAGCTTCTACCACCTCTAGTGAGCCCAAAGGCCCTATATAATAATCAATCCCCACTTGTGTATTGGGTCCTCACAACACATGAGGAAATTTCCATGTAGATTATGCGGCCTGCACGGCTGAGTGGACGGGAGGCCTTATTCCCCGCACTCTATAATTACGCTGTGTATACATGTAGTGACCTAGTGGCGAACTCTGCACGGGAGATCGAATGTTTGCTATCACTGGACCACGGAACCTCGGCGTGAGCATATTGATGTAACAATACGCGTCGTCAATATTGGGGGCCATCTTGTTCCAGTCAATCCCCCTCGGTGGTCGCTTAGAATTAGCATATAGTCACCTAAACAAATAGGCTGTCATGCCCCAAGAAAGTCCAGTGTACTGCCCTCAATCATAATACTAAATACCAAAGCCTTCTCCTTCGGCCCTCTTGGTGAACTATCGACCATAAATCAAGATGTGTGGAATCAGCGCCGTTCTTTCGCTGAGAGGCTGCCCCGCACCATCGAGCGATGACCAGCTAAAAGTACTCGATGATCAACTCAGTGCGAGTTTAGATTTAATTCAGCATCGTGGACCCGATGCGAGAGGAACATGGAATAGTGGGGATGGCAATGTTTGTAAGTGCCTGTCTTCTCTCGCAAAGTAGCCAGAATAATGATCTATCTCAAGCCAACTAGCTGACACCTTCCAGACCTAGGACATGTTCGACTGTCCATCGTCGACCTTAGTCCACAGGCGAACCAACCGTTCCATGACAGGGTAGATGAGGTCTACGCAGTAGTAAACGGCGAGCTATACGATGACGAATACTATCGAGAGCTTCTTGGCAGCGAGTACGACTTCCATAGTCGCAGCGACTGCGAGATTGTACTGGCTCTCTATAGACATTACGGTCTCTCCTTTGTGTCCTATCTTCGAGGCGAGTTTGCTTTGATTTTATGGGATGCTCGCAGAAAGGTTTTCATTGGAGCGAGGGACCGATATGGAGTCAAGTCGCTCTACTATACCGTTGTGAACAATCGGTTACTTGTGGCAACTGAGATGAAATGCTTTCTCCCATTCGGGTGGAAGCCGGAGTGGGATGTCCAAGGTCTCAGAGAGTGTGGGTGGATTTTCGGGGCAGGAACGCTTTTCAAAGGGGTTCAATCGGTTCGTTATTTTTATCGCCTTTACGATTCTTTCTGACAATACTCAGCTTGTGCCCGGTCATTATATCATGAGCCGAGACTTTAAGCCCATTCAAGATGCGGTCTACTGGGATATTGAATACCCCGACAAGGTAAGTAAGAGTATTATGCTCTATTACACTTAACCCGCATCTCTAAGCCTATATAGCGAATGCCTGAACCCCGATCGGAAGATGAGATGATCGAAGGCGTGCGGGCTCGTCTGATGGAAGCCGTCAAGATTCGCCTTCGCGCCGATGTACCTTTGGGAATCTATCTCAGTGGTGGAATCGATTCCTCTGCAGTGGCTGGTATGGTGGCCCATCTTGTCAAGGAAGAGGGGACTCGACTTGGCAATGATGACAGCCATATTCTCTCGCGAATCAAATGTTTCACGGTGCAGTTCGACAAGGATAGCGGGGCTGATGAGTCAGGTATGGTCAATTGTATATCTCATGATATCTTGAATTGAAGAGCTAATTATGGCCAGACATTGCACAGCGTACAGCCGAGTGGCTCGGCATTGACTTTCATCCGGTACCAGTGACCGAGGATGTTATTGTTTCCAAATTCGAGGATACTGTTTGGCACAGTGAAACACCCATGCCAGATACAAATGGCATAGGAAGACTTGCCATGGCCGAGGTTGCCAAATCCCATGGCATCAAAGTGATTTTAACTGGTCAGTCTCTCCAAGATCTTTTGTGATCTCTCAATTCTAAAATTTGTACAGGAGAGGGATCCGACGAGAGTTTCGCCGGATACAAAGATTTAACTCAAGAGTTCTTGCTTGAAACTGATCACTCGTGGCCCTCTTCCTTATCCGGGGCCGAGCTCACAGAGCTTAAACAGAAGCTCAAAGCCTCTTATTCTATGCCAGGGCTGCCTGAGATTGGCAAAGGACTGCCTGAATCGACAAGTCGAATGCTGAATAACACCACAATGTTAAGCAGGCTTTTAATTATCGGTCGCCTTCCCTTCGCAAAATGGACAGACATCTACACAACCACACGCCCTGAAACTGCCCATGTTGAAAGCATTGATGGGCGAGTTCGAGATGCCATTATGAACCGCTGGCATCCACTTCATAGTGCAGAATACGTCTGGACCAAGGGGTTTTTCTGCAATTTGCTCCTGCGGTATCTTGGCGATAACATCGATATGGTCCATCACGTTGAGACGAGACCTCCATTTTTAGATCACCATTTATCAGAGTATGCTAACAGTCTACCTCCGAGCCTGAAGATCAAATATTCGCCGTCCGACGGGTCATTTACGGAAAAGTATGCCTTGCGAGAGGCGGTTTGTCCCTTCGTTACAGATGAGATCTACAAGCGGATGAAGAAGCCCTACCTTGGACCCACAACATTTCAAGTAAACGGGGCTCTGCATCGATTGTTTCGCCGTCTAACTTCCCGAGAGAATGTGGATGCGCTTGGGTTTGTGGATTGTGAAAAAGTACAGGACCTTGTGCGGAAGGCTTTTGAAGAAAACGATCCTTGGGCTTTCCGAGCCGCGTTTAGTGTCTGTCAATTTGTGGTACTCTCGCAAAAGTTTGGAGTTGCAAGAGCCACAGTTTGACTTGAATCAAAACCATCTTGGTTATTCAAATACTGGACATGCTTGCGCACTGATTTGACAAAAGAATAAGCCGATTTTGTTGAGAGCATAAGATTGCTATGCCCATCTACTTTCCATGATTCTGAAGGTAAAATGTGGTCTATTTCTATTGAAAATTCATAAACATGTATCAGATCAGACATATCAGGTAGCGTATCTCTCAGAGCGAGCTGACTATAATTCTCAGACAGACATTCGGAAGCGTACTAATTGGAGGAAAGTCCAAGCCCATCGGCCAAGCCAGCGACTATCTCGTAGAAAGCCCAAGCTCCTGGGTCAGGAAGCTCCTGGCTCGACGCTTCCCCGACATATGTTGCCCGGCCAAACTTTGCTTTGAGATACCTTGTTCCTTCCGCTTTCTCCGCTGCAACTTTGACTGCTGAGATAAGGTCATTCGTTCGAGAGAACTCTTCTTCGAAGGGGAGTAGAACATCCATGACTGTCCTGTCCCCTATCCTCGCCCCCGTATGAGACTTCAAAGATGTGACCGCAGACTCAAGTGCAGTAGCGTAGAACTCTGCCGAGTTTGGACTAATCTTGTCCTCTGACGCGTTTTTCCTCAGGGCCGTGGAAAATGCCGAGAGAAGTACACCAAAGATTGCTCCGAGAGTGCCGCCCATATCATCCACACCTTGCAACAAGGAACGGATGACCTCCAGAACATCGCCTGATTTTGTGCATCCTTTGTCCACTATCTGTAAAATAGATTCGGCTAGGCCCTGGACAGCCTCACCACAGTCTCCGTCTCCCATGACCATATCCCACTGTGTGAGCCTTGGCTCCGCCGCAATCGCCCTCTCGCACGAGGTCCGAATGGCAGTTTCGAGGAGCAAGGGGTCAAATTTGATGCTGGGAGATCCGACAATATGCGAATTTACTTTGGTATCGAGATGATCCAGAGCAATCCTCTTCTGAGAAGAAGAAGGGCGAGTAGTGTTAGGCCATGATACAGCGGTCGTGGCACTATCGAATTGGCGGATGAGGGTGGCCACAGGCTCGTTCGATTGCCGAGCCGCAGCTGTGAGGTTGCATAGAGAGATAGAGAAGCCCGGTGCATTAAGAGAGGTCTCGAATGCACCAAACAGAGTTCTGCAGGGTTTGATATTCCACCGTGAGCTCAGTTGGATTTGAATTTCATCGGCCAGGGCGTTCAGTTCAAGAACGGAGAGACCGCCGTAATTGTTGACCAGTAAGCCAATTTCATCATTTCGCTCAAACTTGACAAAGCCTCGCTCTGTATCAGATTCATCGCACAGGAGTTTGAGACACCTCTCGATAAGTTCTTCGACTGAAGGGGCTGGAGAGATATGAAGTTGGCCAGGCTCATTGTGAATGCCGGCGCCAATGACGACCACGTCGTCTGAGACAGATGACTGTTGAGCTCGGCCTGGTACATGGCAATGATCAAGTGCCGACGCAATTGTGACAGTTTGCGCGTTGATCGCTTGCCCCAGTGCAAGACACTGGTCAAATGAGTAGCCTTCTGCGGCTGCAGCTCCAATAATCTTCATGGCTGTGGTATATTAGCCACATGTAGAACGGGTGGAGAAATTTGATAAAAGACTTACTGAAAACATGTCCTGGCAGACCTCTCCTGCCCATATGGCTGTTCTTGCTTCTTCCGATCGAGACATCGTCGGTGGCATGCAAAATGGCGATGTTTTCGACCAGCCCTTCAGCCTTGGCTCTTTCAGCCGCCAAACCGAAGTGAAGCCGATCACCAGTATAGTTGGTGATCAGCAAGATCACACCCTTCTTTGACGGTGCCATACGAATCGCAGCCAAAATCTGCTTTGCACTGGGCGAGGCAAAGATATCACCACATGCAACAGCCGAAAGTAGGCCATCACCGACATAACCACTCCAGGCCGGTTCATGTCCCGAGCCGCCTCCACTGATGATACTCACTTTTGAATCATCGTGAAAGGCATTTGAAACAACTCTCTCTGCAAAGTCCAAAGCCAAGTGGTCATTTGCAGATACGAGGGCTCGTAATGCTCGTGGGACCAAAGAGTTGGCACTGGTGGAGGGGAAATAGTGCTTATCAGACATAGTTCAACGACACGCAGTTACTCGCCCGCTAGAAAGTGACCGTGTCTGAGAGGAAAGAAGTTGAGTTCAAATAGGTCAGCATTCAGTCGAGGTCGTTATTGTCTCTAATATAATGTATTCACACCCGACGTGGCCTCGGGTTGCGGCAGCGAGAGATTCATCATGGGATCTTCCGAATATGGTAATTCCGCAAGTTCTGGAAAGTGGAGATACAAATGCAATTAGGCTAAGTGATATTAGGATAGAAAAATGAATATTCACTGACAGTCCTATCGTCACGCGGCCTGTCCTCAAAGTGAATCTCCCTGGGTAATGAGGCGCAAACTAAGCATAAAGGAGCTAATCAACGTTCCAGAATGCTCGGCAAAAATGGAACACTTCGCGTTTGTCGGTATCCACCCCGCTTCGAATGACTGGAAAATCCTCGTCTCGAGGTAGTTTACCCCAACTTAACTCCCGGGAGGATGATTTTCGGGAGACCGAAGATGGCATTACCGTTCGAATAAGGAAGGATCTGAAGATTCTGGACCCTGAGGTTATGGAATCCACCATTGAAGGGCCCACCTGCTCACATGAGTTCACTCGATACGAGAAGTTCCCTTTTGACACTACCCGAAGTTCTTCGCGTCACGAGAAGAACTATCGCAGTCAAATCAACCAGAGTCCGATTTAATTGCTAGAAAAAGAAACAGAGGCCTTTGTGGTTCAATGAAATTGTCCTCGCACAAGGAATATGCCTGAAGTGTCTAGTACGACCACGATATCTACCTCCTCACTACCCTGAAGGGTCATGTTCACAGCAATTTGCCCTCCATCCGACACTTTATGCGCCGTGCAGTCTCCCTGGGAGGTATATACCTTCCAGTCACCAAAGGGAAGATTCTTAACCTCAAACGCAACCTTGAACCCCTTACCAGCCCATTCGCGGATAGTGACAATCAGCGCATTGCGATGCTGATCCCACACACCTCACAAGCAATCCATGCCCTGCGACAAGTCCAATCCATCTACAAATGGACGATCAACCAGAGTCTCCTTCGTCCACGGTGCGTGCATCATGATCTTCTGTCCGTTTTCGACATTCAATCGTGCATATCCAATGGCAGAATTGCCGGAGAACGGATCCATATGCGTCCAATGACCTTCCTCGTCTGTCGCGATATCATTACGCGGATAGTAGAGGCCCCCATTCTCCCAGGTCGGCTGAAGATGCTTATCGGCGTACGCAAGGAGTCCATCGAGCTCCGTGGTCTTGCCCAGCTCTGACAGCCATTTGATGACATAACCGAGGGTGGGCTGGTTGTAGGGAAACTTGATCGTTGATCGATTCTCCTTGTAGAACTCACGTGCGGCTTGCAAAATCTCAGCGGAGTCTGCGATGTGGTGGTTTCGCGTTGCGCCAGGGCTGCGCGATAGACACCAGCGACCATAGGATGCTGCTGTTCGACTTGCCCGTCGATATTGGTAATGAATCCCTTGGCATGGCTAGGGAAACCAGCCTGGACAAACTCGGAGTTCCAGGTGTTCATAAACGCTGCCGCCCTATTACAACGTCAATCAAAAGATTCTACTGGGTCATGGGCTCTTTGCCCTCACCATGCGGTGAAGCCCACGCTCCTAGCATTCGCACGGTGACCTTGTTTGACGCTGATCCAGTCTTTGTACAAGTCATTCCGCAAAATCATTGCCTTCTGCTCAAGTGCAGTTTTCTATTTTTCCAGAACCTCCTTCGCCACATTCGTTTTATCAAGCGCATCATTAAGGTGCATCGCAATAATCTAACTCGAGTCAAGAAACGTCAGCAGCCATTCGAGACGGAGTGGCAGGTCCAACCCAACTTACCGGAAACTGATTACAAGCCACAAAAACCAGATTTGGCTCACGGCAAACTCCAACCCACCCATTGCACTCCATCTTATCAATAATGGCCTGCTGCAAACCGCGATTATCATACTCGAAACGTCTGCGGACCTATAACCTAGAACAGCGGGTTCCAGTGGAAGTTCAAACTCCTAGGTTTTTCAAACTCATCATCATCGAATAACATCGCGTACAAACTAGTCATCAACAACAAATGACCACTATACATGATATTCTCCCGGACCACCGGGTTCGCCCAGGGCTTACGAAGCTCTTCCAACTCCGGATCCAGCATGACTCCAGACTGGGAGGTGAGATACCAGTACCCCTACACCTCATGACGCAGCATCTTGTGGATCAAGCGACGGATCAATGACTTAAAAAGCCCACGCATGGCTGGCATGCGGTGGTAGTATGTCAGGCTCGATGCATATGCCATGGTGGCGACCTGGTGCCGGTATGCATCGAGGAACTCCTGTGCGGGCTCTTGGGAGCCCATGTGCGGCCAGTTCCCATCTGTGGTGGAACTGAGGTTGTAGAAATGTTATGCTATGCGGGGTCCCAAAAGGAGCTTGAGATGATTTATTTTATAGGTGTTCCAGATAAGAAGGAATCAAAGAATGAAATTGTCATAATTCAGTTTAATCTAGAAGTTACGTTAAGACATACTCTGAGGTAACCTTACCGCCCTCCTGGATATATAATCCTGAAAATATATATTCTTGGCAAGTTCTAACCTCAAAATTTTAGTTTCAAGGTGATAAATTTCAACAAAAGTACTCGAGGGGATCAATCTCTTTCCAGTATTTCTCGTTACAATTCTGAATTTCTAGGGAATGATATCTTCTCGTACCGGCCGCCAGAGGCGAATCCATGTCTGTGAACCCAAGTTCAAGTCAGACAATCTCGATAAATGGAGTTTAGTGATAGATCTGAGACTTCAGCCTTGAAAACGAATAACACTTCAATTAAGAATTCGCAAATTTGACACCTATAAACAGTTCACATTAATTGCAGGGATCAAGGGCGGGCTATCATAAATCCGGACCGAGTTATCTAGCCATCCACACTTTAGTTGCGATCACGGTCAGCAATGAACTCACAAGCCTGAGCCAGTGTATCTTTGGCAGCCTGTTTCTACTTTGCGATTGCTTCACTAATATTTCCCAAAGCACCCACAAGTATTTTTTCTAGATGATCAAGCCATGCTGGACATGCCGTCGCCGAACGATTCAATGCGATCAGTCCGGCTTCCCCTGTTCAAAATGTGAGAAAGCGGGGCTGGAATGTCATGACAAAAGACCGCTGAGATGGGTCGAAGGCGTGGCTATTCGAGGGAAATTGCGGGGTCACGTCTTCAAGGCACCGTCGGAGGCCCCTCAAGGTCCCCAAGTGGCGCGATCGGACGAGAAGCAAGTCTCACTCATTTCAGAAAAGCGGCTACGAATACTTCATACCCCACCTTATGCTATGCAGGATCCCCGCATTCATAATATGGATCGGCTATCAAAGTACTACATCGATTATTGTAAGCTTGTGCTCTATGGTCGGTAGGAAGAGACAAAGTTTTGGATATCCTAATATTAGCCACAGATAACCAACGAATATGCAAGCTATACATACTGTTTGATAGTGACAGTAATCCATTTCGGAACTTACTTTCATTTTCCCTGGAAGACTTGGCTCTACAAAAGTCTATTGTGGCTATTGCAGCTCGACATTTTGCCAACACAGGCCGTTCGTTCGATACGACCGATGCCGTTGTCCCCTCTCGGTTCGTGCATGCTAATATGGATGCGCTCTTGTTCAAGAAACAAACCATAGAGGCATTGTCCTCCTCTCTATCAGATGTGGGGTCTCGGAGAACGGAAGTAACCATGGCAACCATCCTTCTTCTCATATTTCTCGACATTCTCGAGTCTGGAATTGATGGCTGGGATTCTCACCTCCAAGGTGCAAGAGGCCTGCTTACCCTCAACCAGTCCTTGGTGAAATGTACTCCAAAATCCGATAAAAAGATTGATACTGGAGATACTGTTCGAGAAACGAGGAAATTCATAACGGAACAGCTCCTATTGTACGCGATCCAGTCTCTCAATTCTCACTAATGAACAATCCATTCGAATTCGCTATTGACACTTAGCAGAATTGAAACACTTGGAAGTGCGCTCTCGGGTCCCAGGATAGTGTCTGAAGCGTTTGTCGGCGATAATGGAATGAAACATCAAGAGTCGATAGTCAGGAGTTTTCTTGGATGCCCTGGCTTTCTTCTGAGAGCGGTACAATTCTTCTCCGATCAAAGATCCCTGATCACAGAATTCAGGAGGAGACAAGAAACTTCAAACATTTCAATCCTACAAGACACTCTGGCGATGCTTGATCTGACAGGACGTTTTGATTGCCTCGAGTGGGCGGCAGACCTCCAGCGATGTGCAGCGTCTTCCATAGAAGTCACAAAGCTGTGCATGCTATCGCAAGCGTACAAAACAGCGACTTTGCTGTACGGAACACGCGTACTTAATGCCCTGACTGCAGCAACATCGAATAACGAGGAGCTAGTTTCGCAATTGCTTGGCCTCATTGAAACCTTGCAAAATGATGCGATCCTTTTCAAGTGCCTCCTATGGCCAACATTTATCGCAGGGTTGGATTGTTGGGCGGAAAACCAACAGGCTTTTGTCATGAAGTTGTTGCGGGCGCTCTGGGATTCGACTAGTTGTTTGAACGTGATCGGTGCTTCGAATATTCTTCGGGACCACTGGAGGCGCGAGGAGATGCCTGAAACCTTGATGCATGAGATATCTGATGTTGATGGAATAGGTCGTGGTTGGCTTCTAATATGATAGATCTCATCAATGGAACCTACAGTGGTGCTGTCAATATACCCATTTCATGTCTCGAAATTTCTCGATCAAAATGCATGCACAAAACCTCTTTAGTATCAGCATTATCGACATTTGGTTTTACAAATCTGTACATTTCTTATTAACCAACAAATTGTGGCTCCATGGAAAGTAAAAATCAGTATCCCGTGAGTTGTTCACGAGATATGCTCGAGTACCTAGCAATCACCATGTGGAAGTATGCATTTTCTAGATCAGATGAATAATAGGCTCCGCTGATGGAGTATTTCGACGGAATATATCATTTAGGATGTACTCTTTTCCAACAAAAGTTGAACCACTGCATTTTGTCCGCTCCCCCGGGCAAAGTCTAATGGCGTTTGACCTTCATGATCTTTCAAATAGGTTGCTGCACCCATGTCAAGAAGGGCCTTCACAGAAGCCAAGTGCCCATTTTCGGCTGCCCATGAAAGGGCTGGCCTTCCATCATTGTCTTGCAAGTTGACTGCCGCGCCACGATTGATAAGGAGCTTGATCAAGGACTCCCACCCACGTTTGGCTGCTTGAAACAGTGGTGTATGGCCTTCCGAGTCCCTTGCCTCAACAGCTGCGCCTTTGTCGAGGAGAATATTCACAACTGTCTCGTGTCCTTCCCATGCCGCCACAGAGAGAGGCGTTTGGTCCAAAATAGAATGATCTATCCAGTCGATTGGCGCACCGAGATCGAGAAGCAACTCTACAACTGCCGCATGTCCCTTCGTGGAAGCCATTAATAGTAGTCCTCTGTCAGCTTGATTGTTCTCAAAATTGATTTCAGCCCCGCTTTCAATTAAATATCGGGCAACTTTTTCATGTCCATTTTCTGCTGCCTGGCCAAATGGGGACATGGACGATGAGCTCCTGTAATCGATCGAGGCGCCCGCTCTGAGAAGGATATCTACCACTGCGAGGTGCCCATTTTGTGCTGCAAATGCAAGTGGTGTGTGACCATGAAAATCCTCTGCATCGACTATGGCCCCAGCTTTTAAGAGGTCTTCGACAATTCTTCTATGTCCCTTTTGTGCCGCCAATGAAAGTGGTGTATTCCCCCATGCATCTCTGGAGTTGAAGGGGTATCTATGATCAATCAAGATGTCCGCTATCTCACTTAAGCCGAACCAAGCTGCAAGATGTACACTCGTCATCTTATGAGGCATCTGCCACAATTCGCCGTACTTTGCTGTTGTATACTCAACGGACAGTCCAAATGGAGACAATGCCTGGCTTGAGGGCGACCAGATTGTCTCACTAGTCAGATATTCTAATATCCGGCTTCGCAGCACTCCTTGGCGGCTTCCTCGATCTGGACCCGAGGCCTTCCTGGTTCTGAGACCAGCAATGTTAACCCCCGAATTTTCTTCCTGAAGGAATGTTTCAAAAGCATGATGCCCCCAGTTCACGATAGCATATTCATATAATGCGTTTAAACATAGTCGTTGGTCAAGTTCAGACTTGGTCAGCAAGCGATTGCTCTTGAAAGCGTCAAAAGATAGGTAGGTTAAACAAGTCTCGGTAATATCACTCTGCCCGTAAGGGAACCAAAGCTCCTGATTTATCTGCAGGTACTCCTGTGTTGTGTAATGTACGAAACGCACAATGCGGCTTTCTTCGTCGATGGTGATGAGCCCGATGCACAAAGAGCTCAAGAGAGACACCGTTGGAACATAATCTCTGTCCAAACTCCTAGTATTTGGTTTGACTGCAAGAGCATCTTGGAGCTCGGCGGTCAAGATCGGTCGCCTAGCATAGAATATCCATGCTAGCGCTTGTTTCGCGAGATCCCGTCTCTATGGAATTTGGTTCTCAATCCGTTCCATGGTGTCGTTATACAAGTCGTTCAGTCCCGCGACTCCCTTTCTCAGTCTCTGTAAAGCATTTTTGACATGTCCTTTTGTTGGCAGAGAAGTGAGTGTATTGATGTATAGTTCTGCCAGTAGAAACCTGATTATTTCATTAGACGGCCTTTCCTCGATCTTTCCGCGGATTGCAACATTACATTCCATCAATAGCTGCAATAATCTTTGCGCTCACATCGTTTCTCAAATCTTTATCCCAGATGTCCACATCTTGAAGCTCCATTCGTTGCTCGAGGTATGTTGCTATGTCGTGGACGGGCGCATATATTGGAAACGGCTTCTTCTTGCCAAAATGTTTCTCGATCTCGGTGCTATCACGAGACGTTGCGAAAATGTTGGCTCCGTATTTGACCTGCAACTTGAAAGTCTCTGATAGCAGCGTCTTAAGGCCCCCTTCAGAGTTTGGACCTTCATCAAGGGCATCGATGAAGATAAATACCCTTGAGTAGTCCATCACCACGGCTGCCAAGGTAGCTAATATTTCCTCAATTGAGGGTACTGTTCTCTTCGTGCTGTGTTTAGAATATAGCATTCTCACCTCCGTTGGAAGAGACGATCGCATCTCAGCCAGTTGTCTCAATAGACTTGAGAGTAGACTTTCGACACATTGCTCGTCTCGTCGCCGGAAATTGCAGTAAATGTAAGCGACGCCTATATCTCCTGCATTCCCAGCACTTTGAAGGAGGCTGTCGATTGCAATTGAAGTGAGAATGGTCTTGCCAGCGCCCGGGGCCCCAGTGCAAAACATTGTCTTTCCGCTCTCTTTGCGCCATTCTTGAAATTCGGTGGAGTCAAGGAACCACTGGCCCGTACCAGACTGCCGTCTCTGATAAAAGTCCCTTTGCTGAGGAGCAAAATTGATTGTTGTGATCCAGTTGAGGATTTCGCGATCCTCCATTCTATCCAGCTTAGACCTGATGTTTTCGACCGTCGCCCCATTTTTGGCTAACATATTCATCACTGATCTTCTATTAGAACTGCCTTTTTAATATATGATATGTGTCAAGTAGGAACTTTGCCTGAAAATTCCAACTACTAGAAGTTACGTACGCTGCTTGGCAGAGGGTAGGTTAACGACTTCTTGTCCTGGTATCAACTGAAGGAGTTGCTTTGCGTAGCATGCTGCCGTCGCTGCTGCATATGGCTGCCAGACTTTGTTCATATGAGAATCAGCGTAGTCACAGATGCCTCGAATGACCAGGCAGGGAAATGAATCCATTAATCCTGTGGAAAATGTTAGAAAATGCGACTGATAGGGTAATGCTAAATTTTACCTGAAGCTTTCATTTCAAAACAGATAATGCTTTCCTCACGCGCCCATTTGTCTCTCAAGATAGCGTCTTTCATCATGTCGTCTGCAGAGCCGATAGTCCCATAGTGAATATGAGGATCGCCTCCTTTGCGAAGGTTCCGCTTGACGAGATTGATGTTATCCGGCCCACAACATGCCTTGCATGACTTCTTCTTGTCTACATGCACGACATCTGATTTGAACAAACGGTCTTTTGCTGTGGTTGGAAATTGGAATTCTTCAGCTATGCCTGGATAATTGGCCAACGCGCCCTCCAAAAGCTCACGGATCTTGTTGCCACCTAGCCTATGTTTTGCCCTAAGGGCAGAGACTCCAGTTCGCACGATCTGGGGCGGTTTATCCAACTTGCCGCCCATGTGAACGAACCCACGTCCCTGAATCGACTTCCCAAAGTCATACTGTACGACAGCTTCGGTTGACTTTGTATTTTGACTTACTACAATATCACCGAGTCTGATGTCTCTTATCTCGTCATCGTCATGATCAGCTTCAGAATCATCTTCAGAATCATCTTCTTGGGCCTGTTGTGTCCCATAATATGGAGCTCCGCCTCCAATGCCAACCATTAACCCGAATCTGACGGCTGGAAAGCTACGAAGCATATCATTCGCAACATAGGCTGCAGAAACCTTCCCCGTTGCTTCTGAGGGTAGACATGCGATAACAACGTTGTGGTTGCCGATCTCGCCAAGAATATATGAATTTTTGTCCTTGGCATCGGCCGCCGGAAGGATAGGATGCTCTTTATCAAGCATGGCTGTGGCTGCCACCATCTCAGTCTCGGGCAGAGCACATATCCATCCAACGGTATAATCACCGTGGACGAACTGGTGGGGATCGGACATGCTCGGCCTATCAAAGGAATACTCCCAGTGTAGGGAGATTTCTAAAGATAGTTGATCGAAGAAGGGTTGTAGTTAAACGTGTATATTGACACGAGAGTTAGAGGTCGGGAATCACCCTCAGCGAGATGGACTGAAAATTGCAAAAGAGGGGCTAAAAAGGGCGCTTAGGATCATCAAATACACGTTCACTGCACGCCGGAGACACTCGACGGGACAATAATCAGCCGCAAGCGCTAAAACGTGTTGTAGATATTATTTGTTCAAACTCATTTATCTGACCCACTTAAGCTGAGAACATATGCACATAGCCACCACTCACGTCGGTATTGGGCGCTATGCAGAACAGTAGGCCCGTAGTGCCTCTCAAGGCGGAATCGTAATATGCCCTAGCTTCGTCGACGTGATGCCTTGGTCTAATGTTTAATTGCGCTTTCGACGATACATCATCTATACATGTTTGATACGCGGCTTTGTAGCTATATTACAGCACAGCTCTGGATCTAGATACATGCTACTAACTTGATCTATTACCTAAATTTCGACTATTTAACAACTTCAAAATTGTCTAAACATTGTTTCCCCTGCGACTCGATTATTTAATTAGCTATAGCGAACCTGTGGGCGGTGGCGTAGAGTAATCGTGACTGGGTAATTGGCCTCGAGACCATATTAGGCCAACTACGGCGGACGGTAGACTTCCCCAAAACTCCTGAAGCCTACTCAATGCCTTTACCGCTTCTTCCACCATCCTATACGCTCTACCCGAATATCCCAAAATCCACTTACCTAGGTAGGTAGGTACGTCTAACTATATAGCTTATATCATAAATCACACAGATGGTTACTAAAGCGTTATCTATAGCCCTATTTACTAGTTTATGTATTAACGTTGGTGATTTAGGAGAGTAGGTATAAGACCCTAGGTCTTGAGATTGGTTTTGAGATTGTACCTAGATTATATTTAGGTTTCAGCTTAAGTAATCTTATTAGTTGGTTGATTTAAATTTATTTTAATCGGTTGCCTATAGTAAAATTGCTTTTCTATACGGGATATAGGAAATGTATAGATTATATGGGATAAAGAATCGCTGAACTCGAGATTCTGCCGGTTTGAAAATCGCTAACTAAGGGTTTTGGGTCCCCTCTACCGTCCGCCTTAGCCAACAGCCCACCTGCCCCGCTTAACTCTAAGTGATCATCATCAACTTGAAAGCTGATCTTGCCCCGCGAATCCCCTAATCAATCATCACATCTGTGAATAGTTATTGATTATTGATTATAATCCGATCGGAATACATTGATTTTACCAGAACGCCATCATGGGTATCCTCGGCCACCACAATCTCCAGCCGTTTCTCGAGCCTATCGCCATTTTCGACCAATTCGTGGCGAAAGAGCCCCAGACGCTTGTTATGAAAGAAAAAGTCTTGTCTGTCTCTGGCGATAGCTTCGAGGTCAAATTGGCCAATGGACAGTCGCTGCTGAAAGTGCATGGAGCTTGGGTCTCGATATCTGGTCGCAAGAAGGTTGAAGACATTCACGGAAAGCACCTCTTTGATATTGTCAAGGAGCATCTGCACCTACACACAACTTATGCGATCGAAGACTCGCATCGCAAGAAGATCGCTGAGGTTAAGAACAATCTCTCCGGTGAGTTCCATCGTTTATAGACCTAGGACTACTTGATACGTGATCAGAGTCCATACATATGAGATACATGTCTAACTATACTATGTAGTGCTTGGCTCCAAAGCAACCGCCACTTTCACAGATTCGCAGGGCAAAGCTGTGACATTGAGAATGAAGGGAGGCTGGTTTGATCATAGTGCCGACATTGTAGATGAAAAAACCGGCAATCCAGTCGCTCGCATTGATCGGAAGTTGCTAAGCGGCCGGGACCTTATATTTGGCCAGCAAACGTATGCCGTCGTCGTGGCGCCTGGTGTCGACGCGGCATTGATCGCTGCCTTGTGTATTTGCTTCGATGAAAAGAACAATGAGCCATCTAGCTAGTCGCCATGCTAGAGTGCAGTGCTTCAATATTTTTTGGTTGAGAATTCCTGTTTAGTCTCATTTTTGTCATTTTACGTGATATTCATACTTCATAGGCTGGAGATCGTAGTCCTGTTTTATCCCGAATATGTCAAGGTTTTAACCAGCAAGGACCACTCGTTCGGAGTGCTTCTCCACAATAGGCAAGATCTCAGAGAGCCTGTTCGGGTCTCTCATCAAGGCTGGAATGTCATCTCGCGTGCCTGCCAGGATCTGAAAGGTGTCAGCAAGTCATACAAGTGCCCAGTGGCAGAGAGATCTTACCTGTCGGACCTTCTCATATTCGCATTCCTTGGACTGATATTCCCGAATCACCTCGCGAGTCTCGAAATCAACATAGACGCGGGTATCTCGAAGGCGAATCAGGACATTGTCCAGGCGCATGAAAAACCTCGACAATAGAAGGAGTCTGCCCGGCATCACTCGAATCTTGCAGGACAACATCGCAATACCATTATCCGCGAGTTCATCTTCATATAGCACAACTTCGTCAAAGAATAGGATAGGGTCTGGGCGCTTCAACAGTTCGATGGGAATCGGCTTCTCGGTGTCTTCAAATGGTCGCGCTTTGGGACTGAGCGTGCCCTTGTAATCAGTGCTGTACGACCAGTCGAACGGCTTGACGACCTCTTTGATCCCCTCGTGTGTTTTCTCTCTATTTAGAAATATCTCGTCAGACCAATAGGGAACAAAGAGGGACGTATCATAGAGGACGCCTCGCATTACCTGCTTTGTTGCCATTCCTTAGAGTATGCGACCTGAAGCATAGACTGTCCGGTCTTGTCCACTCGGTCCAACGCGTCGAAAGCGTTAAAGTCGATCCCCCAACCAGTTTTCTCGTGTTCAATTGTAACATGGTTATCGCCAAAGATCATCTCTGGTGGTGCAATGCCTAGTTGCTTCGTCATCTCCTCAATCGGTTCGGCTTTGAGAATGGGGAGCTTCTGCGTGGCGATGCGGAAGCCCCCGACGGAGATCATATTGGGCTTCTTCATCTCTGGAGAAACTGCCCCATGGCCCGTAGGCGTAGCAGAGTGTCTGGAAGCCATGGGCAGATCAAATGTAGACCATGTCGTCACAAAGAAAGCGTTATCGATCAATCTCGCGCTGATAGCGATCGCCCCGCGGCACACGGAGAAAGAGGCGGGCCGAGGCGTTGCTGGGGTGACGGGCTGGGGCGGACATCCAAACACCCGTTCCTCTCTTCTCGATCTCCGTCTCCATTCTCCATTCGACCATCCGACCAATTCGACAAACACGCCAACTTGAATTATGCTTGTGCAAGCTTGATTCAATTCTCCTGTTCTTTTGCTTTCTGCCGACCACCACCAGCTACTTCCCATTTCTTCCCCCATCGCTTTCTTCCCTTTTTCGCACCCTTTTCTAGCAATGGCGACCAAAACGCTGGAAGCTCGTTTCGAGCACCTGTCCGTTAAGGACGAGAAGGAAACTGGAAGTGATCGCACCTATGGAAAGCACAAGGTACTACAAAGCTTCGATCATTGGACAAAACAGCATCATACTGACTCGATCTCGCTGAAGGGCTCCCTCTCGACCGCCGTCTCGCTATCCGGCCTTGGTGGCTCATCTTCCAACTCCAACCGGGCCCACCTACTGAAGCTGGCTCTTCAAAACACCAATGACAACAAGGTCAATTCGATGAACGTTCCCCCTTCGCCTGGCAAGGTCTCGCAGGGTGCACTTGTGTCTCGCAACATTGACGAGAACGGCGATCAGCGCAGCGCCGCTCCGCTGTACGATCAGCCCAAGTCGCTGCACCTGGGAATGTTTGAAATTGGAAAGCCCCTCGGAAAGGGCAAGTTCGGTCGTGTCTACCTTGCCAAGGAGCGATCCTCGGGCTTTGTCTGCGCCCTCAAGGTGCTTCACAAGTCGGAGCTGCAGCAGGGTGGTGTCCAAAAGCAGGTCCGTCGTGAGATCGAGATCCAGAGCAACCTCCGTCACCCCAATGTCCTCCGACTGTACGGTCACTTCCATGACAGCAAGCGTATCTTTTTGATCCTCGAGTTCGCCGGTCGTGGTGAGCTGTACAAGCATCTTCGCAAGGAGCACCGCTTCCCTGAGTGGAAGGCTGCTCAGTACATCGCACAGATGGCAGCAGCCCTGAAGTATCTGCACAAGAAGCACGTCATGCACCGTGACATCAAGCCCGAGAATATTCTGGTCGGCATTCACGGTGAAATTAAAATCAGTGACTTTGGCTGGAGTGTGCATGCACCCAACAACCGCCGCCAGACGATGTGTGGAACTCTCGACTACCTGCCCCCAGAAATGTTGAAGCCCGGCTCGCAGGACAACTACTACAGCGAGAAGGTTGATTTGTGGAGTCTTGGTGTTTTGACCTACGAGTTCTTGGTCGGCGAGGCACCCTTTGAGGATACCCCGGTGATGACCCAGCGACGAATTGCCCGTGCAGACATGTCTGTGCCATCCTTCGTCAGCCCAGAGGCGAAGGATCTGATTAAGAGGGTGAGTTTTTCCTTCTCGTCCCAATTATGGACTCACTTGCTAACTGCTTATAGCTCCTCGTCCTCGACCCCGAGAAGCGCATTCCCCTTGATGAAATTCAGCGCCACCCTTGGATCGTCAAGCACTGTGTGAAGGATCCCAAGCGGAGCTCAGGCTCTTCCAAGGATGGGAAGGCATGATGACCTATGCATGACAGACTGGTGTTCAGGTTTCTATTTTTTCTTCTTCATTTCACCCCGTGTCCCGCGACATGGTTTTCAGGCGTCGGTTCATGGGCATCATTGGAGTTATTTTCTTTCATGGAGTATAGTCGGGCAGGCATTTGCGATATGGGACATGTGGGCTTTTAATCTTCGTTTTCATTCGATGCCAATGCAAAATATGTATGGTACATTCAAATCAGTTCTATGGTACAGAGTATTCGGTGTTCAGGACGAGTGGAGTCGTAGACAGAAAGGAAACGAGCAGGGGGAACTTGGTATCATCGGTAAATTTCATCAAAGGGCCTCGTGTCACGGAAACAGCTATCCCACACTTCGTTCACCACCTGCTCGGCATGAGCCTCGTCTCGGCAAGTCGGGCGTGCCCTCACAGAGAGAATCGCTCTCCTTCTCACACACTCTTGATGCTGTTGAGTAAACTTCCACTGGCCACGGCGGAAGAACTCTCGCGCCCATCTGCATTCGCCGCTCAAGGAGCTAGCTCGGATCTAAACGAGTCAAGAGTGAGTAAAAATGGTACCAAGACAGAGTGGATCCAAAATCCCAATTGAATCCCATACCTCTGTACAAGCAGCGTGCCGCAAGTTGTCCGTCCAGTTGACCTTGAATCGCAAGTGGTCGTATGCGTGAACCATCTCGTGAGCCATAGTGTCCTCCAAGTGACCCTGATCCTTCATCTCATTGGCACACAGCAGAATGCCGAATTCAGGATCAAATCCACCAGCCTTTCGACTCGTGCAACGACGGCAGTAGATGTTATGGCTGTGGAGATCGCCTCCAAGCTGGCGGATGTTATCGCTGAGGAATCGGATGACGGGGCCTGTGCAGATAAAGGCTTAGTCTCTTGGAGCTGACTATGCACCACCCAATATTGGATCACTTACTGTACTGAAGCAAGTAATCACGCTGGTCCTCGCAGCGTTTGCAATCCGCAGATTCATTGCGCAGGTCTCGCGCAACGCGGAATTGCTCAATGCCCTCGGAGGTCATCTTCCCCGTCAAGATCCGGTAGATATTGCGGAACTGGGTAAACGTGTCATCCCCAGAAACATATCCAGTCTCCGGCTTATCATTTGAAGGTGCAGCCGCACCTGGCGACTGAGAATCGGACATCTTGGACTCACAACTTCCAGAAGAGCGCGCCGGACGAGACGAAGAAACTCCGATAGGCGGAGGAACCCGGCAGAATAACGGCCGAAGAAGCTCCGATGAAAGCGGGAGGACGAATCTTTCTCGGAAGACAAACTGCGGGGTACAGCGATCTTTTGCTATTTATCGCCATTGCGAATTGCAAGTGTGTCGGGGGAGGGCCTTCTTTTTCTTTTCGATTGATTTCCTCGCGCAAACATGGCAGCCCGGGGGCTAACGATTGTCATCAAATTGGGTGCGGGGAAATATATCTGTGAATGATTTGATGGTATGACTCAACTAACATGTTTAATGGTTTGATAGGGACGAGTTCAATTGTCGACGAGAAAACACACGAGCCTATTCTCTCGATTTTGACGCTTATTGTCGAGACGGTAGCACGATTGCGCAAAGATGGTCACCGTGTGGTGTTGGTCTCGTCGGGCGCTGTTGGCGTTGGCTTACGGAGGATGGATTGGGACAAACGCCCAACACACTTGCCCCGAATACAGGTATGAGCTGCACTCGAGAGTGTAATGGTTCTGAAGTGGAGGGACACCATGCCATGGGCAGGATTGCTGACAATGGAGTCTTATTCTTATAGGCACTTGCTGCCGTTGGCCAGTGTCGACTAATGAGTCTCTGGGACAACTTGTTCTCACATCTCCGAGTCCCAGTGGCTCAAATTCTATTGACGAGAAATGACATTGCGGATGTAAGATGCAAGCCCCCACTATTCCTGCATACTTGTCTCTAACACCGAAACAGAGAACCCAATACATCAATGCTCAAAATACGTTCGAGCAGTTGTTTGAGATGGGCGTTGTTCCCATTGTCAACGAAAATGATACCCTTGCTGTTTCTGTACGAACCCTCCTCAATTATATTGGCTATCGCGACTTGCTCTAATGCGCCATAGGAAATCAAATTTGGCGACAACGATACCCTCTCAGCGATTGCAGCGGCCACGGTTAAGGCCGACTATCTATTCTTGATGACCGACGTCGACTGTCTCTACACGGCCAACCCTCGAACAAACCCCGACGCTGAGCCCATCGAAGTGGTGTCCGATATCTCTCTATTGGAGGCTGATGTCTCGTCTGCCGGCTCAGCTCTTGGAACCGGTGGTATGAGCACTAAGATTGTGGCCGCCAAGCTTGGAACTAGCGCTGGCGTGACGACCATCATTACCAAGAGCTCCAAACCCGGCAACGTCCACGATATTGTCAAGTACCTCCAACGACTTCAAGAGGGACCCAACGCAAATGGCGACCAGCCTTCCGACATCCCACCTCCTCCTCTCCACACTCGGTTCCTCCCTTCTGATACCCCCATTCAATCCGTCACCTTCTGGCTGCTGCACGGCCTGACCCCCCACGGTACTCTCTACATCGATCAAGGCGCCTACGATGCGATCCTGCACCACAAGGCCAGTCTACTCCCTGCCGGAGTAGTTGGTGTCGAAGGACACTTCGCTCAGCAGGAAGCGGTGCGACTGGTCGTCGCGGAGAAGCCATCGCCCGATGCCCTGGATGGAGACTTTATTCACCACGCGCAGGAGCCACGAGAAGTGGGACGTGCGCTGGTGAACTACGGTGCCATGGAGATTGCGCTCATCAAGGGCCACCGAAGCACGCATATCGAGTCCTTGCTTGGTTGGTCTGAAAGTGAGTACGTTGCTTTGCGGGAGAACATCTCCTTCCACCCGGAAGAAAGCCATCCCGTGACGCCATCACTTACTCCCGCGCTGGAGGAGTGGAAATCGCCCAGGTCGCCACCTAACGGGCGGTCATAACGTTGCATGAATTATGTGAAAATGAATGAAGGAAGAATGTATAGATGTGGAGCTGTAAATACGAAAGGGATGATGCGAACAGCACAAAAAGTTTGAATCACATTGTGATCGCGGTGGGAACACTACATTAGACCTTGGCGAATCAACAGGTTGAAAAGCAGAGTGCAAGCTCAACACTTGTGCTCAATCATCGAGTCCTCAATTGAACCCAGAAGAAGTAGATGATACATGCAGCCCGTAATCAATCCTTCCAACGCTCCAGCCATTGCTGCATTCTCTTATCCAGCGTGGGAGCAGCAGCAGGGGCAGCCTATGTATATTAGCCAAGTCTTCCAAAAGCTGGGACCACACTCTACATACCGTGTTCTCAATACTGTGTGTAGTCCAGGTTAGATACGCGGTGTCCGTGTACTGCACCGTCGGCGCCCCCAGGTAGGTAGTCGCAATAGAGAAAGGGAAAGGCGGGTATTGTGGCGTGGGCGATCCAGTCGCAATAGTGGTACCAGCTCGCTTGGGCATCGGGGCATACTTGGTCAATCCTGTTTGCTCTCCATATGGAACAGTGTGCTGGTCCACGTAACGCTTTCGCAGCTCCTGGCGGTCCAGCGCGGTGGGAATAGTAGGCGTGGGGAATTGCAACAGTGATTCGCTCTTATCGGACACGTCGCTGTTGAGGACTGAGCCGTTGAGCATTGGGGGTAGGTTGGATGAGTCGAGTAGGTTTGCGTCTCCATCGGGTATCAAAGGGAGGGGAATGAATTGGATTGATTTGACGGCGTTGGAGATTGTGGTGGAGAAGGTTCCCTTCATGTTTGTCAAGGTAAAGTGCGAGGTGAATCCGGACCAGTGCTCCTTGGTGTTTGAAGGGACGACTTTGAGGAAGCTGATTAGGGTATGATTAGTATATGTTCAATTGGGCTTGTTAGTGTTGGGTTCTTGCGTACTACGCATTGGGATCGTTTCCACCGACGTCTTGATCAACTCGGAAGGATACGCGGTCTCCAGGCGCGTAGGTGCTGTCGCTGATTACTCGCGTCAAAGACTCCTGTATAGATCTATTTAGTTCTGTACCCGCAGAGTATAAAGATCGCAATTCCACTCACATATACGCCTGTTGACTCGTCACCAGCACAGAGGTAAAAGTCATAGCTCCCCGTTGTTTGGCCATCAAAGAACCAGATCAGACTCACTTCATCGCGGCCATCAAAGTCCAGGCCACTCAAAGTCTGGGCTGATGCCGCTGTAAACAAGGAGAGTAGAGCTGGCAATAATCGGTCGAATCTCATACTGGGTTTTGTCGGGGAGAATGAAGAGGAGAAGAACAGATTGGAAGATATGACTGGGCCAAGGGGGTGACTGCTGTCCTCTCTGCCCTCCCTTGGCCCGTGGTATGTATTTGGTGCATCACCCTGGCGAGGGAGGAGTGTCTCATTCCAGAGAACTTCCAGCTGGGCAAATGATGTACAGCGCTAAGATAAACGATAAGATAAGCCGATAAGCCGATAAGCCCATGTGGTCCGTGCTATCGGGTGGCCTTTTGTTCCGTCGACTGACCGACTCGCCGCTTTCTCCGTCCGCATCAGCCCACCCACACCATGTCGAGTCAGGCCGGTTGGAATTCAGTGACGGGCATTGCGACCCTGTTGCTGGATGGCAACTTGATTGCCATTGCTGTTGCGATTGTGATTGCCTTTGGTGTTCCTGTATTTTTGCATCTCGTCTTCTACCGTGCAGCAGCGTCGCCGCCGTCGAGTAACTTCCTCCTGTTGGGCCCCAGCGGAGCTGGTAAGACAGCTTTCACGACTCTCGTAAGGCCCCCAATCTCACTTTTCCTATATGAAATTTCTTGCTAATACTGTCTTACAGCTCGAGTCAAAGTCTTCACTGGCTTCCAAAAAGTCGCCAAGCACCCACACCTCCCAGACCTCAACCCTCATCACCGTTACTCTGCCCCCGAGCGTCCCCACGGCGTCCAACCGCTACCGATCCGTCAACGATCCCTCTTTGAATGAAGCATCGAAGAACCCTGTCAAGTACCGACTACGGGATACCCCCGGCCATGGCAAACTACGTGCTTCACAGGGCATCGCTGAGCTCCAGAGCATGGCCGCATCCACCGACACCAAGACCAAGCTTCGTGGCGTGATCTTCATGGTCGATACCGCTGCCTTGGTGGACGAGGCCACCCTCCGAGATACCGCTACGTACCTCCACGACGTTCTTCTGATCCTTCAGAAGCTGGCGCTGGGCAAGGGCAAGTCGTCTACGAAACGTGCGGCCGAGATCCCCGTTCTGGTTGCCGCGAACAAGCAGGATCTGTTCACGGCTCTTCCTCCCGGGTCAGTGCGGGAGAAGCTTGAAGCGGAGATCGATCGTATCCGCAAGTCTAAGACCAAGGGTCTCATGGACGCTAGCATGGACAGTGCTGGACTGGATGCTGAGGAGGATGACGTCCTGGGCGACGATGATGCCCAGGGTGTCTTCAGCTTCAAGCTTTTGGAGCAAGTCGGCATCAAGGTCGACGTCACTGGTGGTGCCGTCAAGGGCGATCAGCAGGAGGAGTATGGCTCTGGCGTACGTCGCTGGGAAGAGTGGGTCGGTATGTGCTTGTGAGAAACATGAATTTCCAAGCTCTCGTTTCACCTGACGACTTCCCTTGCTATGATTTGCTCTGAATGTTTCTATCGCTGTTGTTGTTGTATTTGGGATCTAGCCTTACCCTTGGATTGAAAATATACTTCTTGTACCTATACTGGACTGCTGTTTGTGATCGCTAGTAGCATCACAAGGTCGGCCCTTAACAAAATCGAATTCCCCGCTTATCAATGCCGTACTAAGACGCTATCCTAACTAAGCTGCTAGCGTTGATGCACCACGCAGCAGAAACCTACTTGTATTATCCAACAGCCACCACCTACTAACAATTTTAACGGCAATTGAAACTGCTCGCTTGGTTCACATCACCCATACCGCTATACGCCAACTGTGAGGGATAAAGGCATAGATCCCGCGACACAGTTTGTCCAGCGGCGTTGGTAGTTGACGCAAAAAGCGTCTCTGGAGCTGTATCATTCTCTACCCAAGCCGTCAATGCCGCGAGCGGGTTTACCGGTACTGGACCCGACCCTCCACCACAGTGTGCTGCCCCTGGGGCCAGGAACAATCGATAGAAGGGGTTAATTTTCTCAGCTCCGCCCATGCTCGCTGTAGTAGCATTCCAGTACGTAACAGTGCCCGAATGAGCAATATACTGATCTGCTAGCCCGTGCCAAGTCAGAAGCTTCCCTCCACGACGAAACTCGTCTAGTTTGGGTTGAAGTGTTCCGAACTGAGCAGAAAACTTTTCTACTGAGAGGTCAAAGGCTGTTCGGAAGTCTTGATATGTCATGTTCAGGGCAGGGTAATTCGGGTCTTGAAAGACGAAGTTTTGGATCCAGTATTCTGCTGCTTGGAAAGGCTCGATAACGAGAGATCCGTTGACCACAGTGGTGCTAGCTAGGCCGCTGAAACTCGCGCCCGGGGGCACTCCGTACCAGAGAGATTTGCCGTCTTGACTGGTGGGGCCTTGGTGTATCTTTCGAACAGCATTTGCGTCTTCTGAGGTGATTGTGATGCTCGAGTTTATGTCACTGCAGACGATAGATTGCCCAACAAGGCTAGATGGGTCGAATGTACAAGAATCCGGATTGTACATTGAGACCAAGCCATCCAATACTCCGTCCAAGCCATCGCAATATTCGATGATTGCGTCTTGATATGCACTGAACACACATTGCGGGAGCGCGACCTCATTTCCCATCACCACAGATGGCCAAAAGTCCGCCAGGGAGACTTGCGGTGTATTAATAGCCGGAGATATAGCCAATATCCCATTAACATCCGTCGGATAGTGAGTTGCAGATAGATAGCCTTGTCTGCCGCCAGTAGAACAGCCATAGTAGTAAGAGTATTGCTCAGCATGGCCACAAAACGTGCGAAGAACTAGCTTCGCGATGACATTCATATCATGGATGGAACGGTAGGCAAAGTTTGTCAACAGCCCAGAATTCAAGGAGCCATCGTTGTTGAGTACCCACAGACCCGAAGATGCGCCGATAGTTCCGTTATTGGATAATCCTGCGTCCGTGGCTGCGGAGACGTATCCCAATGCCACGCCGGGTGCTTGTTCTACTTCGAATTCGCCGGCGAGAAGCCCGCCACCACCGGTTGCGAGAGATTTTCCGTTCCATGATTGAAGAGGAAGCCAGACTGAGATAATGACTACATCATCATCTCCTGGATGAGTGAGTGTCACAGTGACATTGCAGAAATTGATGGATGTCACTTCTGTTGGAGCGATGCCTTGAAGATAGGGAGATGTATAGTTCTCCTCTGCGTTACTAAAGACCGACAGAATCTTGAGTTCGCCAACATTCTTGGGGAGATGAACCTTGTTACAGGCCTGCGAGGGCGTCTCAAGAGAGAAGGTAAATTTGAAAAAAGAGAGGACGAGCAAACACAAAAGCATTGTCTTTGTTTGAATAGCGTATGGAGTTCTCTTCGGCTCAAAATCCTTGATTGTCAAAGCTAGACCAAAATTATATTTGCAAAACAACTAATACTTCTTCTATTAGCCTGTATCGACTCATTGCATGGTAGCATGTAAGATAGAATCATAATGACATTTTTTCATCTGTAGTAGAGAGTTGATCTTTCCGCCAAAAAGGCGATATGATATGTTCACAACCCGATCCCCGCGAAGCGTAGCCCTCGGCAACACTTCGGCACAAGCGGGGGAATTCCAGGACTATCCATTCTCATTGGCCGTAAAGCCTTCGGACACCAGCTTTGACCTCTTCGTCTTCGGGACTCTACAGAGACTAGGGAGACTGGATTCTGGGGTTATTGTGGGTCCTGGCTGAAAATCCGGGGTTTCAGTGGATATAAGTACACAGGGCGGGCAATAGCGGCCACCGACCATTTTCATAAGCAGATATCGGTTGCAGAATTGACCAAGTGAAACTATTCCAGCGCGCGTATTCCTGCTTTTCTGGCTCAAAGACCGGGCATATATCTCAAGTAGTCAAGGAGACAGCGCTTGTTAAGTTAGCAGAATAAGATTTCTGTATTCAAACTAGCCAAGGGTACCTAATTGAGATATCCTTAGGCCTAGTAAATGAGACAAGAGCGGTCCTTCAAGTAGCCAGGAGGATACCCAATCATATGTTTCTGATCGTTGGCCGCTATTGCCCGCTCTAGACCGTTGTAAGCGGCCGCTGCTCTACACATCTGCATCCGCGTAAGATGTGTGTCTAGCTCATGATGGATAAATCCCTACAAAGTCCGGGACCTGAGATACTAGGATTACCTAGGCTTTTGAACCTTAGTCTTGAGTTCAGTCAATCCTAATGCGCTTGGATCCTTTCAAGATCGTTTTCTATTATTTTATCCAAACGAGACGATATTGAAATTTCATCTTCTATTATGGCCCAAATGAGTGGATCCAAGACAGAGGAGCTCTCTGGAGATAGTATTCCCGAGGCCCTGAGCACCGAAGGTACAGAGCCCTCAAAGTGTGAGGTCGCACATACAGAGTACGCTTCTGAAAGAGATGTCTCGGATGTCACAACGAATTGGACTTTAAAGAGAGCTATTGCAGTTGCCAGTCTGGCTGGCTTATACACTGGTGGGTCTCTCTTAACAACACTCCTTCTATCTAGATAACCCGCTTGCCTTCACTAACCCTGAGTCTCGATACATACAGGATCGCAAATTATGCTCTACTTCGTCGGCGGTGCGTTGAGCTATGTTGAAGAGGATCTAAATGCGGCCGACAATAGGGCCTGGCTGCCGGTGAGCAACACACTGGCGATTGCTGGAGTCGCCCCATTCGTTGGCTACCTGCAATATTTCTTTGGACGTCGGAGAATTACACTCATTGGTGAAGTAGTTATTATGAGTGGGCTTGTAATTCTCGCAACATCCCATCACTTCAGACAGGCTGTGGCTGGGATGGCCTTGTGCGGTGCAGGAGCGGCGGTTTGCGAGCTGACTGCTCTAGCTGGGTAAGCTAGGAGAGATATTTGGGTCAAGGATGGGAACAGCGCTGACATGAACTCAAATCCAGCATCGCGGAAATTGTCCCTGTCCGAAGCAGGGGCTGGTCTATAGCACTTTTGGGCATCTTTCTTATCCCGTTCGCACTATACGTGCTCTACGCTCAGCTTTTGTCGTACTATCACACATGGAGATGGACAATATGGCTTTCACTGTTAGTATGAATGCTCTCCTTGGTATGTTACATTCTGACATCATACAGGATTTATAATGGTCTCTTTTTCCTAGGCGTTTTGACCACATATTTTCCAAAGAAACGCTATGACCCAGACAACACGCAGGAAGCAGCAACATTCCGAAATATTGACTACGTTGGCGCTGTCTTATCTATTGTCGGTATTACTCTATTGTTAGTGAATCGTGCATCCTACATCAGCTCTCTACTTGCACCTTGTTGACTCAGGCGTATCGCTAATATTGATGATTTATGAGCAAACAGCCTGGTAGCTATACAAGCTAGTGGGGGCTCCCATTTTTCCTGGTCCAGCACTTATGTTCTAGTACAACTAGCTCTCGGCATAGTCCTGATCATATCCTGGGCAGTCTGGGAGTGGAAGTTTGCACGTGTTCCAATGATCCCGCACGCAATGTTCGCTGGACAGCGAACAGTTGGTCTGGCATTTCTGGTGGCCTTTATTGCGAGTCTTGACCTCTATTCGTTGATAAACTTTCTCCCGTTGACCTTCTCAGAGGTTTACTCTCCAGAACCACTGCAGATCGGACTACGAGGTTTGGGGTACGGAATTTCGGTGACGGCCGGAGCCACAATTTTTGGCATGTTACTGTCAGTGACATGGCTTCCATGTAGGTGGATTATCACCTCGGCGGCAGTTGTCATGAGTGAGTAGCCCCAAAAATGGTTGGAAGTCTGTTGAGTGTATTGTATACTACAAATTTGGTCTTCTTCCATCAATCAAATAACAAAATTCGGGATCCAGCCGCCTTTGGTGGTGCGATTGCAATCAGTAACCCAACAAATGTCAAGTTGACCGTGGCTTTGGGCACAATTGGCGGATTCGGTGTTGGGGTAATACTAGTCCCTGCTGCAACACTGGCAATGATTGTGGTTCCTGACAGTTTACTCGCTACGACAGCCGCACTGTCGCTCTCTATCCGAACGGTGGGTGGGTCTATTGGCAATACCATCTATTTCAATATATTCATCAACAAACTCGCTCCTGCGCTGCCCAAATTCATCATCGAACATCTTCTTGACGCTGGGCTAAACGCATCTGATGCCACGGCTTTTGCGGAAGTCTTTATGACCGCCCCGGATAACGTCACGCAGCTTGCAAGCTATTCGTCCAATATCGAAACTGCAGCAGTACTAGGGAAGCAGTGAGCTTATGCTTATGCGTTGAAATATGTGTGGTACACGAGTATTCCCTTCGGATGTCTAGCAGTTTTTTCAGCACTGTTTTTACCAGATATTCGGAAATATCAAACAGACCGAGTGGCAGTTTCCCTTTAGTTAAGGAGACAGAATTTTGGTTTGTTCTCAGGTCCTAGTCGCAGCTGGGGAAGAAATCGCAGGCAGGTACTACATGCAAGTGGTAGTGTTCGGTCCATACTTCCCGAGATAGTGACTTGAAGCAAAATGCCGTCAATATATTCTAAGCTATGAACACTGTAGTGAAGCATTGTGGAGACAATCTAGCTGAAATATTGTCTCTTAATCACTCTCTTCTCACAATTAGGTTAGAGCCATCCGGCTTGGCCAATCAAAGTGTTCCATCCCATAACACGGTCAACATCTCGGAGATGAGTGTCGATACTACTGTAAAGCCAACCGTGAGCCTTTGGAAGAGAATTTTCAAACATTCAGCTCAGCTTTGATAATAAAGTGGAATGAGGGCTGCTGAAGTGATCAGATCGTGATCAGATCGCAGGATTTTGGTGTTCATCTTGCGTTTCCCCAACTTGAAGGATTTATTTGTTGATCAGGGCACGGTTTGTTTTGATATGACTGATTTAAATATACGCCTAACGCCGTCTTCATAATATTGACACTTCTCTCACTCCTTTATAGCACGATTCTATAGTCCCATGAAAACAAAGCGATATTCAGCGACAGAGAACCTTCAGATTTATCACGTAGGTAATGTACCAAGAACAAGTTCATATTGAATAGCCAAATGAATGTTTAGGAGGAAAGTCAAGGTACCCCGAGGCACCGGCAGTATACATTTCAATATGGTCACCTCTGAAGAGGGCTAGTTTACTTCATCAAGGCAAAAACAAAGCCAAAAGTAGAAAAAGAATATAAACAAAAAAAGGAACAAAAGGAAAATCCGCTCTTCCACCCCCGTCTCACATGTTCTTAAGATTAAAGTCTGGATTTTATTTATAACCAAGATTCATTTAGGTCTCTAGCCAAGTCATACACTATAGACACGGAGTATATAGAACATATTCTCTGAATATATACGTAAGAGATATAGACACATTCCAAGGTTAAAGAGAGGATCATACACATAATACTATAAGAAACTTTCGTGACACTACGACTCTAAGCCAAATTAGGAACGTACCTTACGAGCAGTACACAGTATATTCAAAAGCCCTTATATATACAGTGAACATCGTGAACGCCAACGACACGGAAGCTGACCAGACGCGACGCGGGACCGACCCGAAGGACATCATCGGCACCACGCTCGAAGGCGCCCCAGTCGATGACGTGATGGCCTACGCAATCATGTCTTGTTTCCCTCGCCGTGAATGGTACAAAAAAAACAAGGATTTCGAAACCGCACGTTCCCTCCGCGGATCACGACCCGCGCGTGTCATGGCACCCGTCATCGAAGCATTTGGCATACGCTGGATTCCCCTTATGGCGGGTCGCACACTGCTGACAGGTGCTCAGCTCGCGGATATCTTTCCTTTACTCCTACGCACGGAGCGTATCTCGGGCGCGAGTTCAAAGTCCTAAAACAAGAGCTAGAAAAAAAGGCCTAGGTAAAGCCGTTTCAACCTTGTCTATTTCCGGAGATATTCCGGGATGTCTTTCCAATTATCTTTTCAGAGAGCCCTGGTAAGATGTTTCAATTTATCTTTTGAAGTATAACTAGGAAGATGATTTAGAAGGTTAGTCAGGGGTCTCAGGCTTACCTAGCTTTGGAACTCCCCCGTATATACGTATACAGAACCACCTGACTGCTCCCGGATAGTAATCTTAGTATCCTTAGACCATTTTATACTCGTTAGGGAGGTCTGTTTCTAAGCATCGTAGTGCCATAAGTATGATCCAGAAGATTTTAAGAATTCAACCCCTTGAACGCAAATCAGTAGAAATCCACGTCACTTCCCACTCTCCCAACTAACTCCCAGCGTCTGCGCAACCCGATCATCAATCCAATCCTATATCCACACATTAGCATCTCCCTCAGAATACACCAACTCCCAACTACGAAAACCAAACATACCCATAACTCCCTCCCAATCTCCTCATCCCTCCCCAACCTAGTCGGCTCCTCCACCTTGGCAATAGGTACATAATACCCACCCCTCTCGTCCCGCACACTAACCTCGGGACTCGTCGCTAAATAAACTGCCGTCGCCGCAGCCTCTTCAACACTCTGCCCAAACATCCTGCCCAACCACCTTATAACAGCCCCAATCACCCTGCCCAAATGCTCACTCCACCCCTGCCACTGCTGCGTGACCACGTTCCCCGGGAAATACGAATTAACATAGACCTTTTTTGCAGCGAGGTCTTCGTCTTCGGCAAGTCTGCGGGTAAGTTCCTTGCTGAAGAGGATGTTGGCTAGTTTGGAGCGGGCGTAGCGCCAGACGGAGTCGTGGAGGGCGGGCCATTTGTTTGTTGGCCGAGTTAGACTGGTTAGGTCCAGGTGGCGGCAGAGTTGGTGCAGGCTGGAGGAGGCGACTACTATTCTGGAGCCGTGGGGGGCATTTGAGGTTCCTCGTTTAAGGAGGGGGAGGAGGAGGGTTGTTAGGATTTGGTGGCCGATGCAGTTTGTTGTGAAGATTGGGTCTATGCCGTAGGTGTTTAGGGGGGCTATTTTTTGGATGCCGAGGCCTGTGTGGGATTGTTAGTAGAGTATCAGATGTAAGGCGTAGAATGTATAAATTGAGCGTTGCGCTTAGTAGTGAAATGTGTATACATACCTGCATTGCAGATTAGGATATGGATGTACTCTGTCTGCAGCTTAATCATCTTTCCCGCCGCGTAGACATCCTCGATATCACCGAGATCGCACTTGATAAAGGTGACTCGAGAATCATCTTGGCCAAGCTCAATTCCCTTTCTGACTCGCCATTCATCATAGGCAGTGTTGAACTTGTCTTTGCTCCTCGCGACGATGAAGACCTTTTCGATTCCGTGGAGAAGCAGCTGTGCCGTGATTTCTACATAGTCACAAAAGCGAGATCAGATAACTGCGCTCCGTGATGATGAATGGGAATGCCCGTAGGAGCTGAACCCTACCTTTTCCAATACCCGCTTGTCCGCCCTCGAAGATGATTAGCATGTGAAGGTAAATGAAGCGCGTGCATGTCATACCGTCACCACCGCCACCTGTCCCTCCAGAGACGGTGTATCCTGTAACGAGAAGTTGTGATAAGTGAAAACTCCAGACATTTCGTGTTATGATTGATCCGTTGGATTGGTTTTGAGGAGTTGTATAGGGTTAGGTCAAGCTCAAGCTGGAGCTTGGGGCGATAAGGCTGCCGATAAGGCGAGATACGTCATACCTGCGCAGGAACGAGACGGCAAAAAAAAGCAAGAGACTCCAACCCTACAAAGGTTACGTTTTGGAAACAGGTTTAATCTTGTCCATGTCGATTCGACGAGGATCTATAGAGGATGTGTATTATGTATAGAAGCAACGGGATTCATCCGCGGAGCATGATCTATAAAGAGATTCCTTTCCACCAGAAGTCGTGTTGAACCAGATCGGAGGGCATCCCAGCCCCCTAAGAAAGAAACGCCATTCCCAAGCAAAGAAACACAAGTCAATTATCATTCAAAAATCCAGGGATGTTGAAACTCCATCCACGAAAGTACGTTGTGTACCTCGCGCAATGCGGGTGGGCCCGGTAGTAAATCCATACTACCTCAGGCAAGTCATCAAAATATCATCTCATCTAAGCGCCGTTGGCCTTGCCGTGGTGCAGCATCCAAGTGAGCAGATCGACCTTGGTCACGATAGCTAGCGGCTTCAGGGCACCGCTCTCGTCCTTCTCAGTGACGATGGCAGCGCTGTTCCACTCGAAGAAGCGGTTCAGCACGTTGAGGGGAGTCTCCATCGTGATCTCCATGAACTGGCGACGGACACCGGCACCGTTGGACCGGCCCAGGGAGCGGGGGTCGGTGACGACCTCCGGGATCTTGGAGAAGTCGAACATGACCTCGGAGACGGGGGTCTTGCCGGTGGCACGGCCGTGGGTCAGGCGGCTGAGAACGTTACCCAGGGTGACCAGACCGACGAGACGGCGACCAGATGGGGCGAGGACGGGCAGCTGGTCGAAGCCCCTGTCACGCATGATCTCAATGGCGGCTTCGCAGGCAAAGGTGGAGGTCACGGTGGTGATGGGCTTCAGACGGAGAGCGCTGACCTTGGCGCCGGCCAGGGGGTCGGTAGCAACGGTAGGTTGAGCGGGCTGGGCGGGCTCGGTAGGGAGGGTAGCGAGGAGGTCATTAGCGGCGAGCCAATCGTCATCAGCAAACTAAAGTGGAAAGTTAGCATTGATGAGCTACCTCATAAAGATAGCAGTAGAAGTTCATACCTTGGAGAGATAGCTGCGGATGCTATCCGGGAGCACGACAACAACCACGTCGTCCTTGGCAAACTTGCGCTCCTCGTTAGCATGCACCAGCGCAGCAATAGCACTGCCACTGCTACCACCAACAAGGAGACCCTCCTCGGCGATCAGGCGACGCGAGTACTGGAAAGATTCCTTATCGGCGGTCTTGTACCAGCGATCAACGATCTTCTGGTCCAGCACGTCGGGAACGAAGTCATAACCAATACCCTCGACCTTGTAGGGCTCGTTGACATGCGGGTCGTTAAGAGCCGCCGGGAGGGCCAGAATGGAGCCATGAGGATCGGCCGCGATGACCTCCACGTTGGGGTTGTGCTTCTTCAAGCCGCGAGCAATACCGGTGATAGTACCACCGGTACCTGCGCCGGCCACGACAGCCTTGATCTCGCCCTTGGTCTGGGCCCAGATCTCCTCGGCGGTACCAAACTCGTGAGCGTTGGGGTTGTTGACGTTGCCGTACTGATCGAGGATGTGAGCGTTGGGCAATTCCTTCTGCAGGCGCTTGGCGACACCAATGTGGGACTCGGGCGCATCCCAAGCAGCCTCGTTGGGAGTGCGGATAATGGTTGCGTTGAGGGCACGGAGAACGGCGACTTTCTCGGCGGACATCTTCTCGGGGAGAGTGATTATGGTCTTGTAGCCTGTGAGAAGAGAATATTATTAGTATCGCGCAACAACGAGTTGAATTGGGACCAATTCATGCAGAGGAGGCTTACCCTTGACAGCACCGACCAGAGCCAAACCGATACCACTGTCATATCAAAAAGAATTAGCATAGGCTTTCCCAACGTCAACCTCCGTTACCAGGACACCGGAAAAACGAACGTGTTGCCACTTGTGGGCTCGATAAGAGTATCGCCAGGCTTAATGCGACCCTCGCGCTCAGCCTCCTCGATCATGCGCAGGGCGATGCGATCCTTCACACTACCACCGGCATTGAAATACTCCAACTTGGCGTAGACGGTAGCATCGATTCCCAAGCTGCGGGGCAGACGGTTCAACCGGACCAAAGGGGTGTTGCCGATGTGCTGGGTGATAGTGTCCAGCGCCACGGGGGGGACGACGGGTTTAGTAGTCGAAGCCATGGATGCGAGCTGTTAGCACCCAATTGTTGATGTTTTGGAGGAGAGGGAGGAAATGAGGTAGAAGAGGTGTCAAGAAGACAGGTGGGAAGAATTCGCCATCGTCCGATCGGATTGGGATTTTCCTGCAAGGTTTATCGCCCCGCCCGAGGGTAACCGCGGGTCTTTTTTTCACGTGGTGGATCTCGACGGGGGCCAGCCACGGCCTGGTGACAAATGTAAATAGAAGAGTTAATTCTTCACCGAAGCATGTACGTAAATAGTAAATACATACTGTAGTACATTATTGCGGTAGATCTTAAATGGGGGGCATAATAATCATTGCATCAGATGGATGATCTTCTGCAGCAACACCATCCAATCTAGGCTCTCGTTTCGAGGGGGGGCCCTCCCGTGACGATCACTTCTAAGCTTATTTAGGGTCCGTCACGGGGATCTTCGATTCGACACATATACGTTGCCAATTAATGTACTATATCTCAAGAATCTATTGTAGTCCACAGTCTATGATCTCAAATCATTCAAAACCTCCCCTTTAACAATCTAATCTTATCATTCCACCGTCCCTCTCGACGAACCTGTTACTTAACTATCGCGCACTATATGAGATAAGCCCCCAAACATCCAATCGGCTCATATTGCAACCCTTTTTCATCACAAGCCTGCCTTGCCAACCGAGATATACATGTACACCTCGAGACTTGTTGTATAAACCCAAGGCTACAAAAATCATAAGGTTATTCGGTCTGTAAGGCACAGGTTCGCCACTCTCCCTCCGCCTACCGAATAGAGATACCAACGATCTCATATGTAAATAAACGTCATACCTTAGGCCATCGCATAGACTATTTAACTCTCAAAAACTTCCTACTAATCAACTATAATCCAAACACTGCCCAGCCCACTACCAATATACCCTCCACACCCACTCTCAAACAACTCTCACGCGACCAATACCTCAAAATCCTCTCCACGATACAGGTCAAACCAACGACCAAATCGCAAAATCAGTTGCACCTCTCGTCAAGTCGGTAATGTTTGCATATTGAACGAGGCCACTCCCTGACAAGGTCGTGGTAGCCGTTCAAACCTTTCGGAAGATCGGATAGATCCTGTGGTTGAATGGATGCATGTTACGTCGAGTAATCGCTGTAAATCGGCGCAGCAGATTGTGGTTGAGCTCGCGCTTCCTGTATGTGCTGAGACATTGCGGAAGACGCTTAAAGCACGGGGGATAAGTAGACTGGATCGAAGATCCCTCTCTGAGGAAGGGAGAACTGCTTCTGCAACACTTTTGGGGTAAACATTACGACCCACATGATTGTGACTATGTATCGAGTACATAGTGGAGGTCGCAGCGCCATGGCTCAACCCCACCATGTTCCTGAACACTCTAGTTAAGGTTCACTCAATTCGACGTGTACAACTCACTTCTTCAAAAGTCATCGGCTAACTAACCAGAATTAAGCACCGCTCATTCATGCCGCTTCGATGTAGAAAGCTCCACTTTCCGGTTCTTCTCCATTTCTCCATGCCGAGACTTACAGGATGCCATCATCGAACTTGATATTCTCAAGTCTTAAACACCACCTTCCCCTCTCCCCTTCTTCAACTTGAAACTTCAATATTTGAATTAATCACTACGTCAGTTCTTCCCATCCAGCTGGGAAATCCCACTAGTCTAGTCGCCACCATGGACGATCCCTACTTCAGGGGGCCGGCGCCAGCGGAGATGGCCAGAAGCTAAACGAGTGGCTGTGCATGTCCACGGCAGCACCCTAATTCCCCACAATTCGGGTGTGTTTCATCCCTGAAGGAAAAGAGGAAGATAGACACAATGTGACATGTCCTCTGATTCCTGCCCAGCTAGACGGTGTTTCAACTCCTCGACTGGTGGGCAGGAGTGCTGGGCAAGGGGGCGTGCAAGGGAAGAGAGTTGGGCAGAGACAAGGCCAACCACCTGCACTAATAATGCACTCAATAGAGAGTAAAAAAAAAAGGAGGGCCCAAGCGAGCTCAGATCGGAGCGGACTGCCAAGACCTTCCAGCTCCCGTCAGTCAATCTGACTCTTCATGATTGGCTCTGCAGCACGGCCAACGAAGCAACTGTGGAGGAGCTTTTTGATTTGTCCCTCCCGTCGCTCGTTTATCGTTGTAACTCTATACCAAGTCCACTATTGACAACTTGCTTTTTTTCTCCCTCTCTCTCTCTTACTTCTTTCTCATCTCCCACTTCATCTTTTAACAGAATTCTCGTGCCCTTTTCTTCTCTCTTTTCGACTCCACTCAGTGTACATTATAATTATCTCATTCTCTGCCAAACTCCGACCTTGGCGTGAGCAAGCCGCGTTCCTCTTCCCTTAAGCTGATTCCCTCTTAGAATCCCCAGCCTAGAGGAATGGGCTCTATCAGGTCCACTGCCTCGCGGACAGGCGTCCAGTCTGCAGCCGGTGATGGACTGCAACAATCCAGGTCCCAGGAGAAGGTCGCCAGAGAGAACTCCAACTCCATCTTACCGACCAACACCCGGGATCATGCGTCACGATATGTCCTAGGTCTCTTCCGCGTGGATAGTGCCGGCGAGAGTGGGCGGACGGGCATCCACCCGGTCCACTTTCTCAAGGTCACCTTCAAAAGCATCTGTACGGCATCAATGATCGTGAACGTCCTATGGCCCTTTGTACCAGCCGCGATCGCCATGCATTTCGCCCGGCCAGACCTGCATGTGTGGGTCTTTGCGCTGAACTACATCGCCATGGTGCCCTCGGCGAATGTCCTCGGTTTTGCAGGTGGTGAATTGGCAAAGAAGCTCCCCAAGGTTCTGGGAGTGTTGCTGGAGACCTTTTTAGGCGCTGTGGTTGAGATTGTGCTTTTCATGGTGTTGCTGCATAATGATCATGATGGTCACCTGCTCCCCGTCATTCAGGCTGCGATTCTGGGTTCCATTTTGGCGAATTTGCTCCTGTGCTTGGGAACGTGTTTCTTTGTTGGTGGTCTTCGACGGTCTGAGCAGGTCTTCCATGAGGCTGTCAGCGAAGTTGGAACCGGTTTGCTGCTGGTCGCGGGCTTTGGTCTGTTGATTCCTAGCGCTTTTTACTCTGCGCTGAAGAGCTCTGTCAACGAAGAGTTTACTTTGGAAATGCTGGGTGAATACTCGCTGAAGATTAGTCGTGCTACGGCCGTCATTCTCTTGGTTGCTTTCGTGACGTGAGTTTCAACCAGATTTTCCTCAATTTTTATATCGCAAACACGACTAACGTTTTCTTACAATAGCTATCTGATCTTTAACCTCCATAGCCACAATTCGATCTTCGATGAGATTCTTGAAAAGGACGAGGCACAAGATGAGGACCGACACATTGAACTGCGACGTGCGAAGCTTACCTTTGCCGAATGCATCGTCGCCATTGTCATTTCCTTGGCCTGCGTCTGTATGTCTGCCGTATTCCTCGTCCAAGAGATCGAGCATATTGTGGAACTCGGCGTCTCCGACAACTTCATGGGTCTCATCCTAGTCCCCCTGGTCGAAAAGGCCGCGGAACATCTGACCGCCATCGACGAGGCGTGGGATAACCAAATCAACTTTGCTCTATTCCACTGCCTGGGTCCCTCTATCCAGACGGCTCTGCTCAACGCTCCGCTGGCGGTGCTGGTTGGCTGGGGTCTGGACAAGAAGATGAGTCTCAATTTCGAGATTTTCATGGTTGTTCTGCTTGTCTTGTCAATTCTGGTGGTTGGCAACTTTTTGCGCGATGGCAAGTCGAACTATCTGGAGGGCACGTTGTGTGTCCTGGTTTACTTTATTATCGCCGTCACGTCGTGGTATTATCCCAAGGTGGATGTGGCGTCAACAAACAGTGCCTAACCATTGGGGATTCTCGGAGGGGATCCCTTGAGGGGAGAGGTTAAAAAGATTGTCATATTGGCCATTTATGCATGTATTGCACTTATTATAGTACTATAATGTCTTATTACTTTAGCATCGGAGTGTACATGCCCACTTTGTCGCGTACTCTTAGCCGAAAAGGGGATATTGTCTACCATCACGTGATTGTGACACCGCAACAGATCTCCTCAGAGTAAGTAAAGATCGATCACATTGAGTAGAAATGCGATCATTGAGTTGCGCATATCCGTACAGAAAGATATTCCTTCTCTGCTACCGTTGAAGTTGCAGACTTGGTTGAAGTGTTCTCCTATCTCGCTGACCCACCAACCGCCGACCTCCGGCTTGCCGCATTCCACCGCGGCCCCGCGAGCCATAAACAATCCACCCATCATGCAAACAGACACCCTGACCGACGAGATCCTCGCCATACTAAAGGAGCGAGATCTCCTAGCAAAGCGTGATGTGATCGAGTCCGCCTTAGAGGATCCAGCTACTGGTGAAAAGACCGAAGAATGGGTTTCCAAACACCTCAACCCGAGCACTCTGCTCTCACGGGAGGAGCTCGTCTTGTACGTCCGAGCTTGACTGTCAACACATCCTTCCATCTAACACCATGTATCTAGATACAACAAACTCGAGAACTCTGGTACCCTCCAACCTATCCTCCGCGATCCCGAACTCGGCGCGACACGACCCTTCCTAGAAGACGATATCCGGTCGGCTATAGAATCCCTCGAAGCGTCGACGGCAGCAATCCAGAAACAGACAGAGACACTATCGTTTCAGTGCGAAACTCTCAAGAAGCAATTGCGCCAGAAAGATAATTGGGAACAAGACCGAAGCCGGGATATTGCTCGTCTGCGGAAGAAGCACGAAGCTGGCAGGCAGACCACAACTATTGCAGTCAGTATATACCATGGACTTAGGCTGGAACCAAAAAGCTAAGAGTGACAACTATATTGCAGGCCAATGATCTTTCGGATGAACTCGAGGCTAGCTTCAGGGGTGCGACAGAGAAGACTGGAGCTGAGAATAAGCGAATTCTCTCCTCGCTGTCTACCCGACTGAAGCAGGACGACAAAGTTCTCGCTGAACTCGAGACACTTATATCCGGGATCAAGTCCAATGGCAATGATGCCGCTACGGTCAAGCGAGCTGGCCAGCTCAGCTCTATGCTGGCAGACTACAACGCCGAAGAAATTCACTACCGTCTTGACCGACTATACCTCGAAACCATCCTGTCTGGGCCACCGAAAGCAAGCCAGACCATTACGGAAGATCAGAATATAGCAGCGTTGCAAGACGAGCTCGAGTCTCTATACCCGGAGATTGAGATTCTAGCAGAAATGTCCACAAAGCAGCAATTCCACGAGCCTATCCTCCGGGAAATCCAAAACCAGCATACCCAGCTTCGGGCAGCGTCTGAAGAAAAGCTAGAACGAGTACGCTTCCCTCTGCCAACATGAAATGAAAATGTACCATACTAATAATCTGTCAGGCTCTAGACGTGCTCATCGACATGACAACCTCTAAACAAACCCTCACACAACACCTCCACGAACGAGAATCCTCCTGTGAACTCCTAGAACAACTAGCAACCCTCTACCAATCCGAAGTAGGCAACCCGCTAGTAACCCAGCCACCCTCCCGTCGCGAATCTCTCCGACGCCGCTCCATGCAAGCAGGCCTCCTCCTAGCTCCCCCACGCACCAATCCCACCCCACTCCCCGAACAACCCGCACTGGAGAGCCTCCTCCGCCGCATCGGAGTCTCGCCCGAATCAGTCATCCGGCCGCGCGCAGAGGACGGCGGGGCTCAAGGTCTACATGAGAAACGGATCCAGCTTTCCGAGACTCTACGGGCGCTGGAGATGGCTGTTGATGCGCCGCTGGTTACTCGGTTAGCTCCGGCGGATAGTGCGCTACATCTTCTTGGGTCCGGGTTACATGCGAACTCGCAGTATGAAGTTTCGCTCCGTGATTTGGAGTTGGAGAGGGCGTTGGCTGCATTGGAGGGTGAGCTTGGTGAGTTGCAGAGGGGTGTGCGGGGTCTTGATTTGGATGTCTTGCATCAGCGGGATAAAACGAGGGATCATTTTCTTGAGAGATGGGGTTGATAGGAGGGATTGGAGTGGGAGCACAGGGACAGTGAAGTGTTTTGAGGGGTGTGCTGCCTAGAATATAGTAAATGATGCCCTCATAGATGTCGTCTCTAACCCAACAGTAGGTATATGTTGGATTGTCGCCACCGCATAGGGCCAGGATCTAGTCTAGGCCAAGCCACTCGGGCATTCCTCGCTACTTCTTTTTCCTTGCTTCTCATCCTGTTATTATCTGCGGTTCAAAGCACATCATATTGAACATCAGGCACCGCTGCACGTCCGAGTCGTCTCCTACTCTAATTCGACGGTGAGTGTGGCTGGTGCAACTAGGATATGCGCCACAGCTGTGCTCGAAGACACTGGCCTACCACTTACACGTGCAATACACAGTCGTCGCATGGCCTGATTGCCCCGATTTGATCCACAATCATTGTAAATCCGCGCAGTGGATAATAGAAAGATTATTTTGTGACGGAACTTTGACATCCATTGTTATTGCCTTTTGCTGTATTATGTCAGGTACTATTCGGGCACCAAGAGCCTCTTACGGCATTAGCGCCGGCTGCGAGACGGTCGCTCCCGTGCAAGGCTGACTCGTGGGGATTTCGTGAGAACCTATCGAATAGCCTCATGAATACAGTTGACCTGTGTCCAGCAAAAGGTGTATAGTTCAAACAATGGAAAATACTATGAGTGGTATAGAATAATGATCATATTATACGGTGATAATATGACAATATCATCATAACATGGCAGAGGACTCGAAAGTGTCTCGTTCCTCGTCACCTGGTTGGCCCCAGCTGACTCGGACTGCGCCCCTGTGACCAGACCATTAAATCCCTCCAAAAGATTGAATCTAGCGGAACCTAGTCTTTCGATTCCGATCTTTGGGGCTCTAGAAGAATGGAGACTGTTGCCTTATGCTAGGAGCACAGAGACTCAATAACTTAGCCTTAAATTCTATCAAGTCGAACATACAAAATGGCCGCATCGCCAGACTTGATACCGTCTTTGTTCCAGAGTTGCTTTTTAGCAAAGACAAACACCCCAATACTCTTCTCATCGACTTTCTATTTTCTGATCTAATTCTGATACATTCTTCGACAAAGCATCAAAGCCAAAATGTTCCAAATCTAAATCCAGAAACAAAAAAGAAACACAATGGACCGTCCCTGATTCCCGCACACAAAGGGGACAGGGAAGTATCACCTGCAGCGGGCCTATGACTGCACCCACACACCTGGACATTAGACTTTCACTCTTTGTTCGCAAAGTCTTTCATCCTGGTTTAATCCTCCCATTGTTATCTTTCTTCATGGCCTGTTTCTATTTTCTATTTCTTCTATGAAGATACGGAGAATAACACTTTGGCCTCGAAGACTGCCATCGTCAAACTCGAAACACAAAACACACTCTAACCCTATCGGCCCTCGATCATGCCTTTGTCTCTGCTTAACGCTTCCGTGAGAATCTTTGTATCGAGTGAGCCGTTGTTTGATTCGGAATTGTCGACGTCGTATATATCCTGCTTGCCTTGTTCCTTGACTCCATGCCTGCGAGAATACGTTTACAACTACGACGACTGCGGATGCGGATGCGAGATACGTACACTACAGATCAGTACTACGAGACATACTACTCCGAGTCCTTTCCACCGCGAGTACAGCCGTGTCGTCGCCTCCGTCGACCTGTGTTCTCCAGGCCAGGTCTGCATAGGAGGTATACCTTTCCACCATCCTCGAATACCAGCGACACGGATCCCGAAGACCTGTACTGGATTCAATCCCCCAGATATAGGGCGACAACATCCACTCCGTGCAGTGGAAGATCTAACTCTATAACCGTGGACATGGATCGACATCGGCCGCGGAGCTTTTGGCGTTCAATCTTTGGACTGGAGTACTTCGATGTCTACCGACGAATGACGAGGGAAACTCGAATACGCCATGAACATGAAAGTCCAAGACCAAGACCGAGACCAAGATCCCCTCGAGATCGATATCATACTCTTCCCGTTGACCCAGGGTACAGAGACGAGCCTAGATGGGAGGGCCCCATAATAAATCCACCACGACATGCACCGTCATCTCCACGATCACGACCACCTCGTCGTCGCTCAGACTCTCTCCATCGACGGGGGCCCCGGTCTATATCACCCGAGCCACACGTCCATCGTCATCCATATGACCGTCCAAGACATGATGTACGGAGACCACCAGAGCCAGGAGCAGAGCCACACGTCCGGCGTCCCTCGTATGAACGTCCCAGAAGAGACGTAAGCAGACCGCCAGAGCCAGACCCAGAGCCAACAGACCCCATTCCAAGATATCGACCAACACGACCATCCAGCCCGATAACAGAAAGGGAACCAGCCAGACCGGGACGATATACATCCCCAGGACCATCCTCACGTCGACCCATCACGATAATCCAACCCAATCCCCAAAGAAACCGTGCTAACACACCCTCCCACCCAACCACTCGCCGTCCCCACGACGCAGAGATCATCTCGCATAATTCCTTCCGCGAACGCATGAACCGGGAACGAATTCATTCTCCGGAATCAACATCTCCATCTCGATCAAGGAAAGTCCGCTTTCGTGAGGGCCATGTGGAAATTCCTGGCCTTGTTTGGTTCAATTCTGACTCTGACTCTAGCTCTGATTCGGACTCGGACTCTGATTCTGATTCCGCGGGTCGTCCGGGTTCGTCGCGAGTGAATACACGATCTGGACCGAGGCCAAGCCCCAGGTATGGACCGGTGGTGGTAGATCAGATCGTTGAGCGAAGGCCTAGTGGTAGTCAGGGGGATGTACGTCGTGGGTCATTGCAAGAGCGGGTGGGCCGGGGAAGTGATGGAGTGACCTATGTGGTTCGGGAGCCGAGGGATACAGGGAGGAGGAGGGATTATAGGCGGCGTAATTGATGCAGGTGGTTTATGACTGGCGTTAGATATTTTTTGTTTCTTTCCTTTGTTGGTATCTATTTGTTTGGCGTTTTATGGCTGCGCGGATTGGGCGTTTGGATAAATGGACTAGAAGGTTCGGCGTTGAGTCTTGTTTTCTTTGGGTCTTTTAACTTTGTGGTCATGATGTCAATCCCTTGTTGTATAATGTTGTTGCTTATCCGATAACTGGGTTTTTTGATCACAACCTTGGAAGTTGGATTAGGTTTGGCCTATCTTCGGAGTGGATCCGAAATATATATCCTGCATGACTACCCTATACCATCGCATCAAATATAGATTGTAGAGCTCTCAGCCCACTCTATAGAAGACAGCTAGCAAATATCTCTGCAAGAGTCGAATGCATGCCAGATTTCGTTTCCAATCCAACCGAAAGTCTTATCCATGTGGCAGGTGGGGAAATTTCCCCATTGGAGTAAGAGGCGGGACCCGAGGAACACCTTATCTTTCGCGACTTCGCCTCCTCCCCCTGGCGATTTTGGTTCCTCCCCCCATCAGCGGCGCTTTTTTCCTGATTCCTGGTTCAACCTGTACTTCTTATCGAGCAAATTCTCTCTTACTTTTTTTTCAACCCCCCTGTCGTGGACGATTGGACCGCAGTGAGTCCGGCATCCTGGTGATTATTCCGCGGTGGCTTTTTCGGGCAGGGGGAACACATTATTAACACTGTCAGGCAGCCAGAACTGCACATGTTCCACAGCCCTCGATCGCATCGATTGATCTCACGCTGAACGACTTCCCCTCTATCGCGCCCGTCTCGAAATCCCACGTCGCCGTGCTCGTCGTAACTCCCACCCACCGACCTCCTTTACTTTTCCTCCGGTCCGCTCTGACATCACACCACAAAGTTCCTGAAGAGCCTCTTGATAGTGTTGTCTGCCGGTGAACAATGAGAGTTCCACCTGGGGAGCCGCTATCAACCTGCAGGTCCGGGTGTGCTCTTCATTACTCGACAGCCGCACGCGCGGCTTACTCCCGCGGCGGGCAATAATATACCAAAAAACTTTATCAAGATGGCCGCCGTCATGACACAAACCCAATGCGCGTCTTCGGACGATACCAGGTCACCGGGGTCTGTACTCAAACTGGGCTCGCCGCCCGTTGATGCAGAGTCGATGCGACCAGAAGCGCTGCTCAAGGATGCGAATAGCGTCTTTGACATTGCGCCCGAGACCGCGCTGCTACTTTTCTGTAACAATGTCGAAAAATTAGTTGCGCATTTTGAGAAACTGCCTGCTTCTGCCTCTTCATTTCCAAACTCCAATGGCTCGACTCCCATGGAGCCACGGACTCCGACGGAAGAAGAACCGCGGAGCGTGGGATTACATTGTGGTGATGCCGAGGATGCGAATGGCGACCGATCCAAAGAAGACACTTTTCAACTGCGCATGCTCTCGCGAAAGTTCCTTTCTAAGAAGATACCCCCGATTGCGCTGAAGGATTACCTACAGCGTCTACACAAATACTGTCCCATGTCTACCGCCGTACTTCTCGCGGCGAGCGTTTACATCACCAGGATGGCTCTCGTGGAGAAAGTGGTCCGCCCATCACCGAAGAATATGCACCGACTCGTTCTCGCGGGGGTACTAGTTGCCACGAAGGCACTTGAAGATCTTAGTTTCCCACACAGTCGCGTGGCGAAAGTCGGTGGTGTCTCTGAGCAGGAGCTTTCTAAACTTGAAATCACGTTTTGCTTCCTGGCCGACTTTGACCTGCGCGTGGATGCGCGGATGCTGATGGATGAGGCGAGGATGCACTGCACTGAGAACTTGCAGTTATCTGAACCTGAATCTTCGGAGAAGAATTAAACCACGCTCCCCACCCCTTTTCCTATTTGATAGAATCTCCCTCATATCTACGAAACCCTGCGAATACCTGTACATAGCGATCCTAAATATCCACATCGAAATGCTTCGAAGCCAAGGAAATGCGGCTGCCTATGAGGCTGAGTAATCCCCACAGTGTAGGTCCACGGTAGAGGAATCAGGAACACGAATATGTAGGCACCGGTAAAAGTCAAGAGCATAAAAGAAAATCTTTGAAGAATAGAGATCAAGTCTGCCAATTACTCCCATCTCCCACGACTATCTTGTATACCAGAACGGGGCTGTGTTTTAGCGTCAGCACTAGAGAGCGTTCCCCAACTTCCCAAAAAAAGGTTCCGCCTTCTCGCCGCCTTCTCCAGGTCGATCATCTCCGACAACAATTCCCCTTTTTACCGGTTGAGAAACCAGACTTACGGGGCAACGAGACAAAAAGACGGAATCATCGCTATGCACAACTAGAGAACAATCCTATTCCACCGCGTCTCTAACCATCCCCTCCTCTTACCTCCGTCCGAACCCCGTGTCCGCGTCCGGCGGCGGCCTCCCGTCCATCCATTCTCCCCTTCTCTCCACGACGATACACAAGCCAACGGTCGAGCACATAACACAGCAGTTCCACACATATGGCTTCCACATCTTCTCCCGATACGCTGGGCAGTAGCCCCGCGGGGACTACATCGGGCTCCACGTCGATGAATAGCAAGGGAACCGCTTCACCTGCCAACGAGGTCGAGTTGAAGACTATGCAGTCTAATGCACCTAAGGGCTCGATCCCTCTGGGTGAAGATATTATGCAGTTGGCTCGGATTGGAGAGATTCCCGCGATGCAGAATTTGTTTGCGACGAAGAAATTGACGGCGAATCACCGCGACGAGGAAGGCATTACGCCGCTCCATGTATGTTTCCGTTTTCTACCATCTCCCCGATTAGTACCACCATCGTGCGCTTGCGCGTAGAGGGGCGTGGTAATGCGATAATCGTCTAGCTTGGATGGGACTAACTAGCATCTCTCTTTTAGTGGGCGGCTATCAACAATCAATATGCCATGTGCAAGTTCCTCCTCGACTCGGGCGCCGACGTTAACGCCAAGGGCGGAGAATCAGTGGCCACGCCGGCTATGTGGGCAGCGCAGCGATGCCACTATTACATCGTCAATCTCCTGCTTTCCTACGGCGCAGACCCGCTCTTGACCGACGTGCAAGGCTACAATATCCTGCATCTGGCAACTATCGATGGCAACGCGTTCCTGGTCCTCCTTCTCCTACACCAAGAGATTCCCGTCGATGTAGTCGACCAGCAAGGACACACGGGTTTGATGTGGGCCGCGTACAAGGGCTATCCAGCATGCGTGGATCTATTCCTGCGATGGGGCGCGAATGCCAACGCCGTGGACGAGGGTGGTTTGACGCCGTTGCACTGGGCGCTTGTCAAGGGCTCCTTACCTAGTGTGTTGAAGCTGCTGGAGTACGGCGCGGACCGATTTGCGGAGACACGCGATGGCAAGTCGCCTAGCACTGTGGCGCAGGAAATGAATACTTCGCGCATTTGGTTGCGCGCTCTTGCTGAGCGGGGCTATGAGCCTGATGGTACTCAGAAGGCTGTGCCGATGGGGTTGTCGGGGTATATTCGGAATAAGAGCGTTATGGGCAAGTTCTTTTTCTTGTGGCCGTTCTTGACGCTTTTGATCGCCATTTGGATGCTCAGTCATTTGCCTATTTTCTTGGGTGTCCCGCTTACGGCGGCGACGGTGTTTGGTATGCAATATGTTGCTCAGCAGTTGGCGAACCGGGGTCCTTCGGAGTATCGTATTTTGCAGAAGACGGTATGTTTTGGCTTGTTCGTGGTTAATCTTTTTCTTGAAACTGATTTGAGTAGCCGTATTTGGCTGGTGTTTTTGCAGCGACGCTCTTCTGGGTTGGATTCCGTTATGCCTTCAAGGTGCTACCAGGTGAGTTTTCAGGATAGTACCCAGTCTTGATACATTTCTGACTCAAAATGATAGCTACCTACTCCTCGGCTCCTATTTTGAACATCCTCTTTGCGGCTTTCTTCAGTTTCACTACCTACTTCTACACTTTGGCCATGATCGAAGATCCGGGCTATGTGCCGAAGCTTAGCAGTCGGAACCAGCAGAGGGAGATGGTCAAGGAGCTGTTTGAGCAGTGGAAGTTTGACGAGGAGAACTTTTGCGTTCCTTGCATGTCGAGAAAGCCTCTTCGTAGCAAGCACTGCCGCCGTTGTGGCCGCTGCGTTGCCAAGCATGATCAGTATGTACCATCCAGACAACTTGACTAGACGTCTCTGTGTGGACCTCGAACTAACTGGTTATAGCCACTGCCCCTGGATTGACAACTGTGTTGGAGCGAACAACCTGCGCCACTTTGTCCTGTATATTGTTTCTCTTGAGATTGGCATCATTCTATTTGTCCAGCTCAGCATTGGCTGTAAGTGAAAAGCAGCCCGCTTGATAGGAATTGGCTTGCTAACTTGACTTCTAGATATCCAAGGTCTGCCATCCGTCACGGGTGCCAAGTGCAACGTCATCAATGACACGCTGTGTGACATTGTATCCCGTGACACTTTTACCCTCGTCCTCGATATCTGGGTTATCATCCAGCTGGTCTGGGTCACCATGCTCTGCGCTGTCCAACTCGTTCAGGTCTCCCGCAACCAGACCACCTACGAAAACATGCGCGGCCACCACATTGACCGATCCTACCCAAGCTCTCAAGCCTTCGCCTCTGCCATGACCGCTGGCACAACCTCCCTCGAGGGTGCCGGCCTCACTGCCTCCGGCGCGGGACCCAACCCAGCACTCGCCCGCCCCGGTGCACCCCGCCGACACCGCGGTTTCTGCGCACAATGGTCCTCCCTGCTGGGCATCGACACGTTCTTCGCCACGGCACGGGATGGTCTTCGGGATGGACACCAGGCTGCTCGGCCACGCAACCCGTTCTCCCGCGGCGTGGCCACCAATTGCCGCGACTTCTGGTGTGACCCTGCGCCTATCTTTGGTAAACGCTCCACGGGCTCGGGCATGTTGGGCGGAGAGGTAGTGAACTACCACGACATGTACGAGACTCCAACTCGTATGCGCGTGGGCCGCATGGGCGAGGGCGGTGCGTACCGCAGCGTCGCGGGTGAAGACCCCGAGCACATGGTTTGAAATGATTCCCTTTTATCTTTTTTGTCCCCCGCACCATGAACTCGGGGTACAATTCATGTGTGTCTCTTTTTCTATCTGACTATAGTATTATACACTTTCCCCCATCCCCATCCACCTCCCCTGTGATATATGCAGACAAAGAACCTCCGAGCGACCACGATGGTGATGGCGTTTGGAGACCTTTGCATTTGATGACGTATAATAATTTACGTTTCCTATTTGACCACCCTCCCCTACCCCCAACCCCCCTTCTCATGTATGAACTGAACTGAACTGAGCTGCAGCGTCTCGGTGCATTGTTTGCGTGGCATATTCTTTTTGACTCTGTTATCTGTATCTTATCTGTTCTGTTCTTTTTTGCTGTGATTATTGTTTTCTTTTGCTTTGACTTGCATTTAGAGAGTACTGTACAGTGGATGACGTTAGATAATGAACCTACTTTTTTTCGTTGAATCGATTGTCTTTACGGAATTGCATTGTTGGTTCTGTCTAGTAGTATCCCTGGTGCCATAATATCAATATTAATATCAATATCAATATCTGTCACACTAGTGCAGCCACTAACTACTAGATATAGTAGAAATGCCCCCCTCTTCGCTCCCCGCAGTACGGCTGTTATCAAGATAGACTCCCTGGGCCTAGGGTCCTGCAGCTATAGCTTAGTCTAGCACTGCAAGTACCTGCCTGGCGCAGGGCCGATCCCTACAGTAGTAGGGGGTTCTGGATTCTCGGGACTGGGCAGATTGTTCTATTGGGTTTCTAGAAGGGATTGGTATTCCTGTAAGTTTGAGCTAAGCAAGAGGATCAAGTATACCGCTAAACAGAAAATTGAGATGATAGTGCATCACCATGTAGCACGAAATACAAGAGAAAGGGACTACTATCCAGGATTCAAAGGCCCACATAGGAACGGGGTCTCAAACCATGCAATAATTACCTCGAGAACGACCTCTGAGTGAATTGCGGCTAACGCGGGCATGAGATCGGTCTCTGAAGATCAAATCTGATGTATCATGTATAATATTTACCCTCTCGGCCGTGATGATGTCTCAGCCCTCGGCCTCAGCCTCGGAATTGGAGTAAGTAGAACAATCCGATCTAAGAGCAGACGTATTGTAAGACTACGCAGGTCCAGTCCTCCTACATGCAGCACACCGCATCAGATCACAACATGCCATACTCTCACGGTCCCGGTGGAGTCTAGAGTCTAGTTCATGGTAAGGTGCATGTGCATACGGAACTCGGAATCAATGAAGTACCCCTGCATGGACTGAACTGGGCCTGGAGGCTGGATGCTGGATGCTGGATACTGCAGCTGCAGGTAGAAGTGGAGGCTGGAGCAGGACAGGGCGCGCGCTCGGGGTTCTTCACCTGAATTGGTATCTGAGCGGGTCCCTCGGTACGAACATACCGTGAGTGTGGGCGGGATTGAAATGTTCATCGGCATGATTGTGGCCGATCTCTTGGTCCGGTCAGGGTCAATGGGTCTGGTGAATAGTCATATGTCATAAGAGTAGAGTGCCATCACTAGAGTATAATTCCTGAGTAGTTACTGGAAGGGGTAGGAGTCGGAGTCGGGATTGGAATCGGTTGAAAGCGCCTGGCAGGTGGCAGGAGGGGCCAGATATGGATACTGTTCATACCGGATGGAGTGTTACGAATGGCAGGATAGGGCAGGGCAGGACAGGGTAGGGGGGGCTTGTAATTGACCACGTTTTCAAGACTAGGGCTCCATCTTACTAGGTCAAGAAAGGGAGTGATAGACGGGACAAGTCCAGTCCAGAATTTACTGTATGCATAGCTATGAATAGGAGATTGCAATACTAGTAACTACTGTACCTGGCCAGTCTAGACTTATGAAATCTCTCAGAATCCCAACCCGCGCCATACGGAATCCCTCCGTCCGAAGAGATCAAGCATATTTTCTTTTTTATCGTTAGTGCTAGTGCCAGATGAAAATATTCACAAAAACAAGTCCCCCCGTTTCCTCCGGTCCGGCCCTAGTAACGGTGTACAAGGTACCTAAGTACAATACTTACGTCTACCTCGGAGGGAATAATAATTCTTCTGCTGTGGCCATGGCCTCTGCCACGGAACCGGGATCGGAGGTGGCGTTTTTCCATTCTGATCAGATAAAAATTTTCCCAGGATTTTAAAATTAAATTTACGAGTTATCTGATGGCGCCACGCAGGGGGATCCACTTTGTGTCTCGGCTTGAAAGAAACGAGAAAGGAAAAGTGGTACTGTACAACTTACAAGTACCGTTTTTTTTTGCTAGCTTCGTACAAGGCGAGGAAAAGACGGGTACGCTTGTATCTCTTGTGGGCCGTGGCATGTGTGGGATCTAGCTGGTTTACTTGGGGAGATCTTTTAATTTCAGGGCGCGGTTGATTATTATAGGGTTAGGAATGTACGTCGGTTGGCGTTTGGTACGTAGATTGACAATTCATTGAATTATTTACACTCTCTATTCCTAGTGTGGGAATTGACTCGCGGACCGAGTAATCCTATTCACAAGATGGACCCGAGGCATTTTTCCTCCGGTCCAAGAAATGACAGGGGGGCGGAGGAGAATTCGTTATCAGATCGTAACGTACAGCCAAGACTAGACTAGACAGCACTAGACCCCGACTACGAATATCATTCGTCTAACCAAGCCCACTTCTTCTCGTATCTAAAACCTGGTATTGTGGAATCGGATACTGTGTTTTCGTACTAGTGATACCTGTGATTTTTCAACGTCTTTCACTCCATCTGGGATTACATCTGGTTATTATCGTTGTTCTTCTCGCGTGGACCGGAAGAGGGTCTCTTCGGCTGAGACCGAGCTTCCAGGTCTGGGAGAGTGTCATTGTTAGTGATTGCCGATCGGGATCAGCGTTACTGTACTTTCGTGCTTACCCTGGAACTAAAGATGAGAAAGTAGTTATACCTAGTAGTAAAATTCATCAGCGCAGTGTCTTAGTTTGGTCAATTATACCAATTCATCTCATCATCCATTGCCTCATAGTATACTACATACACACTTTTCATCTAAACAAAAGTATCCCATCTAAGAGGGAAGCTCTAGTAGTGACTTGCCTACCAGCAAAGACGATCAGATCAACAGTCCATCTCAAACCACCCTTCGTCATGCTTGAAGCAGTACATGTGGATCCAACAACATACCCTACCGTAGCCCGTAGCCCTGTAGGTCCCAGCGTTCTGCAGACATGTATTGTACCTCTTAGCAGTCGCAGCTCCCGAACCCCCCAAGTCCGCATCTCACTAGCTCTGCAGGGTCACTTCCGTGTTTCGCGCGATATCCGAGGAACCCTTTTTTCGGGGGGCTTGGCGACGGAATCTCGGGATTCTATGATGGATACGGTGAGGTGAAAAAGGACTGGATATTGACTGAATATAGATTGAGCTCGGGGAACTGGCGGGTCGGGGTCGGTGTTGCAGAGTACCCTGAGGCTGACAGGGCAGGATACTCTGCCCTATAGACGGTGTGTATTGTAGTACGTTAGTACTTTTGTTGGAATTACAAAAAGTCAAAGATGAAGTGTATAAAGAGTTGTCCTTTGAAAAGATTCTCCCCAAATCATACCCAACGGGGTGTATCATACCATTAGAGAGACGAAAAGTAACAAAACAAAATCCAGAACCAGAACCAAATCCAAATCCAAATCCAAAATCAAACAATCTAAAAGACAAAGTATGGTCTAATACAGCATAGCGTATAGCTTATAACGTAGCGGCAAGACAAGCCTCCCGAACCAAGACAAGGAGAAAGTAGGGTTATGCAGGGTCCAAATATAAAATTCCCACAGGTCCTCCATTATACCTCAGCCTGCGGCCAAATAAGACAAAAAACAAGAATCTTTTAATATAACACCCTCATCACAAATTCAAAACAATTCACCACCAGTCCATAACGAATAATCCCTCACAGCATGGCCCGCAACCGGGTGTCCTGCACCGTCTTGCCAGCCAACTCATCACCAAACACCGAGCTCACAATCTCACCACCCCGCACCGCAAGAATAGACAAAAGACTATCGCTCAGACCGTGCGTCTTCTCATTGCAACCCTGCAACCAAATCCCCGCTCCAGCGCTAACCTTGCCCGCATCCAGCGCAACGCGGTAATCCCGACCAGGAGCCCACGCCGTCTGGCCCGCGGGCCGGAGACCACGAACCTGCTCGAGGAGCTGCTCGTGCGCGTCGCGCTGGTAACCGGTAGCAACCATAATGGCGTCCACCTCCAGCACCTCCTTGCCGTCGGAGGCCTCGTCCTTGACGGACTTGACGTGGATGCGCATGCGGTGTGCGGGGTTGTGGTGCTCGATGCGGGCGACCCTGCGCTCGGGCAGGATGCGATGTTGCCAGGTGGATTCGTCGGCGTTCTTGACGCGTTGGAGGTACATGGTGTTGTAGATTTCTTCGATGAGCTCGAGGCGGACGACGGAGTAGTTGGTAGCTTTTTCTTTGGCGATGCGGGCGTGGCGCTCTTCCTGGGGGAGTTGGTAGAATTTCTCGACACGCTCGGGGTTGAAGATTTCGTTGACGCTGTGTAGATGTTAGCAGTGATTCATACGTAGCGGGTCTAGTTATTGCAATGCAAGCTCGATGCCGGCAATTGAAAGGAAGGAGCGGTCCAAACGTACAATGGAGAGTCATCACTAGGCCGCAGAGCGGTATCACGGAGAATCAATGTCGTGCGCGAGTTGGGATACCGGCGCTGGAGGTCGTGGAAGATCTCGGCGGCACTTTGGCCAGAGCCAACGACGGCAATGTTGTAAGGCGCAGACTCGTTCTTCAACACGTTGGGCAGGACGGTGCAGTACTTGGAAGAGTGCATAATGCGAGTATCCTGAGGGAAACCCGGGGGCATCTTAGCCTTACCACCAAGGGCAACAACGACCTTACGAGCTCTCCGCGAGGAGATCTCGCCCGTCTCGGCATTGCGCGAGCGCACGACAAAGTAGTCAACCACGCCATCAGTCTTGCTTCCAGGCACAACATCGACAACCTCCTCCCCGTAGCTCACGACGTTCTCGAAACGCTGAGCACACCAGCGCATATAGTCCTCGAATTCCATACGGGCCGGCAAGAAGGTTCCCAAGTTGGTGAAGTGGATGAGGCGGTTCTTGTTGTGCAGGTAGTTCAGGAATGTGAAGCTACTACGGGGGTCACGGAGAGTAGCCAAGTCCTTGATGAAGGAAATCTGCATGCGCGAGCCCGGAACCAGCATACCGGAGTGCCAGGCGAACTGCTTCTGGCGCTCGAGGAAGCACACCTTGGGCTTGAAGGAGCCCGAGGCCGTGCGGGAGAGAGCCGGGTCCATGGCGTCGTGCAGAGCGATAGCAATGGCCAAAGAGGCCGGACCGAAGCCCACGCAGAGCAGATCGTGCATCTCGTCGGCGGGGACGGAGCGAAGCAGTGTGCGGTTGACGGGAGCTTGGGCGCGGGGCGCCATCTCGGTCAGGAAGGGGAGCTCGGTCTTTCGAGGGATCGGCTCCATTGTGTATATGACTTTGTTTTGTGGTGTGAAATGACCACTGGAGATATTAAAGAAGGAGAAGACAGAAAATAAAGCTTCAATCGTATGGGCAAGGCAGAAGCAGCCGGAAGAGAGAGAGAGGGCCCAAGAGAAGGAAAGCTTTAGGCTGCAGAAAAGTAAAGAATACAAGGAAAAAAGACGGGGATTGTAGGAAGTGTCCAGGTTATGTACACAGGGCCGATCCAGCGGGTCTCCGGAGAATTCGGTGGTCGGATCGATGCGAAAAGGTGGTGCGATGTTTAGAAAATAGAAAAGCCGTGGAGGTGGAGTTGGTGTAAAGCAAGTTGCTTGTTCCTCTGAACGAGTCTCGTACAATACGTTTCATCCCGGTTCCACAGAGCGGATCAGATAAAAAAAAATTCATCTCAAGTGGAGAATTTCACGAGAGAAAACGTGCCATCTAGCTAGTCACCGAGACCGGCACTAGTCATTAGACAGTTAGTAGCACGTCGCTAAGCTGAAGGGAAGATGTCTTCAACGAGGATTAAGCGGCGTAAATTAATTCCAAGGTTCTGGTTATCAATCAGTCTCCACCATCTGCCGGTCCTAGTTCCTCGTTCCTAAGCGATTCTGAATACCTCGGTGTGATGGTGAAGAACTCATAATAGTGAATAACTGTATTCAATATACTATCTAGTATTTCCACATTGATCTCGGATGCCATATTTTCTTTTCTTTTTTTTTTTCTCTTGGCCTCTACTGCTCCACTCTGCGAGTCACCACCCCGCCAGGTTCCTGCGCATAGACGCCATGCAGCGAGGACAAAGAAGGGACGAAAAAGCAAAAGAATTACGAGCATGGATCACTAATAACAGACCCAAGAATAAAAAAAAAAGAAAGCATGAAAAAGAAAATAATAAAAAACGTCAAGACTAATGGCTAATAACGGGCATCCGCAGGTGCCCGATGTCGGGAAAAAGGAAGCCAAAAAAAAGACTACTGGCCATGGAACCCAATGAGATTATCTGCCTGTATGGCGTATGCCATAGTAGTATACATACTCGCAGTGGACTGTATGTATATAATAATCTCCATTACTTCTTGGCGAGGGGAAATCATTTCCACCTGCCAATTAGGAAAGGTCGGGCAAAGAGAAAGAATTAGATTATCGCCGAGAATCCCTGGCAGTTGCTGTTAGTCCCCGTTACTACGCCACCGCAAGTATGCTACTGTATGCTACTGTACATTTTTACATCTGATCAGTGATCAGAGCATATTTCTTAATATATTTGTACACTCCATGGAGTCCTCCGTACACCTACGAATCATATGGTCGGGTGTGCCACTGTGCCGACCACGACATGGCTTTACCCCCTTGCGCACAGTGAATGGTCACCGCCAGAATTGAGATTAGAAATTGGAATTTCATTCTCTAATTTTCTAATCTCATATTCAAGGTATGCTGACTGCTGAGAATTATAATTATCGTTGGTTCAGTTTAGGGTCCTGTGCATACTGGCCATCCGGCATTTTGCCTTTTTTTTTTTTTTTTTTTCGTCGTTTAATTTTCCTAGAACGTGGGGTTGCAAAAAGATCACGCGCTTTGACTGGGCTCGGAGGTTACCAGTGCAGTTAGTGGCTAGTGAAAACACCTGTATGTACTGGTATACTCCAGCGTAGACTCGTAAAACAATTGACTTGTTTTTCTCTTCGCTAAGCTATGGTAATACCGGTAGGGTTTGAGGCTTGGCAGTAGTAAATAGAGATCTTGACTGATGATCTGATAATCTTTGAACCGCATTACCTTGGTTACCGTATCCCCGTACCATACTCGGTACGATACCATAGAATACCATACGGACTAACTTTAAGTATTCCACCATGTACGTCATCCAACGTCCGTTAGGAAGCGCCCGATGGAGGGGCAGACGCGCGAGAAGGTATACCCAGCTTTGTATAATGCTCGGCTCTACTGCAATCGTAAACTACATGCAGACATACTAGTAATATGTACGACCACCTCTGATTCATATATAAGAATATAAAATAAATCCCCCAATCATACTACCCCTACCGTCATCACACTAGAGTATCCTAGTTCCTCCCCCTCATCATGTCTTCAAAAGAAGCAACACAACCTTCTCTCGGAGCTTGATTCCTTCCCTGGCATCAACGTCGGGTTTACCAGACTACTGTGCAATCGCTTCTCCAAACTTTATACTCCATATATCTTCCCGACTCGACATCTGCTTTTCATTCCTCGATGCCCAACGAGTGGGCGTGGATGACAAGTTGAGTTCCACTTTTCCGCCCTGCTTCACTGCCCCTCCACTAGTCAACTTTGCTCGTCCGATTACTCCAACTCCGACCTTTTTTGGGCGCTTGTCTCGGTCCTTCCCTGCAAGCCAAGCAGAAGATCATCCTCGATCATTCCTAGATCCCTTCCCCTACCTCTGTTTTTCTCTTTTTTCCGGCAAATCCCACGAGGACGGCCCGCCATGATCCTCATCTGGCCATGATTGGAAATCTATCATCTGCAACCCCCCCTCTCGCTGCATTGCTTTTTACTCGTCCCCGATCTCCATTCTCCTCGTTCACGGGCCCCATTCTACCGGGATTGAATTGCTTTTTTTTCTTTATTTTCCCCAAGGCGGCTACTACTACCTGCATACCACCACAGACCACGGACCACAGACCCAACGGAGGGACTTAACCCCCCTCCCTCCCCTTCCCTAGGACCCCCTCCCAACTAGCCAGTCAGAAGGCTTACAATAAGCAATCGATATACATCGTCGCGTATTGGATCATGCACCCTTGAACACAGACCCAACCCGCCAGCCCTTGGTGGAACCATCGTGATGGACCGATTCACCCCATTTCCCACCATCCACAGCCAAACCGGCTTTTCTGGCGACGATGGCGCTGTGCGCGCTATTCTCTCATGGCCGGTGGATACAACTCTCCTATCCTCGGAGCTGTTGGCCCTCTCATGGGCCGTGCTATTGCGAGCTTACACAACCGAAGAATCTCCGGTCTTCTTACTCAACGATCAACCAATCAAAGCAGACTTATTTACTCGTATAATCCAGCCAGCGACACTGGATACCCACGCAGACCTCTCAGTAAAGCACACCGCTGTGCGCCTGATAGATGAGCCTAAGCTAGTCAGGACTGCCCCGTCTGAGTGCGAGGTTGTTCATAATCACGCATTATCATCTCCTTCCTGTACGTTGTCTTGGTACGTTAATCGCAGCACCCAAATGAGCACGTTGCATTCTCCCTCTGGTATGGATACCGCTTTCGTGAAGCAGCTAGGCCGTCAGCTGGAGCATATCGTGCAAGACCAGGCTGCCCTGTCGGGCATACAGGTGAAACTGCCTGTCTCGACGGACAAGCTTTCCGGGATGGAAATGGAACTGTCCATCTCGAATCCGTCCCCTTGCACCCTGCCGGGGCCGCAGCTGCTTCATGAACTAGCACTGAGCGGTGCCCATGATGGCAATCATGCGATCGAGTTCTTAACGGCGGATGGAAACGTTCGCTGCTTGTCGTACCGTGCCTTGGACAGGGTATCTTCGAAAATGGCGGCGGAAATAAATGCCGCTTCGAAATTGGATGCCGAGGAACCCAGGAAGTTTGTGGTCCCTGTTCTTGTCCCACAGTCCTTGGAGCTGTATATCGCCCAACTGGCCATTCTGAAAGCCGGTGGTGCTTTCTGTCCTTTAAACATCGACGCACCACTAGACCGGATAGAGTTTATCCTGCAGGATGTTGCAGCATCGGTGGTGATCACGCAAAGTGGGCTTGCGACAAGGATACCCCAGAAAGAGAATCTGGCGGTGATCACCGTCGACGAATTGGAGACGCAGACGGACATTGAAGATACGGAGATCATAGAGCAACAGCACTCTGTGGAAACTACCCCCACCGACCTTGCCTATGTGATGTATACATCAGGTTCGACCGGTCGACCCAAAGGCGTGGGCATTTCCCATCTAGCTGCCACACAATCACTACTCGCGCACAACGACTTGATACCCTCATTTACACGATTCCTCCAATTCGCCTCTCCTACCTTTGATGTCTCCGTTTTCGAAATATTTTTCCCGCTCTTCCGCGGCGCAACCCTTATCGGCTGTGACCGCGAGCAAATGCTCCTCGACATCTCCCATGTAATGACGTCGATGCGCGTGGACGCAGCCGAGCTGACGCCCACCGTAGCCGGAGAACTACTACGCAGCCGAGCCGCAGCACCCTCTCTGCGTGTTCTGCTGACGATCGGCGAGATGCTGACTCGGCATGTTGTGGATGAATTTGGACAGTCGCAGCATACAGAGGGTATCCTCCATGGCATGTATGGGCCTACTGAGGCGGCGATCCACTGCACGGCTGCCACGCATTTCCGATCTGATGATCGGGTGAATCTAATTGGACGGGCGTTCAAGACTGTTTCTGCTTTTATCATGTCCTTGGAGTCGGAGGACAAGGATGGCTCTTCGTCCGTGGGATTGCAGCCTCTGCCGCTCGGCCAGATTGGCGAGTTGGTTGTTGGTGGGCCGCAGTTGGCGGATGGGTACATCAATCGACCCGAAGAGAATGCCAAGGCATTCATCGAGAGTCCCGTGTACGGTCGACTCTACCGAACAGGCGATAAGGCTCGGATGCTGCCCTCGGGGGAGATTGAATGTTTTGGCCGAATCTCGAGTGGTCAGGTCAAGCTCCGAGGGCAGCGGATAGAGCTTGGTGAGATTGAGCATGCTATTTGCCGCGCGCCGGATGTTCGCAGCGCGGTGGCTATTGTGAGTGGTGGTAGCCTTGCTGCGTTTGTCCTGGTCAATGACAACGGCACGACCGAGCGTGCGCTGCGGGACGTTTGTCGCCAGTGGTTGCCCCGGTTTATGGTTCCGGGCGAGTTCATCCTAGTCAACCAGTTCCCCCAGTTACCTTCCGGTAAGATTGACCGCAAGGCGCTGGAAGCTGAATTCGTGCGCCATCGGAGTACGGCTCAATCTGTTGGGCAGCGTTCATTCCGCGATGAGACTGAGGAGACGATCGCGTCGTGCGTGGCCGATGTGCTCGGTAGACAACTCCCGTCCACGGAGAGTCTGAGTGCTGCTGGTCTTGATTCTCTAGCTGCGATCCGGCTTACGTCGCATCTTCTGGATGCCGGGTTCCGACTGGATGTAGCGCATTTGCTCGAAGCAGATTCCGTGGATGGAATTTGGCGACTTGCAAAGGAAACCGAGACCTCGCAGTCGAGCGAAGACACGCAAGCAGGTCTGCAGAGAATTCGCCAATTAGTGGCAGATGCTGGTGCAGCGAGGATAGAGGCTCTGGGGCTGAGCGCACAGGTTGGCGCGATTGAGCCTTGTAGCCATATTCAACAGGCGATGATTTTGGAGACTGTTCGACACCAGAATGCATACTGCAATTGGATTGAACTTGGGTTCCAGCATTCGATCAGTGCTCCGGCTGTGCAGGATGCACTTGTCAAGCTTTTGGAGCAGAATTCTATACTTCGCTCTGGTTTCATCGAGATCGGGCTCAAGGATCAGTCGTATGTCCGATTTACCTATCACGCCCTCGACGAGAGTGTATTCCAAAAGCGTGACGCATTTGACTATGATCTTTGCTTGATCGCAGAACACGACCTGCTCCATCCTCTCCGGTTCCAGCTGAGAGAGACGGACGAAGGTCTCCGCCTGCTCGTGCATATCCATCATGCGTTGTATGACGGATGGTCCTGGCAATTGATGCTAAAGGACCTCCATCACCTCCTGCGCGGCGAAGAACTCCCACCCAAGCCAGCGTATAACGTCGTGGCGGATTTCTTCATCGAGTACAAACTCAGCGAGACCGCAACCGAATCCTCCATTTTCTGGCGTGATCAACTACAGGGTTCTTCGCCAGCATCTTTCCCCAATTTCCACGGAAGAACTGATGTATCCCCGGGCACGCAAGAGGCTTCTCGTGAACTACAAATTTCCACGTCCAAACTCGCAGAAGCATCGCAATCCCTACGCGTCAGCCGCCAGACAATCTTCCAAGCTGCATACTGCTACATCCTCTCAACCTACCTTGGCTCGGACGACGTCACCTTCGGCATAGTCTTTTCTGGCCGTACACTTCCAGTTAAGGGCATTGAAAATGTTCTCGGTCCTTGTATCCGCACACTCCCTACAAGAATGGATCTGGGGAAGATGCAAAACGCCACTGATCTCCTCCTAGCAATCCAAAACATGAACCGCAAGTGCCTTGAACACGGCAGTCTTGCGCTCCAAGATATTAAGAAAGCCTCCGGGATTGACCTGCAATCAAACCTCTTCGATACTGCGCTCGTCTGGCAGGAGAGTATCTGGTCTGACCAGGAGTATCGTGATGTGTTCCGGGAAGTCGGTGCAGGGGAGTTTTTGGAGTTTGCGCTACTGTTGGAGTTTGAGCCTCGGGATGACGGGATTCGTGCGAAGGCGACGTATCAACAATCTGTTTTGTCGAGGGAACAGGCGGAGATTCTTTTGGAGCAGATTGATTTTGTTGCTTCTGTTTTGATTGATGCTCCCGCGCTGGCGATTGGTGATCTTGGGAGTCGTCTTCCGCAACATACGTTGTCGGTTGTTAACCCTGAATGTCAAATGCAAGGGGACTTGCCACGCCTGGCTTCTGCTGTTGAGACGCTCGCGTCTGCTGAGTATTCTCGGACAGCGGTCGAATGTTTGACAGAGCTGGACTCTGTGGTTGACACGATTACATACGGGAAATTCAACTCCCGGGCCAATACCCTTGCCAACTATCTGCTCCACTTGGGTGTCACGGGTGATGATTCCATTGCTATGTTCCTAGAGAAATCGATAGACTCTTACCTCGCTGTGCTGGCGATTGCAAAGATAGGAGCTGGTCTCGTACCCTTGTCTCCCCAGTCATCTCCAGAAGATGTCAGCACTGTCATGTCCACATTGAACGTGGGCTTTTGCATGTTCCAGTCGACTTCCCAGCTTCCTGATGGGTTGGCTATTCTGGAATCCGTTCGACAAATCCTTCTACCTGACTCTTTCAATGATATTTCTGATGATACCCCTATCGCGGTCGATGACGGATTCCGAATCATCTGCGCTGATCCCACGTCAAAGGAGCCGATTACCTTTTTCGCTCAGAGTTTGAAAAGCTGCGTCAATGTTCTTAGGGAGTCGTACAATGTCCAGTCGGAGTCCAAAATGCTTTTTGCATCCCCAGCTGCATCTGTTGGTAAGTTTCATGTTTTTCTTGCGATTTATGGCATTTTCTAATCTTCATAGACTCCATCATTGCAGCTTTCTTGGCATGGACTGCTGGCGTGACGCTCTGCGTTGCGCCAGATGAGTTCCTAGCCAATGATCCCCAAAGGATCGTTAATGCCATGGGCGTGACTCATCTCTACCTCACACCTACACTTGCATCGCGCTTGGATCCGCAGAATGTGCCTAGTGTGAGGTACTTGTGTACATCTGGTGAGCCTTTGACGGCAAAGGTGCATCGGGATTGGGCTGGAAAGAATCTTTATCACGGTACTTCAAACCGCCCTCCATTTAGCTATGACACATACACTGATACATGTTCCGCTAGGCCTTACCACTCGTGGGATCGCTGGTCTCTGTACCGTGCCGGCGGAGGTCGAGACGTCCAGTACAATCACCGGCGTGGGTATGCCGCTCAAGAACATATCTGCCATGGTCATTGCAGACAAGGCCGGGTTCAATTCGTTACCACGTGGCGCCGTTGGATTACTTTGCTTTGGCGGTGGTCAAGTGGTAAGTCAACAAATGAATGACTTGAGAAGATTCCTTACTAACAGCTTTTCTTTCCTTCAATAGGGGACATCTTCTACGGAGGGCTTTTTTGAGCACCCGCAGTATGGCCGGCTTTACCGAACTCGTGACTTTGGCAGAGTTCTTTCAGATGGTAGCATTGTGCAGCTGGGGCGGCATACTGTATTCTATGAGATTGATCAAGCTCTGCTCTCATCGGATCTTGTGCAAGATTGCGTGAGCTTGTTCATGGATGACCCAGTCACTAAGCAGCAACAATTGGTCACTACTTGGGTTCCTTCAGAACAGGCTCGAGCTTTGTCACATGGTGAACAGCTTGATGACCTAGCCAAGAAATTACTGAGGGACTTGGCTACGAAGCTTCCTTCATCTGCCGTTCCGGCACTTCTTGTCCCGATTGACGAGATACCGGTGGACGAGGTTCTCTTTACTGATCGCGCAAGGATACAGCGAGATATTGAGCAGATGGATACAGAGCTTCTAGAATCTTTCTCTGTCAGTCTCAACGATGAGATCCACAATGACACTCTCACCGATGCTGAGAAGGCAATTGCCACTGCCCTTTCTGCAGTCACTGGCGTTGAGCAACACAACATTGGAAAACACACGTCCTTCTACAAGCTGGGCTTGGATTCTCTATCTGCAATTGCTTTCTCGCGAAAGCTCCAGGATGCAGGATTTGGAAGACTCCCTGTTTCCACAATCCTTCGACATAGCTCGGTTGCTCAACTAGCGAATGTTATTCCTCCCATGACCAATGGGCATCATCCCGACGAACCAATTTCTCTCGAGCAACAGCAACCGCAATCCTCGTCCGTGTTTGATGAGAGCTTCATTCTTGAAGTGGAAAAGGACCTGGATGCTAGGGGTTCATCCGTTCAGGGCGTATATCCTTGCACGCCTTTACAAGAAGCTATGCTTGCAGCGGAGTCTGATGTTGATTCCGCTTATTTCAATCACTTGCTTCTTCGGGTGAACACTGACATTCAGAGATTGGAAGAGGCGTGGAAGCAGATGATACAGAGACATGAAATTCTGAGAACGTGCTTCAGACAAACTAATGACCCACGATTTGCATATGCGCAAGTGGTGCTCCACACCGCACTTCTACCTTGGATATCTGTTGAGACCTCATCCGAGAACTTCGACACAGATATTGCAAGAAGAAAGTCAGACTTTGAGCACCAGTCGCCCGTCAATGGCGAGCTTCCATATTCCTTGGCGGTTTTTGAAGACCCAGTCCCGAGAAGCACTCATTTGCTTTTGTCAATTCATCATGCACTATACGATGGAGAAGGTATTGCCCAACTTCTTCACGAGCTTCAGGCTTCCCTCGCGGGCGAGAAACTTCCTGAAGCCACACCCTTCCACCGGTTCGTCGAGTACATGGTTTCGGTCAACACTGATTCCTCCGACAAATTCTGGGACCGATATTTATCAGACGTCTCGCCAACGCTGCTTTCTGCTTCCAAGGGGGTGTCTACCAATGGATCTGTTTCACAGGCTGCCTCACAACAGATTCACGTGGGTCTTAGCCACTCCCTTGCCTCGTTCAAACAGCAGTGTAGGGATCTCTCGGCCACCCCTCTGAACGTCTTCCATGCCGCATGGGCAAGACTTCTCGCCTTGCACTCCAATGCAACTGATGTCTGCTTTGGAAATGTATTCAGCTGTCGAACCATTCCACTAGAAGGCGCAGACCGTATCGTTGGCCCTTGCTTCAACACTCTTCCCATGCGAGTCAAGTTCTCTTCAGTATCAACGAACGGGGACGTAATGAAACTGTCGCAAAAACACAACAGCGACATCTTGCCTCATCAGCTCAGTGCGCTGCGTCGCATCCAGAGACGCACGCTTCAAGCCGGCTCTCGACTTTTCGATACACTGGTCATTTTCCAGACTAGGAGTACTGAGCTTGATGCTCGGTATTGGGAAATGCTCGCTGATGAGGGGAACATGGGATTCCCTCTCATTTGTGAGATCGTGCCAGACGAGACACGGAATACCATCCAGATATGCATCCATTTCCAAACGTCGCATCTCAGTCACGATGTGGCGGAGAGTCTTGCGCGGGACTTTGTCGCGCTTGTTGAGCATACGACTCAGTACCCTTCTGCTCAGGCTTGTGATAAGCGGGTGGTTGGTGCTGACCTGTCAGAGATTTTTGAAAAGGAGTCCTCGCGCGCTAAAATAAATGGAATTCCGGCCAAGGCAGTGGAATCTCGGGCTTGGTCTGATAAGGAAGAACTTCTTCGGGGGATTGTCTGCAAGTTTGCAGGAGTTGAGGATGAGGCTGTTTCATTGCATACTACTATCTTCCAACTTGGACTGGATAGTATCAACGCTGTGCAGATTTCTGGGAGATTGCGCAAGCTGGGGTATAAGGTCTCAGCGGGTGACATTCTTGAGGTATGGTCAGCATCCGGAATGTTTTGTTCATTTCACTGACATTTTCCAGGCTGCTTCTATTGACAAGATTGCCGTTCTACTAGAGTCGACGGAGAATGGAATCAAAGAAGCTACATATGACTTCTCCGCCTTCGAGAATCAACATCTCCAGTCTGTTTGTGAACAGCTTGGTATCTCATCACAATCAGTGCAGTCTTTGAGACCTTGCACCCCCGTTCAATGCGGCATGTTGGCTCTCTTCAATCATTCCCAGGGCAACATGTACTATAACCGGATGGCTTTGAATTCCTCCGCGCCCTTGGACAAGAACATGCTCAAGGAAGCTTGGTCGAAGGTCATGGCCCAACATGAGATGCTGCGCACTGGCTTCGTACAGCTTCGCGACCAGCAAAATCCCTTTGCTATGATAACCTATCGGGAAGGTATCGATGTTCCATGGCAGGAATCTCCCACCCTGGATACAGTCTCTCAACAGCAACGAGTTCTCGAAAACCTCCACCAACCCCCGTGGAGTATCTGGATTGAGCCTACCGATAGTGTTACCACGGTGCATTTCTCAGCTTTTCATGCCCTTTATGATGCGCAGTCTTTAGAAACGATCTTTTCAGATGTCATGGCAGCCTATGAAGGAAAGGCTCTTACTCAGTCTGCCTCTATTCCCGAAACTCTTGGTCCAATTTTGATCGAGAGTCGGAAACAAATCGAGCACTCTCAGGAGTTCTGGCAAGGTCTCGCCACAGAGATCCATCCTACCAAATTCCCAGACCTACATCCTACTCGCATTGATAAGAAAGAACTCTTCACCAGCTCAATTCTCTGCTCCCAGTCTCTCGGTAAACTTGAGGCCGGGTGCCGCAATGCAGGAGTCACTCTTCAAGCAGCGGGTCAAGCCGCATGGGCTCGATTACTTGCTGCATACATTGGTGAACAAAATGTCGTTTTCGGCACTGTTCTCTCCGGTCGTAATTTGTCTACTGCTGCCCAGGATGCCGTTTTCCCTTGCCTTGTGACCGTGCCATCGCCATTCCGCATCGAAGGCACTAATCAAGAGCTTTTGGACTGCACTCTGAAGCGGAATGCTTCTCTTGTTAAAAATCAGTTCACTCCCTTGGCTCAGATTCAGAGGTGGCTTGGTAGTGATGAGCCGCTCTTTGATACTTTGTTCGTTTATCAGAAGTTTTCGACAAGTTCTGGGGTCTCTGATAAGTGGGAGGTCATTGATGAAGAGACAAAGATCGATGTAGGTATCATGGACTTTATTTATATGGATGGCTGGTTTACTAACTTCTTTCTAGTACCCTCTCTCGATCGAGTTACTCCCGCATGATACGGAGCTTGAAATTCGGATCAGCTGCAGAAGTGACCTTGTTCCAGCAGAGCAAGCCGTGATTCTTTTGAATCAGTACAACAAGTTGTTGGAGCACACGATCTTCTCGATAGATTCCCGTGCAGAAGATTACCTCTCTCTTGGAGATCAATTCTTGTCCGTCACGCCTGCCAAGGAGAACAAGATTCCCACATCTGTGTCTCTACTGCACCAGTTCGTCGAAGAAAGTGCTCGAAAGGTTCCAGACAAACCCGCCTTTGAGTTCGCATTCGGGCCTAATGCGGATAACTTGCAAAAGAAAACTTGGTCTTACAGAGAGTTCGACGAGGACGGCAATCGAGTCGCTCGTTATCTCCAGGACAAGGGAGTCACACCCGGTGGGATTATTGCGATCTGCTTTGATAAATGCCCTGAAGCTTCCCTTGCAATCTTAGGTATTCTGAAGGCTGGTTGTGCATATCTGGCCATCGATCCTTCCGCTCCAATCTCGCGTAAGCAGTTCATCATGGAAGATTCCTCGACCACGCTTCTGCTTTGCAATCAGTCCCGCAAGTCGGAGTTGGAGGCACTCTCAGGCGTTGATGTCCAGGCACTAGACGAGCCTGGCAAATACCAACACTTTTCCCCATCGCAGCCGTCCTTGGCCCGGGAAATCCAACCCGATGATACATGCTATTGCTTGTATACTTCTGGCACAACAGGCACACCCAAAGGGTGCGAGATCACACATGACAACGCTGTACAAGCCATGCTCGCATTCAAAAGGCTCTTTTCACCACATTGGGACGAGGATTCTCGATGGCTCCAATTTGCATCATTCCACTTCGACGTCAGCGTTCTCGAGCAATACTGGAGCTGGAGCGTCGGGATCTGTGTTACTTCATGTCCTCGCGACTTGCTTTTCGAGGATCTACCAGGAACAATTCAGAAACTGGAAATCACTCACATTGATCTTACGCCTAGCTTGGCGAGACTGGTGAATCCTGATGAGGTACCTTCACTGCGCCGAGGTGTTTTTATCACTGGTGGTGAGCAGTTGAAACAGGAGATTCTCGACGCGTGGGGAAAGCATGGAGTCATCTATAATGGATACGGTCCTACCGAGGTGACCATCGGATGCACAATGCTCCCACGGATGCGTGCAAATGACAAGCCATCCAATATCGGTCCACAATTTGACAATGTGGGTTCCTACGTCTTCCGGCCGGGTACCTGCATTCCGGTCGTGCGCGGTGGCCTCGGCGAGCTTTGTGTATCGGGCCCTCTTGTCGGTAAAGGTTACTTGAACCGGGCGGAACTCACCAAGGAGCGATTCCAGACCTTGCCAGAAAATGGGGATCGCATCTACCGAACGGGTGATCTAGTGAGAATTTTGCACGACGGTAGTTTCCAGTTCCTGGGCCGGATCGACGATCAAGTTAAACTTCGCGGCCAGCGACTTGAGATCGGCGAGATCAACGAAGTCATCAAGCAGGCAACTCCTGAGCTTAACGAAGTGGCTACGCTGGTCATCAAGCATCCAAAACAATCCAAAGACCAGCTGGTATCTTTTGTCACCAGGATTGAGCTTGACAAGAAGTCTCGCGATGTGGAAGTGCGATTTTCTGAAGAGGATCGGGCCTTGCTGTCGACAATCAAGGCTGCTTGCCATACACACCTTCCGGGGTATATGGTGCCGACGCATATCATTCCGATGACCCGGTTCCCCCTCTCTGCTAATAACAAGGCTGAGATGAAGGTCTTGAAGCGTATCTACCAAGATCTTTCCTTGGAGGACCTGCAGAGACTGAGTGCCATGGCCGTTGAACAAACAGGGAAGAGCACCCAAGAGAGAGGCATCATTTCTCTTTTGTCCCAGTTTACTAGCTCCCCCGAATCAGCTATTTCTTCCTGGTCGAGTATCTTTGAGTTGGGCCTGGACTCTATCTCTGTGATAGCATTTGCCAGAACCCTGAGGGAGGCTGGTTTCCCTCAAGCCCAGGCATCGCTCATCATGAAGCGTAAGTTCAACCCCGGCCGTATGTATGAAACATCGTCTAATAATGAAAACAGATCCGACCGTTACAGGTATGGCATCGGCTTTGCAGAAGTCTACCTCCTCTTCAGCATCCCAGAGCAACCTCCACAGAAATGCGAAGCAGAACATGGAGGCCTTTGCCCACAAACACTCCCATTCTGTCATCGAAAGCATTGGAGTCGTTGACAGTGACGTTGAGCAGATTGCTCCATGTACACCGCTCCAGGAAGGTATCCTTTATCATTTCCTGTCGAGCACTGAGCCACTTTACTGCTCTTCCTTCACGTTCGCATTGCATGCGTCCACCGACATTGAGAAGTTGCGGAATGCATGGAGCAAGGCACAAGACCAGGTACAGATGCTCCGAGCTAGATTCTCGCCTTCCCCAGATGGCTACGCTCAAATAATCTTGAAGCATGATGCGCTTCCTTGGTTCAATGCGAAGGCTGCTTCCCAGAAGCAGGTTGAAAGCTTGCGGAAGCAGCAAGTCGAAAACTGGATATCTGAAATTCAGGAACTGTCGACACGGCTGTGGGAGGTTGGCGTGATCCAATCTCCTGACAGATCGGTGATGTGTCTCAATATCTTCCATGCTCTTTATGATGGAAACAGCTTAGCTCTACTTCTGGATCTTGTTGCCCGGATCTATCTCGGCGAGCAAAGTGCTTCCGAAGATGCGCCTCAGTTCCTCAACGTGTTGCACATGGGTCCTCTTTGCAAGGATTCGTCAGAGAAATCGTTCTGGAAAGAGCACTTGGCAAATTGTCGACCCCGATCCCTGTCAAAATCAGGTCAAACTAATGGCGTCATTGAGTCAATGGTTCAGAAAGTTCAGATCGACTCTACGGAACATTTGGATCGCCTGAGGAAGTCCCTCAACGTCACGGAGCAGGCGGTTCTCCATGCCTGCTGGCTGTTAACCCTTCACCAACACTACGCGTTTGTCCCCCCAATCGGGCTTATCGCATCTGGACGTACGATCGATGTGCCAGGAATTGTCAACGTCATTGGCCCCTTGTTCAACACTATTCCCAGTAATGTGCAGCTTCGTGGTCTAAAGTCATGGTCTGAAGTCGCCCGGCGGTGCCATAACTACCAAGTTTCCACGATGCCCTTCCAGTATACTGCTCTGCGAGACATCATGAAATGGCTCGGCAAGAGCCCAGATGATCGCCTGTTCGAGTCACTTTTCGTGTTCCAGAGAGAGGATGCCGATATCGAGGCATCAACTGGTAGCCTCTGGCAGCCACTAGACTCTGAAGCACAACATGAGTACCCGCTAGCTTTCGAGGTTGTGCGTAATGGCAATGAATCCCTTACTCTGACCCTTGCAGCAAAGGGTCACGTCCTATCCTCAGAAGCGGCGGAGCAGCTACTTGCCAATTTCCAACGGATCTTGTCTGAATTTTCTCAGAACCCAGATCACGAGCTGCCCTATATTAACGGGGTCGCGGAAGAGAGCCATGCATATACAAATGGCGAGACGGTTATGCCAAACGGCGTGAACGGTGCAGCACATGCGGCTAACTCTTCATTCCAATGGACCAATCAAGCATCTACGATTCGAGATGTTGTTGCAACCCTCGCTGGGGTCGATGCTCAATCAATTAGTGAAGAAACATCAATCTTCGAAGTCGGTCTTGACAGTATCGATGCCATCAAATTGTCCTCACGCCTAGGAAAGCTGGGCATCAAGCTTCCCGTGAGCGCCATCATGCGCTATCGCAATGTAAAGGCCATGACAAGCCAACTTGCAGTGACAAATCATCAGGAACAGAACGGGTCTTATCCATTACTGAGTCAAATGGAGGGAGCCTTGACAAGCTTCCTGAGAAAGGAGGGCCTCATGCCTGAGGATGCGTGTCGGGTGCTTCCCGCAACGCCAATCCAAGAGGCGATGGTTGCTGAGATGTCTGCCTCTGTTTACCAGAACTACTACAATCATGAGGTTCTGCAACTCGAGCCTCATGTGGATCTCACGAGACTTCAGGAAGCATGGAGAGCCGTCGTCAAAGCCCATTCCATTCTACGCACCTCCTTTGTCGAGGTGTGGGATCCCGAAATCTCGGCGTCTTATGCTCAAATCGTTCATAACGAGGACGCATTTGACGTCCAATCTGTGTATCTGAACGAAAAATCTGTGGAATCGATTATTGAGTCTCAACGCAAAAGAGCGACCTCGGAACTTTCCGGTCGCCCCTTGCTGAGTCTGACTATTGCACTTGATGGAGATGCTCGCTATCTTGTTCTTTCAATTTCCCACGCTCTGTACGATGGCTGGTCCATCAGTCTACTTCATGAAGACGTCGCCAGGTCTTATTCCGGGGAAGACTGTACTCGTCCATCAGCAGATGCAATTCTTGAGCAGATCATTGCATCTTCCGGCGATCGTGCTCTGAGATTCTGGAGGGCAACCCTGTCAAATTGCAGGCCGACACCATTCCCTTCGAGTGAACATGCAGAGGATGGCTCGCAGATTGTCCATCGCGCGGAAAGACCGCTCTCTGTGTCCTTTGAAAAGGCCGAAGGCTTCTGCAAGCATCACGGTATTACGATGCAAGCTTTATTGGTTAGCTGCTGGTCTCTTATTTTGGCGACCTATGTCAAGAACCTGGACGTCATATTTGGTCTCGTTCTTTCCGGCCGCAATGTGGCTGACTCGGAAGAGGTCATGTTTCCCACGATGAACACTGTTGCCATGCGAGTCATTCTTCACGGTACTCGATTGGAGCTGGTAAAGTACGTGCAGGAGGCTTTGCTCGAGATGTCTGAACATCAACACTTCCCATTGCGACGAGCAAGGCCGGATACCAGATCGCGACAATTATTCGACACTCTGTTCATCTATCAGAAGAGGCCTTCCGAGATCACTTCTCAGAAAGCCACACTGTATCACTCCACTGGAGGAGCATCGGGTGTGGAGTATCCTGTGTGCGCCGAAGTTGAAGGCGACGGAAAGAACCTGGTGGCACGGGTGGCGTGTCGTGGCAGCGTCATGGGAGAGAAGGACACACCTGTGCTTTTGAGCCATATGGCCGAGGTTCTCTTGTCAATTGTCGATGAGCCTGCTCGGGAGACTGTCGAATTCTCTGGAGATGCTATGAAAATCTGCGGCCATCTGATTGTCTCTGATTCGGGAGATTCTGGCGGTTCTGAGATGCCCGAGGTTCAGACATCCAGTCAAAGAGAGTGGTCACCGATCGAGTCCAAAATCCGCAATGTTCTTTCCATTGTGTCTGGTGTTCCTCAGGATTCTATCGACAAAGATGCCAACATCTTCCAGCTCGGCTTGGACAGCATCAGTGCCATCAAGGTTGCTGCCCTTTTGAAGAAGCAATCCGTCAAGCTCATTGTCAGTGACATGCTCAAGGCCGGAACAATTGAGAAAATGGCACTGGCAGTGAACAAAAGCCAAGTCAACATCACTCAAAACGAAATCGACAGAGCTTTGGAAGACTCGCTCAAAGGACTCGACATCAATTCATTACTTCGGTCATATGGAATTGATCCACAAGATACCGAGACAACAATTCCCGCCACTGCTGGTCAAACTTACTTCCTGGCAATGCACAGTCTGAGCCCAGATGTATTCTATCCCAAGTTCTACTACTTGGCGTCAGCAAAATTCAACCCTCAGGTTTTGAACCGTGCATGGTCGCGTCTCATAGACGAGACACCCATCCTCCGAACTGCTTTCCTGGCAACCGGCAACCTCCAGGCACCATACGTTCAAACCGTTCTCAAGTCAGTGCACAGTCCTCCTACCTGGCACGATGACCTCAATCATGCTATCAGCATCAGACGTGACTTTGGATCTGTCCCTGTTGCCCTCCATGTCTGTCGCACGTCTCGAGGGGTAGCATTCATGTTGCACCTCCACCATGCGCTCTATGACGCTGTTAGCCTTCCGCATATGATGAACCGACTTGCCCAGTTGTGCAGCGAGGCCAAGTCCGAACTGAAACACACGTCACAAAATCTATCCCACCTCGTGGCATTCCAGCACATCCACTCGCCCGTTGATGTTCGGCGGCAATTCTGGCAAAAGTATCTGGGCCAAATTCCAACATCAGGCGCTAACCCCAATCGAGTAGGTGAGTTCGGCGCTATCCAGCATGACTATCGGCCCGGTCTGGTTTCAAACATGTCTCGACTGGAGATAGCCGCCAAACGCCGGGGCCTTAGCATCCAATCAATTTTCCTGGCCGTTTATGCTCGCCTGCATTCCCAGATCTTTGCTCCGGTGGATATCGACAATGAAACAATGGCGCGACCGCTTGTGATTGGTTTGTATCTTGCCAATCGGTCGTACGGTATGGAGGGTCTATCTGAATTGGTTGCCCCAACCGTCAATATTGTTCCACTCCGACTGGATAACAAGCTCAGCGATAACCATGACTCACTTTTCATCGCTGCTCGGAAGATTCAGGAGGATATCAACGAAATCAGCCCGGTGGAACATGCGGGTGTTTCTCTTCTAGAGATCTCCGAATGGACAGGGGTGCGCATCAACACCTGCATCAACTTCCTGCGACTGCCAGAGGTGGAAGTCACCAACGGCGATGCAAGTGATAAAGTGACTTTCCACTCGATCTCGAGCGATGAGGTGGCACCACTCCATTTATCTAACACGAGTGTCCACACACGTCACCCAGCTGAGACCAACGGTGACACACCCTTGGTCCAAGCGACCGGATCCGCTTCTTCGATGGCGACTCTGAAAGAAGTATTCTGGGTAAGTTTTGACCTATCTCGTAAATCCACTATGGCAAGCAGCGGAAACTAATGCAATTCTACGCTTTGAACAGCCTACGATCGACGTTGAGGCAGCTATCCGAGAGGACCGACTGGATTTCGGTCTCTTCGCGCCGAGTACTCGTCTCGATCGCCCCACCGCCGAGAAGGTGATGGAGACGATGAGACATGAATTGGCAGCGTTAGTTGCATCTTCAGAGTCTCCATAGAGGCTCTAACGAAACGAGCCCATCAAAAAGCTCGGATTAAAAACGAAAAAAATCACGAGAGGAAAAAAGACGAGGGGGAGAGAGAGCAGGGGTCATTCGTGAATCCCTCCTCTGTTATGCAATCTTTGCATTTGCTTTTTTAGCGTTCAATTTTGTTCTTTTTTTCGCTGTAAATATTCTTTTTTTTTCCATTGTATTTTTGTTACCCAGAACAAGACAGGATCGAGGCTGTCTCCTTTCCTGTGCATATACATATACCAGATAATGTCTGGCGACTCTTGACCTTCTCTTTCCGTTCTAGTATTCACCCCTCACCTCTTTTTTGATCATTGAGTTGAATTGAGCCGGTTTCTCGGGTGAATATCCACCTAATCATGAAGACTCAAAGTCATAATAGCTGAAGCTAACCCTTGGATATGAAAGGCAGCCGGCGGTAGTTTAATCCGAACCAGAAGGTGTCCTGAGGCATCGGCCTGTCAGTTCAAGGGGCAGTATTCTGATCATGGGCATAGTTAATAATTCCTTGACGTGGCCTTGTTTAGTAATATACACCATATTCAAGATAAATAACTCAATGTGGCAATTGCATGTTTTGTGTTTTGTACATGGAACTTGTGTTTCATCCTCACAACACTTGATCGCTCAATCTAGAGTCGGTAGTAACGGAGAGGGGGTTCCGTCATTTCTGCGCATGCTTAGATTTGAATGCAGTATATCCAGGTACCCATTTGCTTTAGGCAGTAGCTTATGGCGGGTGACCGCCACACTGGACTTTTCCATCCTGCCATCTCTATACTGCCACTTCTATACTGCCACTAGCTTGGAGTTAGATCTTTACCCTCCCCGTAAATCAGGATTCCAGAACATATCGGCCAGTTATTTTCCACTTTATGTTCTCATGAAAATCGGATGAATTCCGATGAAGCTCGACTTTCTTCCGCCAGAGCTACTGTTCCTGATATCCCAATATCTCTCTCCAGTAGATTCCACCTGCCTAGCACTCTGCAACCATCGCCTCTTCACATTACCATTTCGGGACATTTTGTATAGCCCATTGCATCAGGCCAGCACAAAACTATAGCAGATGATCTACGCATCGAACTGTTAACCAGATTTACTCGACATTTACCTGAATACTACCCCTGTCATGCTTGTATTCGATTGCACCCCTGGCGGCACGTCAACCTACCAGGACCGAAGTTCAAACTCAGAAAGTGCTACGACGGCTTACCCTGGGAAAAAATACAGAGCCTATGTCTCTCGCTGTTTGAGCATCAATTCCCCACTTTCTCGATCTATGGGTTCTATTGGCCACACCTCTACCTTGCAATGCGTCGGTTCTACCTGGGCCCTTCATTCGGCATTTCCCCCGAGTCGCTATCTTACACTGAAGTGACGTTTCGTACGCTTCACTCGGATTGTTACTCCCAGGAACAGATGTTAACAAGCAATCTGCACTCTGGCGATAGACTCGGTCTTCGATCTGTCGAGGCACGAATTTGTTCGACGCCGCCGAGCCTCTGCGTGCGCATACAGGAACTCGCGGTAACTAGTCGAGGGAGTGCATCACATCTTTACCCTAGGGATTTTGTCATCTCGATCTGCTGCCATATTGGGACTCACCAGCCCGATCCCAATTTCGCGCAAGTAATCAACTCGATATTCGAGGCCTATCGCCAACAAGGACGAAGTTCCGCCGGGCTCTCGAGTCAGGGGAGATGCAATGAATGCAGTACAGCTTGGAATTTGGATTTGCGAGAAGTGAAAACTGACGACGTATGTCTTGTTCTTACGCGATGGAAGGATTTAGGGCCGGGACTAAGCCCAGAGGACCCCCGGTGGAGAGTTCAGCTACCTTTTTGGAACTATACGAGGCTGGTGAACACAGATATGTTGGGTGATCCACGGATGCGATTCGAGATGCATGCGAAGGATTCTCAGAGTCATTGGTCTCAGAGATTGTCGGTTGATGACATTTTGGCTCGAAATTTGGCGCTTTTGCGTGGTCAGCGGTATCGACGGGTTATGAGGAAACTGGGACCTGGATGCTGGTTCCTACAGGGCTGTGAAGATGAACCTAAGCGCCGTATGTTGGGATGTGTTGTGCTCTAAGTGCTTAGACCTACTAAATGATACCCACCCTATGTTCTAGGCATGATTTTGTTAGAAAATGAAGTATATCTTAGGCGACGTGCTCTAAGTGTAGTACATATCACACGTGACTGGTCCTCCTGTATGCAAATGATAGATCTTCAAGCTAGAATAGAGTAACGGCCACAATCGTGCCCTCCATTTTCGTCGTGATTCTCCATTCTCGCTTTTTTGTCCAATCTCTCCCTCTCCTCCTTCTTCTCTTTCTTGCGAGCTGTTGCCTTTCTTGTCCTATCCGCTTACTCTACTCTAAATAGAAACACATATAGTCCCTTGCCTCTCAACTTTTACCAATGGTCGAGACAATCCTGATATTTGGTTATTTTACCACGAAATATCATAGTCGAGGCAAGTCCCAAGGCCATGCTGACATCTACCCAGGCAAGCCCCACTTGCCAGACAGTATCTTGCCCATGACTCCATATACTGCGGGTGTGTATATTGCTTTTTCCATGTACTTGTGGCGTTTTGGATGTATTCGTTTTCACCGTGCCACTTTCAATATATGGAATGAGATAAAATCCGAGGAATCCATAATTCAATGATAACGAGAAATAAAAAAAATATTATTTGATGCTTGGAAGACTCAGGACCCACGGCAAACTACGGGATGAGCGGATCCCGAGAGGATCGGAGGATGAGCCTTTTTGTTGATATGCCGCGTCTCCACCGAGTAAACAAGATGAACGCCTGGGGAAACCCATTGGATACCGAGTGCAAACTTTGGTCAATCAGGAACCCAAAAATGAGGACCGTGGATGTCGACGGTCCGCACAAACTCTGAGCTTGTCGTGTCTCTCTGCCTGCTGCTTCAGATTTTAATAGTGGAAAAGTTAGTTCCCCCCGGAAGGACTGAGCCGGGGCCAGTCAGCGTCGAAGCAGGAAGGATTGGCGCCCATTCCACAGCCTGCCCCGAGCAAAGATTCAACGCGAATCGAGTGCTCTGTATGATGGATCAGATGAGACGGCGATGGGGGTAGCAGCTCTCATGGGTGGCCGCCCAAGCAAGGGGAGCTTCGCGTGGCCATCTGATAGGCTTCAACAATGGACAATGGCCGGATATGGCACAAGTGGAGTACCGGCTAACTCGCGGCGGTACTGGCTCGACCGGGACTTCCGAGTGAAGCCCGTACGACATTGGCTTTCCTCACAAAAGCTGCATGGTTCTTTTGTTGAGGTCACAGACCAGCTCGTGAAGAGGGGGGAGGGTTTGGAGTGTTGAGTGGCGTTTGGGTCTGGCGCAGGGGCGACCCCGGGAATCGCATTTCCCCTCCCAGTTCCTGGCACAAGCGCCGGACTGGATGATGGTCCCGCCCTGATTTCTGCAGGTAATAGTCTGAATGTGAAGGTGTTCTGGATGGTCGTACGAGGGGGATAAATAATGTAGAATAGTGTAATTATGTAAATAACCTAATGCTCCTGCTGTACCAGTTAACTAACTCGATCAGGTGGTTAGCATCCTTACATAATCGCTATTTGTTTATGTCACGACGCGTCCCCGCCGCTAAACCCAAAGGGGCACCGAGGGATCAACAACGCGACGTGCGCGTTGATCCAGAGGATCCAGAGGCGATTCATTTATTCTCTTTCGCATCTTCTTCGAGACCATCCCACATTCCTGTCATCGACCTCGTCCTTCGTCCCATCTCCGTCTCTCGCCTTCCCGACAACGGCTGGAATCCTTATCCCTCGACACCCGATTTGATCGCATTACATTCCCGCCCCTCCTACCCATAATCTCGCGTGGGCTGATCTCGTCCACGTCCGCGCCGTTAAAAGCTTTGGAGGGGGAATCTACCCCTTGCACGGTTCTTCCCTTGGATTTCCCTGCGAACCCTAGGAAGAAAAATTCGCTCTCAGACATTGGCCCTGCATTGTTCTGCGCCCTCGGGGGGGGAAACACGGTCCATCGACATCGTCATCCCATCATCCTGGCTCCCACAACTCTCCGCATGTCTGGGTCGGCATCCTGAAACATTCCGACGCGACCCTTCGAAACACCACGCAGAAGGAGACGACAGAGACTCAGCACGTCTAAAGCCCTGTCGCTTGGACGCGCGCGCCTTGTTTGGAAGTCCCAGTCCCCCGTGACCCCGGAGGACCAACACCACGGAATTCCTGTTGCCTCGCGATGAGTGGGTGAACCGCGATTGCCCTTTCTGTTTTTCTTTTGCTGTTTCCTTGCCACTTTGCGGCTGCGCCTTCCCAGCATTCCAGTGCACTTTCTTGGTGCGTGCCTGTCTTGGCTCATCAGCAGCATCAGCATCCTGTTGACTCACTCGGGGGGGTTGGACGCCCACCCACACTTTCGCTCTTGACCGCGTTATTGCGCTCTTCTGAAGTCGCGTCAGAGGTGTCTTATTCTTGTGGAGGATTTGGGGGAAGAAAAAAACATCGCCACTTAACTCTTCTTCGTCGACACTTGCGGTAGTGGTTACTGAAATCACGATCACTGAAGTTTATTGCAAAGACCGAGAGAGGTCAGAGTATCATTCTGGACTTGTTGCGCGGCACGTCGAGCAAACATTCCCCAAAATGGTTGCGACCTTCTCACCTCACCGGGACTCCGGAGGGACCCTTCATCTCTCATCTCACTCGCCCCTCCACCACGTCGATGCCAGTTCCGCGATCAGGCAGCTTCGGCGCTCCTTGTCGCGCTCGCCTTCCAAGAGCTCGAACTTCTTCCTCAACTCACGCACTCACTCACCATCAAAGTCCGCCACATACGTTGCTTCGCCTCTATCACCCTCCCGACGATCCTCACATAACAACTTTGTACTCTTCCCCTCCACTGGCCAACAGTCACCTCTCGCAGTCCCGTATCCTCCAAGCGCAAAGATCACTCGGCCGGTTATGCGACGACGAACTTCTCCTCGCAGTCCAGCCAAATGCGCGCTTGCCATCTCCGCTGATGGAGGTAACGCGGTTTCATCTCAACCTATTGCGATTGCGCCAGGTGAGGAAAACGCGTTGACTCTGGACGACTTGGCCGATCCAAGTGAGAGCAACTCTTGCGCCAATCCTTCTCTTAGCACCACCCCGACTGCCCCGCTCCCCGAATCAACATTTGCACCCCGCACTACCTTGTCGCGTATTGAGAAGCGTCGCAGTGGTACCTTTGGTTCCTTTGCGACGGTAAGTCCCTTGAAGCGTAGTGACGGCATCATGAATCTGGACCAGGCCTCTCGAGGCAGTCCCTCGGCAAAACGACGCAGTGTTCATGCCTCGAACTTTGCGACGGAATTTAGGATCTTCGACCATGAGAGTGAGACTGCGCCTGCCAGTCCCACTGGATATGGCGATGAAGCTACCTCTTACTTCCCGACTCCAACTCAACCTCTGAATCCTTTCGCTACCATCCCTAAACGATCTTCCTCCCTTCGTCGTTCTACTCTCCAGCAGCGTCAAGTAGAGCGTCCTCTCTTTGGCCGACCTAGAGGCTTGGGTGACTCCGAAGCCTCACCTGGCACTCCACTCGCAGTTCGACCTCGCATGTCCTTTGAGAGTGGTCTTTTCCAGTCGAGTCAAGAATCTTCATCCCTCTTTTCTCCTCGCCCTCCTCCTGCCAGTCCTTTGTTTTCACCTACCCCTCCCTCTCTCAACACGACAACAAACTTTGGAACTTCTCAACCCCCTCGACCTACTGCCCACCCTCTCTCTCGCACCATCACTCAGTCTTCTTCCGGGTCGAGCCTGGAAGACTCGCCCACTCACGAACACGTTCAGAAACCTGAACGAGCCCCGCGACCCATCATGAACTTTTCCAAGTCACTCCCAGCTGGTGCCACGCGCCCTGCGCCTGTGCGCCGGGTGACGCGCGAAGAGGCTAGCGCCAACGAGTCCTTCGCGACACCGGAGAACTACAAGCTGGTCAAGCCTTTGCCCGCTGCGTTCATGTCCACTGGGCTGATCTCCAAGAAGAACCGCAACGCAGATGACGTGAACGGTGGTGCTTTCAACAAGAACATGCCAGACACCCCGTGTAAGCGTCCTGTAAATCTGTTCGCGGCAGACTCTCCCATCCCTGAGGGGTTCTTCAACAAGTCGCAATTTGGTCGACAACCCGAGGCAGTTTCCGCGTCTCCATTCAACCCCCCTGGCTCGTCTGCTCGCCCCAAGCCCGGTCCGTTTGCCCGTGGTATGGGTATCTTTGGTGAGAGTTTTAAGCGTCCCGAAGCGTCGCGTCGCGGAAGCATTGTGAGCGTGGATGGTGACGACATGCTGCAAGCTCAGTCCCCCTCATCGCGTCACGACAGTCACCCCATGACTGATTCCGATCTCCCTCCGACTCCTACCAAGCAAACATTCCTCCCCTCTCGCACTTATCCCCCCGCCACCTCTCAGATCGCCTCTCTGGAGCGTCTATCTGAATCGAGGGGCAGCGCCACTTCCACTCCCCTGCGTGATCGATTCTTGCAGGCCTCGACTACTCCTCGCACGCCTCGCGATCAGTACTTCCCTCCCGACCCCAGTGGCTTGTCCATCTCCGCGCCGAATGACCCGCAGCCTGTCGAACCCGAGTTCGGTAGCAGCATCAACCTTCCCGCTACCCCGACTGGTCCTCGCGAGTCATTCCTTTCAAGCAAGCGACCCAGCCTCCAGGTCAGTGGGTATCAGGCTCCCGATGTGGACAGCAGCTTGACTTCCCGCTTTGGAAAGGTTGAGCTCGTTGGTACTGGAGAATTCTCCCAGGTCTTCCGCGTTGCTGAGCCACCGAACACGTCTTTCTCCTCTGTGTTCTCTCTTCCGTCCAACGGGCGCCAGTCACCGACCGACGTGGCCCGCCAGGTTTGGGCTGTGAAGAAGAGCAGGCTGCCCTACACGGGATTGAAGGATCGTGAGCGTCGCATTCGCGAGGTCGATATACTGAAGGAGCTGGTCAACTCGGACCATGTCGTTAACTTTATCGATAGCTGGGAGGAACACCGCCATCTGTACATTCAGACGGAGTATTGCGAGGAGGGTAGCCTGGATGTCTTCCTGGCCCAGGCCGGCCTGAAGGCGCGCATCGATGACTTCCGTATCTGGAAGATCCTTCTCGAGCTCGCTTTGGGATTGAAGCATATCCACGACAAGGGCTTTATCCATCTCGACCTGAAGCCTGCCAACGTTTTGGTCACCTTCGAAGGTGTTCTCAAGATTGCTGACTTTGGTATGGCCACTCGCTGGCCTGCTGAGAGAGGCTTTGAAGGCGAGGGCGATCGCGAATACATTGGCCCCGAGATCCTGATGGGTTGCTTCGACAAGCCTGCCGATGTCTTCTCCCTTGGCCTGATCATGTTTGAGATCGCCGGTAATGTGGAGCTTCCCGACAATGGAGTGTCTTGGCAGAAGCTTCGCAATGGTGATATGAGCGATGTGCCCAGTCTGACTTGGAGCTCGGAAACTAGCATCTTCCGCGATGCCTCTGGCAACCCCATCTCTGAGGAGCCGTCCTTCGAAGAGCTTTGTGCATCTGATCTCGGTGGTCACGACTTTGATGGCGATTTCCTGGCTGGCCGTAAAACCAGCTCGCATAGGCCATCCAGAGCCGCTCGTAGCGGCGAGCTTATCCACCCTCCCGTCTTCATGATCGATGCTCGCCATAACCAAGCTTTGGACCGGATCGTTCGCTGGATGATATCCCCCGATCCTGTTGATCGACCTACTGCCGATCAGATTCTGGAAACCTACGGTGTGCAATTCGTGAACCGTCGCCGTCGCGCCGGTGCCACCGTTTTTGAGGGCAACTGGGGGCCCGCTGACGAGATCTTGGCCGAAGATGCCGAGATGATCGATGTGTAATCTATCTGCCCTTTTCCAAACTTCTTGTGCATATGGAAGGTGTTACGTGTTGTCGATTTCTCTGTTTTTTTTCCTTTGTCATATGTCGTTCTGGCGTCGACACGACTCGGCGCTTTGCTTTTTTTTCAGGCCACGTTAACTGATCACGACCATTTCCTTTTTGTTTCTTCCGTCCACCAACCTTTGGCTTCTCGGGTCGAAGCTGTTTTCATCTCAACTGGTCCCTCGTTTGTGATATCATCTTGATCCTTGGCTTTTGGGTCTTATCACATTTCCCACCACTGGTTGATCGGACCTATGTCCATACATTATCATGACCCGGAGGAGTTTTGCAGCGGTTGCAATACCCGGAGTTGAGCGTGGCGTTTCCCCATTCGTTCTGAGGCGTCTTTTCCTTTTTTTTTTCCAATACCATTTCCTTTGTACCAATGCCCAGCATTACCAAGTGTCACGAATGTATCAATGTCCCCTATATCACACGTTCATCAAATTTCATGAGATACCAAGGCTTGTTTCGTCTGATCCCAATGGACTCTGTGTCTCTGACGTTCTGGTTGGTTGTAAATTTGTTTGTGTTTTCTGAGCTGCCCTTGATTAAATTCGTTATGGAAGCTTGGTTTGCATTACTGGGACTTTCTGTTCGCCGGTTGGCTAAGTCTCCTTAGAAATTTCTATGGAGATATTCATGTGTGGCTGGTTGACCGGTGGGCTTAACCCGCCTCGTGGCTTTTCCCCATGGGACCGACTTTCTGACATTATGGTGATTCTGGGCTTCCCTTTTTTCTTTTCACCCTTGTACTCTATTCCCCCAATCTGTTTCAGTAACGACGAATGACCTACAGCCATGGTATGTTAGATTAGCGAGATCTGCCTGGCTTTTTGCTTTTTGTTTCTGTGGCCAGAGTAATTCCATGTTTATGGCTGGATAGCTAGAATTTGAATGATATCCCAATGAAATGTTTGATTATTTGTTAATTTTTGTGCTACTTGTAAGAATAGTACCTAGGGTTCTGTATTTCGTGTAGGATATGCGTATTTAGGCATGTTAGGTGGCAGGTTTTCAGCTAGGTAAGAGGTCCATAAATTGTGGGATTGAGCTGTAGGTTATGGATGCTGATGATGGTGCGGAGATATATATATTGAGTCAAGTTTAGCTGCCATCCCACATGGATTCCCAGCTACGTAATCATTGATGATTTCTAGCATAGTGGGGCCCATAATTGAAAGAAGATTTGAAAGAATGCAGAAATTACCCAGTAACTAATAGATTTTTCGTCATTTAGCGTACTTGATATCTAAAAAGTAGCAGTTGATATACTTCGGAAGACAAGATATTCCTGCCGTGTTTCTGGGATCGCCACTCGTCTTGGCGCGACCTCCGAGCTCTGCTCTCCGCATCCGTTAAACCTTCAAATTTATTCCCCACCTCTTTCTCCATTACTGTTTCCTGGCAGGCCCCTACAAATCATCCGAAATCCCTGCGAATCATGCGACCTATCGTCTAAAACCCTTTAAACGCCATATCACCCCGTGAAGCCCCTTAAAGACCACCTCAAACCTCCCCAACCTCCGCGCCCACCATGGACAACAAGACTTTCGTGTCCGACTCCCTCATCCGCCTGACCGGCGCGTCAGACCCAATTGCCGTCGACTTTGTCCTTGCCGAAGCTTCATCTGCCAAATCTGCATCCTCCCTCCAAGACAAACTGGTCTCCTTCCTCGATGGCAGTCCCGACGAGATCGGCGCATTCTGCGGGCAACTTTTCTCCCGGGTAGGAAAGGGCAGCAGCCAGCCCAGCGCATCCGCTTCAAAATCTGCAGCTAGCAGGGAATCCTCAAAGAAGAAATACCGCCTTGTGGATATGGACGAGGATCTGCCCGATCCCGCATCATCACTAGGACCTGTCAACGTCGAGGCCGAGCGCGATAGACGGCGACGCCGTGATAGGGAGAGGGACAGCGAGCGGGACAGAGACCGGAGTCGTCGTGAGAAAGACGATAGCCGGAAACGAGATCGCAGCCGGGACGCGGAGAGTCGGGACAGACCGCACACGAAGAAGTTGCGACAGCGAGATGCAGATGATTTCGACGACCGATGGGGTGACGAAGAAATCGCCGAAGATGAACGATACGCCGACGAAGACGAATTCGCCGAGTCGCCACCAAAGCGCACACGACTTGAAGATGGCTCGGCCTCTCCGCGCGCCGCCTCGCCTGCCGACGATATCGACCCCCAGACTAAACAGGAGATTGAGCGACAAAAGGATTTACGCGAGAGAGATGAATTCGCGAAGCGCTTGGCCAACAAGGATAGTTCCAAATCGAAGAAGATCGTCGAAGATCGGACACGGGATAGCGAAGCTGCACGGAGACGTGCGTTGGCCGATGATGCCGATGCGCGGGCGTCTGTGATGCCTGATCTGCGTGAGCGCTCGCGACAAGAATATTTGAAGAAGCGTGAGGCGGAGCGACTGGCTCTGCTGCGGCGTCAGGTTGCAGAGGAAGCCGCCGAGCTGCGCGAGAACCCGAATCTGACGCGTCGGGAGAAGGAAGAATTTGCACGAAACCGGGAGGTTCTACGGATTGCGGAGGAGCGACTTCGAATCGACGACCATCGTGATGGATACATGATGCCTGAGGATTATATTACGGAGAAAGGCAAGATCGATCGCAAGAAGAAGGAGGATGCGCTGTATAAGCGATACGTGGATCGTGATGAAATCGGCCAGGAGAAGTTCGTTACTGAACATGAGGAGTGGGAGCTGGAACAAGCTGCCAAAGCGAAAGCGCAGATCAAAAAGGCCGAGTTTGTGGACGAGGGCGACTACGAGTATGTTTTCGACGATACGCAGCAGATCAACTTCGTCATGGAGTCCAAGATCGAGGGAACTCAGAAGCCGATGACGCAGGAGCAATTGCGGTTCAAGCAGCAGGTCGATGCCGCGGAGAAGAAGGCTGCAACTATGGAGGAGACCCGGAAGAGTCTTCCTATCTATCAATTCCGCGATCAGATTATCCAGGCTGTGCACGATCACCAGGTTCTTATTATTGTTGGTGAGACAGGTTCTGGTAAAACAACCCAGATCCCGCAGTACCTTCACGAGGCTGGTTTCACCAAGGACGGTTTGAAAATTGGCTGCACCCAGCCGCGTCGTGTGGCCGCCATGAGTGTCGCTGCGCGTGTGGCCGAGGAAATGGGCACCAAGATTGGCAATGAAGTTGGCTATGCTATTCGTTTCGAGGACAATACCAGCGACAAGACTATCCTGAAGTATATGACTGACGGCATGCTTCTGCGAGAGTTGCTCACGGAGCCGGACCTCGGCCAGTACGCGGCGCTGATGATTGACGAGGCCCATGAGCGGACGGTGCCAACCGATATTGCTTGCGGTCTTTTGAAGGATATCGCCAAGGCGCGACCTGATCTGAAGCTCCTCATTTCCTCAGCTACTATGGATGCGCAAAAGTTCCAAAAGTACTTTGATGATGCGCCCATTTTCAACATTCCCGGTCGTCGTTACCCAGTCGACGTGCACTATACCTCTCAGCCCGAGGCCAACTATCTCGCTGCAGCCATCACTACGGTCTTCCAGATTCACGTCACCCAGGGACCTGGTGATATTCTGGTCTTCTTGACAGGTCAAGAAGAAATTGAAGCCGCTGAGCAAAGTTTACAAGAAACGGCACGGAAACTCGGTAGTAAAATACCAGAGATGATTATTTGTCCGATTTACGCCAATTTGCCATCTGAATTGCAAACCAAGATCTTCGAGCCCACGCCGCCCAAGGCGCGCAAGGTCGTGCTGGCCACGAATATTGCCGAGACCAGTTTGACTATCGACGGTATCGTCTACGTAATTGATCCCGGTTTCGTGAAGGAGAATGTGTTCAACCCCCGGACGGGCATGGAAAGTCTCGTCGTTACGCCTTGCTCACGCGCCTCTGCTAACCAGCGAGCTGGTCGAGCTGGGCGTGTTGGACCAGGCAAATGCTTCCGATTGTATACCAAGTGGGCATACTACAACGAGTTGGAAGAGAACACTACGCCCGAGATTCAACGCACGAATCTCAACAGTGTCATCCTAATGTTGAAGTCGCTGGGCATTGACCAACTGCTCGATTTTGATTTCATGGACCCACCACCAGCCGAAACCATTATCCGCGCCTTGGAACAGCTCTATGCACTAGGTGCATTGAATGATCGAGGCGACCTGACCAAGGTAGGCCGACAAATGGCCGAATTCCCCACGGACCCCATGCTCGCCAAGGCCATCCTCGCCGCTGGCCAATACGGCTGCGTCGAAGAAGTCCTCTCCATCGTCTCCATGCTCGGCGAAGCGAGCGCCCTCTTCTTCCGTCCAAAAGACAAGAAAATCCACGCCGACAGTGCCCGCAACCGCTTCACCGTCAAAGACGGCGGCGACCACCTCACCCTCCTGAACATCTGGAACCAATGGGTCGACTCCGACTTCAGCGTCGTCTGGTCCAAAGAGAACTTCCTCCAACAACGCAGTCTCACGCGCGCCCGCGACGTCCGCGATCAACTCGCCAAGCTCTGCGACCGCGTCGAAGTAACAGTCAGCACCTGCGGCTCCAACAACATGGTGCCCATCCAAAAGGCCATTACGGCGGGCTTTTTCCCGAACGCAGCGCGTCTCCAACGCGGTGGCGATAGTTACCGCACGATTAAGAATGGGCAGTCGGTGTACTTGCATCCGTCTAGCACGTTGTTTGAGGTTAACCCCCGGTGGGTGATTTACTTTGAGCTTGTGTTGACGAGTAAGGAGTATATGCGGAGTAATATGCCGTTGCAGGCGGAGTGGTTGGTGGAGGTTGCGCCGCATTATTACAAGAAGAAGGATTTGGAGTCTTTGGGGTTGGATAGGAAGGTTCCTAAGGGGGCTGGGGCGGCTGGGGAGAAGAGTCGGACTTGAGGATATTAGATACGTGTTTGTTTGTATATTAAGAATTTAAGTGGGAAATATCCTATCCATGGTTGAAATTTGATGCCTTTAGATCCTTGCAATAGATACTAGAACTGTATGCTCTGCTAAAATATCTATGCGGCCTTGCTATAGGCAATGTACACTCGATAGAACCCCCTTGTAGAATCTTCCCTCCACGGCTTATACCGGGGATTTTCTACCAGATCTCCCCTTCGTGGCGTGTGCCTTTTTTTTTTGTTCTTTCTTTCAGGACCAGTCATCATTGGCCCTTCTAGGGCACTTTATCTTCCCTTTGCTTCTTGTTATTCTGTGTAGATACATAGAACTTCCTTTGCCTTTTCCTGCTTCCTTGCGCTTAGCGGTCCTGTGGATGTCAAAACTGACAAGTAAATTGGATTGACTAGGACAAGATGAGTGAAGCAAGTCCTCCTTGTGTATTTTTAGCCTTTATTATGATAGCACTGATCAGTCTTCCCACTCATAGACGTCTAAAGTCAACGCAACTCTCACTCCGTTAGGATACTAGAGTGCTAAGGCTAGCCAAAAGAGGTAAGCAATCACAATGCAGCTTTTAGCGCCGATAAGTCACCTGATAGAAAGGCTGAAGTTGCCCCTCCTGGGTGCAGCTTAGCTGCTCCTAACTCTTTCTTCCTCGAAATTAGAGCATGATTTGTGGACTCGGATGACTGCCGTGATCATGGGTTCGACTTCGGCGTCAATTAGCGGCACAAATTGGGGATTTCAGGTTGCAAACAATTCCGGAACCATCAATATTTCCAAAGGTACTTCCAAAAGCTTTGTTTTGTGAATGGTGGGTAGCCATCAATGTAGCTAACAGCAACGTTGCTGCTTCATAGAGGACGGAGACAATGAATGTCTTTCAGCTCTTTTATCCACCTATCCTGGTGTATCCGATCCTAGCGATCATATGAGGGAAATCGAACAAGCGAAAGGAGGCCTCGTCAGGGAATCATATGAATGGATACTCCACCATCCAAGTTTCCGACAGCTTCAGACCGAGAACCAAAAGCGACTGCTGTGGATCAGAGGCGAGCCTGGACATGGGAAAACGATGCTGCTGATAGGCATGATCAAGGAGCTGGAGAGCTCATCACCCCAGGCTGCGCTTGTCTACTTCTTCTGTCAAGGCCCAAACGCGCATATGAATAGTGCCACGGCTGTTTTGAGAGGCCTCATCTACCGTCTCATCATGGAAAAATCTTCCCTAATAACCCATCTGCGCGAGAGATATGATCGTCACAAAGGAATCTTTCAAGATGGGAGCTCTTTCATCGCTCTGTCAGATATAGCTGCACGCATGTTGCGGGACCCTGGGCTCGGACGCGCATTCATCGTGATTGATGCCCTTGATGAGTGCGAAACGAGTCAAGATCAGCTACTCAACTTCATCGCTGAGAACATCTCTGTCTCACCCTCTATAAAGTGGATTGTGTCGAGCCGCAACGTGCTAAGCATCATTGACCAACTCGGTCAAACGAGCTCCGAGCTTCAAATACACTTGGATCTGGCAGATAATCCAGACGAACTGATCCAAGCAGTCAATGCTTACATCGATTCCAGGATAGAGAAACTCCAAGTCTTGAGGAGTAGCCACCAGCTTAAAGCGCAAGTACGGGATGTCATGCGTGAGAAGGCGGCGAATACATTCCTTTGGGTAGCTCTCGTCGCCAAAGAGCTCGAGAAAGTCCGGAAATGGAATGTTCTCAAAGTTCTCGACAACATTCCATCTGGATTGGAAGGCCTGTACGATAGAATGATGAGACATATTGGAGATCTGGATATGGATGATCCGGTCCTCTGTTACCGGGTTCTTGCAGCGGCTACTCTAGCATATCGTCCACTTCTCTTGGCGGAAATGGGAGTCTTGGCTGGGTTGCCCGATGAAATATCAAGCGACCCAGATAACATCAAGGAAATTGTGACCATGTGTGGATCATTCTTCAGGGTTCAGGACGACTCTATTCAATTCATTCACCAATCAGCACTGGACCATTTGAAAAATAACGCAAGCGAGGTTCTTTTTGCTCCAGACTATGGGATCACTCACTTTAAAATGTTTTCGAGCTCGATCAAGACGCTTTCAAAAGAGTTAAAGCGGAACATTTACAACCTTGAAACTCCTGGAACGCTAATAGAAGAGATCAAAGTGCCAGAGCCTGATCCACTGGGGGCAGTACGGTACTCGTGTGTCTATTGGGTCAGCCATCTTTCGGACTGGAACGAGAGCGGCATGAGTCTTGAAGATACCCTGCAAGATGATGGCCAAGTACATGGATTTCTCAAAGATCATCTTCTTCATTGGCTCGAAGCCTCGTCGCTGATTGGAGCTATTGGGGACACGATACATGCGGTGATCAAACTGCAAACACTGTTAGAGGTTAGTGTTCTGTGATACTTCGTGGGTTGATGCGAGAACTATACTCTAACAAAGCATAGGAAGCTATTGGGAAGTCTGCTCTGATGGACTTGGCTGATGACGTTCATCGATTTGTGCTCAAGAATGGTTTTATGATCCAGATGGCTCCGCTCCAAGCATATGTATCTGCTCTTTTGTTCACCCCCAGTGAAACACCAATTCGAAGATTGTTCGCAAAGCAGGAACCAAGGTGGATACCGAAGAAACCGATAGTCAACGAGAAATGGGGATCGGCCATCCACAGTCTCGAGGTTAACGGCGAGCCATGTTCGCTTGCATTCTCTCATGACTCGAAGATATTGGCTTCGAATTCTTACCGCGGTGTCCAGCTCTGGGATGTTTCAACAGGGCTGCTCAGAGCTGAACTCAAGACCAACATATCCAAAATGTCTTCAGCGATTCACCCAATAGTGTTCTCGCATGACTCGAGGCTATTGGCATCGGCGCACCCCCACGGGCATGTATTCATTTGGGAGGTCACAACGGGAATTCGCAATCATATGATTGAATGCGTCGCCCAGATCGAGCTTCTAGTGTTCTCACGCGACTCGAGCCTTTTTGCAGTCTGTTATGATTCATATAGCGAGATTTGGGAAACAAATACTTGGTCATTGAAAAAAGAAATCCCTCATCGGAGCAGGAATAAAATGACCGGATCCTTTGTATGTTTCTCTCCTAATATGAAGATGTTTGTTCCCCCGCCAGAAAATACGGAAATCGAGATCTGGGACACCGATACATGCTCCGTTCACCAAAAATTTCACGTTTCGGATGAAATTTCCAAAATTGTCTTTTCGCCTGATGGGAAACTCTTAGCATCAGGGTCGGAGGGTGGAACCATTTGTATCTGGAATGTCACTTCATTTTCGCTGGAAAAAACCATCCGAGATCACACGAGTCAGATAACATTTCTCAAATTTTCTCATGACTCACAAACATTCGTCTCGTTGTATTTCGATGGGCGCCTCCGGATCTGGAATACTATTACTTGGTCTGTCATATCAACAATCGATGGCCATTCTTCACGGAGGTTTGATCCAATGCTTCGGGTGATATCTGTTACGAACGACTGCAAGCTACTTGCATTTGTATCGGGAACAATTCAAATCTGGGACATGGCCAGATCTCTCATGGAGCACCAAGTTGATGAGCCGAGGGGTGAAGTACCATGTCCACCTATATTTTCAGAGGACTTGAAGCGTTCGTCATTGGTATGGATATATGGAGGTCAACTCACATTCGTCCGGAATACTTCTACTGGGACGATCGAAAAGATTATCGAGTTGGAAGACTGTGAAAGTCGGATTGTTGGGTGGTCTCATGACTTGAGTATGTTTGCCTGGATATCAGAATGTGATACTGTCAAATTAGGGGAGCTTTCTTCAGAGGAAGCCAAGCAAGTCCTCACACACCAAGAAGGGATAATTAAAGGAGTTACTTTCTCTTTTGATTGCAAATATGTGGCGTTTACCAGCGACAAAAGACCTACTATTACCATCTGGAGTGTAGGGACAGGCCAACTGCTTCTCTCAATTGCCAATGAGCACCAAGAGCCAAGATTCGTGACATTTTCGCATGACTCGGGGTATCTTGCAGCAACTTATCCGTCCGAGGTCAAAATTTGGGACATAGGAAATCCGCCTGGAATCGCACCAGTCAAGGAGACTCTGTCAAGACCCCAGGAGTTGGCTGGCGCTCTCACATTTTCTCACGACTCGAGGCTTCTGGCTGTGGCACATGGCCATGCAGATCGTCCTTTGGATTTCTGCATTCGGATTTTGGACACATCCACCATGATTGTCAGGGAGACAATCATGACTGATATAGTCGCTGAGAGTCTGTCTTTCAACTCCGATGCCTCGTTTATAAAGACTGGTCGTTACTGCCTTGCTGTCCGCAGCAATGACCCTGATTGTGCTCATGCCGGGGGGACCTTGTGACGAAGGCAAAATACCTAGGATTTTATCTCAGCAATGACTGCTCATGGATTGAGCTTCATGGGAAGAAAATGGTTTACGTTCCAGCCGATTATCGCATGGATACTGATCGAAGGGAAGATCGGTTTGCTATATCTCGGAGTGACCATCCCCCCTCTGTCACAACAATCGCCTTCCGTGGTCAAGCCAGGAAATATTGGTTGATTGAATTGGACGAGGAAGCATTAAGCTATGTATGAGTCAAATTCAAGGACTCAAGTGGTTTGAAAAAGAACGAGTTCTGATCGACAGTATTTGATGGATATTACTCCTTCCCTGTGTTGTTTACAGGGCCAGTGCCTTTCGCCTTTGAGGTGTATCGTTGCAGATTCTCATTATTTGCAGGGTCACCCGTTACAGTTTGCGAGGTGTTTCCGATAGATTATTTCCTCGTTCTTTGCAGTTTCCCCTATTAATGACATATATAAGCCCCCTCATGTTTTCCTGCCTTGTTCCTTCTTCTAGAGCGCCAGAGCGCCGGGTCACCCGGGCTCTAGAGATAGGCAATATTGCTTTGCTCCCAGGTTTATTCCCGACTCGTTATGCAGAGAGTTCCTCGATATGGTACATTAGCATTGGAGCCGCTTGGTCTAAAGGTTGCGAGCCATTTCCATACAAGTTCTAGGCTGACAGAACTTGAATTTCTCAGTTTTATTTAGCATGTGTGCCTGGGCGGGAGCTGTAACAAGGGAGATCATGTGTTTAGTAGGACTGTACTTCTGTCTATGAACGAGATGAAATTCCAAAAAAGGAGAAATCTATAGCCGAAAGGGAATACTCAATAGCCGACATCTGTACAACTACCATCCTTCAGTACCCCTACTACAGTAGGATAACTATAGCGTCATTTTCAAGAGATAAAAACACCTCTTCAACCAACATAAAATGCATATGTAACATATCTCGGAATATTCCACTAATCAATAAATTCCGGACCCCCCATCCAAACCAATCAGCAGCAACGCATTCGCAATTGGCCCGACCGCGGCACACCCCGATTTACCTCGGCCCCGCTGACTTTCCCCCCAGACTTTCCAAGAGAACTCCGCCAAGTCTCCGCGGCCTTTAAACGTCACATTCCACTTCTCCTCCATCTTCCCTAAATCTCCACCCACAAACGAACACCACCTACACATCGCCCACCATGTCTACCAAGTCCTTCACCCCGGCCGAGGTTGCCGCCCACAACAACGCCGATAAGGGCATGTACATTATCGTCGACTCGTCCGTTTACGACGTCACCAACTTCGTTGACAAGCACCCCGGCGGCGCGAAGATCCTGAAGCGCGTTGCTGGTAAGGATGCTTCTAAGCAGTTCTGGAAGGTATGTACCTGGGGATAGAGGTGTAGTTACTCTATCTACTCTGCTAGTCATAGCCTTGGGATCCTGGTGTTTTGGTGTGGCATGAGCTAATACCGCTATGAATGTTTAGTACCACAACGAGTCCGTTCTGAAGAAGTACGCGCCCAAGTTGAAGATTGGTGATGTCAAGGATGCGGCGAAGCTGTGAGCGATGCGACAATGGATTATACACATACACGAGAGCGAGCGATCAATGACACGTGCCTGGCTTTTGGAAATAATTCGCGCGAGGGGCCCGCCGATCAGAATGAGCTGAGCGTGGCCTAAACGTGGACAACTCATAGTGTTGAGTTAGCGAACAGTTGCTTGCGAACGAAGCGATTCCGGAAGGTTGTTGTGGATATGGATATGGATTCTTAGAATTGGAGTATCGAGAAGATGTGTTTATACCCGCTTTATACGACATTTCTATTCTTGTACATTTTCATCCTGACCCGGCTACTTTTTCAAGTGATCTACAATCTTAGAGGTACTGCAGGCTAACCGTAAAAGATTTTGCTATATCCATGAATTGAACCCGCGACCTCTCATTCCCTATATACTTCATGACGATGCTCCATGCTCAGCCCGCGGCTTCACCGCGAAACAGCATCGAATAAACAACACATAATAACACCATCAGATCAGCTTTTAAATAATTTTAAAAAGGAGGATTATATTCTATAGGATTTTATGGTTAAAATGATATAAAGAAAGTGTAATAAAAAGGATATTAAAAAGAGAAATACCGCAGGATGGTCGGATTCCAAAAAACTTCACCCGCCGGCGTCCGCACTTGCTCTATAGAATAGCTACGTCGCCGAACCCACTGAAGTGGCTACTAGTCACCTAGTGGTAAACCAATAGACAACCGGGCAGGATAAGTTGCTGATTTCAACTGGAAGTAAATGATAACACCTCATGCGATTCCCACCCGGTTATTTTGATTTGGTCATGTCTTCACTCCTAACTATCCCTTGGACATCAAGAAATCTACAGTATAGACATATCAAGAGAAGAGAAAAAATAATCATTATCTGTACAGTACCTAATGACAGGCTATATAATATGAAAGGCAAAAAGAAAATAATGCAAATCACCAACGCCCCATAATCCATAAATCCATCGCTACTTCGAATAGGTATCCTGTCGCACAATGGTATCAAGATGGTCAAAAGCAAAAAGGTCGAATGGGCATAATCCAAGAATGCCCAAGCGCTCAAAAGGGGGTGTCAAGGTGAACAAAGTAAAGAAAAAGAGTATAAAAGAAAGGAGAAGAGCATTGCAAGGTATGTAGGTTAGAGAAGGGTGATCAGTGTCTTGGTCAGTGCAAAGACACGTGGAATAAAAGGGATATATATACGGGTGTTGCATGAGTGCAAAGCGTCCAAATGACAAGATAGAAAAGAGAAGAAAAAGGAAGGAGAAGTTATAATCAAGGCGAGAAAAGGCCATCTCCAACTAGAACCCTCTGAAAGGATCTGATCGGAAAGAAAGCTCACTCTCATCCACAGACCGGCCATCATATGCACTCCACTGACTAGACGTCTTCCGCGCATGCCGCTGTTTCACAGACGGCACAGCCCGAGGACGATTAATCTGCTCAGCATGGTGATCAATGAACGCCTCCATACGAACAGTGCCGACATCAAACATATTACTTGTCGCCGTATTCGCTGTACGTCCACTCCCCTCCGACGTACGACTAATACTGCTTCGACCACTTCGGATACCCGCAGGTAAAGCCGGAGGCGCCACGGGCGAGAAATACGGTTCATTTGAACCCGTTGTCCCGCTGTGCGATGAGGGCACAGTTCCCTGGCTGGAAAAACTGCGGATAGCGTGCAACGCGGGCGGGCGTGGAGCCGTGTTACTGCGTTTGCGAGTATGATGGTGGCTGCTGTGGTTCGAGAAGCGGGGGACGTGGGGTGCGTCGGCAGCCAAGTTGTCCAGGTCCCCTGCGGAGGGGATTTCGGGCACTAGTGCGCCGGGGAAGGATCGTTTGCCCTTTGGCATTGGGCGGGGTTTACCCTTTGCGACGCGGATAGAGTCGCGGATGGGGTTGCGGCGGAGGGCGGCGTGGGGTGGTGGTGAGGCGGCCTCTTCTTGAGGCGCTGGGGGGATGGCGGCGAGGTCTTGGAGGCCCATTGAAGAGTGGCTGAGGAAGGAGAGGGCTGTGAGCCAGACATAGTGGCGCTCTACGGTGAGCGCGGTGAATTTGAGGGCGCGTTGGGGCGTAAGAACGAGGATGGAACGGTTGAAGGGAGCGGGAGTGGTGCTGCCTTTAGGCATGGGGTTGTCGTCTTTCACATCGAGGACGGATTGAATGGTGACTGGAAGATAGGTTAGTATACTTTGTTATGGATTGATTGGCAATGTCAGCACTCACACTTTCGGCCACTCTTGCCCAGCAATGCAGGCCCGCTGGTCGGCTGCTTGCTACTCCACATGATGGCACCCTCATATGGTGCAAGCCAGACCCATCGCTTGTGTCGGACACCACTGTTGGTGATGTTGGCCGATACCTCATCAGGGTTCTTGCCCTCCCAATTATCCTTGGACTCGCCCATGCCGAAAGACTTGCGGCGACGGACGTACTTGAACATCCACTCGCCAACCATAGTCTGAGCAATTGCGTCAACCACACTAGTTGGTTGCACGCCACCCGTCGAGTCCCGCCGGTCATGGTTCCAACCCGTAGATCCAGTTGCACGATGCGAGGCCCGTTTCTGGACATTGCGTCGGTCACGAGGAGCTGTGATATCATCGAACGGCATTGGAGGCGGGTTGTAAGATGGACTATCCAAAACGAAAGAGGATGCAGAGCGTGCTGGTGATGATTGGGTTTCAGGACGTTCGGGGAGATCCGAGTTGGACATTGCTGCTGCGGAGCGAACTCGGCGCAGAGTTGGCCGGCGCACGATTGTTGCACGCGCACCACGGTCCGAGAACTGTCTCGCCGAGCGGGTTGGGCTTGGTGGTCCATCGCTACCATTCAGCCCACTCTTTCGAGAACTGAGGCGGATAGGAACAGGGAAGGGAGGGGCGATGCTGGATCCCGCGCTGCCGCTTTCGAGACTGGGTTCGCTAGGGCTGCGAGCGCGCGTCTTCTGATGTGCTGCCGCACCGCTGGAAATCATGGCCATTTTGCGCATACCAGGCTGGCGGGTAGCAGAAGTAGCGCTTGCACCGGATCGGAGGACGGGCCGTGAGCCTCGAGCAACGTCAGATGGGCGTGACTCGGGATCAGAGAGATGCTCATCGATTTCAGGAAGAGCCATCTCGTCGAGACTGGGTCGTGACTTGGCATTGACCATTTTGCCACGGCGGAGGGTGTAAGATGCGAATGGACGGTTGAGCAGCTCGTCGTCCGTGAAGATATCCCGCTCTTCGGCGGCGGGATCCTCGTCGTCACTTAGCTGTTCAAATCCAGCGAACAAACTGCTGGAGCGGAAGGGTCGTCGCAGACCAGAAGAAACCAAATCGTCCGAGAGCGGGCCGTTGTCGTTGTTGCCCGGATAAGCCTGCACGAGCTCTGAAGGCTGCGCACGTGGTGGTTTGGCAGGTCGTTCAGCCGCAAATGGCCGTTGCTCTCTCTTGGCAGATCGTGGTGGAGGTACGGGTGGACGGTATGGTTGATAGACGGGTTCTTTGACTTCGGATCGGATAGGAAGATCGGGAATGGCGGAGGGTAGGAGGCTGGCAGGGAGTTTGACAGGTCGTTGGTCGATGCGAATCTCCTCGGTCTGAATGGCAACAGATCGGCCTTCGACGACGGACCTGAAATTGGCCTGCACCGAGACATTCTTGGTTTGCGGCGGAAGAACGACGCTGTTGCGGGGTGAAGGTGGCTCAGAAGCAGGCGGGTGAATGGCAATCATTGGAATATCCATTTGTGCGGGCACATCGTTGGGCGACAATGTAGCCTTTCCAGCAGCGACTCGTTCAACCTCGGGTATGTGATCGGTCTGTGTCGAAGCAGTTGCCATTTGAACTGGCTCTGGGGTCGCCTCAACGGCAGGACGGACCGGCGATTCAGGAACTTTGGGTGTCCATGGGGGACTGGGCAGCTCGCCGATTGTCTGGCAAGAGCTGGAAACCATTTCGACTTCGATGGTCAGTGTGGAGGAATCCTTCATTTCAGACAATTCGTCATCCTCCTCAGTCGTGACTTCCAATACTGGGATATCAGCAGGCACAGGCTCGACATCCTCAACGGCAACCAATGATTCAGGCGACGGTGGTGGTGAGTACTGGATACCCGTATCGCGATATTCCACTTGACTGTCCACTTTCACAGGACTAAGCGGCTCCATCGCACGGAACTCCGCAGCAATAGCCGACGCATTACTCTGCATCGAAAGACCCAGAATCCTCCGCGCCTTTGACGAAATATCATGCGATGCTGCCGAATGTACGGACAACGGCCTTTCCTCGGGAAGTGCCTCTGGCGAAGCGGGAGTCTCATCGTCATCAGACGCGACAAACTCATCTTCCTCTTCCTCGTCGAATGCCAATTCCTGAGCCAGATTCAAACCCGAATCACCCTTGCCAGGCGCCATACTCATAACCGAGTACCGAACATTGTGATAATGAGCGTCATTGTCGCCCTCATCGGTCGTCACACTGGTCATACTCGTGCGTCGCCGGCCCTGACTACTCGACGCCACACTAGCAGTATCGCTACCTTTCGTCTTATCCTTCTCCGTATCATCATCCTCGCCATGTTGCGAGACAAGCGTACCCGCTTCCTGCGCGGCCGCAACTTCATTCAGGACCGTTTTCAACCGGCCCTCCACCACGTGGACCTTGCGTTCTAAATTCCGGCGCTCATTCTCCCACGTGTCGCGATCGCGATCCCACAACATCTGCGTTCGCTCCGCTTCTTCCTCACGACTTCGAGCCCGTTTCTGCGTTTGTTCCAGTTTTTTGCGAACATCATTGATATTCTCCACTGCTTCGTCCCGCTCGCGGGCCAACTCCGTCATCGCCGATGACGTCCCACCTTCCAACAACTGGATCTGGTGTTTCAGGGAGCGCGCTTCGCGAGTCGCCCGGGACAAATTCTCGCCCAGCGTTTCCGTTTCCGTCCTCGATTCATCTAAACTCTGTTCTAGCACGTCGATGGCTTTGGTTTTACTCTCGACTTCGCGGCGGAGATTGAGGATCTCCGATACGAGCGAGGCATGGAGGGTAGGCGTGATTCTGCGAGCGTCGAATGGCGAAAGGGTATCTTCCTCCCCGAGCTCGTCGTCCAAATCGCTGTGTCCATCGGGCGAGAATGCGGGTGTTGGCAGACCCGGTGGAGAGGAAGGCGGTGCGGGGGAGGAATCTCGTCGGCGTCGTGCCGGTCGAGATCTCGATCTGGATTTGGAGTGAGCCCGGGTGGAGGACGGGGCTGGAGATGGTTGGGCCGTGGAGGCCATGGGGGATTGCAAGTCGGTTGCCATCTCGAGTCGAAATTGCGCAGTTCGACTTGGAACGATCACTGCATCGCCTGGGGAGAATTGGGAAAGTCGGGTCCCTGTGCTAACCAGAGCACGACACGGCCGAGTTCCATTCAATCGACCGTCTACCGTAATTCAATCATTCGTTGCAGAAGCGGAAAAAGTCGTGGGGTCTCAGGGGGAAAGGAATTAAATCGTGCTGCTCGTTTCGTTGGGCCAGGGGGGCTAAAGTGGTGTCTGTCTGTCTTGCACCAGTCTCTTCTTTTTTTTCCTTCTCTCTATCGTGTCGGACAAGCGCAAGGAAGATCAATTCAAGGTGGCTGCGGTGCAACATTCAGTCAGCCACTTGGTTGCAGCGCGGAAAGCGGGATGTACGCCCTGAGCGCGAGGGGAGCGCAATGCAGGCGATTTCCGTATGCACGGGAGGATTTGCCATCGATCTACTTACGGAAAAATAAATGCAGGACGCCTCAATTGAAGGGAGGAGCTGGAGAAAGGAAGCGTGATAGATGGATCAGATGTTGCCGCCTCCTGAGAAAAGAGACTGGGGAGAAATGGGGGGGTGGAGGGGAGAGCTTCGAAGAGAAGGACCCGCGATCAAAGTCCGAAACAGCGAAACAGCGAAACAGCGAGCCAAAATATTCCGGGGGGAGCTAGAAGAGGGACCGAGTTCCCGTTTTGGAGAGAGCACGATCTCTGGGAAGTAGTCAGAGATGATGGAACGAGGCCGCGATCCGAGAGGGTCAGAGAGTTTGGCTGATCAGCCTCGGGATACGCGTTTTCCTAAGAAGAGAAAAACACCAAAAGAGGAACAGGGGGGTGTTCGTTCGGTCAGCAGTCGTAGCCAATGGGTACTAGTGGACGGAGAAGCGTCGTTAAAGGGGGGGCCATGGGGAAGCTAGAAAGCCAACCCGATTAGCCCAGGATGCGACTTGCTCCACTGGAAAGCTGCCATCCAAGACACTAACGGACATTAGCTGGACTAGCAGAGAGCGTAAACGTACGTATATTAACCTAGATGGTTAGAACTCGAGATAGGCATATACCAGGACTATGCATATATCTAGATACAATGTGGCGCAGGGTTTCGGCTTCGAAAGTATATGACAGCCGTGAACCTATCGAGAGTCGACCATGGAAAGTATACGAAACCCCCCAGTCGTACCAGAGTTGGCGACTGTTCTAGAATAGATAAAACAAAACAAGAGCATAATACAAGGACAAAGGACCACTAAAGAATGGAAAGAAAGAAATAAATTTGTTAAAAAAAAAGAAAAGAAAGAAAGCTTTTTTTTTTTTCAAAACGCGAGAGGCGTCATAGTAATCTCGGCGAAATCCTCCCAGAAAGCCAGAAAAGGAGTCGAACATGATAGGATCGGCCGCAGACTCCAGCATGGGGAAGGCGTTCGTGACGAAAAAAAAAAACCTCGGATCCTCCAGGGTTCCACTTAAACCCGGGAATCACTCAGCTCGAGCTCTCTTGGACGAGATCTGGCCCCTCCCCCTATTCCGTCTTCCAGTCTTGGAGCACATAGTAGTAATACTATAAGAGTTGGGGAACTGCTAGTAGTAAATACTACAGCCTAACTATGCTCCGCCAGAATATCGTCGGCTATAACAATGCAAAAGTACACTCTACGGCGGAGATAATTAAAGAAACCTTAGAAAAGCCCTGACTAAAAACCCAATCACAGACTTGGCGACGCCAACATCAAGGACTAAATCATATGGAGGTCGTTAGTGAATCGAATAAATTAGATAGCATCCTCGAACCGGAAAAGGAGGGCTGCTCTAGCGTAATTGAGGAGACTCTATTCCATAATTGCCCTGCCTGTGCTACGGCATGTAATAGAGGCCATCATCCAATACACATAATTACTCATTCCATAATCCAACCAAGCTTGATAATTTGTCATCTTTTACCTACTTAAAGATGCATAAAATCCTATAATTACCCTTTGAACAATGACCCCTATTGAACACCACACTGGGCGTTGGCCAGTCCATCTTAGCGTGATGTTTGGCGGTGGTGATCGTCGCTGGTAATTTCGTTCAATGGGAGAGCTCAGACTCAATGCGCCCGTGGTCTGATGGTCCGTGTTGGGGGTTGTTTCAGGTTCCTATCACACTGCATCTGATCTCTGGCGTCCTCCAGATGACCCGAACCTTCGTGTCTTCTTAGCATATCTCGTCCTGTCATTCTTGTGTGTATGGCTCTTTTTGGGTTAAAATTCAAGGCGTCCGAAGGTGTGGAAATCCATGCGTAACGCAAAAGGGGTAGACAGAATGGAGTCACCCGGTCCGCGAGATCCATTCAAGGTCCCCACTTCGAACGAGAGGCGAGCTTTTTTTTTAATTTTTTTTTCCTAGCACTGTTTATTTATGGATGAAGGTTCAACAGGTTGGGACGTGATTGCGCTGGGGTGTTATCGGGAAACCCCCTGGTCTAGCCTTTGTGTTTCTTTGTTTACCTGCTATACTATAACAAGTACCCTAACAAGTGTAGCACTACTCGGTCGCATCCTCGAAACAAACACAACTACCGGGCGCATAGTCAACGTTAGAGTTGAACGCGGCTAATTAAAAAGAACAAGGATTCAACGGCAACCAATCAGCTATACAACTCGAGCATTAATTAGCATTCTCCGGTCGGGCATACTCGGTTCTAGACCTAGACACTGCATTAGCGCTCCTGTCAGAAAAAAGAAACTCGCGAATTGACCCTGTATGGCCGACTGGCATTGGCTGCTATTGCGTTGCATTGGAAAAAATAATGACCAGTCGTCGGGAGTATTATTTGACCTGTCAACTTGTCAACGGCCTCCCGTGTTGTAACTTGTGTGTGTTTCAGCTTCCCAGGACCATGGTCTGCCCCGTGGGTTAGTGTCGGAAATGGTTCGCGGAGATGATTCCTCTTTTATGGTTGTGGTAGTTGCCTGATCAGATGTCAGAGTACAGTACAACCTGGTTAAAGCGAACCAATCTTTCCACGGGGGCAATATACGTATAGCCTCTGGAGTACCCCGTTGACATATTTATCTGGTGCCTCTTTGCACAAGGTGATCACGACGAAGCAGAGAGCCGAGGCAGACACTCTAGTCCAAGTGTATATCCTGCCCGAACGATTTCCAAAGTGAGGCAGACTTCATAGAACCGGATTTTAATTGAGCCTCACGGGTTATCAATGCATCTGGAATCACTAGAAGTAAACGCTAATGAAGTATGTTCTATCACACAGCGACAACCGAGGAGTGTATGATTGTCGGTACAAATTTCTGAGTCCAAAGTGGAGGAATGAATTTCTTTTGAGATTTATGAGCGCTCAACAGAAAAGAACCTCGAATGAACTCTTTGAGAACCTCACACACACGATGGGCTAAGATATCCAGCGTTATGTATAGATTCTGTGGCGCAGTTTGTGGCGAGGTAGTTTTCGCGAGGGGCCTTAGTTAGCCTCGCGATAGTCAGACCCCATTATGCTTACCCCGCGCACACCGCTAAGTTGCTCTGAGTCGAGAAAGAACTCTATCAAACCCTGCATGACCACCAGACCAGTCACTTTTCTATTGGGCGGCTTTCATTTATATGGTCGATCACCATGGATGGTGTATCGGCTGCGGCAAATATCCTTGCAGTGTTAGATCTTACGGCCAAAGTAGCTTCCCTCCTGTTCCAGTTCTCCAAGCAAGTGAAAGTTGCAAAGTCAGATATCGAGCGCTTGAATAGGGAACTGGAACGATTGAATATTACTCTCAAAGGCGGTCGAGAGTTATTGGAAAGTCCAAATGGCGCAAAACTTCAAACCTCCCAGGGCTTGCTTGCTAGTCTTCATGACTGCTCTTTGACATTGTCAGAAGTTGAAGCAAAGCTGAGCAGAAAGCTCAATGCTGGGAGTTCTCGTATGATGAGTCGATTTGGTCTTCGTGCGTTGACATGGCCTTTTGAAAGTAAAGATGTGAACATAATTGCCAGAAATTTGGAGAGGTATCGCGACGCGCTATCAGCATCACTTACCATTGATCAAACGTATGATAAAAAGATTCTCCCAATCTGGCTTGCACTAATTGGGACTATAGTGCACAGGTGCTTAATATGGCTCAAACTGCTAGTCTTTCACAACTTCCCACGGTGACTGGAGCAGCATTTGATTCTCACGCCGATGAGCATGATCCTCGATGTCACCCCGACACGCGAGTGGCTCTTCGCCAGCAGATTGTTGAATGGGTAGAAGGACTCGAGAGCGAATGTATCTTCTGGCTGAACGGGATGGCTGGTACAGGGAAGTCAACAGTATCACGGACGATCGCACAGACCTTTTCAGACAAAGGTATACTTGGTGCCAGCTTTTTCTTCAAAAGAGGCGAGCGTGATCGTGGCAATGCAAGTCAACTATTTACAACGGTGGCTTCCCAGCTTGCCATCAAGGTACCAGCCTTAGCGACCGATATCAGCAATGCCGTTGATAGCGACCCAATGATTGTTAGCAAAACACTCCGCGAGCAGTTTGAGCAGCTTATATTGAAGCCTTTGGAGAACATGCAGCCAAGCAAGACAAAAACGGTTGTACTTGTGATTGATGCGCTTGATGAATGTGATCGAGACGACGACATCAGGGTTATCATTTATTTAATATCTCTCGGGAGACGCTTAGAGTCAGTGCGACTTCGGGCTTTCCTGACAAGCAGACCCGAGTTACCTGTTCGACTCGGCTTCAAGTCAATACAAGGCAGATACCAGGATCTGGTTCTTCATGATATCCCTAAGCCGATCATAAGTCATGATATTGCCGCGTTCTTGGAGTACGAGCTCACAAGAATCAAAGAGGATTACAATAACATAACTCCCACCGAACTCCAACTCTCAAAAGGCTGGCCTGGAAGCGAAAACCTGGATGCGCTTGTTCAAATGGCCGTCCCTCTATTCATCTTTGCGGCTACAGTCTGCCGTTTCATCGGGGATCAGGCCTGGTCTGATCCCGCCGGACAACTCGCAAAGATCCTGGAATATCAAACGAGGTCCCCGGAATCCGAGATGGACAAGCTTGATGCAACCTATCGACCTATACTTGATCAGTTGATTGCGGGATCAGAGTCAGCCCGAAGATCTCTTGTGGAAGAATTCAAAGTTGTCGTTGGTGCTATCGTTCTTCTCGCCGAACCACTATCCGTGTCCTCTTTGTCCGACCTGATAGACCTCCCCAAGCCAGTTATCAGTCGTAGGCTGGTGTCTCTTCATTCTGTCCTCGCGGTTCCTGAGTCGATCGATACTCCTGTCAGATTGCTCCACCTCTCGTTTCGGGACTTTCTAGTTGATTCTGCCAAGCGAGACGGCAACCCTTTTTGGATCGACGAGGAAGCAACTCACAAAAGAATTGCGATGAGATGCCTTCGTCTTCTATCCTCTAGTGATTACTTGAAGGAAGACATTTGTGGCCTCGAGATCCCGGGAGCAGCGCGTGTAGATGTCCCAATCATTGCAATTCATTCTGCACTGCCCGCCCACGTTCGATATGCGTGCCTATATTGGGTATACCATCTAGAGCAGAGCAGGACAAGTATCCCAGATGATCATGAGGCTGTTGTCTTCCTTCAGAAGCATTTACTCCATTGGCTTGAAGCACTAAGCCTGTTGGGAAATATTTCTGAGGCTATCTCCATGTTAAGAAGCTTGCAAAAGCTTGTGCAAGTAAGTACTAAGGTCAAGCGCGCTTCCTTACGTATACTAATCTTGAATTTCATTGGGCATAGGCAGGTAATGCCAATGCAAGCGCCTTCTTGCACGATGCAGTCCGGTTTGTCCTGAACTGTCGGTCAATTGTGGATCAAGCCCCGCTGCAAGTTTATTTATCTGCACTGGTCTTTGCTCCCACCAAATGCATTGTCAGAGAAATGTTCAGTCAATGTATTCCTCGCTGGCTCCGTCAGACTCCAAAGCTTGAAAAGAACTGGAGTGCTTGTCTGCAGGTACTAGAGGGTCATCAGGGGCAGGTTACGATAGTCATTTTCTCACCAGATGGAAGTACGGTAGCATCCGCTTCGCATGACAAGACCGTTCGTCTCTGGGATACAGAAACAGGCGAGGAAAAACAGGTGCTCATAGGCCATGATGGGGTACTCACGGGAATCGCGTTCACCAGCGACGGAAAAACACTTGTGTCAGCCGCTCAAGACAAGACAATCCGAATTTGGGATATTATCACAGGCGAGAGATGCGAGATAATCGATCATGGAAACACAGTCCTTGAGGCTACCTTTGCTCCGAACATGGATGCAGTCGCACTTCGATCACCTCGCAACAGAACCGACTGTTTTACCTTCCCAGACTGCCATAGTTTCTTGACCAGATACGGCGAGAACGTCAAAAACGTCAAAAAGCTCATATTTTCGCCGGATGGTGAGACGGTCGCAACTACACGAGCCAAGACACACGGGGCTACAATTTATGACCGTCGAACCGGGGCTATCGTACGGCAGATAGATGGCACAACGGGCATAGTCAGGTCAATCGCGTATTTCCCCAACAGCAAGCAGTTTGCAACGGCCACGCAGGCCGACGGAATCCAAGTCTGGGACATTGCCACCGGCGAGATGAAGCAAAAAGTGGGCGGTCCTGACTTGTCCATTCGAAGATTGATGGTGTCGTCGGATAGCAAGGTCATGGTATTGAAGACATATGATGGAAAAGTTCGACTCTGGAATCTAGCAACAGAGCAAGAGGTTCAGAGTTTCGGTCGCGACGATCATATCGACAGTATCGCTTTCTCACCTGATAACAAGATCATATCGACTTCCTCCAACTTCAAAATACGACTCTGGGATCCAAGATCAATCCAGGGATACCCAGGTCAGATGCTATCAGATGAGCTGAAGATGACCTCTGATGCCACATCAAGCGCAATGGAACAAGAAGAATTCTCCAAGGAAACTCCAGCAGATAGGATTAGATTCTCGCCCGTTCGCAGAAGAGTAGCTTCGACTGCGTGGGATGGAATCATTCGGCTTTGGGACATGGACACAGCGGAGGTTCTGCAAAAACTACATCATGAAAATGGAGTCCGACAGCTGGCCTATTCAAAGAATGGAAACTTGGTAGCATCTGTCACAGTTCACAGCGGCGGCGACGGTACAATGACCTGGGAAGAAGGAACCACACTCTTTCTTTGGGATGTCGAGAGAGATCCACAAATTCGCTGGACCAAAGAGATTCCCGATTTTTGCGACCTTCTCTTTTCACCAAATGACCAATATATTACATATAGTCATGGTAAAGCATTCCACGTTCTGGATGTTAACGATGGCAAAGAGCGATGGGCTGGCTCTTGGGACAAGAGCGTTAGCCTTATGAGCTTTTCTCCCACCGGCAAGCAGATAATAATATCCGATGGGGCCATAGTATCGATTTGGGAATTTACAGAGGATCAAATGCGACATTTGGAAGATTTTCCTTTCTCGCAAGAGAAACTAAATATGCGCCCCCTCAAAAATTGGATGGATGTCTGTATCCTCTCCCCCATCAAAGGAATCGCCATGTCCCCAGATGGCAAGATCATTGCTCTGGCTGCCAAAGAGTCGATATGGCTGTATCATGTAGAGACGAAGCGCCGACAAAGGTTGGTCACCAGGCTGGATGCGTTTATAACGAGTCTGCGTTTCTCGTCTGACGGCCAGTTCCTGGAGACCAATCGTGGGACTGTAAGTCTTCGACCCGAGTCTGATGAATCTGGAAATCTGCAGTCAGACAATGAATGGGGTGGCGGATTTGTATTTCTCAGCCCGGAGTGGTTGACGTCCGACGGAAGAAAATTGCTGTGGCTTCCTCCAGACTACCGGTCTTTTTGTGTGGCGTATCATGATGGGACTTTTGCTATTGGAACTGGTACTGGGAAGGTGATATTTCTCCGGGTCAAGTTCTGATAGAAAATGATCAGGTACGGGGAGCCGCTGTGCTGTTGCCGTTATAAGAGATACCCTCTTGCAATCGAGAAGGGAGACTTGTGATGATGACATATTCTATTGATTGAAGCAAAATCAGCCATCTTGAAGGTCTCTATAGACATCTTCAAGGCCATCAAGAACGGTAATGACATTATTGTAGAAAGCCTGCTGAAGGGCAGGACTTTTAAAGTCACTGTCATGCCCAAAGTCGCAGTACAGACATCGTTTAGTGACGTCTCTGAAGCTCTTGCTGATCTTCGCGTGGCTCTTCTCTACCACTCTGCGGGCCGTGAAATATTCAACAAAATCTGAGTCACCACCTTCTTGAAGATCGATAGACTCTATCATAGATGCGATAGGGGTCTGGAAAGCGAGTTCGAGGAACATAACGCCCAGTCCGAAAAGAACAGGATTTCGAATAAAGCGATGGTACCCTGGGGACGCTTGCTGGGACTCTGACGAAACCGAACTCGTCATGTAAGGGATAATATGCTGTGATTGTTGCATGGTAGATTCTTAACTGTTAAAAAGCTGAACATCTTCGCTGCGCCATGCTATATCGAGCCAGGGTGTGGAATGGTAGTAAAGAACAGCAGTAGCGAGATGTTTGGCCAGACGGACACTTTTCCTGCGTGATGTCGGATCTTGAGATGACATCAGACAGCGAGGTCGCTGTTTGCATGATGCTGGCCCGGCTGGCTAAATATGCCAGATGGTTGCATGTTTCGTTGTCTCCAAGTAGGCCAATGCAGCTATTCCTTTCTTGATGGTCTAAGACTCTTTCGACCACCCTGCAGAAATTGCGTTGGATATGGAGATTTGGAATTTCAACGACTTCTGCTTTTGAGCAAAATACCTGTTTTGGCGCGGGTAGATCCTTAAAATGCACACGCTTTCGTATCGCCGATGAGCATTTACCTCCTCCAACCTCTCGGTGTCTCTTGAGAGACAGCTTTCCGTCAGAGCATGATGTGGTATCCAGCTCGGAATAGCTCCCACGGGATTTGATGGTTGAGTCCACGTCTATCCAGACCGTGTTTCCAGGTGCTTTAGGGTGTTTAATAAAAGCGAAATTGAATCGAACTCGGGTTGTCGTTCCGTCAAGGGCTGGCTGAAGTGATATCTGCACATTATGGACAGTATGTGCAATACAGGCCGTCCTCATAGCCTCGTAGAGGCTGTACGCAGCTTGCTGAATGACACGAGAGTCCTCAAATTTTTGACGACGTTCCGGGGTTCTGGCTATTTGTGGGCCTTCCTAAGTCTGTGAACTTCTCTGTTGAACAACGACCGATGTGAGATTCAGGACTAAATCTCTCAAGTCTTCTACAGCATACTGTACATGGCAATCAGACAGAGCGTATCAGAGGTAATTTCACGGTATATTACTCACCTTGAGTGTCGTCACTACACTAGTGGGCTATCCTTTTGCCTTAGTCCCCAGAGGAAGTCGCATGGTAATGTCCTCGATGCCTTCAAGCTTTTTGTTAATTTCAAGAGCTATCTCCAGGCAGAATGGCTTGGATGATCTAAGACGTTCATCAATGGAATTTGAATTATGTGATGACAGAGACTCTGCATGATCGGAGACAAGAAAACGCTGATCTTTCATTATTTTCTTGAGATCAGCATCCCGTGGCAAATACCGCCGGTGTTTCCTGAAAGACTTAAGGACACACTTGAAGCTGGAGTCGATTTCTCGCATGACTGTTGCTATTAGTTTAGAAATAAAAGGTTGAAGTGAAACTTACCTTGCAGCAGTTCCTCATCGCTGGTGTCAGGGTTGTGTTGCGAATGGTACCCTTCATCACTTCGAGTTGTCACAGTGCATGCTTCAGAGATGGCTTCAGAGTCAAGGCCTTGGGATTCATGTGAGGAGTCCCGTCGTTGCTCATTCTTCTCTCCAAGCTGATCAGCAACTGCCCATTGTTCAAGTAGTGACTTCATGCACGAGGCTGCAGCAGCAGCAGAGTACTTCTGCCAAAGTTTGTTCTTGTGGCTGTCGGCATAATCACATACTCCCTTGATAACAAGAAAAGGGCATAATACCGTCAATGCCTGCACCCTCAATCTCAAATGCAATCACCTTCTCTGCTTTGGCAATCCTGTCTCTGCCCTCGCCGGACTTCATGACCGTGTCCCCTAAGGCTATCCGACCAAAATGAATGCTGAACTTCTTCTGGGATGAACGCAAGCGAACAACCATTCTCTTCCGGTCACATTTCAATTCTTTACAAGTAGCCTTTTGGGCCTCCTCGCAAGGTTTGTTGTCCGCACACCTTATGCTTTTATATGTACCACGATGTTTGTGGTGGTATTTCTGTTCGAAAAGCTGGTCTGACTTTTGAGGAGGCAAAGAATAATCGCCTGTTCGCGCTCATAAGTCGACAAGATGATGATCGGTCCTATCAAGTAGGTCCTCGCGACCCTGTGGGCTTCTGAGCTTTCGCAAGAAGGCTTGCACTTCATGGTCCCTATTAGAGCGAGATGTTGGCTCTCTGCATTGAAATGTCCCAGGGTACCTTTTTCCGAAGTCGTACGGCAAGATATCATCACTGATTATGATGTCGCCCAGAAATACCCCATCTTCAGTGTTCCCTGGCACCCCTCCACAAACGCCAATAACCAAGGCGAGTCGGATGCCTAGGAAGCTCCAACGGCAGCTTGTTGCGACTTTTGCTGATTCAGTCTTTCCCATGCCAGTCATGTATGCTAACACAACATTATGATTGCCGATCACTCCCGTTCGATAGGAATTCTTGTCGTACGGTGCTTTACCGTATCGATCGATATTGGTGTCCCAAAAGTGGTCAAAGAGGCGCTCCACGGCGTCGGATTCCACCTCTAGAGCACAGATGATCGCGATAGAGAAGCCCTGGCGATCTCTCGGTGGTGGTGGAAGAGGCTTCATCGTGAAGATTGAGAGGTAGGCTCATTTTGAAGTGCTTTGAGAATTCAAAGGTTGGGTGGTAAGCTGCCTGATGGAAATAAATGGGGCTCAGCCTAACACTTCACGCCCAGTCTGCCTTGTTCAGCTAATAAGAAGGAGAGCCTAGCCGCTTTACGATCCTTCCATATTCAGCCCTCGGACCTTTGAGCAAGGCAGGTGTTGCAACTAAGGTTATTTCGAGCCTTCGAAATCATAGTGTCGATAAGTTTATCAGGTGCCGCTGGTGGCTTCCACCACTTCGGCAGGCCGAGAAACTTGACATTGGGAAGGAGAGTCAGAGCAAACGCTGCAGCATGTTGTGAATAACGACCATCGTTAAGGTCTTCCTGAATTACAACCCAGTATTCCTTCCAGTCTAAACCTGCTTGTTTTATATGGGAACCGGCAAGCATTCGCATCATAGCTTCATCATGAGATCCGTCAGTCACAAAATCACGCGGTTTGCCCATCGATATTTCACTATCCTTTACAAAATCCGCCTCTTGAATGTAGTGCGCTACAACAGGATCTACAGCAATCCTCGTAATCAAGTTAAACCCCGAGCTGACTACGTCAGGGATTTGGAGTATAGCAAGTCTGCTCTTCACCACCTTCTTTGTCTTGTAGTGGAACTTCTGGAAATGCCAGCGTAGTCTGTTGTGGTACGCAAGAAACGGGGTACATAGAACATGAAAGCGCTTGCAAGTTAATGCAAGACGATCAAAGCCCTCTGGCAAGGTATATTCAACGATATGCTCAAGAAGCTCGTTTGGTAAATGCATAAGCTCCATGTTATTCATATGAGAGCAACCTTGGAAGTGGGCGCCCCAGTGACTTGAAATAGTCTCGATTGTCACGTCACACTCGCGACTCCTATGTTAAGGGTAGAGTCGTCGTCTTACTATTAGATAAGTCACAGCCCCAGTAAGGCAAGGTTTAAGAAGCACAGCCCACTTTCATGGAGGAACGATTAAAATGAGCAACGGGTTGGTGGGGGTACCTTCCAGCCCCGTTGTTTGTGCTCGAGTGATGGCGCTACAAGCACATAGAGAGCCGTGAAGAGGTACAGGATGCCGAAATTACGCCGTGAATTATGCCTTTCGGAAATAGGCAGAGGAACTTTCTGTGTTGGTGGATGGTAGAAGAAGCAAGAGTGTAAGATTGAGAGATAGCCCGATTGATCACATGACCAATCGTCAACTCATCCTGAGCTGCGTTTAGGAAACAGGTGGACGACATCCATATTACTATCGGTACGCTGATTTTGACCTACAGTAGTTTCATAGGGCCCAGTTAAGACCGCATTTTTTTGTTAGCTAACAGATAGAGCACATTTGAGGGTGCTCAGGGACGTGCTCAGATCTCGTCAGTGGGCAAAAGCGGCGAGAGCCTGAGCACTAAAACGGAAACGGTTACCGTCGCTGGATTTACCTCAGAAGACTTGATGTCGTTCAATTTGACGATTAGAATCAATCTGTTTCTACTGAGATCTCCAAAAAGATATTCGAGCTACCAATAGCGCTGTGCCGCTCTTCGAGAAGCCGAAATACAGGCAACTCTTCAGACATTTAATAGCAGTCAGCCGCCCTTGCCGCTTTGCCCCCCACTTTTATGAAAAATTGCGAATCAGCGTTGCCCCTCGTTCTCGAACGTCCTCTCACCCTCCATTCACCTCCAAGGACCATCTCCAATTCCACAATTATCAAAGAGACTTCAAAATGGGTGTCGAGCGAAAGATTATTACCCGTGGTAACGGCTCCGACTCGCCCGCTTCGGGCGATAAGGTCTCGATCCACTACACCGGCTGGCTTTACGATGCCAAGAAGGCCAACAAGGGATTCCAGGGCAAGCAGTGAGTTTACGACAATGATTGAGGGTCGCTGGGCCCGTGGCTCAAGGAGCAGCAACACTGATGTATTGTAACAGGTTTGATAGCTCTCGGTCGCCCGGCCGTGGCCCTTTGAATGTCCAGATTGGTGTTGGTCAGGTCATCAAGGGTATTTTTTTTTCCCTTTTTTATAGCTCGCCACCGCTGAGCAACGTTGGAGTTCATCGAAAGATGTGGCCCATCTTGCAAGTAACGATAGTAATAACTCGAGTTGCTAATCAACTTTGACTAGGTTGGGATGAGGGTGTCCAGCAGATGACTCTGGGCGAAAAGTCCATTTTGACCATTACCCCGTGAGTGAAATACCGGAACAAAGTCGAAAGTGAACTGTTACTAACATTCATCCAGTGACTACGGATACGGCGACAAGTAAGTGGAAATATGAGCCGCTCGGACGATAAAACGTTTGAAATTACGGCATAGATTGGTTGACTTTGTATTTGGCTAACATCGACTCTTGCACAGGTCTGCCGGCAAGATTCCCGCGGGTTCTACTCTGATCTTGTAAGTTTCTGTAGATATTAAACCTATGTCAGGCAGTATTGTTCAGATACTAATCGGTTGATAGCGAGGTCGAGCTCCTCAAGATCAACAACAAGAGCGCTTAGATGGATCATGGAATGTGTTAAACAGGAACAATGCTATCCAAGTCTTACTTGTTATGACAGTAACTCGCCTTTCCTTTCAACCAGGAGAACGTAGAAGAAAACAAACTGCTTAAGTTCAACTTTTTGGCATCTATCACGCTATGCCGCAATCTCGTTCTGGGTAGTAATGGGCCGGTTACCCCAAGCCTCGTTCCCAGCAATGCCATTGTATGCGAACTGCATCGGGGAAGAGTTCATCGGAACTTGACACTGAACAGTGCGGTAGATTTTGAGATGATTTGTAATGCACTGAAAAGGCTTTCACGATCCCCACGTTGATGCATGATTACAGCCAATCTAAGGTCCGTCGAATGACACAAATACTGTGCTTTGCTCGCATCTGATAACCGAATTCGTCCTAGGATGTCAGTGCTATGCTTATTTTGGAGAAGCCGGTCTTAATCTTGAGCGATTAAGTTGGGTCTGGCGGAGGTTTCCAAGATATCATCATTTCGCGTTCGAGCTAAGTTTGCACCCCCACTTATGGGGTCAGGGCATGTCACTCAGGAGGCCCAAATTAGCCTTTTGATATCTTCTCGAAGTTCCATCGTGAGAAGAAAATGCATGTTAGAGTTCGGCCGGATTGCACTGGCGTCTTTCCAGACGCTCTTCGATGGAGTTTTAATTCGATGGGGCAAGCTAAAGACAGTAGCTCGACCCGTCAACCCCCCAATGGAATGTTCCATTCGGAACACGACCCCAGTCGACGACGAATCGCCAAGCCACCGACCTCAGAACTTTGGGTACTTTCTCCCCCCTGAAGATGACCATAAACAATGTGATTGATTATCAAAATTATTACGAGTCAACCCACTAGCCCCGGAGACACCCCGAAACTAAGCTCTTGTCTCACGATGGCACGAGGTGCCACAGCCCCCCTGAAACAGAGGTTCTGTCAGCTTCATTGGCAGTCAGACTAACCTAACCTTTGCCCCAGTTGTGAGATAGTCTACCCAGGATCCAGGCGACTGGAATTGGCCCTGCCGATCGCCTGGGCTTACCATCAGTCGCGTTGCTCATAGCTCTTGCGCAAGATGCATGAACGGAGACGGCGTGCCGCTGCAGCGACGGCATCCCCCCTGCACGATACATACCGATATACCCATATTCGCGACGACAGATTTAGGTAAAAAGAGCGAAGAAGCTAAGCGACGCCGACAAGCGAGGATAATCGGATATCGCGACGTAGACCGGGCCGGTGACACGTCCAGCCCAAACCCACTGGACATCAAGGACAAGCCCCCAAGCCCTGGGCAGTCCACCCGTTCGCATCTTCCCGTCCGTCACAGACCAGGCCAGGGCGAGACTATAGCGGGCCGTTGACACGGAAAGCCATATGGCGACTCCATCTAACGGTCGCACAGGAAGACGGGACGATCCGCCATAGACGAGGGGGCCCCTGTCTTCTGGAAGAAATGGAAGATGACGATTGGAGGTGAAAAGAATCTCGTGTTTGGCCCCTTCCTCATCCCCTGTCTCTATCCCGTTCATTGTCCCCTGCTCGTGTCGGATCTTTCCACGAAACCAGCTTAGCTGATGCTGATGTGCAGGGATTATATACCACACTCGGCGAGAAGTGCAACCCTGCGGGGGTGTGATGAGGGAAAGGGGGCCCCGAGGGAGAAGGATTGAGGGGGCCAAGAGACGAAGCCTTAACTACTTCGTAAGTGTTGCACATCATTGCAGCTTGGGAGACGATTTTGTTCCGAATAGCCTGTGATCTTCAACTGCTTAGGCTATGAATGGAGCTGTCATTGTCACTAAGATCCTTAGCATCTCTCGATAGATAGCCCCAGAAGATGACGGCGCCACGAGGCTGGACCTGCAGTAGATTAGCAGCAGCCAGAATAGGAAAGCAGGCAAGAAGCTCACGACGACGAGGAAGCGGAGGAAAGGGGGAATCGCATTGCACTATCCAGTATGATGCTGTCATCTAGACGGGCCCATGGCTAAGGACAAGCCTTCCCCTATGTAATTCAAACAACCTATTATCCGACTCCGTTAGGCCGCGGAGAAAAGACCCAGAATTCATTTCTCAATTTCAATTTCTTCTGCACAATCAATCACTCGATCGGTAATCAATCAACGCCCCCTTCGCACACGCCTCCCCCACGGACCAAACTGCCATCAAAGCAGGCACCTCGGAAGAGCACGGGGTTCTTCACCAGCACAGCAACACCAACAACAACCCCAAAAAGCCACACTTCAACCTCGGCATCACCCGCCAAAAGCCAAACCGAGCTACCTGCCTACCTCGCAAAAACTAACTCTCTTCAATTATCTTTCCGAACGGGAAATTACCAGTCGCAATGCCCGTCCCTAAAACACCAGCACGAGCCAAGTCCCCACCACAGCACAATTCATGACCCTCCTGTCTGCTCCCCCTTCATGGGCAGCTCTGGGGACGATCTATCAGCGGGAATCCACGCGCCGTTCCGCGGGTGGGTGCCCATGAGGACGGGCCAGTCGCCGGGCTTGGCCTTTATTGACGTGGGCTTGTCGGCTTGCAAGGGGGGGAGTTGCTAAGCCAGAGTGTGCTAAGTGTGCTAGCCACTAGCCCAGGCTAGGAGGGCACTCATCCATGGCCCCGGGACGTACTCTCCATGTGTGCGGTTCCTTCGGCGACGTGGAGTTAACCAGGATGGGTATACGGTTTGGCAGGCGCCGGAGATGAGTCTCCACATGGGTAGAATGGCTGCGCAGGCCAGCCCTTATAGGCATGGGCATTATTGGTGAGATTTTGAAGAGGGAAGAAGAAGCGATAGAGGGATAATGGCAATGTTTTTGTGGTTAGGTTGCGGTAGATCTCGGAGCATGTATTTCAGTGAGCTTCATGGTTTATTTCCTTTACAGGCACATTGATCCGAGTATAGGGCAGGATATGATGTCTCCCCAAATCTCGAATTTGGAGCACTACGCTGAATCCACTCTTGGGATATTCGAGTCTACCTGATCGAAGCCCAACGACGCCGCGATCCGGTGAAACAGCATTGTGGGGACCAAATTTAAGGGCAGCACTCGCTGGGCATTTCCACGTGCAAATAACTCCATAGTGACTTATGTCGAGGCTTAAAGAAATGAATTGTCTCTATCAATTGTCATTGATTAATCTATTAAAAGATGTCAAGTGATTAAAATAATCAGATAGAATAGTTATGAACTTACTATTGATCCCCTGGACACTCAAACGTAAACACACCTACTGGAAGGAATATACTCCTGAATATTCCATCAAAGTGACCCCTCCAGTCCCTAGAAACCAGGCCAAGCAATCAGCCCTTCAATACTACATAAATACCACATAACTCGAGACGCTCTTTCTATACACATTATTATGACGAAGCCAAGAAACAAAAAACCACCAAACAAAAACCACACCCACAAGGCACAAGCGGACCGCTCCTCTTCGCTTGGGCCCGATGGGAAGCTCCCGAGTGCCAGAACCCACAATTCCACCAAAACCCACAATTCCGTCTCCACACGGGCAAAAGCAACTTCCTGTCGTGGTTTGGAGGCAAAATCTCGCCTCGATCGTCCCCCTGATTGTTATTGTTACTGGCCAGCCAGCGAACCAGCGATTTCAGCCGTTTGTTGGCCCTGGGTTCGGAATTTTCTTAGTCCACTGGGTTCACGCGTTTGTTTTTTTTTTGCCCTGCGACTACTGTAGGGTTTTCCGAAGGGGGAGGGTGGATAATACTCCGTTCTTTCCGTAGGGTGTAGGATGTACGGAGTAGATGGTTAAGTTAGGCAATTGCGTACTATTAGTGGTGGAAAAGAGGTTCGTTTGATTTTTGGCTGTGGCCTGATTATTATTCCGGTAGTTGATTTTTTTTTTGTTAGGGTTGTCTAAGCTTTTTTGCAGTATGTCCGGGGGATGGTTTATCTACTGTTACTATTGTGGAATATTTGATTTGAATAGTCTGTATGTCCCGATTATTATTCAATTGAATATATGTGCCTTTACTATTCTAATTCCTGTGCTCTACTTCATCCCCACCCCGGACCAGGCTCCAAAGCCCTTGAACAAACTCTTCAGAAACACCCTTCAATGCAAGCCCCCTCGACCCGAGCGGGCCCGGTGCCGGGTCCGCGCGCGAACGTGCACACAGCCAGCCTGCAGGTGTCGATGTATCCATTAGACTTACAGTAGTATCCTCGGAACCCTTTGACCGGCTTGCTTGGTTTCTTTACTGTTGCGTCATTTGATTTCTTTTTGATCCATTGATAACTGCCAATTGCCTCACTGGACCTTGATCTATAGTTAGGTACGGTTCAGATAGAGCAGGTACATACAGCACTGTTTCTACCTAATCGACATTTAAGTTATGCTCGAGCACCGTACCATCCGCGAAAGAGTATTTTCTATCCGGTCGGATCGGGTGGCCTAGAAAGCCTAGGTCGCGATCCAAGGGGCCGATCCATGAGAAGGTTTCTAACGAGAGACTAGATTTGCATGGAAATCGAGCCGGGACTTTTGTGTTTACTTCTAGGGTCCTCAATACTGAGAAAACACTTTCAATTATTGAAGCTGATATTCCATTATTCGCAGTTTCGTACAAAATTATCCCTTAAATCAATTTCAGCGGTGGTTCCCTCGTTCTGATCCCTCTCATTCCCGCGATGGAGGCGCGGATAGCTTCCGGGTGGGCCCTAACAACTCAAAAGTGCCGCACAGTGGGCGAATGTCAAATTGTCAAATCGTGGATTTCAGAGGCTGAAGGTCAAGGCTGTGGGTGGACTCGGTGGTCTTGGCGGGGCAGGAGTTCCTTTTTTTTGGTTCATTTGAATTTTCATTGATTCTGTAGACGGAGAATGTTGAGGTCTTTTTCGATTTAGGTGTTGGTTTCCATTGATCGCATCTCCGCTCTTGGTACTTTGTTATATCACTTGTTGCGACCGACTTTAGTTTAGTATGTTTAGCTTTTGAGGGAAAAGGTACAGAGAATGGAGCCCTTGGGAGTACAATCTACGCTGTGGGTTGGATGACCTAACTGAGGCTATGTTTTTAGATCATAGAAGAGTGAATAAATCTATGTATTATATGAATTGTACCAATCAGAATACTCTACAGGTTGTAAAAAAGGGAGATGCACTTTAGCCAGAATGTCACACTATTAGGCTGGGTCGTGGTTAGTAGTTACGATGATTGCGAATGAACTCATTGTCGCTCGGGCAGCAATCAGAAATAATTGGAGGTTCGTTTGCATTCCAATTCAATTGAATCATATTCCTTTTTTTAGTGACATATCTTTTGACATTTCCCTAAAGCTTTGACCCGTCACTGATAGGGCGATACAGGTAGGTCCTCGGAAAAAGGAAGCGCGCCAGGGTCAGTCGTCACTATCATGATGATTTAATCGATCTTCCGTGGGTTGTCGTTGGGCATGTACCCGAGACCAGTCTCGGAGTAGTTTGGAAGACCTTAAGACCCGGAGTTAACTACCCTAAGAGTAAAGAGGAGTAGTTTACAGTACATCTGTAAGTAAATAAAAGTACTAACTAACTGTAAGTACCTGATTAGTTAGCATCGCAGGATTAAGAACTAACCGCGCTAGGGGAAAGTCCTGTTCAGACAAGGACCAGACCTGGACCAGGGTGTGCTAATGGGAGAGCCCGGCTCGCTGGGAGACGAGAATTAATTGTTCGTCAAGAGGTCCTATAGGCCGGAAGTCTTGCTCAGTTCTTGGGGGGGTGTCGGAACTATGAAGCTGATTTGCCCGATGGGGAATTCTTACAGACTTACTGTACAGTAGTAGTTAGTAGAGTAGTTAGTAGATATGAGAAAGGAAATCCCTTGAATTATTCTTCTTACTTTTTTTTTCTCTCCCCCTTCAAAATCACAGCTATCATGGCCAACCCCTCCCACTCCACTTAGTTCCAGCCACTGCCCGGACCAGACTTTCGCACAAAACGGGGCTCCTCTCTTTAGTCAGTTGGACTTCTTGGGACTGGCCCTCGAACCACCTCCACACCACTTTACCACCACCACTCCTCCCTCTTCTCTCCCCCCCTTCCCTCTTTACTACTTTCTCTACATCATCTGCGGTCATTGTGGAATCTCTTTCTTCCTAATTCTTCTCTTCTTCTTCTTCTCTCTCCCCCCTCCCCGCCCTTCTCCAACCTGCACGCCCCTCCTTGAAAGGCTCTCTCCCCTCCGAAACTCCCTTGCGACCCTCCAATCCCTGAACCCCCTCTCCCCCCCCCTCCTCCGAACCTCCTCCACCAACCAACAACCCCCTTGCTCCCGACCGCTCCCGACTTCCATCTGCCCGCCATGTCGGGGAAAATGACATTGTACAAGTTGGTGGTGCTAGGAGATGGAGGTGTGGGCAAGACGGCCCTGACAATCCAGGTTGGTCCCTTGAAATGGCCCCTCTCTCTCCCCCCCCCTCCCCCCAATCAACCCACTCCCCCGACCGAACGATCTGCAGCTTCGGGGAACACGACTGTACAGCTTGATGGCAGCTTCAAACATGAAAAAGCATAACGGATCGTCTAATGAACGAATGACTAACCCCCTATTGTTCGCCCCCGCACTAGCTATGTCTTAACCACTTCGTCGAGACCTACGATCCTACCATCGAAGACTCCTACCGCAAACAAGTCGTCATCGATCAACAGTCATGCATGCTCGAGGTGCTGGACACGGCGGGCCAGGAAGAATACACGGCACTCCGCGACCAGTGGATTCGAGATGGTGAGGGCTTTGTCCTAGTCTACAGCATCACGTCGCGCGCCTCCTTCTCGCGCATCACCAAGTTTTACAACCAAATCAAGATGGTCAAGGAGTCTGCCAGCTCCGGATCTCCCTCCGGCCCTAGCTATCTAGGCTCACCTATGAGCCACACATCCGGTGGCCCGCCCTTGCCCGTGCCCGTCATGCTGGTCGGTAATAAGAGCGACAAGGCCGTGGAGCGCGCCGTTTCCGCACAGGAGGGCCAGGCCCTGGCTAAGGAATTGGGCTGCGACTTTGTCGAGGCCTCTGCTAAGAACTGCATCAACGTTGAGAAGGCTTTCTACGACGTCGTCCGCATGCTGCGCCAACAGCGCCAAAACACACAGAATGCCAAGGGCCGCGGTGGCGGTGCCCAGGGCTTCTCGGGTCACCGAGATCGCGATGCTGGCCCCGAATATCCCAAGTCTTTCCGTCCCGATCGGCGACATCGCAGTCGCCTCAATTGTGTTCTTTTGTGATCGGCCGGGTCCGTCCGGGACACGAACTCGTTTTGATGCTTTTTTTTTGGTTTTCCTTGTTTCTCTGTTTTTTGCTCGAGCTTGCCTTGCTCTCATCATGGCGAGGGCAGGTTGCCCCTCCACCCCCTGTGTTTTTCACTTTTGATCTTGATCGCTCGATTTCTATCTCCTTTCCCCCCTGTTTCTTCTTTTTCCCATTTTTTTTTGTTGGTCTCGGGTGCATTTTGGACGGGGTGGTTCTGTCTTTTGGTTTACGACCTCGTTCGGCGTCGGCGGCCCCTCTTCCTCGCAAAACACACAACCCTCAAATTTCCTCAACAACGACCCACACGATCCTCCATGCTTTTGACTCTGCCGTTTGGAAATCGCCCAGCCATGGCCCTGAGAAGACAGTGTCCAGCTTCCCTCTTCTACAAACGAGCATCCGAGACTTTTCAGGTTCTGTGCCCGCATGTTTCAGCGCCTTTGGGAATACGGTTTAACCTTCTCATTGGCGTGCGGGAATTCTGGTGACTGAGAATCTGGGCGCGGCAATTCCACCACGGCTCGCAGAAACGCCACCGATGGCTATCTTGTGGGCCGTGCTCTGGAGGCTGAACGATGAGCCGGCGAGTTTTACAATTTTGACATGATGATGGATTTTGTATTTTGGGGGCCGGCATTTGCATATTATTGGCGCAAATGCGACGCCCGAGAAAAAGAAAAAAAAAAAAGCACACAGCTTCTCAGGCGACGAAGCCGGAAGATCGCAGTCGCGCATTAGCAGGCATTTCGATATGATACCCTACGACTAAGCTTGTTTCTGTTATTTCCATTTTTTTTATACTTTTTTCATTGATCTACTACTGCCTCTACCGCTTCTTCTTCTCCAACTCATCTTCCATCTCAAATCTCCTTTCTACACATTTTCCTTGCGTATATAGACCAATACACAACCGGAAACACATCCCCTTGGATCCAAGGCATGTCGAAAGTTACCGAAGACTTCAGGCACGACTAGCGTGACTTGTATTTTTTTTTAAACCTTTACCAGTGTAATTCAAAAGGTCGAGTAGTTAATTGGAACCTGCCCCGTATCGAGTTGCCACAGAGGAAAGTCAACTGGACTGAACCTCATGTTTCAGCCGCCGTAAACTCTGTGATTATCGGGTTTAAAGTCAATGGTCGATGGTAAACTACATCTCCACTCCACCGTCAGCCGAGTTCATAGTGAATCACATGTACTATGTAAAGTACATACTGGAATAGTCAGTCATTGCGGGGAAAGCACGGACTCCCTCGGGTCAGTTCTCCCCGCATTCTCCGTTGACTCTTCAGAGTACTTCGCTAGTTAACTACGGAGTAGTTACTACTTAGCTAACAGAGTTGACAGTTGACACTGACAGTCCTTCTACTATCCACTAGTCCTAGTCCGGTCCCATCCCGAGTCTAAAAGTACTCAACTGCCCCCGAGTCCCCTGCATCCAACCGTTCGCCCGACACGTATCCAATCACTCGGTCCCCGAATCCCTGGACCTCGGGTAGATTCTCCTTAATATAAGGGAAGTTAGAGGCAGTTCCAGCCTCTCTCGCTTCATCAATTCGTATAGAGTCAATTCGAGATTGAACCAGTTACCACTACTACAGCATAGTCTGAGACTTTTGCTTACATTCTAACTTCCCCTCCGCATCGGCTTCTTGTCCCCACACTCCAACCACAATTCCCCCATTTCCCCATCCACACTTCCAGTTCCAGTTCCACTCCTCCATACTACTCTCCTCCCCTCTCCTCTACCCATCCAAACATCCCCCTACAATGACGCCACACCCCCAAAAATCCGCCCACACCTCCTCCCTCACCAGCCCGGACTCCTTCTGGGCCGAACCCGCCCACCGACTCCACTGGCACAAACAACCCTCCCAGACACTCTCCCGACACACCAAGACCCTCCCCAGCGGCGTAACCCACGAACATTGGTCGTGGTTCCCCGATGGAGAGATCTCCACCACGTATAACTGCGTTGATCGGCATGTCCTTGCGGGGAGGGGCGATGATGTGGCGATTATTTGGGAGTCGCCCGTCACTGGCACGGTCGAGAAGTATACGTATGGGAGGTTGTTGGATGAGGTGGAGGTTTTGGCGGGGGTTTTGAGGGAGGAGGGTGTGAAGAAGGGGGATGTCGTTATTATTTACAGTATGTATCTGTCTCTTTTTCTTGGGGTTTGGTGTGTGAGGGTTACTTGGATATGGGGTCCATCGGGAGTCGCCACTCAGCTGTACAACCGTACAGCTATCCAGCTAGCTGGAGCTCTAGCTTCAGCTCGTTTACCAGCCAGCTTCAGTGGGACCTCAGCTTCCTGGTAAAAGCCAGTGGCAAATTCCAACCCTCTCACACGTCCAGATCACAAGATCCCCCCCGCCAAAAAACAATCCCCACTAACCACCCCCACTCCCAGTGCCAATGATCCCCGCCGCCCTCATCGCCGCACTAGCAATAACCCGCCTGGGCGCCATCCACGCCGCCGTCTTCGGCGGCTTCGCAGCCCAATCATTAGCGCAGCGGATCGAAGCCGCCCGTCCCCGGGCTATCATGACAGCCTCGTGCGGGATCGAGGGGTCCAAGGGCCCAATCGATTACCGCCCGCTAGTCGAGGGCGCGGTGCGGCTGAGTAGCTTCAAGCCGGACAAGGTTATTGTCTGGCAAAGGGATCAGCTGCGGTGGAATAACCCGGATAAACTGGGTGGACAGCGGAATTGGCAGCGGTTGGTGAAGAGTGCGCGTATGCGTGGGGTGCGGGCGGGTCCGGTGCCGGTGAAAAGTACGGATGGGTTGTATATTATCTATACCAGTGGTGGGTCGACTCCTCTTCTACTCTTTTGGGGATGTGTGTGGTTGGTATAGAGACGTGTCAGCTGATATGAGAACCTAGGAACAACTGGACTACCCAAGGGTGTTCTTCGTGAAGCTGGCGGCCATGCGGTGGGTCTGGACCTCTCGATCCGGATGCTCTTCAACATCAACGGGCCCGGCGACGTGATGTTCTGCGCCTCGGATATCGGCTGGGTCGTCGGCCACTCGTACATCCTATATGCGCCGTTACTAGTCGGTGCGACAACGGTCCTCTTCGAGGGTAAACCCGTCGGCACCCCGGACGCAGGCACGTTCTGGCGTATCGTGGAAAAGCACAACGTAAACACTTTATTCACAGCACCAACCGCCATGCGCGCCATCCGAAAGGACGACCCCGGCGACAAACTCTTCGAAGAAGTAGGTGCCCGCGGCGGCCTAAAAACTCTCCGCGCCCTCTTTCTAGCCGGCGAACGCAGCGAACCCAGCATCGTCCGCGCATACCAAGACCTCCTAACCAAACACGCCGCGCCCAACGCAAAGGTAATAGACAACTGGTGGTCCTCCGAATCCGGATCCCCTATAACAGGCCTAGCCCTAAACACCACCCCCAAAGCCACACCCCTCCCCATCCGCCCCGGTTCCGCAGGCCTGCCCATGCCAGGCTTCGACGTCCGCATCGTCGACGACAGCGGTAACCAAGTACCACCAGGCACGATGGGAAACATCGTCCTCGCCGCACCACTCGCACCAACTGCGTTTACTAGCCTGTTCGAAGACGACGAGCGGTTTTACCGCGGGTATTTGAAACGGTTTAACGGGAAGTGGATTGATACGGGGGACGCGGGGTTAATCGATACAGACGGATACGTACATATCATGTCCCGCAGCGACGATATAATCAACGTTGCCGCGCATCGCTTCAGCACGGGCGGCATCGAGCAAGCTATCCTCTCGCACCCGGCCATTAGCGAGGCCAGTGTGGTTGGAATCCCGGATGCGCTGAAGGGCCATTTACCATTTGCATTTGTCCATCTGCGCACTGGTCCTGGAGATGACTCTAGTGATATCCCGGCTGCAATCCCGGAATCTCTCTTCAAAGAAATCAATGCATTGGTGCGGGACCAAATTGGTGCTATTGCTTCGCTGGGTGGGATTATTCAGGGCCGCGGTATGATTCCGAAGACTAGGAGTGGGAAGACGTTGAGACGGGTTTTGAGGGCGTTGGTGGAGAATGGTGTGGAAGGGCGGTTTGAGGAGGGTGTTAGTGTTCCGCCTACTGTGGAGGATTTGGGGGTTGTGGATGTTGCGAGGGGGAGGGTTAAGGAGTACTTTTTGGAGAGGGCTAAGGCGAAGGCGAAGCTTTGAGAGAGATTGTGTTGTGGTTCGCTGTTGAGGTAAGGCGTTTTGCTTGGTAGATTCCTTGATATTGGTGGGTAACTAGTACACCGTAAAGTTGATGATCCTTGTAGATAGTTGCACTCGATAATGATTTATGGTGACTATCACTCGTAAGTTATCCTATATGATTTAATTTAGTCTTATGAAATCTGAGCATTGATGTCTGTATGGGTGAGAACTTTGGCACTGCTTAATCTAGTCTCTGTTTTAGATATCATTGGTTCTTAGATGTATATTATTGCAATATCGTCCGAAGAGTGATGTTTCCATTTTATTATCAGCTGCCGAAGAAAAAGGACGGGGGATACAACTTTCAGATCTAGAATAACTTTCTTTTAAGATTGTGAAGTTGGGACATACCAAAAGAAGTATTCAAGTTAGGATGGGGGACAAATACAGATTTCTTCCTAGATACTGATCAAATAACCCGAATTGAAAACAAAACTCTATTTAGGCAGCTTCTGCTCTTTGTAACTCTAGTTTTTTTCTTTTTCTTTCTCTTCTGTTTCGTAGGATTTCATTACATCTTTTGTCTGAATGTGCATGTGTCTCATGAGATGTCTCGCATGAATCTAGAGTGAAGCTCTAGGTTATCCATCTAGACAAGAGTAAAATCAGGCTTCCCAACCAAGGAAACATCGAGAATGGCACCCTGCTCTAACAATCTCTCCCGAAGGACCTCATACGACACATCCTGAACACACGCAAGAGCATCCGATTCTCTCAACGCAATATCGCAAGCATTCGCACATGCCTGTCCAAGCTCGTAGAACTGATGCTCAATGCGAACAGCACCTATAACATCATCAGTGTATGTACGTTTATATCGATTCATCAATGATTTGTACATACCATATCCTACATGTGACGAGCTGGGACATGTAGCCGTCAAGACGTTGATAGCCTCGCTTCTCTTCGGAACCAAGGATCGATAGGAGATACCGAATGGCCGCCACTGATGCTTATCCTTGAAGATGAAGCCTTCATTATGCACGACACCGTCGCGAACTACTCGGCGAGCACAGTGTGTGTCAGTAGGCCAGTATGCAATCGCAACTGGGTAAGGGTCGTGCTCCTCTCCGTCATGCTCAGATGCCGTGTGTTGAGTAATGATGTAGTCGGATACCATTCTCCGCGCATCACGAACGTATATCTGACGGGGGAAGTGGTTGTTATCGGGGAATTCGTCAAGGCAGTAGCCAAATTTGGACCATTCTTGACGGATTTCGAGCTATAGATAACCAGTAAGCTATTATTCCCGTGGATATGGACATGGTTAGAGGTTGGTCAAAACTTACTGGGACGGACTCGTCGTTTGCAAAGAACCAGAGGAGACCTTTTGTGAAGGTTGCTGTTTCGTCGAGGATCTTCTGTCGGCCTTGATCATTGGCGGAAGGCCAATCATCGTTCATACCAAGAAGATCGGTAGAAAGAACGGCTTCCGATCCAATTAGGTCCGTCTTGCGATTTGGAATTCCTTTCAGGCGTGGCAAGTAGAGTTTACCACCCGCCTGGAGATAGCGACGATGCAGATCATAGTGCGACGGGTCGTACCCCTCTGGCTTGTAGATAGGCAACTTGTTACCCTCCACGTCTGTAAGAGGGAGTCGGTAGGAGTAGGCGGCCAGGTGTTGGTCTCCATCGCCAGGTTTGCCGAATGGTTCGGACGAAATGCCGTATAGAAGACCGCTTGAAACATTTCCGGCCTCGCGGTAGGGATCAATTGGTACTTCAAACTGGGTATACCGTGTGTCATCGCGTACACCGGCTAAACTTTCGTTGTATTGAGCTGAAGGTTCCCGTCCCAGAGCAGTAGAGATGCCAGCTGCAGCGAGGAAGTCACCCTCGTAAGTCGCCTCAATAAAGTACTAGGAACGTGGTTAGATTGCGGAGTAGAAATTTCGAATATTCAGCTCGTACCTTTGCCCGTACCAATTGGCCATTCGTCAACTTCAAACCAGTGACCACATTGCCATCTCGTTCCACGGCTGAAAGCGATGCCTTTGTGATAGAGAGCAATGGCGAATATTCGTCCAGCCAGCTCCTAATTACTTCTTCCAAAACACGAGGCTCGAACTTCCACACTTCAGGTACCTTCTTTCGTTCTGCGAGTACCTCTTCCAACCAGTCAAGTCTACCATAGTACTTGCTCAGTCTCCGGTGAAGCTCAAGCGCCAGACCTCCGACTGATGGGCTATTTTGGAATTCCGTCTGGTTGTCGATATCAGTTGACCCCAGGCCTTCAACCTGAATTCCACCTAATGCCAATGCATTAGCAAGTTGGCTTGGCCTTTGGTATGCAGAGTAGACTAACCGATATGGTCGTGAGGAGAAATAAGCACGGTCTTCCTCCCAAGCTTGGCAGCTTGGATGGCGGAGGCAACAGCCCCCGATGTAGACCCGTAAACAGCAACTTCGTACATCTCGACAATCATTGTCTTGAGATAGCCTCCGGTGAAAGAGTGATTTAAGAATCCAGGTGCTGACTGAGCCAGCGATTTTGTAGCCAAAGAACAGCTCTCGTTTAATCAAGTCACCGAGACTAAACGTTCACCCGGCTTTGCCAAGGGACTTGAATGAATAGCAGGGTCAACCCTCGTTGAACAGGCGAAGAATAGTTCTAGTACTTGAGAGTGGGAACTCAATTTGAGTCATCTAACCTATCATGCTGGTGAGTGATGACCGTGGTGCCGAGTTCGCCGAGTTCCCCGAACCTACATAATCAGTCCTGGCTCCGCATTTGAAATTTTATTCAGCCCTGTGACCTGTAGCCGACATGGTCTTCGGCTCTTCGTCCATTTTTTGCCAATCAAGGGCTTACTGATGGAGTCGAAGGATTAGTGAAACCCTTGGCATCCAAATGCCCCCACACCCCCGGGGAAAGTCCGGGGGATAAATGCTTTTCTCCCCACGCTCCGCGATCGGATACTTCCCCGCCCTACAATCTATATATTCATGTACGAATTCTTGTATTTCATGACTCGTATGATTGGGCGAAGAAAATATCAATCACTTTACTCAACAAATCAACATGGCTGGAGGCGGCAAGCTCTACGCCAGCAAACAGGCATGGTCTGAATGCACATGGCAGCTCATCTGCATCTGTCTACTATACTCAATGGGTAGCATTTTCTTTGGTAGGTAGTGGTCATATCTCTCAATCAGAGTATTTGGCTTCTTTGTGATTGACAATTTCTGTGTTTAGGCTAGTTAGTTTATGGAAACTTTGATTTGAGAAGCAATGGCTAATTTCCAGCAAGTGATGGAGCATCCTTTGGAGGTGTTCAGACATTCAATCCTTTCGTTAAAAGATTTGGCGAGTACAGCAAGACGAAAGATTCTTGGAGTATTCCCACAAAGACAGTTTCGATGATGAATAGGTATGGAGCTTACTTGAAAAGAAACTTTGATACCAAAAAAACTGATTGCGAATGATCAGTTTGGCTTTGATCGGCAAATTCTTGGGAGCCATGGTTGTTGGCCCCATTATTGAAAGGGTTGGCCATCGCTCCGCGATGATTGTTACCTGTGTGGTTCAGATTATTGGTGCTGTTGGTTAGTGGATTTCTAGATCTAACATCAGTTTTGATGCCAAGGGAAGTGCTAATATCTTAATACAGTCCAGGTGACCAGCCATTCATCGGCTCAGTTTATCGTGGGTCGTATTCTGATCTACCTTGCTGTTGGTCTTGTGGAGAATGTGCGATCCCAAATCATCTTATGACAGATCATTTACTGACTAGCATGCTTCAGGTTGTTCCTACGTACGAGTCTGAGATTTGCCCGGCCGGTCTACGTGGATTTTGCGTTGGTTCAATTCAACTTTTCCTCACATTTGGTTCTCTTGTTGCGGGAATCGCAAATGAGTATCTGTCGAAATGGACTACCGATGGAGGTTGGATGATAGCAACTGGTGTCCAAGGCCTCCCAGCCGTGATTATTCTTCTTGGACTTCCTTTCACACCGAGTGAGTCTCTTCAGAAATGATATTGGAGCCTGTTTTAGGCCGTTACTGACGTACAAAAGATTCGCCCCGCTGGCTGATTTCCAAGAACAAACGATCTGAGGCATTGGAGGCACTTCGTCTGATTCGAAACAAAGAAGCCAACGAGAGTGGTCTTTGCGAACTTGAGATTGTTGCTTTGGAGAACTCAGACAACCGAAGCGAAAAGGCACCATGGTCCGCGCTCTTTAGTCGTGCCAACAGAAGACGTACATGGATTGCTCTAGCAATTATGGCTCTCCAACAGCTTACTGGTGTGACGTTCAGCAGTTCTTACGGACCTACCTTTTACAAGAAGGTTGGATTGGGAGATAAGGCTTTCACATACGCGGTACTTATTCCTATCCCACTCATCTCTGGAAGACCCAGCGATTAACGTTTTTAGGCTATCAATAACGGTGTTTCTGTCGTCACCGCCATGATTGGAATGGCTCTCTTTGATACATTCGGAAGACGCGATCTTACATTCCACGGATGTTGGGTCCAAACAGTTTTCCTCTGCCTTATCGGAGGTCTTGGCTCGAAAACACACCGCACCACCGGCGATACCAATGGAATGGTCGCCTCGTTCATTTTATACGCCGCCGTTCTCCATGCTACATTGGGCCCGGCTGCATATATCACTGCCGCAGAGGTTGGCACTGCCACTCTTCGAGAAAAGACCATGGCTATCTCGACAGCCTTTAATGTTGTTGTTGGATTCGTCGTTGTGTACACTACCCCTTATCTCCTGTCAACTCCCGGCGCAAATCTTGGTGCTAAACTTGGCTATGTATGGGGTGGATTTGCTGGGGTGGGTGCTATTTGGGTATGGTTCTTTATGCCAGAGCTCAAGGGCAGGAGTCTGGAGGAAGTCGATGAGTTGTTTGAAGCAAAGCTGCCTGCGTGGAGATCTAGCAAGTTTATTAGCACGCGCTTGGGTGATGCCGACGCTATCGAGAAGCAGCGGGCTACGGAGGTTGAACAAGTGGAAGACGTTGAGAAGCTGGAATAGGAAGACAATATTCCCTGACAGCGGGCTGTTATTCTACATTGGCTTCGAGTCATTTCGATTTGATCATGCAAAAGATTTCCTCAACTCCAAACTTTGTTCACAGATTTCCAAGACAAAAGCACTTGGCTTTTGAAAAGTCAAGAATTTATACTAGGAGGCGGCCACCGAGCCTCGCCAATTCGCCGCTAAAAACATAGCCTATTCCCTTCACAACATATCATTCTCACTAAGAAAGCAACTACGCGCTGAGCCACCTGGCTAATAAGAAAAAATCATATGAACCTAGTTTTGGAATTCTGGTTCCTCTTCACGATGTGGATTCATGTAGTACACTCGATAGTAAGACACAAAGACACACGCTCCATAATCCATTCGTCCACGACGCAGCGTCTTCAAGAGTTAGACACGCGACTTGGAAGGCCATCGGCAGTTGCATTCAACAAGAAGCCTGTTGCATCCAATTGTTCGCGGAGTAAATCATAATTCACTTTCTCGACACTACTCGCGTTTGTTTTGATTGCAATATCCGCGGCAATTGCACTCACTTGCCCCATTGTCATGAACGTGTGCTCCACTCGAAGCAAACTAAAGCCAAGATGGGTACTTGATGGTGAAGTAGGGACGAAGAGATTTTTGCACATAGTCGATTTGGGGACAATTGCTTGGTAAGACAAAAGCCACGGCTGTAATTACCGGTCAATAAATGAAAAATTAACTTGAGTTTTTGATTTCATACCTTCCAATCTGGCCCTTGTTTCCAGAGGAACCCCTCGTCATAGATATGACCATCCTTAACAATTCGACGTGTGGAATGCAGGTCCTGTGAAGAAGTCCAAGTTAGCAGAACTCTCAAAAAATGGGTTTCAAATGGAAGTTGTTTACAATTGGCCACAAATTCGTTAGAATTGGATCGGAAACGGGAATTTCAGGGTACGAATATTCCGTGTTGTGTGAGGTAACCACGATGTCGTCCCTGATCATCCGCCTCCCATCACGAACATACATCGCCCGGGGGAAATGCTCGTTATCAACAAACTCATCCTGCGCATAACCCCATTTGGACCATTCATCACGAGTCTCCTTCGGCATAGAATTGTCGTGTGCGAGGAAGTATAGTAGCCCTGGTTGTCGTTCATTTTAGCTCCTTGTCAACAACTAGGTCAGAGACCGGTTGGTCGAAGATTAGAAATAAATACCTTTCTGCCACCGTGCCAAGTCTTCGAGGAGCTTGGCTCTTTGGCTGTGGCTCCCCTCTGGGTATTCTGATGTGCGACCTGGCATATCAAAGCCAAGTCCCTCCGTTGCGCTGCCGATGATGTCTGTCTTGTTGTTTGGTAGGACTATGCTTGGGGTAAAGACCTTGCCTCCAGCTTTCACATATCTTTGATAAATTTCGTAATGGGAAGGGTCATAATCCGCAGGACGAGTGAAAGGGACAAGGTTTGAGACATTGTTTGTCAGACAAAGACGCCAAGAAAAGGCTTGGATATTCCTATCCCTATAATCGAAAAAGTTCGTTAGATGAAGATTGAGACCAATCATGGATTTTGATACGAACCTGTCGCCCGCTTTGCCCAGAGCTTGATCTTGTACGGTCGGAATGAGTCCACTAGATGGGTTTCCAGAAACTCGATAGGGATCAACATCAACAGTCAATTGCGAGAATGTAGTGTTGAATTGAATCCCGGCGAGGCTCTCGTTGTAAGCAGCGATAGATTCGCGTCCAATTGTATAAGGAACGCCTGCTGCGGCAAGCAAGTCACCTTCGTAAGTAGCGTCAATGAAAATGCGCGCAGAGAAGAAATCTCGGGCTTCGGTTTCAATCTTGATGATTTCTTCACCCGACTTGAACACTCCATGGCCATTTCCAGCACCTCGGAGCGCTGTCTCCAGATAAACGTCGATGTTCTTCTCCTCGGCGAGCCAGTCCTCGATCACAGACTGACCAACATGACATTCGAATCGCCACAAACTTTTATCCTTGGTGTGATTGGACCAACCTTGATCGAAAGCCTTGGTATTGTTATACCGGTCGGCGACACGTCGGTAGAACTCGAATGCAAGGGGGCCGATGGTCAATGAGTTTTGGAAAGAGGACTTGATGAGAATGACAGTAAGAATACAAAGAGAAAATGAAGTAGATGATTAGGTCGATGGCAGCTCACCTGTGAATCAATGTCTGATGCCCCGGCGCCCTCGATGGCAATGCCTCCCACATGCTTTGAGGGCTCGAGTAAGGCCACAGTCCGATTTAAGCGTGCAGCCTGAATGGCTGCCGCGTACCCCGCGGAAGTGCCACCAACCACCACAATATCATAATCATGGTTTTGGGAAGCTAGCGCAAGGCCTAGTGGGCTGGCAATTGCCGACGCTAGGCCGCACAGAGTTGTCGCCCTGGCCCAACGCATATTGTTTTCAATCTGCCCTGTGGAGCTTTCCGCTAAGTTGGGGAGAAGTGTCCTTCAGGAAGTTTCCGAAGCAAACTTTCCAGAGAATTTAAGGTCTTACAAGCAAAGACAAGACGCTTTTCTTGTGGGGGCACAGAAGTGTTTACAAAGAAAGGGGCCGGGATCGGAACTTCCCCGGACTGGGCCCCCGGACATGATTTTCCCGGAGTAGCACCGAGGTTCTCTACTACTCGCATTACTATTACTGTTACGGTAAGTGCAAGTCGTAGCGCATTATATTAGAAAATATCCAGCAAAACAGTCCGGCACTTCGATTATCCTCTTCTCTTGGCAGGTTGCCGAGGAAAAACAATAACTGAGTCATTTGACTAGATTCTGACCGCAAAGAGTAGGAAATCTCGGTGCTGAAAATCGACAAATTTTTCCAGTATTGAGGCATTCTACCCCCACAGATGATATGAGATGATGACGATGACAAATTTCTTAGCCCGATGTCGCTCGCTCTAGATCTATGCTGCTATGGCGGAGTACTACAGGCCGGCCGTCAAGTTTATAAACGGTTACCAGTGGTCAATGAGGACAGAGGTCGCTTTGTGGAACGGTCAGGACGACAATTTCCTTGCAGCAATCCCCGTCATTTCATTTAAGAACCTTGAACCTCAATCAGACAGCGACTGGGAGATGCGATCTTAGGCCCCTCCTTAAAGTTCTTGTCTGGATCTCTTTACGATGCAGTTTTGTGACAGCTTAAATTCGGTTAAAAAATACTCCATAATCAAAAAAATCATCTCATCACTATTTCGATGACACTCGAATATGATAATACTTCTCTTGACTATACCATTGTCCTTCCAGTTTGGTAGACGTTCACGGTACAAAAGTACCCCCGTTGCAAGGACTATCCCAGGCCTCAGAAGATGTGAAAATTGCAGTAGATGTATTGTTCAATGCAAGATTGATCAAAGTATCCCCTTTTTGTCAAGTGTTAGACGAGTGGGTTTACAATCAAATCATCGGGCATAACTGACCGTCAAAGTTGAACTGCGGCCATCCAAACCTGTGGAGGCCATTTTGGGGATCTTTCGCAAATGCAACCCAGGCATCTCAAGAAACAGTTAGTGAATATAAGATGAGTATGTTGACTATGCGTATTTCTTCTCACCTTGAATATACTTGCTTGCGGCAATTTCTTCCATTGAAGCTGGGCCCGTTTCCGATAGAGACATGTTATATGTCCCAAAGACCATAGGTACCTCCCCTTTGAACAAATAAGACATGTTATCATAGTAAAAAATATGGTTGTAATAACTCACCAGTGTGGTAGGCACCAAGCCAGGAAGTTGGACTAAGATTCGTAAAATTGCCATGGTAGAGGTATCGCCATATTGGCACTTTTTGCTCCAGTCGTATTCTGCAGGCCGTTAGTATGTCATGTTCACCAAGCCGTTTATGATTTTATTCTTTCGTTATTACCTGACCGACTCTTGAAGGGGACAGTTGAAAGTTGTTTGGAGGTCGTCATATATTTCAGTCTCATTGACTGAACTCAAGCTCAAGGAGAAAAGCGCGGAGGTTTCTCGCGTATTAACTCCCGCCAATGTTGGCTACATAACATATCTCGTCAGTAACTGATAGCAGTATATATGGCTGGAAGTTCATACCAAGTTTGCCAATCCCCCACTCTCAGCCCTCGCAGAATAATCAGAGAAAACAGTTCGATTGTCGACGATTGGAACAAAGTTGTAACTCCCATTACTCATGGCTTGGACAATTCTCTCCATCGAGGTTTGTCTCATGCATTCAAGTGAGCCTTCTCCCACGCCGCATCCCACCGTGGTAGAAATTTTATTCCAGTTTTGATTCATATAATCGGTGTTTGTAATCAAAGAAACTGTTCCCGATTCCATTCCAATTGCACTGACCAGTGGATCCTTTGGATACTATTATTTGACGCCAATTTAGATCCAAAGACGTAAATAGGGATGGGGAAATGTGAGTACACACCGCGTAAGCGTATAAATCGGTCGATGCAGCTCCCGCAGATTGTCCAAAGAGAAGGATCCTATTTGGATCGCCGCCAAAATTGGCAATATTTTTGTGAACCCATTCAACAGCCAACCGCTAGAAGCGAGCAGAGAGTCAATTGCAAGACTCCGGGTGATAATAGAGAGATCTGAAAATACCTGATCTAACAATCCGACATTCTGATCCGAGGATTTCAGCCCAGGCGCGTTGGGAAACCCGAATATATTCAGCCGGTAGCTAGGTAAAAAAAATTAGTTAGTAATTCACTAGATGATTTGATAAGTTAAAAATACTTAAAAGTGACGACAATGATATTGTCATTGTCTTGAACCAGGTTTGTACCATCATAAAATCCCACTGAACCGGCCCCAGATCCAAAACCTCCTCCGTGTACGAACATCATGACAGCCGCTTTCTTGTTAGTGCCAACCCTGGTACGGTGTTCATGAGATGGTGCCCATATATTGATATATAAACAGTCTTCGGAAATATCAGCAGAATTCCAGATCTCATAAGGGAGAACACTCCAAATGGACTCATTGGAATACGAGTAAGTTTGTGGACATGGACTTTTGAAGGAGATTGCATCAATGGGACCTGTCGGTGATTTAGGCTTTGGTGGGGCAAAGCGAAGGTGCTTCACTGGAGGCTCAGCATAAGGGATACCAATGAAACCTCGAACCGTTCCAGCCGAATTGTTATATCTTCCAGTGACAGGACCAACGGAGGTTACAACGCGGAGCTCCGATGGTATGGAGGAAGCCCCGGCAAGGCAAGCCCCGACGAATAGAAGGAAAGAAAATGAATTTATCTTCATTGTTTGTATTTTTAAGAACCTTACTAAGGAAAAGTCTCTACGAGGGAGAATTAGACTGCTTATAGCTCGCAGATCAAGTTTTGTCTCCACACGGAACCCACATTTCCGGGGTGGACGAGCATTTGCGGGGGCTTGGTAATCAGTAGTTAGTTATATCTCAATGTAGAACCAGGTAATTTCCAGTTTTTCTTATGCTACATATTTCTACATAGTTCCCCGCGTTCGAATGGTAGCTATATATTGATATCGCCAACAGGTAAGAGGTAGGGTACACAGCTCATGCTGCAAACAATTTTCTATGTCGTGACCTTGTATTTAAGAATCTTTTATGGATTTTCGACTCGGCTTTGTGAATATGCCGAGATGCCGTTCTAGTATAAGCCCTCCCCTCTCCACTGGGCCTCAAATGGAACCGACTAGACTTTCCCCGCACTTCGGAACAGATGGGGGATCGACAGTAGCTAAGCTAGTAACAGTGGTTGTAGAAAGTGGAGGGTGGCTGTGGGTGAACTTTCAATGCATGCTACCTGTGTACATGCTACCTGTGTACTCAAGGACATGAATAAAAAAGAGATGAACAACTGTCGGATACCATGCCTCCAGGCTACCGTTTGGTACAGCGCCCACTAGTCTCATCGATGCACTGGCACCAGCGTCGAAGAGCACGGCCAGGGTGTTCGTACACGCTATTTGAAGCTGCTCCTACAGGTCCCTTATTGAGCAAGTCATAGCTTATTTATCACCTGGCGAGGGCTTCCTATTTCTTTGACAGATCGTCCTATTAACAAGCATGTAGAAAGGCTACAAAGATTCCGGCCATTCGCCCTCCCTCTTTGTTCGGGGACGAATATCGAGAAAAGTCTTGGCTGGAGGTGGGGAAAGGAACACCATAAAGTTAATAAATAGTTTATAGTTGCTCGATCAGTTCCTCCGACTCTTGTAATCCGACTGCTAGTATATAGAAATTGTCAGCAAAAGAAGATCACGTACGAGCCCGATGTTTGAGATTTTGGTAAAAATGACGCTTCAGACAGCAAGAGTAGCATTTTTCGGCATTGAATCTATGTTTGACTAGTGTTGCGGTGTATTCCAATGTTTGGACTCGCTTGATTGTTCTTCAAGTCTGGTAGTAGGTGTTTCAGAAACCACGAGGCGTATACTAGTGAGCTAAAATAAGATCTCGAAACAAGGATTCATGGCAGTTTCCATTGTTTGAGAGCTACTTTCTTCCTAGATGAGATTCAATATTCCCTTCGAGGGCCTTTGTTTTATTGAGTGTGCATTGTGTGGAGTTCTTTATCTTTGTTGTCATGCCCTAGATCTCTACCTAATCCTTTGTACACCCGTAGTTCAGAACGTAGTCCATAACAAAGATTTAGCTTGATGCTGAAACGAGCACGTCAAATGTCGAATAAAGAGTCAATTGCTGCCATATTTAGCACTTCGGTTTATAAACTCCCTGGATTCTCAACATGAGGACACTTTCAATACATCACTCATCACATCTTCATTCTATTCAAGCATTCAAGCTGCAATTCTCCATCCATTCAATATCAAATATCTCTTCAGCATTTCCCATCAATTGTTCAAGATGACCAATCACTGGTGGATTCCCAAGAGCATCGATCACCCTGCTAACGCATCAGATGGAAGCTATGATCCAACTTCTGACGGACCCCCTGCAGAACTACCAGCAGGACAAATCATGAGATACGGTGCACGACAAAGAGCAGGAGCCGAACTCCGACGGTGGATCGACCTTCCCAATAAGCCCAATTGTCCGATTACACGAAACTCAATAACCATCCAGAACCTCGAACATCACTATACAATCGAAATTGTCCAAGCAAACCCCACGGACCGTGATTATGCCAATATCTTCCACCACCTCGAACTCGCCGCAACCACAGAGAACCATACCAACTCTCCATACCGAAATTTCGATGTCATGTCCATGCATTTTTCGTGGCGGGGTTTCGTTGGTCCTCGGGTACTCATTATCGAGGATATGCACCGGCGGGCTGAAAACGTGCATCACATGTCTGAGGTTAGTTTGGCGTTTTATGAAACTGACTGTCTGATTGACACGCTTCAACACGTTATTGTCACCAATGTTGTGAATGATGATACGATCAGTTTCCTGTCAGGTGAGATTCATGGCGACCATCTTGAATTCTCGGAGGATTGGTGGCGGACTTGGGAGTATGCGACTCCTGAGTATGATGCTTTGTTGGCTACTCGCATTGGTAAGATGGTGGCGTATATGGTGTTGGGTGGGTTCCAACGAGGTACGAAATGGATTCCTCGCATTAACACTGTGAGTAGTTGGGATGGGATTAGTGCGCATATGCATTTCAAGATTGCGGATATCTGATCTGTTCGAGGTTAGTATAATCTTTCTGTTGGGTTTCTGCTTACTGGTCTGCTCAAGGTAGGGATGATTCATCTGTGGAGTTTATTGCTTTGGACTTCCCTTTCCTAATACACATTTTGATCATTCGTTTATTTCTTTGTTGATGGTTGCATGGTATTGGTGCTATTGTGTCTTGAAGTCATACTTGGAGTTTTGCTTTGTGTTTTGTGTTTTGTTTCGCTTCTTGTCTTGAATCTGTTCGTGTCTATGCATCGTTCGGCTTTGTTTTGCAACAATATTTATTTATAAAGATACAATCTTTCACGTCAAAAGAATTCTCCCACCAGAGACTACATAGACTGTCTATTGATGTTTCAAAATATGAGACTAGACCAGATGTGCCTTAATTCCAATAATGGCAATGTAGCAGCAAGCTCATGGGCAGCCAGAATCCCTTTTTAGGTATCGTAGCTCACTTGACAGTAATCTAAATCTTCCAATTTCGTATATTATCAGAGTATACAGCCACGAGACCTGAATATTAGTATGAGTGAAACTCGGGTCGAAAGAAAGGAAGGCCTCCACCATTTCCCCATGATACAATTTTATAGTTTAGCCCGATCAGATGCGCGGTTTTACCAGTTCACAGCGAACCTGCGGGGTGTGTATCAGCTGTGAAGGACAACAGCCAATATCTCGGTAATCCCTTCCTATTTACACGTTCACAGATCTCAAGGCAAACACGTTGCGATAATATGGTGGTCAAGGCCTGCAAATCTCAGGCCCGAGACACCAGGCCACATGCCTGTTTGTCCATGTGGTACATCCACGGTGGACGTTTTTGCTTTTGCGGCTCAAACTCATCCACTTCTTAATTTAGGCATTTCCAACGCTCGCCCAGCCAGCCAACCCGGCAAGAAAAGATTCATGACGCCATCATTCATATCGACAAAGTCGCACGAAACAAGCCCAATTCGAAGATCGCTACCAATAACAGATCTTCACGGGCGGACTAGGCTCGGAACGTGGTTTAGTCTGGTGTCTCCCCTCCAATCCGCGCCCGCAAAACGAACCACCAGATCTCCTCCACTTCGATCTCCGAATATTTCCCAAGAGCAAACGGTTATCTCTTTCGCGATCGGGCCCTTTCGCTCCAACGCTCGACCCTGCAACTTGCAGGGTTATCCCCGCAGCGACTGTACCATGCTGACCGCTAGTGTACACCTCGTCCCTATCTTCCAGTCTCCCGTTGGGCTGAAGGATGGCTCGCCTGGCGCGGCCTTTGTGCAACATGACCTGCAGCTACTGCGGACGCTCTGCAGGTGGACACGTCGCGTGCATTCCAACGGTTTTGTCCTAGTCCAAGAAGGACGAGTTTGTGAAGAAATGAAGGGCTTGGACTGGAGCTTTCATTCGCGGGTAAAATGCTAGTCGAGTTTGGTAATCCATACTTAACCCTTTGATCTCCCTGGAATTCGAGTTCTTCTCCTGGCCCCATTCGTCCTGCGCCGGATACATATTCCGACCGTGTCGCTTGTTTGTATAATAGGTGTCTTGTATGGCCACGAGGAATCTCACTCGCACTGCGCGCCCGGCTGAAACCATGCCTCATGGTCGATTAGAGAACGAGGAGGATCCGTTGCTACCAGAAGACCAGTGCAGCGATGGCCATGACCATGACCACGAGCACGGCACGACCCGGAAGTCTAAGTCATTTCGTGATCCTTCGGTATGCTTATCTCCTCTTTTCCTTCTTGTGTGACTTTCATCTGCTCAGTTTATCGCGGGGGTTATCCACTTGGAATATTCACAGTCAGCGACGAGCGAAGGATAGATTTCCCATCTTACGGGCAAACTCAACTTCAACTGCAAGTGGTAAACTGACAACTTCTCCTACGGCTAGTCAGCATGGATAATCCTATTCTGGGGCATGTTCGCCATGAGTGGCGGCACCTTCGTGGTCCCCGAATTCAACGCCAGCCTAGCCCTAGTCTGCCACCAGCGATACGCGCCCAGCAATTCCCGACCAGACCTCTCACTCATGGAAGAACTCGAGCTTTGCCTAGGTGATAAAAACGCACAAGCAGATATCTCCCGACTAATCGTCTATTGCCAATTCACGGCGGGAATTCTCTCAGCCATCACTGCCCCAATCCTGGGGTCTCTCTCCGATCGCGTCGGGCGTAAACCAATTCTAGCCCTTAGTACGACGGGTATCCTCCTCTACAATGCCGTGATGCTTCTTATCTTGCGATACCCGGATGCGATCGATGTACGCTGGATACTAGTCGGGTATGCACTTGAAGGGCTAGGTGGCACGTATATCACGGCTATCGCGGCGTCACAGGCGTACATCACCGATTTATCGAGTCCGCGTGAACGTGCCACGCTATTCAGCTATATCCAAGCATGTACATCGCTCGCACAGGCGGCTGGTCCGTTAATTGCGGGTATCCTGATTGCGTGGATAAATTCCTTCGAAGGCGTGTACTGGATTTCTTTCGCCTGTTACCTCCTTCTAACAATCCTTGCCATATTCGTCTTACCCGAGTCGCGCTGGGCGCGATCGAATGACGAAACGAGGATAAACCTCGACAACTCACGTACACGGGAAAATCCTTTACAACAAGTTTACTCCTCGTGCAAGTCACTCTGGGAATGCAGTGTGAACCGGCGCGCCAATCTAGTTATTCTAGCGATTATCGAACAATTCGTCTTTGGCGTCATGACCTGCCTCCCACCGCTGCAGATGGCGTACTCGTCATATCTATTCCATTGGAGACCCACGACACAGAGCTTTTACATGGCGCTCGTCAATACGTGGAGTATCCTAGTGCTGGTCGTCCTTTTCCCGGTGATCATGTCCGTTGTTCGTCGACAGATTCGTCGAAAACGGAACCGCACACACTCAACCGTGTTCAATACTGGCGAACTCGGTGCTATTCGCACTAGTCTGAGCCTGCAGATTCTCGGGTATGCGGGTGTAGCTCTGACGCGGTCTCCGGTGTGGTTCATCTTCTGCTCGTTGATCTTTGCGTGCGGGAATCCGGTTACGCCGTTGTTGACGTCGAGTTTGACGGCGCATGTGCCGAGTGAGCATTCGGGGCATTTGTTGGGGATGTTGAGCTTTATGCATGCGATTGGGAGGATCACGATTCCTACGGCGTTGAATGCGACGTATAGCGTTACTATTGGGGTTTTCCCACAGGCGTTGTTTGTGCTCTTGGCGGGCTCGGTTTCGATCCTTTTGCTGGCGAGTTTGTGTGTCAAGCACCATGGTTTGGGCTCGCGATAGACTTTCTTCCTTGTCACATTCAAGTGATAAGTTATATTTCGTTGCTTGTTTTCGGGAGCGCAGTCATGTCACCTCGTGCTGGTCATGCGTGGACATGCTATGATGTTGATGATATATATCCAATCATAGAATTTCATCTTCCCTTCGTTTACGTCTTGACCATTGTCCCGACCCGTGTCTACCTCTTCCGTTTAAGTTGACGACTCCCTACCTTCTTCCTCGAAGTCCGCATCTGCTCAACCGTCTGCAAGTACAACTTCGGCGGCGTAGAATACCCATTCTGTAAAATCGCCACCACGGTATCCAACATCCTCCTCGTCCTCCAATACAAATTATCAATAAATCTCAGCCGATCCGGCAACGGATCCGGCAACCGTCGCACAGCCTTATCAAGTCTGGCCCTGTACTCCTCCACCGACAAACCATGCGCAAGACGACACTCATCACCCCCCTCCCCAGCCTCAATCGAATTAATTAATATATCCAAATCCACCTCCGTAGGCGAAGCAGAAAAAACCTCCCCCCAATCCTCATACGGGGCTATCCAGTCCCGTACCGAATCATACACATCCGTATCATCAGGCAAAAACCACGGTCCCACAACAACCACACTTCTCAAATTCGGCGAAACCTTGCCCAAATGCTCAAGCACCGAGTACATCTGCGTCTGGCTATGCGGATTCACCACGATATGCTGGACATTATGCGCTAGCGAGCGTCGGGCTTCGAGGCGACGTGGTGGACCGGGTCTCCCGCCGCCGAGGGCTCTCAGGAAGAGCAGGTGGCGGGGGAAATTGAACCAGCCCAGACGGTCGATTTGGGTGAAGGTTTGGGTTTGGATGCTTCGGGCTTCGGTGCAGGATTGGGAGATGGATTTGTGGGGGTGGGTGCCGATTGTTGCGTCTTGTTGGTAGCGGAGGCGTTTGAGGGTTGTGCAGGACCAGGTGGTTGTTAGGGCGAGACGCCAGATTTGGAGACGGAGTTCTGGGGGAGGGAAGGGAAGAGGGGGAATTGTGTTGTCATGGAGAGTGCGAAGGAGAGTGTGGAGGTGATGTTAATAGAAGATGTTGAATGTTGAATGTTGATTTTGAGGTTGGAGGATCTATATGGTTCTTTGTTGCCTGTTTCCTGCACCGGACGATAAACGCCAGTTGCTGAAACCCCATAATTGGTCAGTTTATCGACCGCTTCCATAGCCGCCTTTGCCCTGATGCCTTCTTCTTTTAGGCCAGGGTGACGCTATGACTGTAGTACCGATTTAACTATCCCCCTTCGTTGTCTTTTCTCTTGTGTAGGTCATGTGAATTCTGCCGGACCTTCTGCCTTCGAAAATAAGTTTTGAGCAATTGGCGCTTATCGTCCACCTCACACGTGCCTGGTCACGCCCTGGATCTTACTATTCGATCTTCTTGCAGCTTCAACTACTACAACAATGAAAGGTACCTTAAACCGAGGCATCAATTTCAATGCATCTGCTATTCAACCGAGTTCCCCACATGATCGACTCTCGTCATACGTGACTTCATCATACATGATGCACATCCAACGCACACCGTCCCTTACGGTTGAGTCAGGATGAACTACGAACATGTCAGAGCCCCCCACACCGCGATTCTTCAAATCTCCTCGATTTTCCAGTGGACCTGGTCCCTGATTTGAGCCAATGGCAGTGTTTCTCGTGGAGAGTGAAAAGCGGAAAAGATAGCCCCATTGGACCCATTGGATCCGTTGTGGCCCCGATCGAATGGCGATGGGGCGGGTCGGTCGAAATACTCGAATTGAGCTGGCAAACGACGCCTCTGGTGTATCTGTGCAGGGTCAGGGTCAGTCATAATAATCAGGCCAAGGGTTTAATTGAATTCTCCGGAGTATGGAAGAGAAGACTGTTTGATTGTTTACGTCTATAGAAATGTTCTATACATAGATCTTTGATCTAAGGATATACCCACGACAATCTCCGGCCAACACTGACTAGACCTTGCAGAAGCTGGCCTAGACCTTCTCTGCCCGACCAGACCAGACAATTTCACCCTCGCATCCTCCTCTCAGAACGGCAAGGATCCTCAGGAGCGGGCCAAGTCCACCACTGGGTTTCTGTGGGAACGTGGAGATAGCGAGAGATAAAAAGGATAATGCCACGGGGGACCAAGACTGGGCGGGAGGTCTAATGAGTCTGATTGGTCTAGAGGATCCATCAAGATCCACTCTTCAGGTAAAACTCCTCCAACTGCCCAGCCGATGTAATTTCCCCCATAATTCCACGGACCAACTCTAATGAGCACCACCCTATAGGCCCCCTTTTCTTGCCCTGCGCTAGTCACTTTAAGTCGCACGGGTACCTGAAGTCGACCACGGCACTCTCTTCCCCTATAAACACTCTCTTCCCCCCCCAATCCCCTCCCTTTCCCATCCCACACGCTCTCTTACCACACACCCCGGTTCAGTCTTCTCAACCGAGTACATTCTTTTCAAGAAACCCAACTACATTCTTTTCCGACGTGTCAGATCAATCTCCGTCTTCACAGACTTTTCTCTCTTCAGGAACATTCCTCGAATTCTCAACATTCCAGTCAAAATGCGTTTCTCCTTCGCCGCTGTTGTTGCCGCCCTGGCTGCTGGTGTTGTCGCCAGCGACGCTGTCACTGAGACCGTCACCGCTTACACCACCTACTGCCCTGAGGCTACCTCCATCGTCCACGGTGGTTCCACCTACAGCATCTCTACCGTACGTTGTTATCCCAGATGCGGTGCGGATGCGCATTATGCGGATGCGACGGATGGGGTCGAGTTGGCGATCGAAGATATCTCGACTCGACTCTCCCCCACATTCCATCTGATATCGCACATCCTGCGCCTAGTCTACATCCCCTCAACATCTATGTCGATCGCATTACTAACTCTCTTCCAGCCCGGCCACATCACCATGACTGGCTCCTTCACCGTTACCCGCCCTCTGATCACCCAGACCGTGACCCAGTGCAACAAGTGGTAAGCACTAACACCCGAATCCTATAATACCAACGCCTTCTAACATCCCATCTACAGCTCCTCCTCCACCCCTCTCCCCACCACCCCCGTGGTCTCCGCCAGCACCGCTCCCTCTTCTACCCCCTTGGTTCCCTCCGGTGCTGGTGCTACTGGTACTGCTGTCTCGACCCCTGCTGCCTCCCAGCCCGCCTTCAACGCTGGTGCTATTAACGCTGCCACTGGTGCTGGTGCCGGTCTGGCTGCCGTGTTCGGTGCCGTCGCCCTCCTACTGTAAGCGTGAGCTTCCTTGCTCTCTCTAGCAGTGTGATGTGGTTACGGGATTCGTATGCACGGTGATGGGTGCATGTTGCCTTTCCTCATTGCAACATAATCTGGTTCTATCTGCTGTATAGATCCGGGTTATGGCGGTGTGGTTGGCCGCTTGTATTCCCAAGCCAGGCGTTTTATTTTTTTTTTCATTCGGGAAACCTCGGGGTATGGGATTCTTTTTTGTGCTTCTTTTTCAGCTGGGGTTACTCTTTATCAATTTTTTTTCTTATCTATTATTGATTCGATTCTCTGAATGTACATGTCTTTTTTTTGTCTATGTCTTAGTAGATAATACATAATCGATCCATATGGGTCATTTATGTCTTTCTTTATTGTGACTATGACGATTCTTTAAATCCGAGTTCCGTTGCTTTGTATTTGTGTAGTATCTGACTGGACATACTGTTTCTTTGATTGTTGACTCGTTTCTATTCAAGGCTCATCGAGGCTTGACGGGTTACGTAGTTGTAGCTGGCTTTGCGAGCATCAGTTCTCGACATGCCCAAGCCGGTCAGGTCGTATACCCGAGAGTAGTTCAATCATTGTCAGAATATATTAGTCTCCATCATCCTCCATCTTACAAATACTTAGGCTATAATAAAACCTGCTCAAACCGATGGACCCGGCAAGCTCTACATTTTAAATGCCCAGAAGAGACTTCCAGCGAATCCAAAACACCGGGAACGAGTTGAATTCCCTTCAGCCATACATACTAATGGACCCAGGAGACTTTGTATAATTACCAATAATACTAGGCCAACCTTGTCGTGCGAGTAGTCAAACCCTCAAAAAGGCACCGTCTTAAATTCAAAACACCCCCGCAATCATCCTCCTCCCAGCCATAGCATCCGTCAACTGTCTCTGCGCAGCCTGTACATTCTCAAACCGGATAAACCCACAAGACTCACTCTCCAAATGATTAAAAAACCCGGCCAACGAAACAAACTGCTTCGTGCAATTCCGTCCCTGATTCGGACAATGATAAATACTCTGTTGATGCACCGGTGAATTCGCATGTTGATTCAGTCCATTCGATGAGGCGAGTTGGCGATGGCAGATGTAGCATTCCCATGCTTGTCCGTTATACGCGGCCCTCGTTGCGGTATAGGTTCCTTCGTCGTGGTCCGGGTATTCGATGAACTTGTTTGTGATTATCCCGTGTGGATCGGCGCGGCGGACCATTTGGGCTATGGAGGTTCGGTTTAGGGATTGGGCTTGTGGGCAGGAGGATGTTTCGAGGTGGTGCGAGACACCGCTGGTAGAGACGAAGCGGGCTTTACAGAAGGGGCATGATATTTCTGTGCCGCGGTGGATTCGGGAGTTGAGATGCTAGAGATGAGAGGAGGGTATGGTTAGTTGATAAGGCTCTATATTCTCGCATGCTCGGATGGGCGAGACATACCGCGCGTAGATTATTTTCATTATTGAAGCGCCTCCCACAAGGCTTGCAGTAATTCCGGTAATGCCCGTATTCACTCATATGCTGATCCGCAGCACTCTGAGTTTGAAACATATCATTACACGTCTCGCATTCAATCCGCGGTGCCCAGTGGTTGGTCGCATTCATATGCTGATTAGCCGCGTTCTGCGAGTTGAATTCGCGGCTGCATGTTTCGCAGTCGAAGGTCGGGGCCCAGTGGTTCAATGTGTTCATGTGCTGGTTGCATGTTCATGTGCTGGTTGCACGCACGGTGGGAGCGGAAGTTGCGAGGACAGGTTTCGCATTCAGCCCAGTGGCTATAGGAGTTCATGTGGTTGTCGCAGTCAGCTTGGTGGCCGAAGGTCTCGTCGCAGCTTGCACACTCGGGCATGATGTGTGGGCGAGTTTTGGATTTGGGAGGAGCAATATAGTCGGGGTTGGGTTTGAGGATGAAGCTGCGAGGTTGCGCTTGACAGAAGTTGGGGATAGAAAATGGGCGATGAAGAATCGAGGTTAGAATAAGGGGGTTCAGTGGGGAAGATAGTCGAAACGCGGGATTCGAGCTATCACAATATACGTAAAGCTCCAGACTATGTTCCGCGGTCAAATCTCGACGCCAGGTTATGGTTAAGGATGTTGATGTGTCGAGTAAGGCGTAGAGGGATTAAGCGTTTTAAGGGTTATCACCAACTTCCAAGTCTTCCAGGTAATCTCCCCCTCATATGGCCTAGTTGGTCAGCCAGGTTTGCGTCACCTGGTTGGCTAAGGGTGTGCCTCTGTGAAGGAAAATTGAGGGGAAATATGGTCGACTGGTATCCGATGTCGAGCATCGCTCCACGGATGACCGGGCACACCCTAGGGGGAGAGTGGGCGAGCGGCTAAACCCCCCGCTCGCCGATTTCTTCTTTTATTTGTATTTTCTTTTATTTACTAGATAGATCTCCTTTGAATCTTCTATTCTGGATCTAAAATAAAATATTTTAAAGGTATTCTAGTGGTGTAAAGGGGGATTGTTTAGTAGGTGTGGTCCCGGAGAGTAGTTATGTACTTCGGCATTGTGGGATGGCGATAGAGCATTTTGATGAAGTATATAGGGGACGTGAAGGTCGCGGGTTCGATTCATGGTGGTGTCAAATTTATTAATTTTAATTCTTGGGGAGATATCATGTGTATGCGGTTAGAAATAGCTCCTCAGATATGCCGATCTTGCGTCCAGCTTAGTGGAATGGCCCAACGATGCTGTCTGTCAAAATTATCCCTCCCAACGCCTCGCATGTACTCGAGACCACGTATATTGAGTTGGGAAGATAATTCAAAGGTAGCACCACACGCCTCGAGATTTTTTCGGCCGTCTATTGGGGCAAAATCTTCATCGCTGTCGACGAAGCTTGGCACTTTATGGTCTCACAATCCAAATCTCGACAAAGACTCTGGCTTCTAATAATCTATCAAGATTTATGTACAGCTCATATGGCTTTGGTTTAGTTTGTTTTGCTCCAGAGTAAACCCGAAATCATTAAGAATGTCTTTTTAGAACATGGTTATGGTTGGTGGTGTGTGTATCAAATGGTGATGTTCTTCTGTCTCAACACCAGCAGTAGCGATATTGCCACAGTGGCCATGACAAACACTGTAATAGTTCTGTTAGCGTATTCGGGACCTTTTTCGGAGCTGGTGAAGAGGTCTGGAAACATACGAATAAGCACCATGTAGCTTTCTCTAAAATCTTTGTTGACAGCTCTAAGCAGCGGCTTGGGAAGTGATCGCGAGTAATCGACATTGTCTAGGATGTGATCGATTTTCTGGGAGCCAAATTGTCAGTTTCACACTTCTCGATAGAATTCAGGCATTTATCTCACCTTCAGGTCTTCGGGGCTTTCGCCAATTGTCGACTCGAGTTTCTCTTTAAAAACGAGATGTTGGAGAACCGTAGTCATGGTAATCCCAATCATAGTTCCAGCTTGTTGGAAAAGATAGTAGGATGTGATCGAGGTGGCCGCATATTCTTCCGGGGTACTGGCACTCAACCCGACGAATTGCGCGGAGAGAGTCATTCCGAGTCCCCACGAGAAGAAGAACGAGTAGAACAACTCCCACATGTGCTGTTCGAATAGTGACCACCGAGGAAGGATTAATGCGAAACTCATGAGCGCTGTAGAGAGACCAACTATCGCCCATACTCTGTGCTTTCCGCTTCTGTAAGAATTGTCAGCATCGCGATGATGAAATAGCCATGTGCCTGTTCAGGTACTCATCACAGCTCATGTCATGATGAATTACCTTTTGACAAGCATCCCAGTCAATACGCTCCCCGCTGCAGCGCCAACTGCTGTAGGACCGAGACATAGCCCAGTCTCAATCGTCGTTAAGCCGTGTACTCGGGCAAAATAGGGGGCAATGCTTGCTACAAACTATAAGAAAATTAGCTTCAGTGGACTCTGCTTCCAAGCGAGATTTAATGAATGCCATGCATACACCGTAATTCCCCATCTGCATGAAAAATGTAGTCCCCCAAACGAGCCCAACCTGTGTAGTCTTGAGAAGATGAAGTGGAATCACGGGATTCTTCGCCCAAAACACCTCAATAGAGATGAAAGTCGCAGTAAAGACGACGAATCCGACTCCAAGTCCAACGATAAGGCCGATGTGCCTCTTCACCGCGTCAAGGTCCTCGAGCATCTCAACAAGGATGACGAAACAGAGGATCGCGCAGCTAAGCGTGATGATACCTGGGATGTCGAGTGGTGGACGTGGAGCTTTGGGGGTCTCCTCTTTCTTCTCAATATTGCGTTCCTCGTCGCTGGAGGTCTCGGCCGCGGGCTGGCTGTTTTTGGGTCGTAGTTTGAAGAAAACGACGATTGCACAAAGGACCACGAAAGGGATGTGGACTAGGAATGACCTATAGAAAGAAGAAACCTGATCAATATCTTGTGATCCTTCATGTTGAATGGAATTCTTGACTCACCATCTCCATCCTATCGTTCCGGCGAGAATCGCACCGAGCGGGCCTCCACTGACGGCGCCTACCAACATCACAACCATAAGGTGGCTTCGGAAAACGGCAACCTCACGAATGGAGGCAATATCTAAGAAGGAGATGTTAGATTAAGCAATGCCAAAAGGGGCAGTAGAGATACCGTTGAGTGCCACCGAAGCCAGGTCCAGCATACCCGAAGCGCCAGCGCCCACCAGGAACCGACCGGCGACGATTGCATAGAACTCATGGGGAGTGCCTCTGTCAAAGTCAGATATGAGTCGTCAAGTACTGGGGTATGCTCAACTTCATACGATACAATGCATCCCACGCCATAAGAAGCGTATGCAATAAGGAAAGTTTTCCGTTGACCTAGGACCTCATAAAGTCGACCGTATATCGGCAGTGCCATGGAATAGCCAAGATTGTACCCGACAAAAAGCCATGACCCGGCTGCACCTTGGTGGAATGACTCGGCGATTTGGCGAGAGGTGGTGAGGACGAAGAACTCGTCAGATATACCGAGGAATGTGCCTATTCAGCATGGGAGTCATTCGATGAGTACGACGATGATTGATGGAGCTCAGAGCAAAAGGTAACTTTCAAGAGCACGTACCAAAATACAAAACAGCCAAGAGCAATTTACTCTTCTTCAAAGGCTTCCCTTCCTCATGATTAACGACCGTCCCGGATTCCGACGCCGAGGCATCAAACGAAATCTCATTCTCATTCGCGCCCATGATATTGACCGACCGGATAAGTGTCGGTAATAAAATTTACGAACACTGAGAATAAAAAGTCGCGACGCGAAATAAAAGTTGAATCTTTCCTTCTGAGTGAAGCAGGAAAAGCTCTCATAAATGAAGGGAATATTGCGTGCACGTTACGAAACCCGGCTGCATTCGGAAATGCAAACGGTCAATCTCCATGGTAGATACCACGTCTATGATTCCACGCCATCGCATCGCGTACACCATGCCTAGCCAGTAACACACAAATACCAAACGATGTAATATCTGGATAAACATTCGAATGAGATAGCTGGAGAATCCGGATAATGTGGGCAGGTTAGCGTCATCAGATCTTTGATCGACGGAGCCGCTCAATTTTACCATGACGATCATGCAACTCCTTGCTTGTGGAGGGTGCGTAAGACATAACTCCTGTACCAGCTTTGCTTATTATCAGGCGTGCCTTGTAGGTAAATTAATGGTTTTACTTATGGAGTATATGGGACTCTCCGGTGATACAAGATGCGGATCTTGGATGTTGTGGGTTGCGATCGGCTGGACGTGGGTACTGTATGTACTATGCCTCGCCTTAAATGTGATTCAGATCTCCCAGTGTGAGATATGTGTGGTTGTCGCAAGCTATTATCAGCCTTGCGCCAGAGGTATTTGTATTAATTGTGGTGATCTATATGCAAAGATAGGAGTGACTTGATTTGGTGGTGATCCCGAGGATATTCCTGTTGAGTGGTGTCTATATATTTCAAGTCAAAAGGAGAAGGCGATTAAAAAGGCTATACAAGATTTGAAACAAGAATGTAAAATAGAAATGAGGGTGCAAAGACCCTGCATTGTCACGTATCATGATTAAGCTTCGATTTAAAGGAGCGGTCCGAGATAGCTAAGGTTGAGCTAAGGCTGCAGGCCAAAGATAGGGGAACGGGCCGCCTTTACCGACGGGCCTCCGAAGATACGCCAAGCTCAAAGCTTTACGGCTTCACAAGGGCTGTGACCGGTGCATAGCTAATTTAATGGATAGCATGCGAGAGGAGCTACTATTATGCAGGCACTATGAGGAATACTTGAACAAGTTGGAAATATGAAAGATCATCATTGAATTGGAAATCTACATAGTAAATCTGGTTTAAACAGCGACTTCGAGTAATGACACATCAAGCCGACTCGGAGCACTGCGACCGGGAGACTCGAAACAGAGACAGGCATTGCAACTAGGGAGCAGATCCTGATCACAGTTCAGCACCAGGCTGATCATCCGATCAATCCAAGCAATGCGCTTCCCATCAGAGCTGGTATGCCGCATGCCTCCATCTGTTCCACCCGATTTCTCCCTCCCCCCCCTCGGCTGGAGACTCGCTCACAAACCGTACACAACGCGTCCAATCCGATGGTAAACTGATCCCTATTTGGATGGTGAATGGGCGCGGGACCTTCTCAGCAGCGCCCGTCCAGCGACAGCCCAACACGAGGTCAGGCCATCACCGACGAGTGCTGACGCAGACAGAACGCCATCTCTTCATCTTGGATTTAGTTGTGTGAAGAAGAAAAGGAGAAGAGAAATTGTGTGCGAAGAAGAAAAACAGCCGCGGGCGCACGGACCAGGCGGTGAGGCCCGTTCGGGAATAGTCTCGTTTTCCCGCTTTCCGCGGGCAACGGAGAACCATCCAGCTGCCCACCGCCGGAGTCACGACTTTCGCTTTTATAAAAGAAACGCCTTCCGATCCGAGCCTCTGGTTGGATATCGTGTCTCTTTTTTTCGGTCGTCCTTCATCATGTCTTTCTCTCGTTGTGGGCGCCTCGCTCGCGTCTCCTTGGGAGCACTCCGCACGCCCGTGCCCGTGTCCACCCGTGCTTTCGTGCCTCGCGCCATCTCCGTGCGGGGAGTGTCCTCGTCGAGTCGGGATGCGCAGCAGAAGGTGGGAGAATACTCTTGCAGCCTCAATGGGGCTCCAATGCCTTGGACTGATTAAGCTGACATGGTCTCCAGCTCCTGTCTTCCTCTCTGAAGGACTCCGACCCTACCGTCTTCAACATCCTCGAGAAGGTACGTCATGTGAGATTTGGGGCATCCTCCAGGACAACCCGCTGAGACCAATTCTAGGAGAAAACCCGCCAAAAGCACTTCATCAACCTGATCCCCTCCGAGAACTTCACCTCGCAAGCCGTCCTCGATGCCCTAGGCAGTGTGATGCAGAGTATGTGCCAGAACTCTTCCTTCCCCGCTCGACCTCCTCGGTACATAGCCTCGGGATCCTAATCGCATATATAGACAAGTACTCCGAGGGATACCCCGGCGCCCGTTACTATGGTGGAAACGAACACATTGATGCATCTGAGCGCTTGTGCCAGGAGCGCGCTCTTGAGACCTTCCGTCTCAACCCCGAGGAATGGGGTGTGAACGTTCAGCGTATGGTGCCACTATATCCCTCCAAACAATGCAACTCAGCATCACTAACACGACCACAGCCCTGTCCGGCTCCCCCGCTAACCTCATGGCTTACTCTGCCGTTCTCAACACTCACGATCGCCTGATGGGTTTGGATCTGCCCCACGGTGGCCACCTGTCGCACGGTTACCAGACCCCCACCAAGAAGATCTCTGCTATCTCCAAGTACTTCGAGACCTTGCCATACCGCCTGGACGAGTCAACCGGCCTGATTGACTATGACGCTCTCGAGAAGCAGGCTCTGCTGTACCGCCCTAAGCTGATCGTGGCGGGCACGTCTGCCTACAGCCGTCTGATCGACTACCCTCGCATGCGCGAGATCGCCGACTCCGTCGGTGCCTACCTCCTCTCTGATATGGCCCACATCTCCGGTCTCGTTGCCGCTGATGTCCTGCCCTCTCCCTTCCCCTACTCCGATATCGTCACCACCACTACCCACAAGTCTCTGCGCGGACCCCGCGGCGCCATGATCTTCTACCGCAAGGGCGTCCGTCGCACCGATAAGAAGGGCAACAAGGAGATGTACGATTTGGAGAACCCTATCAACATGTCCGTCTTCCCCGGCCACCAGGGTGGCCCCCACAACCACACCATCACTGCTCTGTCCGTCGCCTTGAAGCAGGCTCAGTCTCCCGAGTTCCACGAATACCAAAAGACCGTGCTTGCCAACTCCCAGGCTCTTGCCGAGCGTCTCGGCGAGTCCACCAGCAACGGTGGCCTCGGCTACAACATTGTCTCTGGCGGCACCGATAACCACCTGGTGCTGGTCGACCTGAAGAACCGTGGTGTTGACGGTGCCCGTGTCGAGCGCGTCCTCGAGCTGTGCGGTGTTGCTAGCAACAAGAACACCGTCCCCGGTGACAAGTCTGCCCTCAAGCCCGGCGGTCTGCGTCTGGGTACCCCCGCCATGACCTCTCGCGGTTTCCAGCCCGAGGACTTCCGTCGTGTCGCCGACATTGTTGACCGTGTCGTGATCCTGACCCAGAAGTTGGACAAGGTTGCCCGTGAGCAGGCGCAGGCCCGCGGTGTCAAGAACCCCGGTACCCTGAAGGCCTTCTTCGACTACCTGGGTGAGGGTGAGGAGGTCTCTGAGATTGTTTTGTTGAGGCAAGAAGTTGAGGACTGGGTGGGCACATTCAGCCTGCCTTGGGCCAAGGACCAGTAGACTTTTTTTTTCTTTTTTATAGCTCATTTCCTTTTTATACTTGTGTACATTCCCCCCAGCCATGGTTCAACACGAAATATGATTCAAAGACTTTTTAACATTCAAAAATTATCCTCGCATAGATTAACTAGATCTGTCTGTTTATGGCCTGTGCACTATGCAGGGCAAACTCAAATTGGCCTCGGATCGGATAACCGATAACCGATAAGCGCGGTGATAAGACCTTCTCCGTGCGGAGAAACGACCGTCACCCCATTTATGAACTGCAGCTCGCAAGCTTGCTTTTTGCAATCCGACAGCACCTCTTCGTATAATCAAGAACCCCTCCAGCACACACCTTCATTGTGTCTTCTCTTCAAAATGCAAATCAGCCAGGTAGGACTCCCCTCTACTCCCCAATGGAGCAAAACCATCCAACCACCTCGCCAGAATCAGTGACTAACCAGACCTCCTCCCAGCTCTACATATACCCCATCAAATCCCTACGACCAACAAAAGTCACTTCAGGCGAACTCACAAACCTGGGTTTCCGCTATGACAGACGCTTCATGCTCCTAAAAGTGGTCCCCGGCGAAAATGGGGGGCCCCAAGCGCTGGAGAATATGCATATCCCCGAGTATCCCGAAATGGGACTCTTTCAGACGGCGATTGAGGAAGCTAAGACGGGTGGTGATACTGGGAAGGTGGTTGTGACGTATAACCCGCCTTTGGACAGCGACGGGCGTGAAGGTGATGCATTCGAGTTGGGAGATCAACGCGAAAGCCAAATCGAAAGCCAGGGTTCCAAATGTCTGGAAATCCCACTTGAACCGGAGACGAAGAATTTAAAGGCTTTCACGGTGATGATGCACCAGAGTCCGACGACGGGCTATGATATGGGATCCAGATATAATGACTGGTTCAGCGCGTGTTTCGGATACCCCGTTGTACTGGCGTATCTGGGTGGTAACACGCGCAGTGTCCTTGGTACACTCGCCCCCGCTAAACGCAATAAAGAGTCCTGGTGGAGTATCTGGAAACAGGAACTCGTGCTCCCGGGTAACGGCCACGGCAACAAGATACTCGACCGATGGCTCGTACCGTTTTCTCTGGGATATCTAGTTCTCAACGCTGTGAGTTGGTGTCATACCCGGATTGAAGATGGCAAAATGCCTGCATCGACTATCGGTGTTACAGTCCTGGCGCTGGGACTATTGTGGAGTGCGGTGAATATCTTCGTGACGAGACGCCATGAAGCACGAATCGGGTTTGCGGATTGTGCGCCTTTCTTGGTTATTTCTCAGACCTCCGTTGAGAATGTATCGGGACGGTTGGCTGGGGAGGAGGAGGTTGATTTGACCAAGTTTCGGCCGAATATTGTCATTTCGGGTGCAGAGACTGCATTCGAGGAGGACTTTTGGGCGGAGTTGGAGGTTGGAAATAGCCCTACCAGTTCGACGGTGAGACTGTTATTGACGGGGAACTGTGTCCGATGTCAGAGCTTGAATGTGGACTTTTCGACGGGGAAGATGGGTATTGGGGAGAGTGGGAGTGTGTTGAAGAAGCTTATGAAGGATCGGAGGGTGGATAAGGGGGCTAAGTTTAGTCCTGTTTTTGGGCGGTATTCGTTTCTTGGGAGGGAGGGGGCTGGGGAGGTTGTTAAGGTTGGTGATGGGGTGAGGGTTTCGAGGAGGTCGGAGGAGCATACTGTTACTGGTGAGTCTAAGAAGAAGGTGGCGTGGTTGGTTTGATGTAATACTGACTGTGATGTATAGATTGGCCGGGGTTGACGAATTAGAGATTGGTGGATGGCTTGAGTAGCATAGAACGCTATTGATGACTGGGTTTGGACGTTGAGAAAAAGAACTTGTATATTTGATTGTATGAATTCAGTTGGGTTTAATCTCAGCTAATGATTATGTAAAAGATGTATTTGGAAGGATTTTCAATGTTTCATTAGGCTCCGAGAAGATAGCCGAACTTCAGGACTGAGGAACATCTATACCCGCGACGGAAAATGAGATCACCTCAAATGCCCGACCTCCTCACGTTTAATACAGTCTTTGAACTTCCCAATCGAACGCTATCAGCTACTTCAAAGACAGGCAATTCAGCTCCCACAATCTTCAGATCTATGGGGGGTACACCGCGCTCGAGTGATCCTGGCCTGTTGATGTTCATCCCAGGAAACAGAAACCATCCATCACATTCAGTCAACCTCAAATTAGTCGCACGCTCCCGTTACCGAAGCAAGATTATACGGGTTACCTCTTTTTAGTATCCATTTTCCCATAATGAAACCTCAAGACAGATTCTTCTCCGAAGGCCAATGCTACTTCGGCCCGGGAGAAAACCCCTTGACCGAAACGCAATGCGACGTCTGGGATTGGGATCGACTGAGAATGGTCAAGGTGAAAGGCACCGCTAAGCTATTTCTGCCCGACGAGGATATAGAGAACACGATTTTGGCAAAGTTCGCCGATTACCTGTCGCCGGAAGTCCGCGCAATTACAGTCGACGACAACGGACTCCTTGTTGAAGTCTCGGCCGATCCGGAAGAGGATGACACTCCATTTGTTGCATATCTTCCGTTCTCGATGATTGAATCGCTTGCCGACAGCCGTGCAATTCAGTACTCTAAACTCCAGGAGCTCGGTCGGCTTGGACCGGGTCTTGATCTCTCATCATGCGAAGGCGAATTCGGCATTCCTCGAAAAGTTGCCTTCAAATTCAACCCATTAGACAAGCCCCTGAGACTACAGATGGCCTGGGATGAACTCAACATTCTCAGGATTTTGCCGCCACATCCTAATATAGTACCATTTAATCGTGTTGTTCTCGAAGACGTGGAATCTCGGGTGATTGGATTCACAACGAAGTATATTCCGGGTGGAACTCTCGACAATCCAAAGACGCCTTTCCGATTTGAATGGCTGCAACAGCTTATCCGACTCGTGGATTTCCTGAACCTGGAATTGGGAATCATGTATTAAGACATTACACCCTAAAACCTACTTATCGATCCCGATATAAATAAAATCCTTCTCTTCGATTTCGATTAGGCCGCACACGGGAAGAAACGCCTGCTAGATGGTCGAGATGATTTAACTAGCGCTGTATTTACACTATACGAGCTTATCACGAACGATATATACTTGACGAGTATTCCTTACTAGAAACGAAATGTGGATATGGTGCTGAGTATCCCGGAGTGGACTTGCAATCGCGAGCTGGACCCTGACGTATCGACATTCCACAACTTTTTGAATGAATGGGTAGCAGCGCGGAAATCAGACGGGGACATGGAACGATATCTCAACGCATCTAAACAACTTACATGGCCGGACCGACCAACACCGCCCGACTATAATGTACCATTTGAGCGGGGCCAAAATTCGCTTGGAGAGCCGATTTGGACAACCGGCCCGCGCTTTAGACGCACGGCGATAGAGAAGGGACAGTATTGTTTTCGCTGGGAGAGGCCACCACAGAGCAGTTTGTTGAACAAGGCTCAAAATGGGGAGCAATAGCCGGAGTGTGAAAGATAATGTTAATATTACTAAAATTATGATTGGTTTACGGAGGTATCTCAGTAGGTTTTTTCTAGTATCGAACGATGTAAAAAGTGATCGAGAGGGAAAGCCTCTTCCCGTAGGCTTCAAAATCAAAGATAGGAAGTGCCTGAAAGAAAGAGGGACTTAAATATCTATTACATTCGTGATAGACCTGACATTCGTACACAAATGGGTGTAAATAAGAGGGAGGACAAGATAAGCTTCTATGGACTAATGACGGGATAACTAGGTAACTAGGTAGTTAGTTATTTGTTGATAAGCGCTTACTAAGTATATTTTTATGAGAGGTCATTGATTATAGATTTCAATGAAAGGATCCATGCTTTTAAGACCGAGTCTATGTTCAACAACCCCATAGTCTTAGTGGCATTTCTGAGAATTCCTCTATTTGGTCTCTAGCACCGGAAACCTGGAGAAGGTCGACTAGAGACCCCAGCTGGTCATGTTGGTTTCTCGGGCGTGCCGTCAGTCTTATTATCTAGATTAATCATAGTCCTTACAAATCTTCAGCTCACAAGTGATTTTTATGCTTTTCCAGAAGCCAAAGAAACCTGTCCCTGCTGCCGAGTCCCCGTTACACCGCCACAAATTACATCATAAAGACCTGCACAGCCATATATCACATGACTCGGCCATGTTCCATGGAAGGAAGCAGAGGATGTGGATTCGTTTTCCAAGAATAACTCAGCTGACCATCATAGTAACTGGTTGATCTTTGCATATTCTTCCTGCGTGCTGCAACTATCTTCTTACAATTACCAATCCACTAAGCGGCCGCGAAGTGACACTTGTGAATCTCGAATCCGAGGCCCTGCATCGCGTGGCTTAACCTTCAGCCCAACCCGCCCCCGCCGCCAATTGAACTTACGCCGCTGCCTATTCAAAGTTTCCCCCAGTCCATTCGACGCACTCCACGATATCGGCGCCTCTCACATCCAGCTCGTCGCATACCTTTGACTAACGACACATTCGAACTTCCCGTGCTTCTTTGAGTGACCGGCCTAGCAATCCTAGGCTCTGATCTAATCGGTCAGGCGCCCGTGCCTCCGCCACCTCGGTGCATAAGGCACTGCTCAGCCCCGCCGTGGGTAAGCTGTCGCTGCGAAGAAAAAAAAGAGGAGGGCGATCACTTTCGCTTTCACAATTCACTGCCGCAGTCGCGATGGATGAGGTCAATCTGCGTCGCAAGGACACCACCAAGGGTCCACCGTTACGGATCTTGTCTCTAGGTAAGCACAGTCGCGTTCCATCACCCTCCCCGACGCATCCGAAGTGCAAATACTAACAATCAGACAGATGGAGGCGGTGTCCGCGGTTACTCCATGCTCATTATCCTCCAGGAACTCATGTATCGCACGTATGTCGAATGCGAAGGCAAGCCGCCTCGTCGCGACCAAATACCCAAGCCCTGCGACCACTTTGATCTGATTGCCGGGACCGGCACCGGCGGCTTGATCGCGATCATGCTGGGACGTCTTCGCCTCGATCTCGAGACCTGTAAAGAAGTCTACGTGCGCATGACAAGGAGGGTCTTTGAGACCGATAAGACTATCGCGGGTATTCCTTATCGTTCGACATTGTTCAAGGCCTCGAAGCTTGAGGAGGCGATCCGGGAATGCGTGCGCGAACACACCGTCTTCGAGGCCGAGGGCAATGATCAACCGAATGCCGGCAATAACCCTCGAGCATCGATCGCAAGTGTTGGCTATACTAGCCCAAACTCTGTACCGCAGAGGTCCGTCAGCCGAGGCAGTTTTAGCACGTCGGCGATGTCCCATCCCCAAAGTCCAGCAAGTCAAAGAGGGTCCACTTTTCTGAATGGGCTACGCTGGGGAAATCCGGAGGCTCTCCTCTACGACAATCGAGAGTTCCGGACCAAAACGTAAGTCCTTTTCAACTTGCCTCGTCACCTGAAAGTATTCAATGCTAACAAATGACTAGTGCCGTCACCGCGCTGTACAAGGGTACTCAGCGCAACGGGTCAGCCGTACTTCTGCGCTCCTACGACTCTCGCCGAGAACCCCCGCCCGAATTTGACTGCACGATCTGGCAGGCTGGCCGCGCCACATCAGCCACGGGACTTGCTTTCAAGCCGATCCAAATCGGCCAGCATGTGTTCATCGACGAAGGACCTGGAACCTACAATCCGGCACCCCAGATTCTCGAGGAGGCAGTTGCCAACGAGTGGCCTGGTCGAGAGGTCGGCGTGTTCGTCAGTGTTGGAACTGGCCGACGGCCTTCTGGCACTAATAACCGACAGCATGAATGGTGGGAGGATTTCTTTGGTTCCGCGACCGGCACGTTCGCCGAGGCGCGACGACGACTGATCTCGAAGATTGAAGGCTGCGAGACTATTCATCAGGAAATGCTGCGGGATACGCTTGCCAAGCGTGGCGTCCCCACTGACAACTACTACCGGTTCAACGTGGAGGTTGGCGTTGGCGAGTTTGGAATGAACGAGTGGAATCGCCTGGCCGACATCAGCACCAATACACGGCAATATCTGGCCAAGTCCGAGGTGAAAAAGATGATCCTCGATTCCAGCGTGAAGTTTGCCAAGATCGAGCGCATGAACAAGCGCCTTGCCCAGCATGCGGCCGCCGGTGGTGACCGCGATGACCTGTCATTTGACCTCGAGCGAGAGGAGATCTTAGTCCCCTCACGCAACCCTTCGACCTACTCGGTGCCCCCTCCGGCAAATCAGTTCGCAGTCGAGTTACCTGCCTCACCAGTGGAATACTTCCCACAACCTCCTTCGCAGGCCTCCCCTCCGGTCCCCTCCAGTGTGACCGTGACCGCACCCCCAGGAGACGACTCTCTACCCGCACATCCAACCCCCCATAACAATGGCCTGCCAGTCTCCCCGACGCGGCACTCCAGCAGCGATGTCGCCAGCTTCCGTCCCAGTCACGAGTATAGCCGACCTTCCTCGCAACAGCAGGGTTCTCCCGGGCGCAGCGCCGAGCACGTTGCATCCCATAACATGTCCCCCATCAACGGCATGCCTCCGCCCATCCCGCCCAAGACGCCCATCCCATACCCGTCCGTCGAGGACGGTGGTGTCTCTATGCCCGCACCACTCTTCTCACAACCGCACGTTTCTGTGCCAAGCGGCAAGGTGCGACCGCCATACCCCGTGGACGAGCCCCCGCCCGTGGTCAACCGACAGCGCAAGCCGAGCTACCACGTGCGGTGATCGGTGATTTAAACGCAGTTCTGGGATGGAATGGCGATTGCGATTACGGTTTTTTTTTTTTTTTTGAGTTTATATTTTATGTTGTTCTTGTTTTCTCTACTGGATACCCTTCAATCGGCACGGTGAATAGGGAGGTGGACCGAAATGGGCGGAGTTTGGGCGTCTACATATTTGATTTTTTTTTTCTGCTTGCCTTTTTTGATATCTACGTGTGAATTATGTTACTCTGAAGACTCTGGTTATGTCTGGACATACAGAGCGAGACAGAGTCGAATACACAGTACGCCTCGCTGCCAGGCAGCAGGGTTGATGAATGACGACGTTTATGTTGACCTGGAATCATTTGCGCATAGTCTCTATCGGGTGTGTAGTGATGGCTCCCTACGGCGTATATTTCAGTCTCTAGCGATCAGAGCAAGTGGCAAACAGAAAGACGTGGAGACTGTCAGCTCCTGCAAGTCTAAGTCAAACTAGCTAAAATTAGGAATCCAACAGTGTCCATCCAGCCAAATCTGACTGGCCTAGCGGGAGGTACATCCACGCCACATCCATGGACGAGATTAAGAGATCCAGAATGTAACTGTGGCTTTAATCTCCTTAAGACTGAATATTCCGGGAGGTGACCATAGATTAGAACCAATCATTTCCAGGATAGAAAATCTGTACCTGACAAGTACCGTCTCGATCGCAGTGTAGCCAGTGGGGCCCAGCCGTACCCACTCGGTACCTCGTCAACACTCTTCCCCACAGGCCCAGCCTCTTTGTTTCTTTCCCCTTTTCATCTTTCTCTCCGTCAGCTACTCCGTATGCTCTTTCTTTTTTCTTCTCATTCTCATTCTCTTTTTACTCTGTACATCTTGCAAATCTTCCAATTTATCTGAAATTCCCCCCGGTCGCCCACAGACACCGCAACTCTCTGCCACTGACGTCCGCGCTGATCGTTTCGCCTCCCCCCGCCTTGATTCCATTCAAACCTTCCAGAAACATTCCGCGATCAGCCCTGCAGTGATAAAGCCACAGTTGGATCATTATTTCATCATTGAGAGACTGCGACTGTGTTACCCCTACTATTCTACTCGGTCGCGCGTGGATCTTGTGCTTGTATCTGCATTATCTTTTCTCAGACTAAACGCTGCGCCGGTGACAAAGTGGCCTGAATCAAGTGTTTCAGCTTAGTCGCCGAGTCTGGTCTTCGGACGACTCCGTCCTCGCGACAGACCCTCCCTCCTCCTCTTCCCCTCAGCTCTCCCACTGCTGGTCAGTGTGGTTCATACGATAAGCTTTCTTCCAACTCCTCTCACCTCTCGACTGCGCCCATCATGGATCCACACGATAGCTTACACCATGCCTCCACCCTTTTGGCCCGCGCCGACTCCTCAGGCCGCCCAGCTGTCTACAAAGCCGTCGGTATTTCGCTCGCCGTCGCCTCGGGCGTCTTCATCGGTATCTCCTTCGTCATCAAGAAGATCGGCCTACTCAAGGCGAACGTCAAGTACAACGAAGAGGCCGGTGAAGGCTACGGATACCTAAAGAATGCGTGGTGGTGGCTAGGCATGACGCTCATGATCGTGGGCGAGATTTGCAACTTTGTCGCATATGCTTTCGTCGACGCTATCCTGGTCACCCCTCTCGGCGCACTCTCCGTCGTTATTACCACGATTCTCTCTGCGATTTTCCTGAAAGAACGACTCAGTTTCGTCGGTAAGGTTGGCTGTTTCTGTTGTATTATCGGGTCTATCGTGATCGCGATGAATGCCCCCGATCAGTCCTCCGTTAGCGATATCCAGGCTATGCAGAAGTTTGTGATCGCTCCCGGTTTTCTGACATATGCTGGTGTGATTTTGGTCGGAGCAGCGATTACGGCGCTTTGGGCGGGTCCCCGGTACGGCAAGAAGAGCATGTTCGTTTATATTAGCATTTGCAGTATGGTTGGTGGATTGAGCGTTGTTGCGACGCAGGGTCTTGGCTCAGCGATTCTTGCACAGATCGATGGCGAGGAGCAGTTCAAGCATTGGTTTCTTTATGTGCTGTTCGTCTTTGTGGTTTGCACCCTGCTGACGGAGATTATCTACCTCAACGTATGTCAAGTTTCGCTATCTGAGATATTTGGGAACATGCTAACATGTGATACAGAAAGCGCTGAACCTTTTCAATGCCGCCCTCGTCACCCCGACTTACTACGTCATGTTCACTAGCGCGACTATTGTCACTTCCGCCATCTTGTTCCAGGGATTCAAGGGAACTGGTATCCAGATCGCTACGGTGATCATGGGCTTTATGCAAATCTGTGCCGGTGTGGTTCTGCTCCAGCTATCCAAATCTGCCAAGGATGTTCCCGATGCTGCCGTGTTCAAGGGTGACTTGGATCAGATCCGTGAGGTGGCTACACAAGAGGAGCCTGAATATGAGCCCAAGGCCGACTCCATCCGCGGTGCTGCATCTATTCTTCGTCGTATCTCGACTACTCGGCGGGAACACGAACAAGATGAAGCCCGGCGCTTCGTCAACGAAAAGCAAGAAGATTTCCTGAAGCCACCAGCGGAGAACGAAATCATTGAATGGGATGGTATTCGTCGTCGCAAGACCGTCATTGGAGAGGGACCTACCATGTCTCGCCCGCACACGCCTCGCACACCCTCGGTTAAACAGCCACTGCCCCCACTGGGAATGTCTCGATTCCCCGACCCGGAAGATGAGAATGAGAATCGGCCTAGTACCAAGCAGAGTGGACACTCTTTCCTAGGCGACATCCGATCGCGCACCTCAAGCATTCTCCAGCACGGTCAATGGTTGCCTGTTCACAAGGAAGACGAGAAGAGCCTGAGTGCCAACATTGATACGGAAATGACGAATCGGAAGAGCGCCGTCGACACGGAATACTATGGTGCTGGAGGCCTCGAACCTCCCTTCCGCCCCGGAGGCCGCGAGCGCAGCGACACACCCCGTTCTATCTCTTGGGCTGACGAGAAGGCCGACGAAGACCGACCTCAGACTCATCACGCTCTTGAACCGCCATATGCTGCACGCCGTCAATTCTCCTTCAACAGCATGTTCAACCGTCGCAAGGCGCAGAGCACTCCGACATCCCCTAAACGCACCGCTAGCCCACCTCGCGGTATCCTACGCCGCAACCACGGCATAGACGGGGACAAGTCTGCCACTGAAGAAGAGCGTCTCGGTCTTGTCCGCGGTGACTCACGCACTGCTGACGAAACCCTGGGCGAGAAACTCGAACGCTGGTCCAGCGCCGAATCTGACGCTGCCGAAATTCAACCTATGCACCGATACCCGCTGCCTTCTGGTCGCGCCCACGGCGATTCAGTCTCTAGCATGTCGACGTCTGCATTCCCACCATATGAAGACCACCATGCTTTCTACGCGCAGTCCGGAAATGTGTCGAACCCGTACTACTTGCCGCACGCTAGGCAGGCGACTGCCTCGCCTGAGCACACGGACGAACATGAAGGTGGATGGAACGCACCACGCTCACGCACGAGAACGAATTCCTCGTCACACCCACGCGCCCCTCCTCCCGCGCAGTCCTCGTTCTCGACGCACCGCCATCCAAACCCGCTACCGCCACTGCCGGATAATACACCCCTCACACTAGACGGGGGTGTGCGATCTGCCTCATCCGAGTCCTCTGATATGGGCGTCGCGTCTATTTCCTCGACTGAGGCTCGTGATGATGATAATACGCCTGCGGCTGGAGTTACTCGACAGCACAGTGGTTGGCGCCGACACATGTCCGAGACTAGCAGTGTGGAAGGCGAGAGCTATGAAACGAGGAGTCCCCCTCGTGGAGGTTCGAAGGGAGCGTTTCTTTAAGGCTTGAGGCTGGTGAGATCTGGTCCATGATGATTTCCATCTTCTTGCACATACGTTGCCATTTACCATTCACATGAGATCTGTTCTTGATCTTGGATGGAATGATGTTGGTGGTGGACATTTGATGACATTTCATACCATTTTATTTATTTTTTTGATTGCATTTACAGCGGTGTTGGTTTTGATTTCTGATTGTGATTTCTTTGGGGATTTGGAGTGGATTTGTGGTGGACGACATGTTTTTTTCGTGTCGATATTGATATTCGGTGTACATCTTTGCGATAATGTCGTATACAGCTTGGACCTGGGCTCGGGCTGTTGTACATATATGGACGTGTGATCGCGTCGATGATAAATGATCTAATGCATTATGATTGAGGGATGAAAGAGTTATTTCAAAGCAAAATATAAAATTGATGAGTAGTTCCGATTTTATTCGAGGGGTATCATAAGATAATAATTCGATCCTTGTATAGAGATAGAGTAACGCCTATGCACTAATGCAAACGTTAAGAACAGGTCATCTAGTAAAGAAGATGCAATGCAATGCCAACGCCATGCTAATGCGAGATAATAGTGATCCTCCAGCATGGAGGTGAGCATGTAAAATGCTCATCACCCAATCCAACCCAAGCTGAAAGAGCATCCAAGTAAACCTGGATATAAAATCCAATCTCACCTCCCACCAAACATACTAGCAACACTCCTCTGCCCCTTCGGCGCAACACTCAAAACAGCAAACCTAGACTCAGCAAGCCTTTTACCTGCCTTGATACTCTCGAGAATCCTGTAAACACTGAATTAGCCACATCCCATTCCAACACGCATAACCTCAAACCAAGCCCATGTATAGCCCTCAGCGAATAGTCCAATCGCAACCTCAAAAACATCATAATCGCGAAGAGTATGCGAATAACTCACCAATCAACACCAACAACCTTAACACCCTTCCACCCACCCCTCTCAATCTCCCCCTGCAATTTCCCCGCCGCAAGACCACCGCCGGCACCCTGGCCCTTTGTACAGGGTTGCCCGATGATAACATGTGTGACTGTCCGGCGGGCCATCCCGATGGCGATTGTAGCGCCGTGAGATGCGAGGAGGGATTTTAGTTTGTGGTCTGATATTTGGGGGAGGGTTGAGCCGTTTATGTAGATTGTTGTGCCGGTGAAGAGGGTCGAAGATGATGGTTTGGTGGTGGAGGGTGTTGCGGTACTTCTTTGTCGTGAGTTATCGGTGTCAGACTCGGATTTCGGGGTTGAGAGTGTTTGGGTCGTGCTCGTTGGGGTGGATGCACTTGTAGACGTGGTTGAAGTCCTTGGTACCGTCACAGTCGCAGGTGTGGGTGTAGACGCAGGAGTCAGGATCATCGTACTTGGAATCGACTTCCTTTCCAATACAGTCCTCGCCTTCTTACCAGCCTGCGACTGCATCAGGTCCTCATCCCCAGCTTTCCTCTTCCCAACACCCATAAAACACCGAATATCCCTTACACCCAGCTGAGCCCTCTTCGCCTCCTCCTCCGAAACCCATCGCCACTCTCCAGCCCTCGTTCTCCCCCCATAGCTCTCCGCAACCGGCGACACGGATCCACACGTCCCATCGAACGCTTTCGCCGAAAAGTCCGAGTCATCTAGCGCGCCGGCGGTATCACGGGAACAATCCTCGCCGCGGAACTGCTGCTTTAGTTTTGCGGAGCGGGTATCGCGCCAGCTTGTTGTGCCGGAATAGGGGTTGTCGGCGCACTGGTGGCCTGTTGAGGAGGAGTTCCAGGGGTCGAAAATGCGGTGGCTTTTGGGGTCAGGTTTTTGGTGGGTGGGGGGTATCTCTGGTGGGGAGGCGGGCATTTTGGGGGGGGTTGACAGAGGAGGGCGGTTCGGCGCTGTTGCTGGCGCCGGGTTGAAAGGTTGAACGTAAGATGTCCGTTGAGTTGTCGAGGTTGTGTAGTGTGCGTTGCGAGGGAAGGGCTTTTCCAAGTTTGCGGCAACGTGACGTTGGACCGCGGGTCGAGTTGCGGAACCAGAAAATGGAGTGTTTTTGTTTTGCTGTTTTGGGAGAGGGTCGGGACTTGTCACGTGGGGGATATGGAGGGGGTGGAAGTATACTTTGATTTAGCAATTTGATGTTCCTTTTCGAACAGATGGGACAAATTATGATATTTTAATATTATTACTGTGATCTAAGAGATTCTCCGAGGTTCAATTCAGCTGGCGAGTAATGAGGTGGTGGCTGATTTTAAAGTTGTTATCTTCATGCATAGATCTACTACTAATCTAACCGTTGAGATCCACCTCCACATCGGATCGTTATCAAGCCACATGCTTGACTATTACATGACAAGTCCCAGACATGTACGACCAGTATTGTAATACTCTAAATGAACGTGCTAGCTGCCGAATTTATTGTGCTCTAGGACCCCCGGATTACTCAATCCTGATATCATTACCCCACATGAAAAAGAAGGGTATCTGCAGGAGGGGGTTCGTTACCCAAAAGGGAAACTCGAACGCGCCGGATCGAAACAAAGTGCACCAACTCAGGAAAATTGCTGGTTTATAATAAGGTATTCTCACCCCTGGGATTGTTGTTTCGTTGTTTTTGAACCCTTGCATCTGAAAAACGGGGTTCTCTATCCAAAAAAAGAATTGAAATGCGCAGGTTTTCTTCTACTTGATCGACATGCAGCAAACCGGCTTCCTACCGGGTACTTGCCGGTCTTATTAAAGATTAAAGAAGTGCACATCTCCTGCTAAAAATACTATCCTACTTTACTTAAAGCTTTGTCTTCCAAGAAAGATCGATTCTGAAGTTTACTTTGATCTTGGGTTTTATTCACACAAATGAGATCCGGGTCATTATCATTATCATCATTTCGGCTGCAGTCAATCAGGTGTTGAACCTCGACTGTCTTTGCCAAACGGGAACGTGTTGAATCGAAGCCTTTCGCGTGGAGTCGCAGTCACAGTTGCAATTGCTTAGTTTGTGTGTCGCTTTGGGGCTGCATGGGTGTTGCTGCAATCGGCTTTTTTGAAACGCGTTTGCAATCGCCGTCACTATGGCTGTCCTTCCTTCACGCTTTGTTGACCTTCTCTAGGATAAGTAATACTGCCTTGTCGCCATGGCCCTTTACATAATCTATCAAATCCTCAGACACAACTCGCACCAGACCCTCTGCCTTTAGCTTCTCGACCTCGGCCTTGAATCCATGCGGCTCCCAGATCTCGTCAAGAATCGTCGCGACAACGATGCCGTTTGTTCGGGTTACTCTGATGAGCTCTCGCAGGGCAGGGTCTGGGCCAACGTGGCCCAGAGTGAAGGTGCCAACACATACAACGGTGTCGTATGTCTCGTCCACGTTGTCGAGCGGCCGGGTCATGTCTGCTTGGGCAAGGTTTCGGTACACACCAGTGTCCCGGGCGACGTCGAGCATTGGGGCTGACAAGTCAATACCGTCGATTGCCTTTGCACCGCCCATGGCAAGGGCTTGGCCAACAAGGCCGGTTCCGCAGCCGGCATCTAGGATTACACTGTCGGCGGGGCTCTTGTTTGACTTGAACTTGATGGCAGCCTGGGCAACGAGGACGGGGGCGACGTAGCTCTGGGCTTCGTCGCCGACTTCATCGTTGTACGTTGCAGCCCACTTGTCATAGACTGTCATGCAGTCCTCGACACTCTTGGTGTCACGGGCCTGGCGGAGGTATAATTGGGTTGCGGAGGCAGTCATGGTGAAAAGGAGAAGGCAGTTGTTTCTTGTTCGTGGACAAAGAGGTATAAGAAGTATATGATACACAGCTTCTCGAACAGTGAAATAACTATGTTCTTCGCAGGGGATTGATTGTTCTTCAAAACTTGCTTCCATCCCTACGTGCAAACGCTACGTTCTTATAACAGTTGAAACTATGCCGAGCATTCAACCCGTCCCATCCAATTCCCCAATTGATTCATATTCTACGACGTCGTTGCCTTGGTTCTCCTGCTACGTAGCCCCGAGCCGTCCAAGCACCCTCTTCCCCCCTCCCTGCCAGATGTGGGGCGACTCGCAAGGCACGGCCGACATGGCGCCAGGGCCCCAAGTCACGGCTGCATGCAATAGCTCTGTTTCTTACATTGGCTCCCCCGTATGGCGTGATGCGGGGTCGAAGGCGTATTCTGGCGCATACGCCTCAAAAGGGTGATATTTTTGACGATCAATGATGTCGGTGGACCCCTCTGGTCGGTGGATGATTGTTCCCGAGACCATCCGACTCCGCGGGGGCGGGGAACGGGTATACATTCCTGAGGATACTAAACTTGGCAAACTATAGATCTCTGGTCCAAAAATAGGGATTCCTACTTTTGTTTTGACCGTCTTTCGATATTATTCTGCTTTCACTGTTCAATAGCCCTTCGATGCGAATCGATAGACTCTAATTATGACGGGTTTTCTGCTTACTTTGGTGTCGAGCTCGCCGAGTAAAGAAGAAAGTCCAGACCCTGGCTGTGCTTGGCTTTGTTGGCCACTAGAGTTCATAGCTTCATCACGTGTTTCCAGGGCCAAGTTTTACTCAATCATATGTGTAACTGTAGCCTGGTCTGTCCTTTGCCTGACTAGCATGATTGGATCAATCTGGGCTGTTCCCACTGTGTACGAATGTACAGTCGTCAAAGCAATATGGATCATTGGTGATTGACATGAATCCCGCATGTCCAGTACAGTGTGGGTTTATGTGATCTGACATATTAATTGGCCCAACATTTCCCTCCGTGTCTGTACAAGGTCAGTCTCATACTGTATGGTACTGATACATAATCTCATTTTGTAAAGACATGATCAGATTAAGACTCGCTCAACCTTCCCCATAAACTAGTTTGCTGGCTCTAGATGTAGCATAATCGATTTTCCATCTATTCTATTGCGATAATTTCGGCCGACTTTTGATCGAGCATAGTTCATTGCCGGTCTACTTTCTAAACCATAAGGAATCAAGTCCATTGACTAAATTTGAGCCTTCTCAGACGTACTCGTAAACCTTGGGGAAGTTCGGTTACAGCTGGGACTATGGCGAAAAGTATACTTGATGCAGCGCAAAAGAGTGGACAACGACGGCGGGACAGAGAGCTCCGTGCAATCTCCTGACAAACCTAGATCAAGCGGGGTAGGATCAGATAGTGAAGCATTGACGTCAACTAATAACAGCATGCTCCGACACATGTCAGATATGCGAGGGGAGGATTGGCGGGGAGGAAAGTGTGAGATTCTTTGAAGAGTCGCTAGACTTTGAACGTCATTTTGGACCAATAGTTGCTTTCAAGAACTGTAGAATCACCAGCAGTAGTGATTTACAGTCCCTTCCTTTGATACTTCTGAACTAGACTGATATGATAGAATACTGTGGGCTGATATTGCTGGGGAATGTGGAGATCCCCAATAGTGGAGCCTCAACGGGAGATCTAGACGGGAGGCGCAAGAAGCGCAGACAAACATTGTGTAACCACCCACCATACATTTGACGTATGCTAAAAAGTTATTCGTAAAAAGAATGAGCTGACTGTGTGTGTGTGTGTGTGTGTGTGTGTGTGGATATTCAACTCCAATTACATTCTTCTCTTTTCTCCCAAGCGCCCTAAGCTGAGAAGATATTCGACTGTACTTTTTGACTCTTTGACCTGAGCCTGGGCTTAAGCCAGCCCCGCTCGAGACAAAACCTAAGCCCCACTAGAAGCAGAGTAAATCCTGTATTCTTGTTTGATGTGCGTTTATAGTCTGAGGGCCTCAAAACATGGCGGCCCACCGGCAGATATAGTGATTCCTCATTGCTGCGGCAAAAAGTTGCTCGATCAAAGTATGGCTGTTTCTCGCCTAGGGGGCTTAGTGTGCTACAAAGTAGTAGTACTTATGGCATTAAAATCCATTCTTACTGATGCCTAGGAGGGTTTTCTTTCACCACAAGTTCAATCCCGTGGGGAGACTATTCTAGGCGTGGAAATCATTTCCCATAAAATAATTCATATAAGCATGTGGTTACTCAGATCATTTTAGGCAATGGCTAGATCGTTAAATCAATATTGATGACAATGGCACTATAGCCTGAAGCAATTGGTGCAGCTCCCCTAGTACGTGAATTTAACAGATCGTGCTTCAATCTTAAACTCCTCCAGGGATAGACCAATAACCCGCTCCTCAATACAACTCAGAAGCTCCAAACTGGCTCTAGAGGGTCCGAAAGTTCATCGGGCATATCATCCAACTGGTCAATTAGGCTTGCTTTGGCACGTAACTTCTTCGCTATTTCGGCAAAGCTTACACCGTCAAAGTCTGGGTCATCCCACATTCGACCCCGCGAGAGTCCCATGCTTTGTAAAAACATCATCAGGAATCCAAAGTTAAGAATATCGAAACATAGGTTAGACGAATCCTCATGCTGCGTGCCCTCTGTAACGCGAAGTTCAAATCCGGTCGCAGTCGAGTCGATATAGGGGTCAAGTTGACTGAGCAAAAGGAATTAAATGTCCATTAGAGTATATCTTCGACAGTCATCAATAGCTCCTTAAAGCGTTGTTTAGTTAAATTACCTAAAACAAAAATCCAGCATACTCACGAAGAACATGTATGGGTATAGGAAATTGCAAGCTATTGTCTTCTGCTAGTGACATTGTAAGGTTTTTAACCAAATACTCTGTCACTATGAAAAAGTGATCTGCGTAGTGGAACAACCAAGTAACCCATAGCCATTTTATCGCATCAGGAACAGACGTGCTTTCCACATAGTCCTTGAGGTTGGAGATCCACTTATGCAGGCAATCTTCAATTCCAACGTGAATTTGATATTTCTCGACTATGGTTGCAATTCGAGCAAGGACATCAAGATTGATATAATCCATGTATCTCTGCTCTATCGGAAGAACTGCTTGATCCCTCTCAGGGTTAATTGTAAGCTCATCTTGTTCTATATTACCAAGCTGGTCGTGGGCTACTCTGAGAACAAGAGCGGGAATTGTTGGATTGTCGTCAATCATTGGACACTCGAGAGTTCAAGGATTCAATCGCCCCAGGGGAGCCAATATATCTTGGAAGCTCGGCCCTGAAAAATGTGGAACAGCTCCGCAAAGGGCCTGGATCAGGAAGCGACTGGACAGTGTCCCCATCATCCATTTCGCTATTTGAGTTACTGTCTGGGATGCTGCCAGGATCGCCGTCGGGGTCGCTCTGTAGCTAGCGCCCGACCAGTAATTGGTCCATGATCGATGTGTCGATTGACTCGGCATCTCTAACATTTGTCTCCGACACTACAATATCATCCTCAGGCCCGGGTTCCCTGTCGTCGTCTGTTCCTTGGAACAACAACAAAAGAGTGTCACCGAAGAGATCGATATCGTAGGTCCTTGATCCAGGATACCAAGACATCCTGCCTTTGAAGGTCGGGTGATTAGTTTGCCTTCTACAAAATTTCTAGAGAAGAGAGATTGTGAAGAGCAAAGGGGGATCTTCTCCTACTATTCATTATCTCAAGAGGGAAGGGAGGGGAGGAGCCCGCATTGACACGTCACCTTGCATAGGGAGGGCTATCATTGTAAAGCTGAGGACATATTCCAACGAGATTGCAATAAATAGAATCCGGTATTGTTTTTTGTCGTAAAGCGGAGAAGTTACACAAATATTAGATATTTCAAGGGGTTGACAGAAATTGGTTAACAACTCAAAATCCGCTGATCGCTCAACAGAAACGTATCGACGCCAATTACCAATACCCTAATTGTTTGGCCCGTTCAAAATCCACGACAAATTGAACCTTCGCCAAAGTATACATCTATATGAGTCCTTCCCAGTTCCGTCGTTGAAGAAATCACTTTCAACCAAAGCTCCAATCTTGTAGTCTGCCGTCTTCGTCATGCTAGAGTATCCGCCCTCATACCCAGCAGAGCTGACAGGGGCGTCTGAAAGTTTGCGCCCATAATCGTACTTGGCAGCATCATCGTCATAGCTAATGCGGACTCTCATCGCACGTCTACTCGTAGTGGAAGCCGAGTTGAGGAAAATCGTTCTCGCCGGCGCGTCCGAATTATACTTCAACACGGAGCCCTCGCATGCCGGGTCGGGTAAACCTTCATCTGAAGTGAATGAACTGAACCCTGCATCGAGGCTGCCTCTTGCGACGATACGATGACCTGCAGAGCTTGGTCGGTCGTTGCGGTATAGCTTTCCATCCGGCGTCTGACCAATAGTGCCTTCGGCTCCAGCACCGGTGAGAAGCTGTACTGACCAAGTCCGTTTGCCCGTCGTGCCACGACCGACAATGTTGCGGCCCATAGCTGGAATAACGAGCTCCCCAGAATCGAGTTTGATTCCATTGCCCGGCCCAACTGCATCCCAAGACCAGTTTTCGGGAGTCAATGTAGTAGTCAAATCCTCGGGTTTCGACCATGTGTCGCCGTCGTCGACGCTGGTTGTAAGGAATAGATGTCGACGACCATACCATGTCTTATCAATCTTCTTGGTGATGGTTTGATCTGGTAGCTCGTCGCCTCCTTTCTGGCTGTAGCTGCCATTATTCCAGGACAAAAACAAGTAGATCGTGGAACCGTCTACTACCGGTGTGGGATTACCCCAGGTGCCGTCGCCACTACCAACTACCTCGCGCAGGCTTTCCCAGTCAGCGTAACTGGCACCGTTATTCGTGGTAGTCTTGGTGCGCTTGTATACGAGATTGATGTCACCGAAATCTCTATTGTCATGTCGACGTCCTTCTGCAAAGGCGAGGATTCTGCCGGTAGCAGTGCGAACGACCGCCGGTATACGGAAGGAATGGAAGCCAACACCGCTTGCTAGTTTGTCGGGTGAGCCCATATTGGCGCTGTGGAAAAGCGTGAACTCGTCATGGTAGGGCGTTGCATCTTTGGCTGGGTCATCCACCACCGCGACTGTTGCGGGCACCAAGGCGACGCCCAGTAGGAAGAGTGTTTGAAGAACACGCATGTTGTCAACTATTCACGCGACGCGTATGTGAATTGCTGATAAGGAATGCCATATTGTTCTTTGGCATCTCGGGTGGGTATTTAAGCTGATACTATCAATTTCGTGTAATCCATACATGATGATTATTTTACCCACGTGCGACGACAACAAGGGGTGGATTTTGTATCCTACTCTGAGCGGGATCGTGAACTAAATATGGCGTGAGTACGGGTCTTGGCCAAGTTAGTGCTCGTATTGCGGCTATATTGGGATGCGAACTCGTATTCGGAACGGAAAAGATCATCCAGTTTGATGAACAATATGGCACTTAATTTGTCTCTCTATATATGACATCTTATTTAAGCGACGCTCTGTAATAGTATAATAGTACATAACTTAATATTGAGCATGCTCTCTATAAGCGACTCGAAATGCAGACTGAGGAGCGAGAGTCAATAAGCCAAGTCAAAGCCTCAAGTCATCTTATTTTAGCCCCAAGTCCTTAGCGCCGAACATGTCAAATCAAAAATGACTATTTCTTAGCGTGAAGGATGGTTAATTTGTGAAGAAAGGATATTCAAGAAGTAATCTCCCCAAATGGTAATAATCCTAAGTCATTTTTGAATAGTATTGGGTGACATTTTCAAGATGGCTTCCTTTGCTCCGGACAGGATCTGGGACCAAAGTCCGAGCCGAATTCGGGTTCAATTTGCGAGCTATAGTGCTAGCTAACGCTCGGTAATAGACCTCCTGATATGCAGATAATGCTGGAAGAAACGACCAGGGGGTATATGACACCTGCTAAGTACCTTTGAACCAGGGAGAGGAAAGGTATTTAGCCTGGACAGAACAGTCTTGGACGAGTTTATGCTAGATTCGTTAGAAATACCTCTCGCGTGGGACTAAGTGCTATTTAAGAAACTAGATAATAGTCAGAATCAAACATTTGGTTTGACCGGACACGTCGGGCTATTCCTCAACGCGACCTCATTGTACATTGCCCTTTACCAGGCTTCGAAAACTACCAGACGACAAGTTCAATAGATTCAAGATTAAAATCGCTCCCGAGAACCGCAGTTTCTAAGCATATCCTATCAAACCTTCAAGTGAATTACCAAATTCCAGTGCCGATGCCATCAAGTCAAAAAATTCACAAAGACACATAAAACACAGCGAGAAGACACCCAGCTCTATTCAAACTCTATCCAGCCATCCTATATCACACCCCTAAACTCAACATTCACACCCACCAACATCTCCCATCAAACACTGCAAGACAAGATAAGACCCCCATACGGACCCGCCCCATCAACACACCCAGTACTAACCGCAATGCTCTTCTCGACACTGCAGCCCGCATCTTCATAAAGGTACACTATATCAAGTCAGTTATCGAGTCACAAACATAACCGGCTCCTAGCCAGACAGCCAGACACGCCAGCAAATGAGATATGAAACTTACATTCACACTCATCAAAGATAGAACTAATGTTCACAGCATCGGGAGCCCCATACTGCGCAATATCCAGGCAAGTATTCCGCTCGTACCCGTACACGCCCATTTCACCCATGTTATCCGCCGAGCAGCCGGGGGCACCGAAGAGGCGCAGCTGGGCCCATTTGTTCTGGACGGGAGGGGTGTCGGTAGCTGCGGTCAGGGTTGCAGTGCCGAGGGCGAGGGCGGTGGTGAGGAGGAGGCTGAGGCCGTACATTTTGATTGTTGGGGTGAGGAAGGAGTAAATTGGTAGATTTGAGAGTGGACTTGGGATTTGGATGTAGATTGAGGTTTGTTGTGATGGATGGTAGGTAGATTCTGGGCAGAAACGGGGCTTTAAGTATTCTCTTCTGAACGGGTTTTGGGATCAGGCTTCCAAGGAAGACTCGGATCGTAAGGCAATCAGTGAGACAAACTTGAAAAGAGACTTGATCTAGACATGCTAGAATCTGACAAGAGAACGTATACTGCTTAGAAAGGGGGCCTGATAGTTCTGATCTTTTTCAATGTAAATCTTGTATAATTTTATCCAGATAACAAGGTTTCCGTTCCAACTAATCTCCTTATAATCCATGATAACTATGTTTTCGTTTTTTTTTGCTGGAGTATAAAGTTTATACTTCATCCTAAACCGGGCCCTAAATTCAATTCCTCTCTTCTCCAGCAAGAATTCTGAAGCTATCCGGACACTCCGCTCGGTTCAGGCCTCCTGTAAAAACCATCCCAATATTGTCTCGCCAATATCACATCCCCAGCCCAGCTGCCGTTCGCAAGGCCACCCATCCAGGCGTTCCTTAGCATATGAACAAGCATTTATAGCTCCCGTGTCTCACAGCCTTACCCCTTTGCGGCCACTACTTTCTGGTAATGGACAAGGCTTAGCTCTACCAAGCCCGTCTTAAGAGACAGTACTCATGGGACACTAAAAGTGGATGCTAAATTAAACATTCTATTACAAGAATATAACCGTGTGCAGGGCACAATTAGGCAGGCTATATTGACTTCTCAGGTCAGAAGGGTATTCAGGCGGCCCGTTGGGACTGGCGGATGGTGTGGAGTTATTGTCGCTAAGGAGAAGTAAAAGGCATTTACTAAAATTCGTGTACGTAATTTGTGAAATTATTCGAGGGGGGGGGGGGGGGGAGGAAGGGATTGATGTATTTTAGAAATCTTTGGAGTCCAATGTGAGAAGGGACTAAGAAGGAAGGATAATGGGATAGATATTCGAGAGCTATGGAGCCGATCAATGGCGAATAGGAGAAGATCAAGGCTACTGAATCTACAGTAGGAGCTATGCCTATAGGTCTACACTATTCTACCAAGTTACAACGAAACAATTACAAAGAGAGAAACGAGATGCGATAGATCATAAGCAAATCGACCTGCAGATCATTATGAAACCCATTCCCCGCCATTCCATCCAGACCTCAAAGACTAGAGACCAATCTCGCCATCTACAGACGAAACGTCAAACTCCAATTAAACAACCAAGACCGCATAGTGCAATCAGATTCATATTCATAATCATTCATTACCGTCATGTCATCTCTCTAAAAGCAGAAAGAAGCCAGAAATAAAGAAAAAGACAAAAAAAGAGAGACAAGACGAAAGAAAGAAAAGAAGCCCGCAGCCGCGCTCAAAAACCACATGCAGACCCCGTCTGAACCGATTCCGTTGCTAAAGATATAACTCTGCATATTCCGAATCTCAAAAATGCAGATACATAACCAGAGAGGTAAGTACCTCAACAAAAAAAAATGATAACTAAGCAACAGGAAATTGATACAGACACGAGTCGGACTAAGTAGAAGAATCACCCGGAATATAAAAAGGCCAGATAAAAAATGAAGGTTCATGAGATAAAAGATGAAATGATAAGAGAGGATAAAACAAAGAAAACCCTTTTGCCCACAAAAAAAAGAAAAAGAAAAAGATAATCGCAAAAATTTCCAATGGCCAACAATTCGCTCTCGAGGTCTCCAAGAACCCAGACCAGTACTCGAGACATGATTTGGAAGAATTCAAAATGGGAAACCCCGGTAGGTCCCAGTCATGAAGGAGCAAGGAAGTGCGGACATAGTAAATTCGTTATATGAGATTCGTGTCATCATAGTCATAAGGTGGGGAAGGGGGGAAGGTATGCTAAGACGAAGAGGAAGTTTAGGGAGAGAATATGCCCCAATCCTTTAACCCTGTCAACTCGACTTCGATCATATCAATCAAACCCCGCTTTCCCGTGTCATCAATTTGCGTTGCGGAAGACATAGTAATGGATAAAGGATGTTGCATGATGGATGGGGTATCCAAAAGTCCAGTTGAGTTCAACCTGGTCAGAGACCTTGAACAAAATCATAGAGCACTCGGTTCGATTGGAACCGGGGAGTACAGACCCATGGAGCGCCCGAAGAGAACAATCCGATAGAAGATGTATACCCCGATTCAATCGCAAGAGAAAAGACCGAGTGCAATCTCTGTCCCATTAAGACAGGCGGAAAATAAGATGTAAAGTTCAACGCAATGCTCAAACCGAATCAAAAAAAAGCAGGTCATATCGAGCGTTCCCAAAAGTCCACGGCACGGAGGATCAAGCGGTACCGCGTCTATCATCAAAAAGAAAAGCAAATCATAACTCCATCCAGAGGTGAGAGAGGTTGTGTTAGTAAAAGTGCGGTTTAGGGTCGTGAAAGTCTTCTCCCTTATGACGCAAAAGGATGAAAAGTGGGTTGCGACCATGTTCATCGGCGACGAGCCATCACCCCACCGGTTTTCATGGGTTGCAGAAGAGGAGCACCGCCCACGGGACCTCCAAGCGTAGCCTCGGTAATAGTCTTACGGCGCTTAGTTTCATACTCGCTGCCACTGTCGGTCCGTACAACATCATCATCCTCGCGCATGCGCTTGTTTCCCGAGCCCATGTTGCCGTTCATGGTGGTTGCGTAGACGGGAGTCGAGGTTGACGCCATGGAGTAGGGATCGGAGGCAACGTTCGCAGGTGTGCCGCGAGTGTCACTCACGGCGTTGTACAGCGTAGTGGCAGCTTGAGGACGAGGAGGTGTGTTATATCCCGAGGCCCAGTGAGGGCTTGGCCCGCTAACGCTTGTGCGCGGGGTCATGCGGCCCGAACCATTCTGCTGGGGAGACCCGGTCATCTCAGGCGTCAACTGAGAGTGCTCGCCGTTGATTGAGCCCACGGACGGGTTGGTGGTGTAGGTGTAGGAACCACGGTTGTTATAGGCGGACCCCTGGTCCTGCAGGTACTCCGGCTCAGCCTCCTGAACCGCATCACCGGGACCATTGGCCTGAGGGTAGCGATCAGACCCATTGCTCTGGGAATACCGGTCAGACTTCAGATCAGAAGTTTCGGTCTCGGGAGCCCGACCTGTCGGAGGAGCCATCTCGTTCTTCAAGTAGTTCATCGTGGGCAGAGATTGACCGTAGTTGGAGATTCCGGACTGTGTCATGGGGGTCTGCGGGGCGTACTGAGAATGAGACTGAGGGGCCGCGGAGTAATAAGGCTTGCTTTCATATCCGGGTTGCCCCTGGTACGGCGGCATACTGTGCAGATTGTTGCCAGGAGGCGTCGTGGCAGGCGTAGTGGGCATCGAACGCTGGTTGCTCAGTGCGGTATCGATTGACAATGGTTGTGTGTGCGGCACCGGGCCACCCCACTCATACGAACTACCCTGGTTGGTCACGCCCATGAGGCTGGATGCACTGGCAGGGGGAGTGGGAAACGTGTTGGCACGATCGAGACCGGGACGAGGGCCGCCTCCCATCGAAGGAGGCTGGGACATGTGCGAGGACATGGGGGTCTGCATAGCTTGGTGGTGCAGACTCGAGTGCTGGGGCGCCGTCGGGGTGGTGCGTTGAGGCCCAGAAGGAAGACCCTCCAGGCGGCGATGGTGTGATTCTTGCACGACCGAGTTGGTCCGGTTCTGGTTGGCAGGGTGGTACAGTAGACCGCCAATATTGTGCACGAAGAGCGGATACAAAAGATCGGTGATCTTCTCCTTGTTAGCAAACTCCAGAGCGCGTTCGAATGGGATCCTAGGGATCAGATTAGTTCTCGTGAAATTTCCAAGATTGTCCGAACTCCACGATCATCCGAACAAGACTTACCAAACACCCTTCAAATGCATCGGTCCGATCTTCACCACATGGCGAAGCTTCTCGCTCTTCAGAATACCGTCACGACGACCACGAGTCATTCCAGCCACATTAAGCAGCTTAGTACCGTTGATCATGTGGTTATCTGCAAAATCACGTCAGACAACCCGCTTTTCTGACCACAGATTTGTAGATCAAAGATAACTGTAAATGAATGAACATACCCTCTCGCCGAGCCACACACACACCCTTGGCCTCAACTTGGTAGCAAAGACTGCCCTCATCCTCCCATAACGTTGCGGTAACCCGTGGCTTAGCTCCCGGGGGCGCGATCTGACCCGTGGGATCATACACAAACCCTTGCAATGGCGATCCAGTGCTGTTTCCGTATCCAGACGGAGCAGCAACTGGGTGGTTGCTCACTGGGCTTACTAATAATTGGGTTAGTCCGGTTATTATATCAAAAGCCATTGCCATTCAAGGGCGGTATAATCTCACCTTGAGGAAGCGGCAACAACTGCGCAGGCATTTGTCCACCCATGGAGCTCGCTGGCGGCGCATGGCCAGTCGGCGGGGACGTCACGCCATTGGGGTAGCCGTATTGCTGATAAGATGCCGGGCCATAGCTGGAAGCTGGTTGCAAGACGGGCGGCTGATGCTGGTATGGATAGTGGGACATAGTTCCGGCGGTGGCAGCCTGCGAAGCGTATGGTTGGGCAGAGGACAGATGGGAATGAACGTCCATGTACGGCTGAGTGTGGTTCATGCTGCCGAGCGAGGTCGGGCTAGGATAAAAGCCGTCGGTCGGTGCAATGGCGTACTCAGAATCCAGCGAGAGCCGACCCTGACCCAAATCTGCAGGGGGTGGGGGACTCCGGGGTTCCTGGACCGCAGAAGCACCGGACAGACTTGTTCGAGCGCTGGAACTAGTGGTTGAGCCAGGCACGTCGGGGTAAAATGAGGATGGTTGGGTGCGGGTCGGGGCCTGGGGGGCGGTCGGGAGGCTGAGCGCGGGGAGCTTATCGCCCGACAACAGCGGTCGTTCGGCCGCGTGGTGGTTGTACCAGGGGGTATCAGCAGGGCCGCGGGTGTGGACCTGGGAAATCGATGGCAGCTCCAGCTTTTCGGTTTCACGGAAGAACTATAGAGAGATGTAGGAAGCACTTGGGCTTAAGGTGGGCAGGAGGGCGGCGAGGTAAAGCTGTCGGGCGGGTTTGACTCTGTGGGAGTGGAGGGGGAATGTTCTGCGAGCCCGTTTCAAGAGACCTGGTGGATCAAAGAGCAAGCCGGGCGCAAAGGTTGCACTGCGTCCGACAGGTTGGAATTGGTTTGATAGAAAGGAATTCTGAAGATAGATTCCAATTTACCACCAAAGGTTGGGGGGGGGAGGAAATGCAGTAGCAATCGGGTTGTTGGGTAGTCGCAGATGCGGGCAAGGTAGCAAAAGAGTCGGGACTCGGATGGGGACCAGTATAGGATCGCTTTTTTTTTTGCAGACGAGAGAAGAGATCAGAAAGTAGAGGAAGAAGAATGGAATCCCAGTAATCAACAATCAAAGAGCAGACGGGGCATCAATCTCATGAACGGTCCTGACAAACATGAAAAGGCGGATGTGAGTTCATGCAAGTTGCGAACAGCCGAAGTCAAATAAGGCCGCAGTGCGGGAGGGAAGGGGAGGAAGAGGGTTCTACAGAAGGAGGCTGGCGTGCAGCAAACGCATCCCCTCTGCAGGTTGGGATGTTTGAGATGACCCAAGGGGGGGGGGAGGGAGGTGGGAAAGAGAAGAAGTGAGAGAAGAAGAGAGAGAGAGAGATCAGTTGGCAGAGGCACACATCAGAGCCGCAGGACGGGAAAGGCGATCAGTGGAGGTAAAGCAGGTGACTGGGATGACTAAGGGGAGGAATGTGGGGGCAGGAAGTAGGTAGCTGGAACCGCTTAAGAAAAAAAAATTAAACTGTCAGAGAGAGGTTCCTTAGGTGGCTGGGAGGGCTGCTAAATGCTGGGAAGAGAATCAGCTCTGGAGAGTCCGGAGGAGAGTCTCCAGGAGGTTTCCACCGAAATAGCAAATTCGGTGGAGCCGAGAAGTCAACTAAAAGTCCTACGATCGAGTCAACCGCCACCAAGCAAGGACGGGCAAGGGTCGAGAAGAAGAGGAGACTAGCGGAAAGGGAAATAGAAATAAAAATAAAAAATACAGTCGAAGGTATATTATTATGAAGAATTAGAGCTAAAATAGGTAGGAAATCCATAACTGGGCAACGATTATCTTACAGTAGGATTAGTGGATAGAAGGGCAAAAAGGGAAACCATTTCATCATGGGTAAAGAAAAAAAAAGAAATGAAAAGCAAAAAAAGAAAAAAAAAAGAAATCAGGTGAAAAATAATAAGAAAGGATAAAAAAGAAAAACGAAAAAGAAAAATGCAGGGACAGCAAGAGAGAGAGAGAGAAAGAGGGGATCCACCAAGCTGAGGAGATCCTGGTCTGTGTGACAAGCAAAACGCTGATCGCCCGGGATAGGCCCGCTGGGGATCGGGTGGAGTCCGATCTTTACCACCACGCACTGGAGGGATTAATCATACGGGATGTGATGTATAGAGTGGGAAGGAGTGGAATAGTATATGGGAGAGACCGAGTAAATAAAGTATACTATAGAGAGTATGGAATATAGAGTAAGGTTCTCCGAAAAGCAATCTATTTCCCACAAAACACCGAGACAATTCAGGTACTATAACGCTATAAAATCACTCCCTAAGCTATACTATTCTCCATACTAGGTATCAAGTAATCTGTTCAGTTGTAGTATACTCCACCTCCATACTCAGATACTCAACCGGCCCTGTTTCCTCCGGAAGGGATGAGCCATGGTTGACGGCCTCTCCACGAGCGCGGGTCCCCACCGTGAACCAGGGATTCTTAGAACGGGGAGAACTAGGAACAACAAACCGACTACTAACATCTATACTGACTACTAACTTGGAGGGAACAACACAATGAGGATGGAGTCTAGAGTCGAGACTCCCGATCGATGGGCCCCGTGCAAGACATAGCGCCTGCAGAGCCCGGCGGCTGCACGGTCGATTACGGCCGGGGGGTTTCATCTGCGCTTAGTGCGAGAGCGGGAGATCCATTAAGATACAGTAGTATGTAAAGTATGCTGTAGAGTGTATAGACTATAGAAAAATGATATAGTTGTAGTCGGAATAATCCTCTAAGAGATGGAGGAGTTCAATAGAAAACTCAATTATTCAATAATCCACCGCATCGCCAGATAACACCTCAACAATTATCAAACATCAATACCCCTTCTCTAACTCCACTACAAAACAACTCATCCGAGAGCGAGGGCCTTGGGCTGGCCAGCACCAAAAACCCACTTGCCCTGCCCACTAATAACACTAACAACACTAACGCCCGCGATCTCGAACAGGCACACGGACTCCCGTCATAATTCCTTGTATAGTCCCAGTTCCAACCCCAGAAGGTAAATCCCCCGTGAAATCAAAATTCCAAATTCCAAATCCCCAACTGGAAGCAAAGATCATACGGAGGGTACACTTTCCCAATGCTCTTTCCTAAAGAAATCTCCTTCTACAAGGCTATCCAGTATATCGTACTTTTACACATCACGCTAATGAACAATTCCTTTTTCCACGACCGATCGACCACGCTCCGTGATATCTTGGGTCAGCCTCGGATACGCAGCGCGCGGCCCGTCGATCGTTGAGCCCGGGGGTGGAAATTACACTCTAGCACGGCTATAGCCGACGACGAGAGGGGATTGTCTAGATGATTAGTTATGATTGTGGGTATGGACTTTTGGCTATGGACACCGAGAGCCTAGCCATGGGGGGGGGGGGCCATTGTGGCCTGAGCTTTTGGTCCTCGCAAAATACTACCAATCAATTGACGTTTTTATTTCCATAGCTACACTGTGACTTGTACAGAGTACGAGTACTCTGTACAGTACATTAGTTATTTCCCTTTCTCTCTACTCCGTAGTGCTAACTGCTAGGTCCTCGGAGAGGATAATATTTCCCGCTTACTCAATCATCCATCCTCCCATCAACCCAGTCCAGTCCAGTCCCCAAGGGCAAAAGGGAACCAAGAAAAAGAGGGGGAAAAAACGAAAAAAAAATTACAACCCACAGAGCTGTCCACGATAAGGCGGTCCGAGAGTCACGGGCGCGTCACACCCAAGGGATAGCAAAAGAGGAGAGGGGGGGGGAATCAGTGGCTCAGAAGACACCACGCACCGGGTGGCTTGAGTCGATCAAGGGTCTGTTCTCTTGGGATCTTTGCCAGTTCCACAACTGGGCGTTTACCAAAAAGGTCGGTTGAAGACCTTGCCCGCCCTGATCGAAATGGATGGGCAAAGATAGTGGTCTTTGAGTGTCCATTGATGGTCTTGTGCTTTGATTTACGTTGCTTTGACTTCTGTGGAAAGGCCACATCGCTCGTTTCGCTGTCAATTCTACGGAGTATAGATATTATATCCAAACTATGTATAGCACGGACGAGACATAGAGATACGAAGACGATTGGCTTGCGCGATCGCGGCCGACCGTGAGGTAATACTGGGCCGAAGATTAGAAGCTCCGGAATATGCACTCCGTATTTACAGTACCGTCCCATGACGTTGATGAAGAGCTACTCTACAGTACTTCATTAAGGCCAACACCCTAAATAGTTGACTAGGTATGTAACTCGTGCACATACTGGAAGTTAGTACTCCGTGAATATTGTCCCTCATTTCCTGACCTATCAGGCCCGACACTACTCATGACGAGTCGTTTTTCGACCTTTGAAGTTTAGTCAAGCAACTCTGTTTAGCGCGGACAATACCCCAGCAAGGGGATCGGTTGACGCAGGTCGCGAAACCATCGCTGGCGATGGGGAGACTGGGAAGAGCCCCGGGGAGACTGGGAGACTGGGGAACGAGGCACACTGTATTTGGTAGCTTACTACTTCACTCTATTACACCGCCTGTTTCTTTTCAATCTCTTTGATCCGGATAGCGATGCCCCCTTGCATAGCAACTGGTGAGGCGGGATGGCGGTGGGAGATGGGAGCAAATCATGTTCATATTCCTCCGAGTTAAACGCACCAATCGAGGTGGGAACGGACTAGACTGGGCTCTTGAAGGCGGAAGGAAGGGATGGGAGGAGAGTGAAGAATCTCGATAGTCGCGCGGTCGCGAACAAGGTTGACAGATGTCAAATTTTGACAGGGGGCATGGAATAGAATTTTGCTTTGACGGATGTATATGGAGGTGTGACTATTGTATGTATACGCAGGGAAGTATTCCAATTTCTTTGACCTTCGTATAGCGGGCCGAGTCTGGCTTGTTGTTTCCCCTCTACTGGATGTGTATAGTTACCTAGTTGTAACAGATTTACGACTTTATCTGACGGATTCTTTCGGATTTCTTTTTTTCTGTATATTTCTCGTCGTCCGATCGGAAGAAGGGAGGAAACTATCAATCGCCATTATTGACATTGACGAGCGCGGCGGGACATATGGAATACGGGAAGATTCTCTACACATTGCAGAGATACTCCGTCTAGAGTAACATATCCCCCCCCCCTCTCGAAGCACAATGGCCACTAACTGATCGATGAATTTCCCGATTCCTCCCTGCTCCGTCCCACGATTTGCCTTCGGTGGGTTACCCTCCTAGTCGTGGCGTTAAGCCGACCACACAGACCCTGTCGGAGAGGGGGTAAATGATTAGGGCCAGAAGCGAGACATGGGGGAAAGAGGGCGTG